GCGAGAGCGAGAGCGAGAGCGAAGACGAAGAGGAGACGCCGGTCGTCAAGAAGGTCGTTGTCGCCGCGCCCGTCAAGAAGGCCGAGCCGGTTGTCGTGCTCTCCAAGAAGGAGCAGAAGCAGAAGGAGCTCGAAGACCTCGACTCGGTGCTTGCGGAGCTCGGCCTCGCGCCTGCCGAGGCGCCGAAGGAGGTCGCTGCCGCCGACAAGAAGCCGAAGAAGAAGAAGGGCAAGAAGCCGGCCGGCACGGCGGCCCCGGCCCCGACGCCGGTGGTCATCGAGGAAGCGGCGCCGGTCGTTGTCGTCGACATCAAGGCGGTGCTCGCCAAGAAGGGTGGCAAGAAGAAGAAGGAGGAGTCGCTCGCTGTCAAGAAGGCGCGGGAAGAGGAAGCGAAGAAGAAGGCGGCATCCAAGACGAAGAAGGACCGCTCGACGTTCAACGAGTTTTCGTAGATGTTGCAATGCCATGCCTACTTACCTTACCCGTACTCTACGCGACTACGTTTTACGTCAGATCGCGGACCCGGGCGACGTCGTCCGAGACGTTGCCGCGGCTCGCCATCGGAGGCCGCCAACTCGTCGCTGCTGGCGATAGCTTTGGCATGCGTGTCGGTGCGTCGCCACCGCGCTTGATGAGCGATTGGAGCTTGATAGCGGTGTTGTCGTCGATGCACTGCCGATAGAGCGACTTGTTGAGGCCGTCGGCGGCGCCTTTCGAGAGCAGCTCGTTGCGACCAATGCCGATGATGGACGAGTGTTTCGGCCCCCGGAGTCCCTCTACATCCAGAGTGCGACTCGCATGCAGATTTCGCTACGACGACCAGAACGACGGAAGTACCGCGGGCGAGGTTGTCGATGCGATCCTCGTCTTGGCGAATGTTCCTAATACCATCAGCACCATACAGTATTGCGGTCGAGGCGACAGGAAGCTACCCATAAAGCGGTTGGGCGACTCGCGGAGCTGGATCACGCCTTCGTGGAGCAAGTGGTCGGTCTGCGATCCCGCGAGGTACTGCCGCGTCGGCGGCAACCGCACTTGTTTGATTGACGTCTGCGCGCCCGTCACAATGTTGTAGTCGTACGACGAGTTCAAGAACGAGAGCCGGCCGAGGCGCTCGGTCGCGTTGGAGCTGTGCGCGCGCTCCTTGGCCGCCTCGCGCTCGAGCCGGTCGTGGTCGGACGCGATCGCGGTCCTCGACCGTCGATAAAAGCCTCCAAGAGGGATGCGCCTTTGGATAGAAGAGGGTAGTAGTACCTGGCGTGAACTTGGTCGTGCGCGTACTCTGCAGCATTGGATCGAGGAATTCGTGCGGCGCGTTGCGCGGATCCTGGAGGTAGTTCCACGCGTTAAACTCGTGCGGCGGGTCGGTCGTCTTTTTCCCGCGAAGGTCGTGGCCGTCGCCTTGGTTGGTGCGCATGGCGTCAGCCGGCTTGGGGCATTGCTTCTTCCCCATCTCGCTGCGACGCCGAGATAAGTATATCTGGCTCACCGGTTTCAAACCCTACCCCGCACATTCAACCACATGGATTGGGATGCACACCAGTCCTTGTACGAGTGCAAGGACTGGTGAACTTCGCTAGTAGTACTGCGAATCTTGTCGACTGGATCGCGGTGTCGAAGGATCTCGGAGAGGCGGATGTTGACTCTCAACGAGACGACGTGGGATCAGAAAAGGGCATCTCCGACAACGTGGCATTGACACTCGTGGCTCTTCCGGCCAGTCTACTCTGCTATTGACAGGGACCACCGACACATCAACCCTTTTTCGGTCCCCATATCGATTGCAAGCTCAACCCGGCTCGTTTGCGCTGGCGACGAGTAGCCAAAAGAACGCCGATCACGCAAGCTTCATGCGAAACGCGGAATAAGAGCTGATGGAAGCGACGAGTGAGTGGTCCTGCCTCGTCATGCGTCGTCAAAAGGACACGTGCCTTTGCACGAGTGGCTATCGACACACACAATCGTCGCTAGAAGAGCGACTTTCGGTCCCACGCGCATCGAGAATCTCCGCGGCTCAAACCAATCGTTGCCGCTCTACACTGTACTACATTGGAGAGCTCGAACGGCAAAGTGGTGATCGCGAATAGCAGCACCACCTCTCCACCACCCCATCGCGGCCGATCCTGCTGGCGGCCAGAAGAGTGTACGAGTCGTATAGCATCATCGAGGCTGCTCCTGGTCGCTCCTTGGAGCAGTGTGCAAAGCAAGTGCACCCAGTAGCAGTGCGCCAGGATAAATGCCACGACGCGTGCGCGTTGCTGCCGACGGTGCCAAATCGTCTCTCTGTGCAATGCCATATCCATTGCAACAAAGGAAGTACCCATATCCTTGCGCACCAATCCACGCACCCCAACGTACCATTCCCTCATTTAAAAACAAAATCAATTGCAATCAAAGAATAGACCACTGTCGGCGCACTCAGACGGACCCAGCTGGCAGCGCCGAGGTCCACGGTACGGCCTCTCCGGCTCGCCATACAATCGGTGAGAGGCAAGCTACTTACGATATTACTACGGGCGGCGCCCATTTCTTTATAGCCGCACAGCGGTCGACGCTCTCTCGCTCAGTAGCGCTTCCCAGCAGTGACGATGGCCCGCCCCACGGACGCGCCGCTCTTCCACCCGACGTCGCTCTCCGACGTCGAGGCCCAAATGCTCTGCGACATTGGCAAGAACGCCTTCTCCAAGCTCCTCGAGACCACGCGCTGCCTGCGCGAGCTGCTCATCTCGCAGCCCGACGTCGAGGTAGCTCCTCCATCTTCCTCCATGCTCGCCGCTCATCCTCCTCTTGCAAACTAGCACAACGACCTCAAGAAGCGGTATTTTGCAGCGACGTTCAACCTCATGGGCAATATCGATGAGATTGCCGATTTCTGCGTCAAAGTGTCGTGCGCTGGCCACTCGAGTGCGCACCGCAAGATCGCGGCCGAGCTCTTCTGCCTCGAGGCCACCGCGCGCCTCTACGCGATCGAGTATCCGACGTCGGTCGCACCGTACCACTACATTGGCATGCGCTGGAGCCACATCAAATCGCCGATGCGCATGCTGCTCCGGGACCGCGACTTTTGCACGATCGAGGTGCGCAATGCATTGTGTTGTGCTCGTTGGTCATCTTGCTGCATTAGTACCAGGACGAGTACATTGATGAGAACGGCCGGCGCGGCTACGCCATGTGCAGCCACTCGGTAGAGCACAACGCGTGTCCGCCGCTGGATTTGGGTCAAAACTACGTTCGCTCCAAGCTCTTCCACTCGGGGTATGTTTTCCATGCTTTTTTATGAGTTTCGATGCTTTTTCGATGAGTTGCACCGAGTTGCATTCACTCATCGCTCTCTTTTGGTGCACAGATATGTCTTTACCGAGACTGACATCCCGAACGTGCTCAAGGTCACGCTCTACTTTGACTACGGCCAGCACCAAAAGATGGCGCACTACATGCTCCTCAACACAGTCGCGCGCCATCGGCTCCAGCGCATCGAGCGCATCAACAGCCTCATCGGGTCGCACCAGCCGCGCCGCGTGACGTCGTCCATGCACTCGAACGGCGGCTTGAGTACGCCGGCCAAGTGCGCCATGTGCGACAAGGCGTTCTCCAAGGGTCTCTCGCTCTTCCAGCGCAAGGCGACCTGCTGCATTTGCCACTCGGTACGCGAGTCATCTCTTGGATAGCCAACGAAAAATGATGTAGGTGGTCTGCCGGAGCTGCTCGTGCGAGTGGGACGTCGACACGGGTCGGGGCTTGCGTCGAGACCGCGTCTGCAAGCACTGCTTTCGCGACATGCACCAGAACGCGCGCCGACTGAACGACTACCGCGATACGACGACGAGCCACTACTCGAACCGCTACAGCCACGGCAACCACAGCGTCGTCGACCTCATTGAGACCCACTCGCAGGTACGACTCCTCCCATTCGCGTAAAAAAGCACCTGCGTTCGCATAGCGCTCGATGCTGTCGCCGGCGCCGTCGGCCAAGTCGTCGACGTCGCGCCTCACGACGGTCGCGTCGTCGATGGCGGCCGCCGCCCAGCAGCACCGCCAGTCGTCGGCGCAGCAGTACAACTTCAACCACCGGTTCCAGCCCCCGAAAACGTACCAGATCGAAGACCCGGTTCGCGACACGCGCGCGAATTCCGTCGAGAGCTCGTACTCGGCCTACAGTGCGACGCTCAAGCCCATGGACCGCCGACCGGTCGACGTGCCGCCGCGGACCTCGTCCAACGACTCGAGCCGCTCGACGCTGTCCGAGAACATTGACATTCTCACGGCCTCAAGCCGCGCGCCGGTGGTCTGGCCAACGTACACGGTGCCAGTCGCCGTAGCGATTGCAGTGCCGGCACCAGACGCGCTCCTGCCCCGGGAATCCATGGGTAGCCTCTGCGACCTCTCGTACCTCAACCAAATTCTGACCGTGAACGACGACACGCAGTCGTCACCGGGCTCGACCACGTCGAGTGCCACGTCCCGTGTGTCGACGGCGTCGCGGCGCCACGGCCACCGCCGTCCGAGCAACCGCTCGAACGCGTCGTCCAACAAATCGGACCTCTCGTATCTGTCAACGTACAACTCGTCCCATTATTAAATAGAGCTCGTTTCTGTGTGTGCGATGTGGACCGCTCGTTTGTTCCATTCGCTCGTATGAGTACACACACACGAAGACACGCACGCCTGTATGTGATTACATTGCTGAAATTGCATCTCTGTTCATCGACAGTGTGATAATACGTGCAACATGCATAGGCTTTGTTCCGTGCGCACAGGTGGGGTGCCACGGCCGTCGCCTGCATCAGCACTGTACTTGAATATGGCATTTCCAGAGAAACATCTGCTCCACATGTGTGGCTCCGACAGCTCGTTGCTCGCGTGCTGTTGAGCACAGTTTGTATTGTCGATTGACTACATAAAGCGGGTGTTTGAGGCAATAACGATGTCCTCCACTCGGACCAAGCCATGAGCTCTGGACGTCGACTGAACTCGCTGGCGTTAGTTCGACCCACTGTTTTGATCGACTACCTCTGTGCTGCAACCACCATCATGTGCACAGGCGTCGGGACACGCCCACGCAGTCGACGGCAGTGTGGCTGGTATCCATGCAGCCACGAATACGTAATTAAAAATTGCAGTGGCTGCGTGCAATCTCAGAGGCCCTGCCGAGACAAGCAGGATAAACGCTTTCGCCCGTCCCTTGCCGTCAGCGTCGTGGCAGGCTCGCCACATAAACACGCTGCGATGCCATTGCGATCGCACCATTTGCCAGCCCCGCAAAATGGCGCGAGTAAGATCTTACACCTTTTCTCGTAGTCCTTTTCGTTTATATCGATGTCGTACGAGGCACTACCCGTGGCTCGCACGAGCCATCCACCCACCGCAGTCTCCTTCGCCTCGGTCCAGAAACGACGGTCGCCAGTCGTCGTTCGCCAAAAGACACGCAGCACGGAAGATCGGCCGCTGTCCTGTGTTATATTATGTATTGTGTTTTGTATCGAACGAGGCGATTTTAATGCTCGGTTGGCGGCGGCGTAAAACCGGCAACCAGCCGATTGGCTCGTTTGGATGCGTCCTGCGCTGTGATTGGTCCGCACCCGTTGGTAATGGCCGTCGGCCTTTCCTCGCACTTGACAGGACGTGCCGGCGCACTTGATGGAGTCGGTGGGCCCGGGACCGTGTTTTTGCGATCTTCCGGCGCTACTTTTTGCACCAAAGTCGCGATTCATTTGACATTTGACCATGGGCAAGGGAGGCAACGCATCGACGGCGCGGTCGCCGCCGACGGACTTTACGTGGGACACGAGCGACGAGCCGCACGCGACGCGCCGGAAGCTTATCACGGCCAAGTACCCGCAGATCAAAAAGCTATTTGGGCCGTGCCCCAAGTTGAAGTACCAGATTCTGGGCGCCGTCGCCGGCCAAGTCGGCATGGCGTGGTTCATCCACGACAAGTCGTGGGCGATGTACGTGGCCGCGGCCTACATCTTTGGCGGCACCATCAACCACATGCTCATGATGGGCATGCACGAACTTTCGCACAACCTCGCGTTCAAGACCATGTTGTACAACCGTCTTCTCTCGCTCGTCGCCAACTTTCCGCTCGGTGTGCCGGCCGCGATTGCGTTCAAGCGGTACCACTCGGAGCACCACCGGTACCAAGGCGAGGACGGCGTCGACGTGGATATTCCGACCGAAGCCGAAGGCAAGTTCTTCAACACGCGCTTCCGCAAGTTCCTCTTCATTTGCTGCCAAGGCCTCTTTTACAGCTTCCGCCCATTTTTCGTGAACCCGAAAGTGCCATGCCTCTGGGAGTACATCAACTACGCGACGTGCATCGCCTTCAACAGCGCGATGGTGCACCTCTTTGGCTGGTCGGGCATGTGCTACTTCTTCCTCAGCACGCTCCTCGGCATGGGCCCGCACCCGTGCGCCGGCCATTTCATCTCGGAGCACTACGTCTTTGTCAAGGGTGCCGAGACGTACTCGTACTACGGCCCGCTCAACATCTTTGCGTTCAACGTCGGCTACCACAACGAGCACCACGACTTTCCGTTCGTGGCCGGCTCGCGTCTGCCGGAGGTGCGTGCGATGGCGCCCGAGTTCTACGATACACTGCCGCAGACGTCGTCGTGGGCTGGGACGCTCTACGACTACATCATGGACGACTCGATCAACGCGTACAGCCGCGTGAAGCGAAAGACGCTCAGCGTTGCCGACCGCGCCAAGCTCAAGTCGGAATAAGTTCCAAGGCTAGTTTGCTACGTGTATGCTCTACCCATTGTCTTTATATTGATGTGGTTTACTCCCGTCGGGTGGTGGCACGTCTGCTCTAGCTCATTCGTTCATGACAACGAGCATGTTTGGGACGCCCTCGCATCAAGTCGCCTCGTGGTTGGCAACAGAGCCGGACCCATCTCTCCTCTTTGTAGCAACTTGTTGTCAATCGAATTGAAGTATGTTTACTGATTGCCCGTCACGCTCGGCGTTCCTCTTGTGCCTCCAACGACCCCACGACGGCGCATTGGCCGTCGGGTCAACTTGCCTTTGCCGTCAAGAGGCCACGTCATGGGTCGGGTCCAGGCCCATGCGATCCTCGCATAAAAACGCACCTAGCTCGCTGGCCCGGTGATCGCCTCGACGAAAATAATCACAGCTTGGTCTTTGTATGTAAATTCCGGATACGAGGCAAATCACATTGAAATGCTATGCTTGCGACGCCTGGACGCCGCCGATGTCCACCGAAGTTCACAGCGCGTGGGCCCGTGTCTTTAGTTGGTACTAATCACAAGGCGCGTATAAACTAAACTACCGGTTGCTTACGAAACTCTAGACGAGCGGGTATACGTAGCTCGTGTCTATATATCGATGGTTGATAAGGTTGGCGGGAAAGCATCGCCACCTGGCTCCGCGCCTCTACTGAAGAATTGCTGATTTCGTACTTAGTCGAATCGTGCGAGTTGACGGCCAGTCGCAGTCAGTTTCGGATTCGCACAGCATGGGCAAGGGTGGCAACGCGTCGACGACCAAGCCGGTCTCGGCGCCGACGGACTTCACGTGGGACACGAACGACGAGCCGCACGCGACGCGCCGCAAGCTCATCTCGGCCAAGTACCCGCAGATCAAGTCGCTCTTTGGGCCGTGCCCGCGCACCAAGTACCAGGTCGCAGTCGCCGTGAGCCTCCAGGTGGCCATGACCTTTTACGTGCACGACAAGTCGTGGGCGACGTACGTGGCCGCGGCCTACGTCATTGGCGGCACGATCAACCACATGATGATGCTGGCCATGCACGAGCTCGCGCACAACCTCGGCTTCAAGAAGATGCTGTACAACCGTCTGCTCTCGCTGCTCGCGAACGCGCCGCTGGGCGTGCCGGCCGCGATTTCGTTCAAGCGCTACCACATGGAGCACCACCGGTACCAGGGCGAGGACGGCGTCGACGTCGACATCCCGACGGTCGCCGAAGGCAAGTTCTTCACGACGCGCTTCCGCAAGTTCCTCTTCGTGTGCTGCCAATCGCTCTTTTACAGCTTGCGCCCGCTCCTTGTGAACCCGAAGGCGCCCGGTCTCTGGGAATTCATCAACTACGCGTCGTGCATCGCCTTCAACAGCTTCATCTACTACTTTTGCGGCTGGTCGGGCCTCTGCTACCTCTTCCTCAGCACGCTCCTCGGCGCGGGCCCGCACCCGTGCGCCGGTCATTTCATCTCGGAGCACTACGTCTTTGTCAAGGGTGCCGAGACGTACTCGTACTACGGCCCGCTCAACCTCCTCACGTTCAACGTCGGCTACCACAACGAGCACCACGACTTTCCGTTCGTGGCCGGCTCGCGCCTGCCGGAGGTGCGTGCGATGGCGCCCGAGTTCTACGACACGCTGCCGCAGACGTCGTCGTGGATCGGTGTCCTCTACGACTACATCATGGACGACTCGATCAACGCGTACAGCCGCGTGAAGCGAAAGACGCTCACGGACGCGGAGAAGAACAAGCTCAAGAGCGAGTAAAACACTGTAATGCACGCGACTCGAGTGTCATGATGTGCCTTCGCTGTCCTAACTTTATCGCCGACAACCTCCGCTGCTGCAGCAAAGGGGAACACGCGTGTAGCGACGGCAGTTGACAGATTTGGCGCTGGCTACACCCATCGCAGTGCCCAGACAAGGGAGCGTGAACCGTCGAAGCTGGTGCAACGTTGGTGAAGAGGATGGAAGAGCCTTCTTGGGTGGCCACGAACGACTATGAGTAATCGGGCAGATTACCGTGGACGAGATCGACTGACGACCTGATTCGCAGGTCGCAGTGTGATGACGTGGCAGCATAAAACGCCTCGGGGAAGATCGCCCATTTGATGAACCAAAGATGGCAATACAAGCTTGTGAACCACGAGCGTGCGTTGCGGATATACGTCCCACCTGTCCTCTACGATGCCCAAGGGAATAACCAATGATGCCCTTGACGCTGCCCCAGGCGAGCTCCATTCCCGATAAACGCTTGCGTTTCTAGAGGCGGCTTACCTCCACCGCGTCTCACCCTCTTTTGTCGCGTTCGTGCACCTAAAAGCAGAGACCTCGTCCAGATGGATGTAAATTAGTACTACATTACGTGCTGTGCTAACTCTACTAGACAGCACTCACGGACGCATAGGCTGGTGTCGCCAGCGGCGTTTGCTTGACGTGTTGCGCCATGGCCGATCGAAGCAGCGTGAGCACCTCGCGCTTGCCTTTCGCCGTCGCGCACTTGAGCAGCATGGTATACCACTGCCCGTCAAAGCGCTGCGCGCGCAGCAGAAAGCTCGTGTTCGCATCCCACGACGGGTGCTTCTGCACATCGATTTCGTCCAGCGCGAGTTGGCTCCACGCGAATTGCTTGCGCACCTACGCCGATTCATTCATGACCTTCCGTACATCGCAGATGTGTCTACCTTGGCCCGCTGCTTGCGCATGGGTTTCGCGACCAAGAGCATGTCCGAGAGGACAATCAGCGTCCGCGGCCGGGCGACCCAAAAGCCCCACGGCGCCAGCGACATGGTCGACACCACCTGCGCAGCATGAGCGCTTGAATGATGATTTCGTGAAGTGGGTTGAAGTACGTACGTGAAGGTGAACGTCGCCGAGAAGGTGGCGGGTCGGCAGACAGAGTTCGGGGCACTGAGGGCCGACGAGCCGCGCTCGTAGTTCAAACAGCTTGAGGTTGTTTTGCTCGGCGCGCACCCGTTCGTTGACGAGCGCAGCGACGTTCTTCACGTCAAGAAGGAGGTCTTGGAGGGCTCCCGCCAGCGACGGTGGCGCGAACGCGAGCCACTCGCGGATCAAAAGCGGGTACCGACACAGCCGCTGGACGGGCTTGATCATCTCCGACTGCATATCGACCTGGAGCGACCGCGACGCGTGGCAGAGCTGCACGACGAACGCTTGGCACTCGGGTGCGACGCGCGTGACGGGCCGCACTTGCAGCAGAGTCGTCACTTCCTTGTACGCCGAGCAATAATGCGAGTAGAGTTTGAAGAACGGGAGCCGGCGACGGAGCGCCTGCATGATGGCGCGGCTGTGCGCTTCGAGTACATGGTCGTGCACGCGGTCGGCCAGGGTCGGTAGCGACGCGACAAACTCGCCGTGGAGCGCGTGCAGCGACATGGTCGTCGCATACAAGGTCGTGAGCGCCGGGTGGTCAAAGGCGACGTGGAACACCTTGTCGAAGACGCGCTTCATGGCCTCGAGCGCGTCAAAGTACGCTAGCTCGGTCGCTACAAACTCGTGCAAAACCGCGTAGCACTGCACCGACGGGTGCGGCGTCGTGTCTTCCCAGAGATCCAACGGCATCAAGTCGTCGTCCGAGTCACGCGTGTCCCGGCGCGGACACTTGGTGTACGACGCCTCGGCTTGCAGGTCCGGGTGTTGGCGACGGAACGAGTCGAGCCGAATCGGGTGCCCCGAGAGCAACTGGAGCTGCGAGAGCCGGCGGCTACTGGTCATGGACGCCGACGACGCCGACGACGAGACGGTCGAGACGCGCGGCTCGTCGTCCGTGCGCTTCCATTTGTGGCCGCTCAAGAAGTTGGGCAGCCGCAGGGTCATGCGTGACGCTCCGCAGTACGGAAAGTGAGCGCCGTCAAGGCCAAGATGGCGGGAAGCATTTTTGCTAAAAATATATTAGTCGGACAATATCTTGACGGTGTGATGGCGGGACGGCACTGCAGTTTCCATGCAGCGAACGCAGTCGAGTACCATTTTACCGTCGCTTGATCAAAGTCCTTGCATGGATGTCTCAAAACGTTGCGTTTGTGAGACGATCGGTAGCCATCTTGCTCGCATAGCGATTACAATGACAACCCAACGAATTGGCGGTATCGCCCGCATCGCTGGCCATTACGGCCGCGACGGTCGTCGTCTACATGCCTTTATGTGTCACTCGGCGCTTCAAGGACGAGCCACTACTAACGTCGCTACGGCGCCGGCTCCACGACCCATGGCGCGCGCTGCATCGTAGTACCGCACACAATATTTGCCCCGCCTGCCCCACGCGCCTCTTGCAAGGTAGTACCTTAGCATTCATCAAGGCCAAGGAGAAGATCCATCCTCTAACGTTAGCACCATATACATTGACAAGAAACTCGTTCCAATCAACAACTTTAAAAAGGGGCTTGAGCAGACTCGAACTCTCAAATCTTGTGGCACCACTCGGTCCTCGCCGCTTTCCTCAAATCATGTACATGTACTGTAGTACCATTTAGCCACGGGAGCGCAGAGCACCGACACGGTTGGCTTCAACGACAGCAATAACCATCGGTGTAGCCACAAGTGGTGATAAGATTAGCAGGGAAGCGTATCGAGACTCGGCCGCGTTCACACGACCTGGTTTCAGCGTTGACGGGATCGGATTTGTCATCCACGATTCATTCATTGGACACGCTTGCTTCACGTAGCATCTCAGCGCCAAATGATTGCGCAATACGACGCCTTGGCATCGTGGCGACCCGCGACCGGGCGCGACGCATTTCCATCAACCGACTCAAAGGGAGTCCAAGGAGGTGTGGACCACGCGCGTCAACTGTTTGCGCTGCGTCCATCGTCCTTGTCCGACCCTTCAACCTTTTCGCGGCGTGCGCGCCCGAGGCTTGTCCGACCCTTCAACGAATTCTCCACCAACCGACCACGCCGGCAATGGATGGCAGCGATGTCGTCTCGGTGCCAACCCACGTAAGGACGTGCGAAGGGCGCCGGCAGCTGCGCCACCCGATGACGCGGCGTCAACCGGGTGCTGCCATGGCCTCCACTTGCTCATAGTCTGACGCTACTAATTTCGATGGCAGCTTACTCGTTTGCCGTTGGCGCCAATGCAATCGGTCGCCTCGCTTGGCAGAAAAGGCCGATCGCCGGGAGCTATTAATGTGGTATTCGGAAAGGGACAAGTTGGCCACAAGAAAATATTTTCCACCGAGTGGGATGGGCACCTTGAGCGCATGCTTGAAGCTTCGTCGCTTGTCGCGCGCATACCCAGCGTACCACCGCGTCCGTATTGGCCACATACATGGTCGAATATGCATCTGGCGCTGTGCGATCCAACGGTCATAAAATGGCGATATTTTATTGTAGCTTGACATTTGTATGCAACTCGATGTTTGAATTAAAGAGCGCAGCTTCGACCTACGGTGCGACAGCGTGGGTTGCAAATGTCTTGATGTTTGTATCGGCTTCGATTCTTGTGGTATCCAGCGGCCCAAGCATATCTTGAACCGTCCCGAGCCGCTCACTTTGCATTTTCACGACTAAGAACTAGTAGCAACATGTGCGGGATCGTCGCTATCTACGCGTCCATGCTGAGCAACGACGAGCTGCGCAAGGCCATCCTCGAGGCCGGCAAGAAGTACGCACCATCATCTCTCCATCTTGCAAGGCTCAGCTTGCGAATCCGTGTAGGATCCGCCACCGCGGCCCCGACTGGAGCGGCGTGCGCATCTTGCCCAAGGGCATTGCGATCGAGCACGAGCGCCTCGCGATCATCGACCCCGAGTCGGGCGCGCAGCCGCTCGTCTCGAACGACGGCACGATCACGCTCGCGGTCAACGGCGAGGTGTACAACTACAAGGAGCTCGCGGCCGCCTTGCCGACGCCGTATGCGTTCAAGACCAAGTCGGACTGCGAAGTCATCATCCCGCTCTACAAGCAGTACGGCCCGTCGTTCGTCTCGAAGCTCCGCGGTATGTTTTCGTTCGTGCTCTACGACTCGACCGCCGACGTGCTCCTCGCTGCGCGTGACCACATGGGCATCACGCCCTTGTACTACGGCTACGCGGCCGACGGCAGCGTCTGGTTCGCGTCCGAAATGAAGGCGATCGAGCACGGCTGCGTGCGCTTCGAGTGCTTCCCGCCGGGCCACGTCTTCCACAGCAAGACGGGCGAGTTCACGCGCTGGTTCACCCCGTCGTGGATGGAACCCGGCCATCTCGGCACGACGCCGCTCGACCTCGCCAAGCTCCGCACGGCGTTTGAAACCGCGGTGCACAAGCGCATGATGTCGGACGTGCCGTGGGGCGTCCTTCTCTCGGGCGGCCTCGACTCGTCGCTCGTCGCCTCGATCGCCGCGCGCCACCAGAAAAAGATGTTTGCCGAAGGCAACGAGTCCGAGTGGTTCCCGCGCCTCCACTCGTTCACGATCGGCCTCGAAAACTCGCCGGACCTTGCCGCGGCCAAGGAGGTCGCGTCGTTCCTTGGCACGATCCACCACTCGTACACGTACACGATCCAGGAAGGCCTCGACGCGGTCGCCGACGTCATCTACCACCTCGAGACGTACGACGTGACGACTATCCGTGCGTCGACTCCGATGTTCCTCATGTCGCGCAAGATCAAGGCCATGGGCATCAAGATGGTGCTCTCGGGCGAAGGCGCCGACGAGGTGTTTGGCGGCTACCTCTACTTCCACAAGGCGCCCAACAAGGAGGCCTTCCACAAAGAGACCGTCGATAAGCTCAAGTCGCTCCACCAGTACGACTGCCTCCGTGCCAACAAGGCCACGTCGGCATGGGGCCTCGAGGCGCGCGTGCCGTTTTTGGACGCCGACTTTCTCGACGTCGCGATGAACATCGACACGCAAGAGAAGATGTGCGACAAGGCGAGCGGCCGCATGGAGAAGCACATTATCCGCAAGGCGTTCGACACGCCGGACGAGCCGTACTTGCCGGCGCACATTCTGTGGCGCCAGAAGGAGCAGTTCTCGGACGGCGTCGGGTACGGCTGGATCGACTCGCTCAAGGACTGGGCCGAGCGCGAAGTCTCGGACCGCCAAATGCAGCACGCCGAGCTCCTCTTCCCGTACAACACGCCGCAGACGAAGGAAGCGTACTTTTACCGCAGCATCTTTTCCAAGCACTTTGAGAAGGAAGTCGCGGCGCAGACGGTGCCGGGCGGCCCGAGCATTGCGTGCTCGACGCCCGCCGCCATCGAGTGGGACGCGGCCTTCAAGAACGCCGCCGACCCGTCGGGCCGCGCCATCGCCGGTGTCCATGTCGACGCGTACAAGGGCCAATAAACATCATCTAATACTACACTACTCTACTGCACAGTCTTTCTACCCTAGTACTTTAGTCGGCGATGGCGTGGGCTAAAAAAATTCCACGCAAATGCAATGGGAGGAGCATGGTAGGTGAAGTGAGGGATCCTCCGGGGCATCCCTGAGAGCGCTTCGAGTCGCATCCATACTGTGAAGTTACATGGAGACAGCCGCGGAAGGTGCGATGCGACGAGCGAGTTCCAACCTTGCGCTTCTACTAACGTTAGCGGGATCGTTGCTCAAATGTACTACCCTACCCCTAGGATTTTTCTTCTTTTTTGAAGAGTCTTGCACCAACATTGAAAGAGAATTGCTCGGAGCAGTCTTGTGTTGCGAGACAAAAGACACGTAAGGAAGGAATACCTCCATCGCTCGAACGGCAACGGCAAGATCGCCTCATGACGACCAAGTGGGAAGAGGTCGCGGACGAGACGGGCCGGAGCTACTACGTCAACCGGGTCACGGGCGAGACGCAGTGGGAGGCGCCGCTGCCGCACGAGCTGCTCGCGACCACCGACGACGACGTCCTTGTCGACGCGGCCTTGCTGGCGCGGGCGCTAGCCATCCGCCAGCGACTGGTGGCGGCCGCGCCGCTGCAGGCGCCAACGCACTGGATTCGCATGTTTGACCCGACGCGACGCGAGGCGTACTACTTTGACTGCGTGCTTGGGCGACTGCAATCGGCGGCGCCGGAGATTGTCGTCGTCGACGATGCGCTCGCGACGTGGTGGCTCACGCTGCAGTGCGCACTGCGATCGGCGCTCGCCCGCCGGCGAGTGGCCTACAAGCGGCTGCAGCGGCTGTACCCGATTCTGCCTCGCCCGTCAGCGCTGTTGTCTCTGGCTTTGGTGCGCATACCGCATATATCGACCACTCGTGCCAGCTTTGGCTATCTGTACTAGGAGTCCGAGGGCCATCGCGAGGCCGACGAGCGACGCGGGCTCTTGCACGCGGAGAAGGCGCAGTGCTCGCAGAGCGACCGGTTCTGGGGCCTCGATCAAGTACGCTTTGGCATCGATGATAATGGAAGAGACTCTGAATCGTGGTCTAGCGCGTCGTCGAGATTCGCCGACAGCTCTTGGAAGAGAGCATGCTGCGTGAGGCCGAAGAGATGCGTCGCAAGCTCAACGTACGATCGAGACGGCGGCGCTGTGGACATGATAGACTGGTAGGAAAATGCGCGGCGACGTGAAGACAGCTTGCGCAAGGCGGCCGAGGAGCAGGAGCGGAAGCGCCGGTCGGAAGACAGCCTGATTGAGACCCACGAGCGCCAAGGCATGCAGCTTCAAGAACTACTGCAGTGCAAAGTGGACACGTTCTGGGGCGTCCAAAAGCAAGAAAACGACGAGCGATGGTGCTTTCAAGACGCTGCGACGGCCACTGAATCGCGTGTTGTGTAGCTGTCAGGAACAAATGCTGCTCGAAGATGCCTTGTCCGCACGCTATGCCCGCGTAGGCCATGATGTCCTTTGCCGCCGATGTCCAGAGCCTTCTTCTTGCGTAGGACCTCTTGGAAGCCCAGTTGCACGCTCGATGGGCGGTGGACGCGGCGCGGTCGCTGGAGCTCGAAAAACGACAGCGGCTCGGCGAAGAAATCAAATTTCAAAAACAGTACCTCAAGGTAGAATACGCCAAGTATCGCGTCTTTGTTGTAGCACTCGTGTAGCTCTTTCGACGGGCCAAAACGTCGGAGGACGTGATCCGGTACCGCTGGCCGACGCTGCAGGTCGTGGAGCTCGCGACCAAGCCCAAGGCGGGTGTCGCAGAGGACGCTGTGGCGTACAACCTCGATGTGGTCCTCGACCCGGCGACCCCCAAGCACACCTTTCACTCGGCGAGCGGGAGTCACACGGTAGACTAAACGGCACATGCTGCGTTGGTTCGATGCTGTCGTTCTAGGTGGGGCGGAAAGGCAAGCTGGAAATTTCGCACCCACCGCCTTACTTTCGCGTGGACCAGCCGAGCGCGCATCCTAAAGTAGGAGGTCCCATGCATGGACGCATGCAATGACTGTTGGCGCGTAGAAGCCGCTCAACCCGAACCAGCCCGCCTCGGCCAACGGCTTACCCTTTCGTGTACCAACGGTACATGGCCCGCGCTCTTCAACTCTTTCGACGCGTGTCGTAGAATGCCGGTGTCGACGCCGTCTTGAGTCGCCCCCTTGACAAGCGCTCAAGCGTTCTGCTTCCATCCATGGTGGCCGCACCGAGCAGCAACCAGCAGCCCGAGCCGACAGACGCGCCGCAAGCCGTCGACGATGGCGCCGATGTCGCGTCGATCACAGAAGCGTTTGGTCCGGAAGAAGGTAGGATCCTCTCTTTTGAACGGGAAATCACGTCATGCTGCAACGGTGGCGTAGCGGTACTGCAACAAATATTCGAGCTCATCGACACGGACCATGGCGGCACGATCGACAAGGATGAAATGGCACTATTTTTTTCAAATCGGATCTGAATCTGAATCGGAAACTAGATGTGGGCGCTGACGCGAGACGCGGTGGTCCGCAAACGCGCCATGACCTCGGTCGTGTTTCGCGACGTCCTCAAGAAACGCAACCTCGAAGCGCTCTTCGAGGAGATGGACACGTCCAAGACGGGCGCGGTGCCATGGCACGTGTTTCGCGCCTTCTGCGAGAAGATTTTTTGGCGCTGAAGCTCGACGCGGCGCGCAAGCTGCGACTGCAAGGACCCGAGGTGTCGCTGACAAAAGAAGAACGGTTGCAAAAGAAGAACGACGAGTACAAGGCGCGCAAAGCCATCTTGGATCAGGAAGAAGCCATTGCCAAGGTACAAGTCGACTTCACAACCAGAAGCAAAGCACACACTTTCTCTCTCCTAGCTCGTCTTTGCACTCGTCGACACGGACCACAGCGGTACGATCGACCAGAGGGAAATGATGCAAGCACTCGAACTTAACGAACATGTGCGCGCGTTTGTCCAGCGATCGCGCGGCCTCCAGCCGCTCTTGACCAACCCGGTACGATGACAATATTTTCCATCGTAGTACAACTTCGGTCCTCACGAGGGTAGACGTTTGCCAAAGCGTTCATTGGCATGGCCACGGACGTGGAGAAGGGCATGGGCCTCGACGAATTCATGTGCTTCTGCACTGAAATTGCCTCAGTCGCCATGCTCAACGGAATGGTGCCCTTGACCTAGACTGACCTTGAAAGATTGATAGATTTGTACTATTCATTGTGTGATTGGGTAATCTATGTGTTAAACTATCGCACCGACTCGAAAGCAATGGAAGAAACAAGCCCGTGAGACATTCACTGTCGTCGTCTCGAAGACGTGGGTCGAGGGTTGCTCGGGACGTTGCTGGCTGCGTTGTGCTCGGGACGTACTTGTTGTCGAGGCCCTTCCGAGAGGAACGTACGGAGACTTTTACGACGATGCAGTAGCAGTGACGCGCCTCCAGTCACGGCTGCTTTATTAGTGGATTGGAATGTCTTATGCTTCGAGCGAGGTGCTGCGTTTCTGAGGAGCACGCACTACTGCAGGTCGGTAGCCCAACGTGCCAGAAAAGGATGGGCTGAATCGTAAAAGGCATCTACGTGTATAGGACAATTTGTGTTGAAGAAATTCGAGTCTGTTTGTTCGAGTTGTCCGTCTAGAATTCAGTAATGACAATTCATCGCACTGTAGTACTTAACAACGCATCGACCGCGCATGCGGAAGGAGGAGTGGTCGATGCAGCAAGTGAATCGCACTGAATCGCTCGGGCGTCTATCAGCGACGTTTCAAGAAACCAAGCAAATCGAGAGTACCTTGACGCGCAAACATGCATCGTATCAAAGGTCGCCGCCCACAACGCCGGGCGTCTCGTCAGCTATTAGTCGTGGGTTCGAAATCGAACGGACGCCAAACTTTCAGCGCAAGGATCGGATGTCCCAGAAGAAGAATCTAACTGCTCACATACCATGAGCAGCTGGGCGATTCGTACAGATATGTAGACATTATTGAGAAGGATACGCAAAGACGATCATCCTCCGTTCTATTGATGTGAATACATATTTTTTCATACATTTGTTGAAGTGAGTCTATTTAGATATAATTTACACTGAACTGGATATGGTGGTGGACTATCGATTCCAAGGTGCTACGATGAGCCGGCCGCCGAGAGGCTTAGCCGAGCGGGAGACGTGGCGTGTAAACGGCACATGCCGGAACAAAGTTGTCGCGTAGCCATGCGTCGTGCCGCAGGGCGGCCATCATTTGGAAGAGGCACAATGCTTGAGTGTTCAGCAGCAGGTGTTGGAGGTGCAGCTTGGTCAAGAACGCGGCTCGTTGGGCGGCTGCCTCAGGCGTCACAAGGGGCGCCTCGGGGCGAAAGACTCGGTCGTTGCGGGCAAGCCAGACGGTGTGGAGCACGCACGCGCGGAGGATCGGCCACATCATGGCCACGGCGCGCCGACGGTAGCGTTGGGCTGTCACCAGCGGTTCGAAGAGGAGCGCGGAAAGCGTCGTGGGAAGTTCGAGCTCGAGGGCGTCGACGAGCGGCTGAAAGACCGCCCACACGGCAGTGACAAATTCGCAACGAAGCAGAAGATGGTCGTACGTCTCGAGGTCGCCGCAGACGGGACAGACTTGGGCGTCATCGGCCAGAAAGTAGAGCCGGGAGCGGATCGCGACGGCGTTTTCATACATTTGTAGCATAAAAGTACTGGTTCTAAAATAGTACTAGTACTAAAGCACGTGCCAACATATGTTACACGGCGGCGGAATTCCCACAGACGAGTACACTGCTCCTTGTGAGTGGTTACCCAGCATTTGGACTCGGCTAGAACTACTCGCTACCTCAGAACGACTCTAAGAACTACCAGGAATGCCAGCTCTTCGAGATATATGACCTCTATCGTGCGTGGGTGTAGGGGAGTGGTCGAAAAGGTATACTTGTACGAGCCCGCCAGGAGTGAATCCTGCTATTTGCTCCAGGAGAAGACAATGATCGTTTCTGGCAAGTCACTTGCATTTGGGAAGAGACGCTGCCCCGTGAGCGATCACGCTGGGAGATGAATCACATAGGAGTCCTATTTCTCATAACAAATTTCAATCTACTAGACGCCGTCCAACCACTCGTCTCTGCATCCTAGCTTTCCAGCCACCCAAGCAACGGGTTATCTCAGCGCGGCGCGAAATAATTGCAATCGAGTCGTGTGGGGTCGACTGATCGGCCGAGATGAAGAGACGTGGGGTGGGAATTCGATCACCTCGATGCGATCACCTTGGCGCGAGCTCTTGGCGCGTTGTTCGGCAGAGCTTATAGCGTCTTGTGTACCAGAAAAAAAGAAAAGAAAACGGGGCGGAGCACAGGATGCGCAAATATATATTTGGGGCCAACCCAGCTGCTGCCACCTTGTCGCTGTCGGCGTGTGTGACGATCCATTCATCGTTCTTGACGGCGTCGACATGGACACGAAGTCACACGCGGGTCAGCGCCGCATACACCAGTGGTGGATGATCGATCACGCGCTTGGTCGCGCGACGTCGTACGTGGACAGAAGTGGAGTGCATAGGAGTGCGTCGACACCCTCCTCGTTTCCGAGCGTAATACCAACGGCTGCAAAAGGTTGAGCCCACCACCATGCGCCTTGCAACTGGATTTATGATTCCACTCCTGATATTATTTTGTTGTTTTTCTCGTCGATACCGGCAGGCAAACGAGTCGCTGGACAACATTTCGACGAGCACGAGCAAGCGACTCAAATTCATGCAAGCACGTTTGGTTGTTTGCTGTTTGGTTGTCGCGGAACGCGTTGGGAAAGCTACTCGCGCCGTGTGGATGCGAGATTTTGTTGCGTTTTTAGAGAACAAATCGACGCTTTTCACAAATTGTTGGAATCCAAACGGGTAAATTCCAATGGCGCCCACAAGCGAATTCACAGATCGTCCTTGCCGTCGCACGCATTCCTTCGTGGTGCACGAAGAGGCAGCGCGGCCGCGATCGGATTGACCACCATTCAGTGCCCGAGATGGTCGAAAAGGCGGTGCTCAAAGTGCCCCTTTACATAATGCATAAAAAATCACATCTTGAAAGGCTCGGCGACGTCACATTTCCGAAAAAGGGGTGTCTACAGAGACCCGGCTTCGTGCAAAGCTGTGACCAACGTCAACGAATTGAATTCTTTGAGCCGTGTCCCATCCCATACATTCTTCCAGTGTGCGTATTTTATTTCGCATTACATTGCATTCCACCGCCCTTGTGTAGTCCATGTGCATACGAATTTAAATTCAAATCCCATGAAATAAAATAAAAAATCCATCTCGTGACACACGCAGCGTGGGACGGCCGCCAAAATTCACGTTGGACGAGGCCGCGTCGCCGGCGCCCACTTTGGAACTCGCCGCCTCCGCCATCATGCACGACCTCAAGTGGATCCTCAATGACGACGACATGGCGCCCAAGAAGACGGTGCGCTTCGCGGCGACAGCCATCGAAGCCAGCTTCCGCGTCAGCTACAATGGCAGCACTGTGCCCAGCGACAAGGTGCCCGGCGTCGGCCTGCATGGCCCCGCCGTCGCGACCGCGGTCGTCGCCGTCTCGGACAAGCCGAGCCAGCTCATGCGCTACAACGCGAGCGACCGCCTCTTCTTCCTCAAGCGCGCGGGCTTTGACGCGACGCAGGTCATGCACCTCTGCATTGAGCAGACCAAGCTGCAAATGTCGCGCAAGCAGGCGATCCTCGAAGAGTACATGGCCCGCCACCAAAACAACAAGCGCAAGCAAGAGATGACGGTCGCGCCGACGAGCAGCAGCACCGCAAAGCGCATCTGCGTCGCCCATTGAGACGCCACTAGCTCTAGAAAGACTCCTTATTTATCACCACTTATCTTATCGAACGACGCCATCAAGCGAGACGATGGCCTTCTCCTTCCTCCTCTTCCTCTTTGCTGTCTTCCTGTGCGCGGCGGGATACAGTCCCCGGAGCCAACGATCTGGGCAAGCCTATCTCTCTTCAAGACCAAGCGTGGCCCGGCCCCGTCATCCTGTTGACTGTTGACGCGCGCCGCCACCTTCGTCACGCGCGGCTGTCTCTGCGCCAAGAACGAGTCGGTGCATCAAGTACTGCAAGCTACTCGGTGGGCTGAGCTGGGTACGCCACGCCGACGACGCATGGCTATGGACATGTCACGTTGGTTGACGACGCCGCAATACAGGGCCAGCGCGCATGTCGTGTAGGGCCTATTCAACCTCGCTGACTTCAAGTCCCGCGGGCGCGGTGTGTCTATGGCACCCGGCGACGCACGCGCAGACAGCCCCGCGCTCGCAATATTGCGGCCTATTGGTAAAGACCTGCCACGTCTCACGCCATCATCAGCCTCAGCCTCAGCCTCGTCGTTGGACTTGGAGGCGAGCGGGAGGGCAGGACGCATGGACCCATGGACGGCGCGTGGCCATACTACAGTACTAGTAGTAGGGATGCATTGCTCGGCGCCGGGTCACTTGGCAGCGATGGGGATCGTCCGGTAAGAGGCCGGATACTTGTATGCGGTGAAAATTTCTGAAATGGCCGAGTTCGACGCGCAGTACGTCCACCTCGTGCGCGAGGGCTTGTCGCGCGTGGCCATCGAAGCGCGGCTGGCGGCCGATGGCATCGAGGACGTAAGTGGTTTCTGGCAGGCGATCGCGCATCAAGCGCTCCTCGACGCCTGCGACCCGACGCAGCCGATCGACCAAACGTGGCGCCGCCTGTACCCGTTCCAGTACTTTGAGCCCAACTACGCGCTGCCGCCTCTGGCCTCGCCCAAGACGCCAGGTAGCCTTCGCCTCTACGGCAATAGCTTGGGTCAACGATCGATAGGGTATCTCCGCGTCGTGGTCATCTCGGACACGCATGGCTTGCACGGCAACATGGACGCGATCCCGGATGGCGACATCTTGCTCCACGCCGGCGACTTTACCGACACGGGCGACCGCGACGAGGTACGATGGATGCTTGTATGGACGTCTGCATCCCAGCGACGTAGGTGCTTGCATTTAATGCGTTTTTGGCCGCGCTGCCGCACCGCTACAAGGTCGTGATTGCCGGCAACCACGAGAGCACGTTTGACAAGGCGCACTACCCGATGCACTGGCAACGCTACGGCACCCGATGCAGTACGACCCGGACGACGTCCGGTCACTGCTCACGAGCGCCTTGTACCTCGAAGACGAGCTCGTCATCATCGAAGGCTATAGCATCTACGGGTCCGCCATCTCGTCTTCGTCACGCGCATAGATGCGTACAAGGCTCTGTAGGACGCCGTGGCAGCCCGAGTTCTGCAACTGGGCGTTCAACTTGCCGCGGGGCAGCGACGCGCTGCGCGCAAAATGGGCTGCGATCCCCGACGACGTCGACATTCTGCTGACGCACACGCCACCGCTCGGGCGCGGCGACCACGTCGGCATCAGCAACGTCGGCGACGTCGACCTGCTCCAGCACGTGCAGCATCGCATCAAGCCCCTGTACCATGTCTTTGGCCACGGTAGTCTCACCATCGTCGTTCTTCTTGCGCGCTCACGTCGGCATGGGACCTAGTGCACGAAGGGTACGGCGCCAGCTGCGACGGCACGACGGTCTTTCTCAACGCGAGCAACTGCGACGAAGACTACAAGGCCATCAACCCGGTTATGGTGCTGGATTTGCCGCCGCGACTGGCCGCGACCGCCGACACGGCGCACGCGTACCACACGAAATTCGCCAGCCAAACGCAGCAGAGTACGCTCGTGTACAATAAATTATCGTCTGCTGGAGTGTCGGACGCTAGGTGCGAATTTTGCACTGCGCCGGTTCCGGATCCAGGGCACAAGCGGCGACCAAGTGTTTCAAGGTAGTACAATGGCCATGTCGAGTTGCAAAAGGGTGATGCGATGGACGCTGCTAGAGGCGCTGCGCACGCGCCCGATCAACCGCGGCAACGCACGCGCAATGAAGTACTGCTTTCTCGAGAAGGCCCACGAGCATGCGGTGCCGGCGCCGCCAGCTCCGATCGCGCCCAACTACAGCGTCGCGACGACCCGCGTCCGCAAGCTGGGCAAGAGTGTCTCGGTCTCGGTGCTGCAGCCCGACACCCTCGGTCCGCTGCCTACCATCGCCACGACCGACGCGCCGCCGCGCAGAGGGTTAGGGGTACAAAAACCTTCGCGTCGCGAGCACCCAATCACTCATGGCTAGGGCCGCCGCCTGATCAGCAAGAGCGCGGGCCTTGCCGTGCTGCCCGAAGAAGACGAGCTCAAGCAAGACGCGCCGGCTCCGACGGCCGTCGAGCCGCCGTGCGTCATGTGCCAGTATAACGTCCCGGGGCACGTGCACAAACCGTCGGCGCCAGTAGCTCCAACGCCGTCGGTTGTCGCCGACGCGCCGCCTGCCGACGACTGCGTGCTGTGCAAATACAACGTGGCGGGCCACGTGCACCCGCGGTCGGATCCGCCACCTGCACCCGCGCCGGCCCCGACGGTCGCAGCAAGTACGACCGAGACCGCGCCAGGTACGTCACCACGCGCCTCTTCTTCCATCGAATGCTCAGAGATGGTGCAGAAGGCGATCGCAGCGCACGCGGCATGAACCGTGTCTCTTCGTGGTTTTAGTCTTGTGGTTGCAGCGAATCAAACAGAAGACGACGACATCATGACGGCGGTTGGCATCGGGACACGGCCTACAGCTTGGCGAGTAGCTGGACGACGTGGCGGATGTAGTATTGCGGGTCCGTAATCGCATAGTAGGGCTCAACGCGCTTCAAGTACGTGTCTACGCCATCCGATCATCCATGAGCGCCAAGGACAGTGGCGACACGGACCTTTGGCGACATCGAAATCCACCACCTGGCCCGTGGCCGCGTCACGCACGTCCACGATGTGCGCCTCGGTGCTAGTGCCCTGTATGAGTCCTCTTCCTGCAAGAGAGCAAACGCGGCGTACGCTTCAATGTGGTCGTCGAAGAAGACCGTGGCCGGCCCGTCGCCTGGCGTCACAAGCAAGAGCTACATCGCACACGCTCAATCGGGGCACAGAGAGCGTCGCATGTGGACTAACTACCTTGCCGTACTCGGCGTGCTCGGCATGGGCACTCCACCACTCCCAGTAGTCGCGCATGGCCGTCACGCGCCGGCCCTTGGCCAAGGTCGCCTCGAGCGTGGCTTGAATGTCGCGAAAGCCATGGACGAGCTGCACGTCTACGCGCAATGTGTGAGTGCTTGGAACTGGTATGATCAATAGACCGCTGGCGTAAAGGAAGCGGGCGTCGTGCCAGCCTTGAAGGGGACCTTGGTCAGCGTGTTGACGGCGAGCGTCGTCCCCTCCGCCTCAAAACCACCTACAAAAGTGTTTTGCCTCTATCGCCTCCTGATGCATTCGGAGCGTACTGCGGTAAAAGGTCGCGTACGGCGGCAACAGGCGCATCGAGTCGGGCAGTGTTTTCTAAAGCAGACGGTCAGGGCGGTAATGCGCCGGGGGCAGTACGCCGAGGAAGAGCGGGTGCTGGCCGTTGCAGAGCAGCTCGAGCTCCTTGGCCACCTCGGTGATGTCTTCACCAAACGTGCGAAAGACCACCGAGAGCTCGACGGCGTCTATACATGTTGTCATGGCGACTTGATCATCATCGTCTTCGCCCGACCGCTCGTCGTCTCGGCCATGTAGTGCAGGAAATGCAAGAACGACGGCAGCAAGTAGTAGCGTCCAGCGCTCCACGCTTCCTTGAGCCCCGACTCGTCCAAGCTCTTGGCCGCTTCCTACGCGTCGATAGCGACGGTCATGGGGGGCGATGGTGGATCGGAGCAGAGTTGTACCTTGGCCGCGTCGCGGAGCGCGCCTTCCGGAAAATGGAGGCAGTCGAGCACATGGGTATAGGACGATGCGATCGGGAGGCCGGGGCCGCTCGTAAAGGCCGACTGCAGCGCCGTGCGCTGCTTCTTTTGGCTCCTACGCGAGCGCATGACCACGAGAGCGCAAGATATTGGAATGTGTACTTGTTGAACGCCTTGACGTCTTCCATGGCACCCGAGGCCATCGAGTTGTACGGGTAGAGCTGGTCGACAAACTTCTTGTACGTGACGAGCGACGGCGACGGGGCGGCCAGCGACGGCTCCTTGGAGACGCAGACCCACTATGCGCATATCGATCGGGTCGTGAGGTCGAGACGAGCAAGCGTACCTCGTTGCCGTCGACGCGGCCGTAGGTACACTCGGAGAGGAGGTAGTTGAGCGTGTTCTCCATGGAGCGGCCGCCCGCGACGTCCGACATGACGATGGTCCGGTTCAGGTCAAAGTGGAGCACGAGCTTCTTCATCATCTCGGCGCTTGACGGCAAATCGGCGAATGAAGCGATATTGTCTTTGATTGGCTAAAATAGAGCCAATCACAATCCACGATTAAAAGATACGAAAAAGGCAACCTGCAGGCAGCGCTCGGACCGACGCAATTAGCCGACGATGGGATGCAGACGGCAAGGTTGATAGGACGCTGTCGGCCGTCTATGGAAGGATATACATCTCTACCCGCTCTAGTATCTGCCAGTAGTGGCGCTGCAGCGAAGCAGGAGAAAACGCCAGCAAGACGTCAGCAGCTCGGGGATTTCAATGCCAAGTGTCACCCATCACCGCCTGCAAGGGCGTGAACGCACGCATTGGGGCCATGGTGCGTGTGATCAAGGGCGACGAGCAAGTGGTCGCCGTCATCGCATCCATGCGGGAGCCGGCGGCAAGAAGCGAGCATGTAAGAAGGCGCTTATGTACCATAGTACTAGCCTCGTCGGACGTCGAGCGGACAAGGCCGCAGCATCATAGTACAGTCCCAGGCTCGCCGAACCAACGGCATCAGCTTCTACGAGGCGCGATCATCCGAGTCTGGGTCCCAAGACGCAGGAGCAAGAGGCTCTGGCATTGGCTGGACCCCGTCTTGCTCGCAGTCCCATGGACGCGTTCTCTGCGCCTCGTGTCGTGCTGTGGAGGAGTATAACGCGCAAGGTGAGTGAAATATAGACATTAGTGGTGGCACTGTTTACTGCTGGCCCTGCGTGATGTACGTGAGCAGATCGATGCGCGTGACGACGCCAAAGATGACGCTCTTCGTCTCGACAGCACCGCCCTTGGAGAACGTGCGCTGCTCGGTCACGACAAGCGCGAAGTGGTCCTTGTCAAAGATGCGGCTGAGCTCCGAGAGCGACGTTTGCGTCGAGACCTTGCGGAACTGCTTGTACATGGCCTTCGAGACTTCGTCCGTGGGCTGAATACGGCCCGGAAGGAGCTGCGCGATCAAGTTGCCCTCCGAGATGACGCCAACGATCGTGTTGGTCTCGTCAACGACCGGCAAGTTGTCAAAGCCCTCGGCCTTGAGGATGTCGACAGCCTCCTTGCACGTCAAGTCGTGGTGGATCGTGTACGGCACGTTGAGCGGGAGCTCCGAGACCGTCTTCTTGGCCCACCACGCGTTGTTGGCCGGCTTCTTCTCGACGTTCTCGACATACCCGTGGTCGTACATCCAGTCGTCGTTGAGGAACTTGGTCATGTAGTTGCGCGTCGAGTCGGGGAGCATCACGACGCACTTTTGGCCGGCCTTGAGGTCCTTGGCCGCGTTCACGGCCGCAAACATGGCCGAGCCGCACGAGCCGCCGCAGAGAAGACCTTCTTCGCGGATCATGCGGCGCGCCATCAAGAACGAGTCCTTGTCGCCCGTCTTGACCCACTTGTCGACGACGTCGCGGTGGAGCACATCCGGAATGAAATCATACCCGATGCCCTCGACCTGGTACGACTTGAGGCGGTTAAAGTCGTTGAGCGTGTCGGGGACGGCGAGGATCGAACCGATGGGGTCGACGCCAATGACGACACAGCTCGGGCACTTTTCCTTGATCTTCTTGGCCGTGCCCGTGATGGTACCGCCGGTACCGGCCGAGATGACGAGCATGTCGACCTTGCCGTTGCACGACTCGAGGATCTCTTCGGCGGTCTGATCGTAGTGCGCGAGCGGGTTGGACGGGTTGGTGTACTGGTCGAGGATGTGCGAGTCCTTGATCTCCTTGTTGAGGCGGATCGCGACGCCAATGTGGCTCTCGGGCGAGTCCCAAGCGGCCTCGGTCGGCGTGCGGATGATCTCGGCGCCGAGCGCCTTGAGCACATCGACCTTCTCCTGCGACATCTTCTCCGGGAGCGTGATGATCATACGGAAGCCGTAGATGGCGGCCGCGAGCGCGAGGCCAATGCCCGTGTTGCCCGACGTGGGCTCGATGAGCGTGTCACCGGGCTTGATGCGGCCCGACTTCATGGCGTCCTCGACCATGCGCTTGCCAATGCGGTCCTTCACGGAGCCGCCGGCGTTGAAGAACTCGCACTTGGCGAGCAGTTCGCACTGAAGGCCCGCCTTCTCGGCAATCTAGCATTGGCAGCAGTGAGCACCGACAGCCAAGGCGACGGCGAAGGCGTACCTTGTTGATCTTGACCAAGGGCGTGTTGCCGACGTGGTCAAGGATCGTGTTGAGGATCTTGGGCTCCGAGAAGCTAGCCGTTGCATGAGCGAATGACATCCAAGGTATGCGATGCGCCTACCGCTGGTCGTGCGAGTGGGGCGTCTTGATGAAGCAGGCCGCGTTCGTGCAGGGAACCGAGGACGACATGGTGGTCAAAGGGCAAATTTGCAAGTGGATCCAGCCTTCTGCAAACCCTCTGAACGAATCCGCCAATCAAATGCGGCGAATCTCCAACGTATCACTTGAATATTGGCGAAAGTGGGCAAAACACCAGCAGATTGGGACAAATCCCAGTTTGTCCCCAGCAATTCGAGTGACCACAACGAGCGCGACCCAGTACCGAAGACGACCCTTCTATCCGATACTGCTTCTACTCTAACCTCTCATATTCGCGTGCCCTGCCGAGACGTAGCTTCCGCCGGCCATGGCACAGCATGAGCCATAAAATGCTATGTCATAAGGCGCAGGACCAGAAAGGCCATGTTGCTGCTGGAAAGCAGCGCCGTCACCTGTGAGAGCAATAGATGGCCAGGCCATGAACTCTATACCGGTAGCAGTGTCACTTCTGTTCTAGCTTTACCATGTCCAATACGAATGTCCAAGAGGATCAAAGTCCGCCCATCGGGAAGGTCTTCTGGCTCGGCTGCACTAAGATCGTAGTATTGCTATGCGGCGGTCAGATAGGATTATGAACAATGGTGGCAGATCGTGTGTGGTGCACGGTAAGCTACTCGTGCTTGAGAGGGCCAGTACGTTCGATCCATCATGACACGGTCGGCTCCAAGTGGGCGCGTGACGCAGCTTGGCCGGCCGTGCCCCAAGGCATCTCCACAACGTCGTGCGATTGTTTCTCCCGAGTTTGTCCCTTCTTGAAGCATAAAGATCGCGCGTCACTGAACCCAATGCAGCGCAGGCGAGGTGCAGGTAAAACCATCGGGCGGGGTTTGTCCCAAGGCAAAGTGAGCTGGCGGCTTTCTGTTGGTCGACGCGTGTCGCAGCACAAAGGGTGGCTGCGGAGACGTTCGCTTCATGCGGAACGTGTGCTGGCGCGTCGGCGCGATCTGACTGGCTACTCGCGTTGGATGCGACGCGAAGCCGGCAGATTTCATAAGCAAGAACCGATGAGAGCACCGTTGGTCCGTCGCTCAGAGCGCTGTGCACGAGCGCGGGCTCGGGCCATCGTGTTCGTACATGTCTGGTAATCATTGGCGGTCCTTGGTAAGGATGAGAAGGAACCCTTGTAAGGGCAACACTCGGCAACGACAGGGCGTTTTTTGGGCCACCGACACGGTGCCACTGTGGTGGCTCTTCTTGGGCAACGGGGCAACTCGAAAGTGAGCAGGCGTCTCAGAGGAGACCGTGCCGTCGTCGGATCGAGGGCATCCGGGACGGCAAAGACCTGCGACTACAGTACATCGTGATAAGATGCGCACGAGGCACTCGCCGGTAGCAACAAAGCCGCCAAACTCGACGCATCTCACAGGTAATATGTTCAAGGACCGTATACCGGTAGTAGGGTAAGCCACCTCCAGCCTTGTATTCCGTGGCAAGTCTGCTCGATGTACCATGGCAATCAATAACGCATGCAATCCTGCATGAGTGCTTGGTTGCAGGGTTCAACCTCCCTCTTGGAGCGAGAGCATGATCGTATTCAGTCATCTCAAAGGGGCAACGCCGCGGCAGTTCATATGCTATCCGACGTCTACGCTCGTCTTCGAAGGATTCTTCCCTCTTTTGGAGACCGATCATCCTGCGGCATGAATGTATCGGCGGCACTGAGGCGACTCGAAACCCCGGCCCCCATGCTACTAGGCGAAATGGCTACGGTATATGTGGGAACTCTCTCAAAACTCCTACTGTACACGTAGCCAGTCGACACTGGCTCGTCTTGGACCAGGCACTGCACATTGGGTGGTCCGTCGGCCGTCGCGAGCTCGCGCCTCGACGCAGGGGCATAGCCACGACGTCGCTACATTTGAAGCTAAAAACACCCCATTTGTATCCACATGACCACCCACGCACCGCGACCAAAACGACCTCTCGTTGACACCCGCAGAGACGTTTCAACGTATGTATCGCGACGACAAAGGACAGATTGTGGCGTCGACGTTGAGCGGGCCACCGCTGTCGCGTGGCGGTCGACGGTGGGCCGTAAATGGCGTGTGTCTAGCCATTGGCCACATCCTCGGGCGAGAGCTTGAAGTTTCAGCGCCGCCACTTGCCCTCAAAGCGCACTTAATCCGCAATAAGTTGAACTTTGTATGCGGTCTGATAACGTACGCAGACGCACTTGATTGGACTCACTTTGTCGATCGGGCAAACTCGGACGCGATGCCAGGAATCGGCAGCATGGAGCCGCTCTTCCTCTGGAACACGTCCGCGACCAAGAAGTCGGACTTGAACCCGACCGACTCGACCATGGCGCGCAAGTTCAAGCGCGCTTGCGACGAGATCTCGACCGCGTACCTCAACGGACGGTAGCCACAAGCCATGGAGCCACCATGCTCATCACGTGCTGTAGCGTCACGCTCCAAGAGATATTGAACGAGACCATGAGCGAGGCGCTGCTGGTCTACATCTCGGAGCACATGCCAGCGGCCATGCGCAGCGCGCTGCGCGCGCCCGAGACCATGCAGGACACGCTGCGGCTCGCGCTGGGCATCACGACCGACCGCGCCAAGGTAGACCCTCTTCGCCTACCTCGCTCGCGCATGTCGTCTCTGTGTAGCCGATTTCCGTCGAGACGCAGCACTTGGCGTCCGGGCTCTTCCTCCTCGTGCACACCAAAGGCAGCGTCGTGCAATGCAACACGTCGTTCCAGCCGGGGCACGCGACGCGGTGCGCGAACCTCTGGCACTCCACGTACGAGGCCATCATCGACTGCGCGATGACGCAGACCAAGTTCTTTGTCGAGGGCGACGACGGCTTTGCCCGCCTCGCCGCGTCGTACGCGACGGTACGCCGTCGTTCATGCATTTTTCAAGGCGGTGACAAAGCGCATGTAGATGATCAAGCACGCGGTCATGGACTGGCACAAGGGCACGTGCGTCTTGGCGCACCTCGGGCAGCACCCCGACCACGTCGACTTTCTCATCGAGCACATGTACAACGACAACATCATGCTCTCGATGATCCGGCTCATCTACTGCGACCACGCGATGGCGAGCATGCAGTCGGTCAAGAACATGCGGCTCATGCGCAAACTGCTCGCCAAGCTGCTCTCGCCCGAGCCCGGACTCGGCAACCTCAAGCCGAATCTCTCGATCGCGCTGCGGTCGCTCATCCGCGCGCCGTATGTCACGGGTCGCGGCGACCTCATCTTTGCCAAGTCGATCCCGATCGACAAGCTCACGGGTACCTTGTACTAGAACACTCGTCAAAATCCCATGCTCATTGCCATCGTCCTCGTCCTCGTCGTGTAGGCCAGCCCGACTATGTCCTGCTCTGCGGCACGTCGCGTGACCTCGACAACAGCCCGATGCGTCAGTTTACGTCGCGGGTACGACCATTGCGATACTCTAACCTTTTCTTCTTTTTCGATGTGATTATATACAACAATGTCGCTAGAAAATTCGGCATCTGGTGCACGTCTTGATTGAAACAACACGCTGGTGCCGGGGCTCATTGCGCGCAGCTGCCACGAGTGGTCCTCGGACGCGTGCTCGTCGTTTGCGTGCTCGTCGCTTCTGGCGTCGCTGCTCGATCTGGTCACGACGGTCGAGTTTTCCGAACGCACGGGGAAAGGCCACATTGGCATCGAGTGCAATTACTTTCCGTGCCAGACGCACCAGATTCTGAATGTGAACCTCATGTACGGCGACGAGCCGGTCTCGTTCCTCCTCAACTGTATGATGGGCGTCATGGTGACGCCGGCCAACAACCAAGGACCGATCTCAATCGGCATGGACCAGCTCACGTCCGTCACCAAGACACCCGATGGCTTTACGATCCGCATGAAGCCGTCGAGTACGTCGTCCTATTGGACCTATTGTCCTAGAACTATGTACCATGGTTGACGTGTAGGTCGAGAACCCATGCACTTTACGACCCCCAACGCGGCCATCCAGGCGCAGTGCGTCGAGGGGCTCAACAATGCGCTCGAAGGCAACCTCGTCGAGCTCGACATCTTTTGCAGCGAAGACTGGAAGTCCAACGTGGCCGAGTACCAGCAACTGCGCCTCGCCATGGTGCAATCCCTCGACGTTTTGTCGCGTGTCGTGCGCAATGATGTTGATGGAAACATGTAGGAGGCTGCGCTGCCTGCGACCGTGCGCAACACGATGATGACGTGGACCGAGCACCAGCCGGGTTTGTCGTGGAAGCTCACGCACATTTGTGATGTGATCCAGGCCATGGTCGGCATGGAGTCCAAGCGGTACGCTGCCATTCTTTTTCCGTTTTTCATTTTTGGGATTTTTGTATTTATTTTTCGACCTTTTTCTCAAATTTTTTCGTAGACTCGATGCCCTTCTCGTGTCGTCCGGTGCGCTCCACGCGCTCTTGCAGTGGTATACGTTCAACCACTCGAACGCCGTGTGCTCGCACATTACGCAAATGCTTCTCTTTTACATCAGCGACCCCAACGGAAAGCGGTCGCGGACGTGCCCCGTCATTGGGCTTCTCATGAAGGAGCTACCGCCGCTCATTCTGCAAGCCGTCACGCAGCACCCGAACGAGTCGCGCGAGATGGTGCCGTACGTGCAGAGCCTCTACGACGCAATCGAAGCCTGCATCCAGTACGCATTTTGAAAGGGTTAGGGTGAACGGGCCCTAGCCCCAAGTAGGGCCGAGCTGACGGTGTGAACACTGCTAGGAGCCCGCACTCGAACTCGCACTTGCGCGTCGCGCAGCTGGCCGATGGCGACCCGACGTGGCACGCGCTCTACGGGCACTTTCACGATCGGTGTCTCGAGCGGTCGGCGAGTGGCCGCTTCAAGTTTGAAGCGATGATCTCGGAGGCGCACATGCCGCTGCAGCCTGCGTTCCACAAGGACATTTTGGACCTCCTCGCGCAGCCGACGTTTGCGTCCTATGATATTGGCTCGGCGTTCCTTGTCGGCAACGGCTGCGTCTTTGGGTACCTATTTTTTCACATTTTCACTCTTTTACATGATTTTTTATCGTGTTAGGTATGTGTACAAGCAAGACCCGTCGCCGCCCGAGCCCGTCCACATCTCGGTGCCGTGGCGCCGGACGCTCGTTGTATTCGAGCAGAGCTCGTTCAAGCTCTGGTGCTTTGTGCCATCGCAACACAAGCCCAACGAACCAATCAAGTACGACGCTGTGGCTTGTGTCCATCGCTATGGTTTCTGAAAGACGTTGTATCAACTAGCTGGCAGTGGATTGTTCCGACGGCGGTTCAGACCCACTACTGCCAAGGGGAGGACGAGCACCACACGAGCATTGGCCACCACGGCTTTGACGTGATCTCAGACCTCCAGCACAACGGCACCGTCTGGCGTCTCTGCACGACTGCGCTCCACGAACGCGACGAGTGGCTCAAGGTGTTTCAGTCGGCGACTGCGACCATTTCTGCGCTGGGTACTATACCAACGGGTGTGAAAGAATCTGAGATTTTATGTAGCCTCGCATTATGCGGCTGCGTCGCCCACGAAGCCAAAGAAGAAGGTGACCAACTGCATCATGTGCAAAGCGGCGTTCCACGTCTTCAAGCGGCCGTACGCGTGCCACCGGTGCGGCCTCGGTATCTGCGGCAAGTGCTCCAAGGTACTCGACCTCTTTTCGTGCTGCAATGCCCATATTTCTAGTTTTTCAAACCGATTCCTGAAATGGGTGTGTACACGCCGGTGCGCCACTGCCAAAAGTGCTTTGAGGCGTCGGGCGGCGCCATGTCCGAGAGCTGCCCCGTCCAGCTCATGAGCGGCCTCCCGATGATCCACGAAGACCACGGGCACGTCAACGACGTCGATCGCATCGGCGGCTTTCTCGAGCCGAAAGCTGTGAAACCCCAGCGCGGACTCCAGAAACCAAAGATGATTGTAATTCCGGACGACGGCGACGTGGCGGAAATGAGCTTTCCGACGACGCCGATGCAGGTCGAAGACGTGCTGTTGCCGATCGAGATGGAAAAAGAAGCGTCGCCGAGAGAGAGCGAGGTCAACACAGCGCCCAAGTAGCAGAATACGACGCGGTTCGACATATAATGGTAGAAATATACTCCATCCCAAGGGACGTCCTCTTGTCGCCTTGGTGTCTCTTTTGAGAAAGCATCAAGGTGCGCTGACCCGACTACATTTATCAAGTCCGTGTACTGTAGCCTTGTGATAGTCGTTTCGGGAAGCCTCGCAGGCACGGCAGAGAAAGGATGACCAAGACATGGCTCGACGTGTTCATATTTTTCAGTTCGAGCCCAAATGCAAGTAGTCGACTGAATTGTTTTCTTGCGAAAAGATATTCGTGTCACGAATAAGCGGGTCCATCACGGGACGAACCATCTCTCCGTGCCCAACTCACTCCCAACGACCCCGTGCAGGTGCCAGCTCCCACTTGCCCTTGACTCCCACTTTCCCTTGACTAATATCTAAACGCTCTCGAGGGTCTTATTGCGTCGAGCTCACAAATGTGCTACGAAACACCATACATGTGGGTGTTGGTGTCCGTCTTGTAGTAGTAAACAATTGCACCTTGTTAGCGGGCATGGTGCGTGCTTGGCCATCGTGTACGGCTGTGGAACCGACTGCCAAGACACAACCTATGGCAGACGTACCTGCTAGAGAGATACATGTCGGATGATAAAACATAGCCTTCTTCTATATATACTAGCCATTGATTGGACAGCATGGCGAAGACGCTTTATCAAGTTGCTAAATATGTCAAGTGGGCGCTGTGCCTGGATATATTTTATCAAGTGTCCAGTCGCCCGTGGTACTTTCAACGGTTTGTTTCAACGTATCGAGGTATCGGCCATACCGTGTGACCAGTGCCAATGCTCCTGTGACACACAGCGCCCAATGGTATCCTTCAATCAGGAAAAGGTATCGTTGTATCGGGCTATTGTTTCAAAGTATCAGGAATGGTACCAAGTGCGTTTGATGATGTTTCATTATTCAATTGCGGTGGTCGACGATGACTGCAAGGGTGTGCCAAGGCCTCAAAGAAACTGTTCCAACTGGGACGAGCAACGTGGACTACAGCTTAACACTGGTGCCTCCGTGCTTCCACGTCGTCCGAAGGGGACTTCATCTCGGGGTTGTCCTCTCGCTGCCCGCCGCGACGTTTTGGACCCGCGTGCACGAAGGCACGTACTACGGTACACGCGTCATCGCCAAGGTGATACTCGCCGCTGACGCCACCACACTGCGCAAAGCTTACCAGCTGGCTCGAATTTCCATCGACATGCATCATCCCAACATTGTCCGCTTCTTGGGCGTCGACTACGACGACCAAAACAAGACTGCGTAGACTTTTATTCGTACGCATCTGCCATGTCTCATCTTTTTTGTAGAGTCTTTGTGACCGAGCAGCTTGAGCGCGGGGACTTGGCGTCCATCTTGGCCAGCGACGAAGGGCTCTCGGTTCAAGTGTGCATCCAAATCATGTTCGATGTCGCGTGCGGCATGGCCTACCTCCATTCGCAGCCCAAGCCGATCATGCACCGCGACTTGCGCGCGGCCAACGTTCACATTTCGTACGCCTCTTGACCATCGGGGAGACAACACATGACGTGGCTTCAATGTGTAGCCGCAACAATCGAGCCAAGGTGGCCAATTTCGAGCTCAGCGGCAAACTTGGCCTGGACACGTCACGGGTCGGAACGCCGGCGTGGACGGCGCCCGAAATCTTGGCAGGCGGTGCAAACTACACGGAAAAGGTGGACGTCTACAGCTTCGCGATGCGTACGTACACGTTATTGTCTGCATTTCTGACGACTAATGGACAATGGCTTGCTAGTCGTAGTCGAGATTATGAATCGAAAGATGCCGTATGCCGACGAATCCAAAGCCACGCCAGCGCGCCAGCTCTTGGAAGAAATCGTGTCGAAGCAGCGGCGGCCGACAATTTTGCATCCGGAAAAGTGGCCGCAACAAATGCTCGAGCTTGTGAAAGCGTGCTGGAAAGAAAACCCGGAAGGGCGCCCCGCGTTTCAGTTCATTGTCGCCGAGCTGGACATGTATTTGAAACAACCTCAACAGTGAGCACACACCGAGTATTTAACACTCGGTGCACGGGTGTAAATTTGATACCCGTAGAACACAAATGAGTCAGTATTCATGCAACGATTCGCACTACTAGTACGCGTTACCGCCCAAAGCTTGGACAATGCGTTCATTTCGACGCCAAAGGACGTCACCCGTTCATCCACTCTCGCAGATAACGAACTACTCGTTGACAACAAGTTGATACATCCGATTTTCAATCATTATTTTCATTGCTCATTCATGAATCAACGTCGCCATCAGCATCCATGTGCTTCGACCGTAAGCCATCTGCGGGACTTCCCGACGCTACCAACAACGACTCTCACACTGACGCCTCGAATCACATGGACTCGTCTCTGTCTGCCACACCATCGACCTCATCCTCGCCTCGCTTGCCTGAAAGGAACACCGCAACCAAGGTATCTATCGATCCATGCGCGTTATATTCGAAGGCGACCCCATCGACCTGAAACGCTTCATAGCGCCAAGCGCCAACGTCGTCACAGGCGGCGTCCCCGAAGCGAAGTTGTTCCAACGCACACCGCGATGACTCGGCCACGGTCGCCGGCCACGGAGGCAACGTACGAGGCCGACTGGTTTGGCAGCGCCGTGGCGCCACCGGAGACGACGGAGCACGGCGTTGCCCAAGCCTCCTTGTCCTGTGACCTGCTCGAAGACCTCTACGGTCCCTGTCTCTTTCGCATGTGAGCCTTACGAGAGCACACGCACCGATCTATCAAGTCGAGAAAAAGTCATCAAGTCCACATCCGCAAATATCGCCCTGTTATTATGTTTAATACAAATGCCAATATCGTTTTAAACCCATTGCACTGCAATGCGATTGGCCGACGTCTGTTTGGCCATGTGATAAAAAGTATCAAGTAGCCAGTGTGTTCTAAAAAACATCTCAATGCCGCAATTGCACCGCCGCAAATGCACAAACGGGCCAATCACAACACCTCTTTTTTTGTTTGCGACGGAGTTGCAGCCAATCCGCTTTGAGCATTCTCACCGACCCCATCCAAGCGTTGATGCATTCGTCCATTTCGGAAACAATGGACAAGCAGCCACCTCATGGCATCGACGACCTCCCGGGGTGCTTCAAGCTCGACGAAGCGACGCTGGTGCAAGGCGCGGCCTCGCCAACGCCGACGTGCGCCATGTGGACAGGCGTCTTCGATGGCACGTACCACGGCGCGCCCGTCCTCATGAAGGAGGTCGCGTTGCCGGACGCTGCCAAGCAGCGCGAGATCTACCGCAGCGTGCGCTTGGCCATGGACATGTACCATCCCAACATAACCCAGTTCTTCGGCGTGAGCTTCCAGAACCCGGAGAAGAAGCGAGTGTATGGCCTTCCAGCACGCCCGCGCGCCTCATTTTCCTCTCCTCTTCGTAGACGCTTTGTGACCGAGAGGCTCGAGCGCGGCGACTTGGCGGCCATCTTGGCCAGCGACGAAGAGCTCTCGGTGCAGCGTTGCGTGCAGCTCATGCGCGACGTCGCCTGTGCCATGTCCTACCTGCACGCGCAGGCGAAGCCCATTCTGCACCGCGACTTGCGCGCCGCCAACGTCCACATCTCGTACGCATCCGCCGTGAATCTACGTCTGAACGTCGTTGACTCTAGGCACGACTACCGCGCCAAGCTGGTCAACTTTGAGTTCGGCGGCAAGCTCGGCCTTGACAAGACGTTGATTGGGACGCCGGCGTGGGCCGCGCCCGAGATCTTGGCAGGCGACGCCAACTACACGGAGAAGGTCGACGTTTATAGCTTTGCCATGCGTACGTCTCTTCTCTTGTCGACTGTACGGAGGACGAACGAAGCTTGGACTAGTCATGCTTGAGATCATGAACCGCAAGGTGCCGTATTCCGAAGAGCCGAACGACCTGCCTGCGCGAGTGCTACTGGGAGAAATCGTCGAGCAAGCCCGCCGCCCGCGCATCATGGACCGAAACAAGTGGCCGCGACCGCTCCTCCACCTCGTCGACTCGTGCTGGCAGAAGGATCCGACCGAGCGCCCGTCGTTTGATGAGATTGCGGCCAAGCTCCAAGCGATTTTGAACCCACCATCGAGCCCCAATAAGCGTTGCAACGCGGCTCGGTCGACAAAGGCTGGTACGACCGCTGGCAACAACGAGAACGTCAGCACCAAGCGAGCGCGGTGCGCAGACCGTTGCGATGCCACGTAAAGAAAGGCTTTTGACCGTAGCGTCTTGGTACTGTCACACGAGTATGGCCACCTCAGTTTCAACTAGGCTGAGATATAAACTATTTAAAAACACGTACATATTGTCTACCGCTCGTGTACATCGTAACGCTTGCAAATGTAGCTTACGTCTGCAGTAAGCAAGGTACAAAAAAGAGAGTTGCCAGATTGCTCTGCCCTTCGAGCCAGTTTGGAAATGCAGCGGACGCGCGGAATTACAACCAAATCGCAAGCTGTTCTTAGGACCTGTATTATTGTCTTGCAAAAATGCGCTGATAGTTGTTAGTCGCCCTTGATCGCAGCGTGTTCCCACTGGAGTTGACTGACGAGGTCGCAGTTTGCAGTTGCAAGCGCACTTAACAGGATTCATTGATCGAACGGGGTGCAGCACCATGTTCCGTTCTATAGTCTGGATCAAGTGCGCCATCTTCATACAAATACGTAGTACGTTTTTAAGTACGGTGCAGAAAGCGAACTTAAGAGATAAGCACGCGAGATCCGGCGCACTTATTGGAGTGATCGACTGGATGCAGGAGCCACGGGGTCCGTCAACGGTATCGGCGGCGAGCACTGTCGGAAACGAAGCGCGCTGGCGCCGGGAAGAGGTGCGCCCGAGCTGCATGCGCGCCCATGCGTAGTCTCATGGGAGGCTAGATGGCGCTGCTCGAGAGCATCATGCAGACCTCGTACCCGGGCTGGACTGAGACGACGGCCGTGGACTGGACGGTACTGTGGCCGGGCGTGGCTGCCGCAACGACGACGAGCGACGATGCGATGCGTAGGCCGTCGCTGCTCAAGTCGGCTCGCGCGACGTGTGGCAATGCAAGCAAAAGTGGATGCGATCGCTGCGGCCAGGGCTCAACCTCGGCCCGTGGAGCGACCAGGAAGACCGGCTCTTGATGGACGTCATGGCGGCGCTACCGTCTCCAGCCCGCATCGACTGGCGCCAAGTGGCCTACGACCTGGAGAAATCCAACTTTCGACGCAGGTACTGATGTCTTTCGCGTATGCAAGCGGGACACGACATGGATTTTCCGTACTAGCATGAAGCAGATCAAGGAACACTGGGAAGATCACATCAACCCAGCGATCGTGCCCATGTACGACGACGACAACTTCGGCGCAGCGGCTAATGGTCGATCGACATGCATAGCCACGAAGTGCCATTGACAAAGGCCGAGCTAGCGATCATCCGCGAGACCGTCATGGCTTACCCGCACTCGGGGAAGCTCTGGGTGCTGCTGATCCGCAACGTCAACGACGTCATCAGGACCAATGCGGATGTGATGGCCGAGCTTCTGAGCGGCCGTGGTCCCGGCGGCCAAAATCTGACACCAGTTCCGTCCATTGTACCAGATCTAGAAATTTAATGTGATTCTAGGTGCGCTCCAAGAGCGACCTGAAAAAGTCGCTTCAGAAAATGGTCACGCGCATTCAGAAAGAGCAGGCAGCGCTCGCACCCGCCCCGCCGTCCTCCGACTCGACTTTGTTTCGGAAGACCACATTGTGGTATGCTTTCCATCTGAAATCTGAGCGATTTCAGATCACAGACTCAGAAATGAAAAATGGGTAGGGAGACCCCCGGACGGCTCTCGGTCAAGCGTCGAGCCAAAGCATCTTCGCCTGCAAAGCGGCCAGCAGCACCGATATTGGAGCCGGCCATGAACCGGGGCGCATTGCTCGCTCCTGCGATCGCCGCCGTGCACGCGGCTAGCCGAGCGATGGGCTGCTCTCTCGACGAGACGCTCGCGCTTCTCCGAGAGGCGATCGCAGCATCCGCGCCAGACCCACCGACAACAGAGGTCACGACATCGTTTTTACGACTACCACCCGCCGAACCATTGCGTGACGCAGATCCACGGAGCGACGATCTGTCGCCGGCGCAGCTGCTCGTCGGCCTGCGCACGTCAGACCCTGCAACGATAGCATGAGATCAATGCACATTTGGCATGTTTATACCGCTGTATGATACTCGCGGTGCGAGCCGATTGCATCGTCGGAGTATGCTAGAACGACTCTGCTTGGCGTCGTCGGCCTAGGACCTCAGTACGGACACGGGGAGATGGCATCTCCTCTCGATCGTAGCAGCAAGTATAATGTACTCGATGTGAGAGAGATCGCGTGTCGCCACTGCTAATGTTGCGGCCTATCATGCAGCGCTATTACACTAGCTTACCTGAGTCTTATCATGAATCGTATTAAACAGAGCGTCAAGCGACGCGACTCGGTTTCTGGAGCCCGAGATCACGCAATGGTATCGGGGCACTTGTACACTACCAGCACGCGCAGAAGCTCCTTGCACAGGAGATGGTAGTGTCGACTTCCTCTTGTCGGTCGAATAGGGCTAGGGTTATACGTCAATTGGACGCAGATATACCGTGTAGAGACCCAAACAGCGTACTGGTACTCGACCGATAAGTTCCAGCATAGCGTGGTCTAGGGCATATAGACCTTGAATGACACCGCGGTCGTTCGAAGCAAAGACGTCAAGAAGAGATGAGCAAGCGGCAATTTCAATGCTCAATGGAAACGCTGTGGTTTCGATTCAAAAGTTTCTGTTTCGGCTAAGACGCGATCTCGTCGCCGCATGTCGAGCACTTGCGCGTGTTGGCGACGAGGCGCATGAGCTGCGTCGTGAGCTCGGCGTCTTTAACCAAAGCCGTCTTCTTCTCGAGCTCCTCGGTCGTGGCCGTCGCATGCAGGTGACCAATGACGAGCGCCAGCGCCCAGTCGACGACGTCGCCAGCCTCCAGCAGCGTTGATGCTCGCACTGCCACGCTGGGTGCCAGCTGAATCGTTTGGCTGGCCTTTCTTCCTTGGTCCAGGAGATCGGAGGTGATCAATCGGCGCGTCGTCGCACGGCGGCGGTCGGGCAACGCGAGCAGGTCGAGAAGAAAGAGGACGTTGTCGAGGTGGTTGGTCGCGTCCATGCAGTGCGGCAGCAAGAGCTTGCTTGCGGTGACGTACTTGGGATTACCAGCAATCTCCACGAGGCACTTGCGCGGGTTGCCCATGCCTTCTGCGAGGAGGAATCGCATCGCTTCAAAGTAGTGGCCTTGTGCCGCCCTATGGAGGTGATCGCGCTTGCGGAGCTCTGGCTGGCGCTGCAGAATGTCCGCCGCCATCGCCAGATTGCCGCTGAATAGCACCTGGTCGAATGTTTCATTGTCTGCCGGGATGTTGGCCAAGAGAAAGCGCATGACGTCCCACGATTTCCCCCAAAAGGCTGCTCGGAGCGCTTGGCAGTGCAGCCTCGGGTTCGAGTGCGGGAAGAAAAGCTGCACGAGCGGCACGTTGTTGGCAATGCAGGCTTTGTACAGCCAATCATGTTTAAAGCGTCGGTCACGGCCAATGAAGCGCTTGAAGACGCCAACCATCTTGGGGTTGCGGAAGGCGCATTTACTCCAGCGTCCCATTAAAGTCGGGAACGGATACCCGAGCGAGAGAAGGTACTCGGCTGTTTGCAGATGTCCCTTGCGGAGCGCAACAGCAACGACCTCGTCGCGACTGCCGCCTTCGCTTCGGTTCGTCAAGAGAAACTGAACGACGTTCAAGTGACCGCGCGAGACGGCGACGTCGACGGTATAGACAGTACAACCAATCGATGAGCCAAGAGAATGGAGGTACTGGACGACCTCCAGATGACCATTCGCAGCAGCACAATCGAGCATGTTGCGTGACGCGCCTTCGCTTCGGTGCTCGATGAGGAAGCGGACAATGGCGAGATGACCGTTGCGAATGGCTTCATCCAGCGCCTTGGTTGTGCAGCCTTCGGTCCGGTTGAAATGGAGGAACCGAACGACCTCCAAATGGCCGTTCGCAGCCGCGTTGTCCATCGCGTCTCTCGAGCACTCCAGACCGCGTTCATGCAGCGAGCGCACGAGCGGCAAAAAGCCTTTGCCCGCGACGTCGTCCAAGATGCCAGAGTAGGTAAGCCACGGAAATACCTTGAGGGCGAGCGTCGCAGTCTCGCACGTCGCCGCCTCGATCGCGGCCTTGGTATCCTTGACGGAAAAGTCGTCGGGACTGAGGCCAAAGCGGACGAGCAGCTCGAGGCTCTCGGTGCTCGCCTTCTGCAAGATGCGGGCCAAGAAGCCTTCGGGCATGTACGACGCGCGATCATCTCTAGCGCCTACGTTGACCTGTGGCATCAGCGTCCCTGCATTCATAACGAAGGCGAGAAGGAGTTTGGACGACATACCCGGGCGACGCGCACCGTTGATGCGTCGAGTGAGCTCGGGCACGAGCGCGCGCTGCTTTAGCAAGTACTTGGCGATCTCGAGGCGATCCTTTAAAAAGGCCAAGACGATCGTATCTTCCGACGCGAGGTCTGGTCGACAGCCAAGAATTCGCTTGGTCACGTCGACGCAGCCTTCAGCGATTGCAATGTGCAGCGGCAGCCGAGCGTCAGGCTCGTGCTCGGATAGAAAGTACGATGAAGCGTAAAACATCTTGTTGCTGTCTCGCCGCGTAGTAGCCGTTGGCACGGCCGTCGTGAAGAAGGACTCGTCACACTGGTAGCCAATAAACCAAGTGTCAAACATGACGAGCTCGTTGCAGGCGCAGAAGACATGACGCACGTCTTCGTAGACGCCATACTGGTAGCCAAAGACGATCGATGCGATCTCGGGCTGGCCGAGCACGACGTGTTGGAAGCTGGTCATCGTGAACGTCAAAATGGCACGGTATCCGGCGGCGTGTCTGTTTATCCGGAAACATGACGAGCGAGCTGAGATCTGAGCTGAGATGAGAGTATTTTTGAGCGTAGTTTTTTGCAGCCATCGTTGTTTGAGTTTGAGTTTTATCCTTGGACCTTTTGATCGCTATTTCGAGCTGCATACAATAGCCGAAAGTCTTTCTAAGCTCTAGTAGCTCTCTTGGCGCTTGCGCTTGCTGGCGAGCAGCCGATGGAGCTGCGTCTTGAGCTCGGCATCTTCGACCAAAGAAGCCTTCTTCTCGAGTTGCTTGACCGTTGCTGCTGCGTCCGTCGCATGCAGATGACCAATGATGAGGGCCAGCGCCCAGTCGACAACGTCACCCGACTGCAGCAGAGTGGCGGCACGCACCGCCACGCTGGGTGCCATCGTGATCGTTTGGCTCAATTTCCGTGCTTGGTATGTGAGCTCTTGTGTGATCAATTGGAGCGTCGTCTTGCGGCGGCGGCCCGGTATCTTGTAGAGCTTCAGACGATAGAGGACGTTGTCGAGATGCTTGGTCACTTCCATGCAGTACGGCAGCAAGAGCTTGCTCTCCGTGACGTGCTTGGGGCGACCTGCGATCTCAAAGAGGCACTCGCGCGGCTTGCCAATGCCGGAAGCGAGGAGAAATCGGGTCGCTGCCGTGTTGTGCCCGGCAGAAGCGGCTTGGAGAAGCTTCTCGTGTCGGAGCTCAGGGTGCCGCTGCAAAATGTGCACCGCGATGTCGAGATTGCCGCGCTGGAGTAGTGTCTGCAGCGCATTCATCGAGATGTTGTCCGTCTCATTCGCCAAGAGAAAGCGCACGACGTCCCATGCCTTGTTGGAGACGGCCGCTTCCAATGCGTCGGGTCCACACCGACCGTTGGCGTGCTTTAGAAGCACCTGCACCAACGGCACGTTGTTGGCAGCGCAGGCTTGCTCCATCCAAGCGTCATCCCAGATATCGCCATGGGTGTCGAGGAGGCGAAACACACCGAGGATCTCGGGCTTGCAAAAGACGTCGTCCTCAAACTCAATCTCAAATGTCGGAAACGGGTACCCGAGCGAGAGAAGGTACTCGGCCGTGCGCACATGTCCTCCCTCGAGCGCATACTGCACGAAGAGATCGCGGGTGCCGGCGTCCATTCGGTTGGACAAGACAAACTTGAGGACCTCCAAGTGGCCCCGTGATGCCGCTCTGTCGACGGCATCCGCAGTGCAGTCGAGCTGTCCGAGACCGTAGAGGTACTCGACGACACCGAGGTAGCCATTGCCGATGGCGCCATCGAGCGCCTCCATAGTGCAGCCTTCGGTTCGGTTCTCGTGCAGGAACTGGACGACGTTGAGGTGCCCGTGGGTCGCAGCGTCGTCCATGGCTTCCTCGGTACAAGCCTCGTGTCGATGCACATGCAAAAACGTGACGACCTCCAAATGACCGTTTGCCGCCGCTTCGTCCATGGCGTACGTCGAGCACCTGAAGCCGCGTTCGTGCAGCTAGTGTACGAGCGGCAAGAAGCTCCGACCCGCCATATCGTCCAAGAGACGTGGGTAGTGGAACCACGGAAAGAGGTCAAGGGCGAGCGTCGCGTTCGCAAGCGTTGATGACTGCATTGCCATTCGAATGTCGCTGGGACTGAAGTCGCTCGGATGCAAGCCCAAGCGCTGGAGCAGCACGAGACCTCTCACATCTTCTCTACGCAAGAGTTGGAGCAGCAGGCCTTTCGGAAAGTTGCGAGGACGCTGTTGGGTGGGACCTACTACACGTCGCCATCACGGATCGGCGTCAACCACGATGTACGTACCTGCAGAATGTGTGCTCGGGTGCCCGCGATGCGAAGCGATCGGTTGCTGCTCCAGCAAGAACTCGGCCATCTCGAAATGGCCCTTGCTCAAGGCCAAGAACATCGCATCGTCCGACGCGAGGTCCGGGCGGCAGCGTACGATGCGTTTGGCGAGCTGCGCAAAACCTTCGGCGACAGCCAAATGCAGCGGGAGGCGCGCATCGCGCGCAGCTTGTTGCAGAGCATACGTTGAAGCATGGAAGAGTGTTGGACCGTGGAGCCACGTTGGCGCAAACGATGCAGCGAACGAGGCGTCGCACTCGTAGACATTCAAAATCGATTCGTACTCGAGAAGCTCATGGCAGGCGAGAAAGGCCGGGCGCACGTCTTCGTAGACGCCAAACTGAAACTCAAACACAATGGCCGCGATCTCGGGCTGGCCGAGCACGACGCGGCGGAAGCTCGCCATGTCCACTGTTCGACGAACGCGCGACTCCGGACACTGAGCCGTTTATCCGGATTGACGCAGTAGTGTTGGTCTTGACCTGCACTCTACTACCTGGCTGCGCAGAGGAGCAGTACAAGTAGCATGGTATCAAGGGTTGCCCTTGGTCAGTGACCACGGACAACTAGACAACTGATGCAAGAGCAGCGCTATTGCGTGACAAGTGTCATGCAAGTGCAATGAGCCAGTGGCGTTGGCTATGCGCAGCGGTCAACTCGAAAACAATGCAGACACGTTGCGTGGGAGATGTACTATGGTCCTGTCGGCGATGTCGCTGCCTTCTGCGTACCGGTACTGTATTGCCCAATAATGGCTTGAACAAGGCAATGGGCAGAGTAATACATCTCGATGCTAATGAGGACTTTGCCGGTGTGCTCCTTTTGCCTGACGTTGGGGTCATCGACGTGCTTTCGTTGCATAATCGGTGTACGTTTGCCCATCGCGTCATCATTTGTTTTCGGATTTATGAGCAAACGGGACGCTTGCGTTTGCTGGCGACGAGGCGCGTGAGCTGCGCCCGGAGCTCGGCATCGCGGACAGAAGCGATCTTCTTCTCGAGTTGATCAGAGGTAGTTGTTGCGTCGGTCGCATGCAGATGGCCAATGACGAGAGCAAACGCCCAGTCGACAACGCTGCCAGCCTTCAGTAGAGTGGTAGCCCGCGCCGCCAAGCTCGGTGCAAGCTGGATTGTTTGGCTGGCCTTTCGTCCTTGGTCCAGGACCTCTTGAGAGATCAACTGGCGTGTCCAAATACGGTGGCGGTATGGCAGCGCGACGAGGTCCAGAAGAAAGATGAGGTTGTCAAGGTCGTCGGCTGGGTCCATGCAGTACGGCAGCAAGAACTTGCTTGCTGTCACTTGACTTCGACGACCTGCAAGCTCAATGAGACAGTCGCGAGCATCGCCGACAGAGATAAGGAATCGCGTCGCCTCCATGTTGAGGCATCCGTTCAAAAGACTGCAGTTGCCGAGCGCTGGCGGACACTGCAGTATGTGCGCCGCGGCCTCGAGGTTGCCAGAGCGAAGCGCCTGCTTGAGAAATGGTGCGGCAACGTCCGTCGTGTCGTTGGCCAAGAGAAAGCGCACAACGGCCCACGCCTTTGCCCACATTGCTGTATGGAGCGCTCTGGGGCGCCAGGCAGCGTCCGACTGCACGTACTTGTATAGGAAGCGGACGAGTGGCACGTTGTTGACCTCGCAGGCTCTGAGCAGCCATCGCTTTTCAAACGGCCGGCCTTGTGCAATCGCGAGCTGTACGACGCCAAGCATCTCGGGCTTGCGGGATGCGTTTTCATCCCAGAAGTCTACCGAAGTCGGGAACGGATAACCGAGCGAGAGGAGGTACTCTGCCGTGTGCAGATGACCAAACGCCAATGCTCGTGCGACAACGCCGTGGCGACTGCAGCCTTCGCTTCGGTTCGTCAAGAGAAACGCGACGACCTTCAAATGCCCGAATCTTGCTGCGCCGTCGACGGCGGCGAGGGTGCAGCCAAACGTGCCAAGAGAATGGAGGTACCGGACGACGTCGAGGTGACCTTTGGTGGCAGCCTCGTCGAGAATGTTTGGCGACGCGCCTTCGGTGCGGTGCTTGATGAGGAAGCAAACGATATCGAGGTGGCCATTGGTAATGGCACTGTCGAGTGCCTTGGTCGTGCAGCCTTCGGTCCGGTGAAAATGAAGAAGCGTGACTACGTCCAAATGACCGTTGGCGGCAGCAGTGTCCATAGCGAAAACTGTACAGCCCTCGCGTCGGTGCGAATGCAGAAAGCGAACGACCTCCAAATGACCGTTGGCGGCAGCATTGTCCATGGCGTCCGACGAGCACTCAAGGCCACGTTCGTGCAGCGAGCGTACGAGCGGCAAGAAACCTCGGCTTGCGACATCGTCCGAGAGACCCAAGTAGACCAACCACGGAAAGAGGTCGAGTGCGAGCGTTGCGTTCTCGATTGTCGCCAGTTGGATCGCATGCCGACGATCATATCTTTTCAGATCATAGGGGCGCGGGCCAAAGCGCTGGAGCAAAAGAAGACCTTTCGAGTCGTCTCGCGCCAGCATTTTGGCAAAGTACTTGCCATAGATGCAGTGCACCGACGAGCCTACTGTACGCCATGGCGTGTCATCCCCCTCTATCAATGATCGATCAAGCCTTACTCTGGTCCATGTCGCGACGAGAGAGCTCGGGCATGGTCTCACGCGCATGCAAGAGGAGATCGGCAATCTCGACGTGGTTTGTCCAGAAGGCCAAGACGATGATGGCTTCTGACGCGAGGTCTGGTCGGCAGCCAAGAATGCGCTTGGTCAGCTGCGCGAAGCCTCCGGCGACAGCCAAGTGCAGCGGCAGGCGCGGGTCGATTTGATTACCGCGGAGAGCATACTTTATGGGGGTGATGGACCCGAGATCATCGAGCCACTCGGCGTTGGGCGCGAACGCTTGGCGAAAGGACGGGTCGCACACGTACGCGTTTCGGCTCGCGTCAAAATCGATGAGCTCCTTGCAGGCGCGGAAAACCAGACGGACGTCTTCATAGACACCAAGCTGAAATTCAAACACCATCGACGCGATCTCGGGCTGGCCGAGCACGACGCTGGTGAAGGTCGCTGCCATCGTGGCGATCGTCTGGCAAAATGACAATGTATCCGGACGCTCCACCCCGTCCGGCTCGTTTATCCGGATGCAGCTTGGGCAAGTCGCTGCATGATACCACTCAGATATATTGCTACCCTGTGGCGTTTGGAGCGAGTGCTTTTTGGCACTCACTTGGCTTAACGATGCGCTGCTTGCAACGGTGTCGTCGCAAGACCGTAATTTTGTGACTACGAAGGCCTACTTACACTGACTTACACTGGAGTAGTGCCTTACACTGGAGTAGTGCCTCGACGAGAGCGAGCCTGATTAGGTCCGTGTCCGCCTCGCAGTTGTACTCCACGATACGATGGAATACCGACGTGACGCTAGCACGTCATTCTTGAGCAACCACGCTCGCTACCTTGATATGCACGGTTGTGATTGCGACTATGAGTCACATCTCTTGCCTCGGTTAGTCGTGAGGTGTATGTGTGACAACTTTTTATTTCTCGGTCCGTCTCTCGACGCTATTCTTCACCTTGGTTGGCACGTACATTGCTGGAGACGAGGAGCGCGAGCTGCGACTTGAGCTCGACATCGCGGGCCAGAGTTGTCTTCTTCTGGAGTGGCTCGGTGGTCGTCGTTTCGTTGGTTGCATGCAGATGACAAATAACGAGCGCCAGCGCCCAGTCGACAACATCACCAGCTTCCAGCAGCGTTGATGCACGGGCCGCCACGCTGGGTGCAAGCTGGAGGTTTGGCTGGCCTTCCTTCCTTGTTCCATGAGCTCGGGCGTGATCAACTGGAGGGTCGTCTTGCGGCGGCGGTCTCGAAGGGCGACAAGATCCAAGAGAATGATGACGTTGTCAAGGTGGTTTGCCGCGTCCATGCAGCATGGCAGCAAGAACTTGCTGCCGGTCACAAACTATCGACGACCAGCCATCTCGAGGAGGCTCAGCAATGCCTTCTGCGACGAGAAATCGGGTTGTCTCCCAGTCGAGGTATATGTAATCCCGCTCAACGAGACCGCACTTGCGGAGCTTTGGCTGACGTTGCAGCAGTTGCGCCGCAAGCTCATATTTTCGAAAGAGTAGCACTTCCATCAACGTGCGTGCCGACACGTCCACCGTGTCGCTGGCCATAAGAAAGCGCACGACGTGCCACGCCGCTTTCCAAATGGCTCTTGTGACCGCTTCGGGGCGCCACGCAGCGTCCGACTGCGGGTAGAGAAGCTGCACGAGCGGCACGTTGTTGGCGGTGCAGGCGTGGTACAGCCATTCCTTCTCAATGGGTCGATCGTGTGCAGTGAAGAGCCGCAAGACGCCAACCATCTCGGGCTTGTGAAAGGCCTCTTCATCCCAGCGATCCATCGAGGTCGGGAACGGATACCCGAGCGAGAGGAGGTACTCTGCCGTGTGCAGATGACCACCCTCGAGAGCCTTTTCAACGACCTCGTCGCGACTGCAGCCTTCATTTCGATTGGTCAAGAGAAACTGGACGACCTCCAAATGGCCGAATCTTGCTGCGCCGTCGACAGCGTCGACGGTACAGCCAATCAAACCGTGGTCGTGGAGGTACTGGACGACGTCTACATGACCGGCGGAGGCAGCGTGGTTGAGAATATCGGGTGACGCGCCCTCGCTTCGGCGCTCGATGAGGAAGCGGACAATTGTGAGATGGCCGTTGCGAATGGCTTCATCCAGCGACTTGGTCGTGCAGCCTTCAGTCCGGTTGAAATGGAGGAACCGAACGACCTCCAAATGACCATCAAGCGGCGTCATCCATGGCCTTGGCGGTACAGCCCTCATGTCGGTGCACATGCAGAAAGCGAACGACCTCCAAATGACCGTTGGCCGCCGCCTTGTCGATGGCGTTCGTTGAGCACCCGAGGCCGCGTTCGTGCAGCGAGCGTACGAGCGGCAGAGAGCGCCGGCCCGCGATGGCGTTCATGATGCTGGGATACGCCAACCATGGGAAGAGCTCGAGGGCGAGCGTCGCATTCTGAAGCGTCACTTTTTGGAGCATGCGCCGGCGGTCGTGTTTTGAAACGTCGTCGGGGCGCAGGCCAAAGCGCTGGAGCAAGAAGAGACGATTTGAGCCGTCTCGCGCCAGCAGTTGGCCAACGTAATCGTCGTAGATCGGACCCCTCGCATTCGCGTCTACGTTGTACTGCGTCACCACCCTTTTTGAGATACTACAGAGCATGTACGTACACGCGCCGCTATGGATGATGCCGCGTCGATAGAGCTGCGGTACGTCGTTCACACGCGCGTCCAGCAAGAGCTCAGCTATCTCGATGCGGTCCTTAACAAAGGCCAAGATGATCGCGTCGTCCGAGGCGAGGTCAGGTCGACAGCCAAGAATGCGCTTCGTCAGCTGCACGAAACCTTCATAGATGGCCACATGCAGCGGTAGACGCGCGTCGAGCTCGTTTTTGAACAGCGCATCCAATCGAGGGTGAATGTACCAAAGGTCGTCCGACCACACGGCGTTCGGTGCGAACGCTTGGCGAAAGGACGCGTCGCACGCGTAAATACGAAGTCTAGCGTCAAGCTCGAGAAGCTCGTTGTAGGCCCGAAAGGCCGCACGGACGTCTTCGTAGACACCAAACTGAAACTCAAACACCATCGACGCGATCTCGGGCTGGCCGAGCACGACGCTGCGAAAGGAGGTCGCTGCCATCGTTTTGGGTTGTGAAAGGCAATGGCACGAAATCAGCCGTGTCCCCCCGCCGGAAGCGCAATGCCAGATATGACACGGGACGTGCGTCAAGAACCACACAGACCACTCATCCAACTTGTGGGAAGCAGCACGGCAACGCTTTCACTAAGAGTGGTGCTTTGACGCAAAGCGCTGCACGGTACAGCCCTGCCCTGAATGACATGGTGACGACCTCGACGGAATTACGTCTCGTATAAAGTGTATTCTGAAGTATAAATAGCGGGCACGCAAGTTTCCGACTTCCGACACGCCAGATGTGCACGAATCTGGCGAGTCGGAACCAGCCACGCCAGTTTAAAAACTTGAATGAAATATTGTATACAAAAACTATATATATATGAGAATTGCTGCACTGTCGGGAGCGCCAGAACGGTGAGCGATGTCGCACAAGTGGATGAACGATGCCGAGAATCTGGCGCTGTGCCATGCGTGGATAGCTGCCTCCGAGGACCCGATCAAAGGCTCTGGGCTCAAGTACAACACGTTTTGGCAAAACGTCACCGAGCAATACAACGAGCTCAAGCCAAAGGATCGGCCGGAGCGATCATTTCGCTCGCTCGAGTCCAAGTTCTCGCAGATTCGACACGATGCATTGAAGTTTGGCAGCTACTACGCGCAGGTTCTCCATCTTGATCGGATTCGAATGTAGTTTACCGTATGTACTAGATTGTAGATTTGCAATCCACAGGCACGAACGTCGACGACACGGTAGAGGCTGCCCAACGCCTGTATACCGCACACGCCGAGAAAGAAGGATCCAAGGGCAAGAAATCTCAATTTCAATTCCTCGAGTGTTGGCGCTACCTGAAGGACTGTCCGAAGTGGCAAACTGTCATGGGGGAAGTGCGGGTCTCAGAGATCGTCAAGCAAAAGCCCCGCCGCGAGCTGGAGGAGCCCGACGTGCCTCTTCCCATGGTCAAGAAGGCCAAGACGACGACGCCAACGCTCGATCGACCCATTGACGTCAAGGCGGCGAAGCGGTTGGCGCGCTTGGAACACGCAACCAAGTGCAAGGACGATGCAATCGAGGTCGCGGCGAAGGCGCTCGCAGATGCAGTAGCAATCAGAGCCGAGGCGCAGATGATCATGGCACACACGCAGGTGTTTCGTGTCGACATCACCACGCTTGACGACGAATGCCGTCGGTACTTCCAGCTGCAGCGGCGCGCGATTCTTGCCGACCTCGAAAAGCGTGCAAAGGCCCGAGAAGAGGAAGCTGCGGCGGCCGCTACTAGTACCAGTACACGGAAAAGGCGCACATGTCGCTCACTACGGAAGGCAGCGAGGACGACGAAGTCGAAGCGGTCGTCGAAGAGGACGATGGCGACCAGGACGTTGACGTCGGAGATCAAGACAGCACGACGGAGGCACCCTCACGCGCAACAAGCACATCGTTACTTGCACTTGGGTTCTATGGCGACAGCGACAGCGATGGCAACATTGCAGTTTAATGCATAAATGAGACTGCAAGTTGCACATGTACTACATGAATTACTTGTTGCCTTTCAGCTTACACTGGTGCTCGACCATTGCAGACCGTAGCTCCTCATGTGTGTGCCTTTGCATCAGTCACTGCCGTCGAGCGCACGATATACTCGTCGACGGAGAGCTTCGGTCGCGCGCCATAGCGGATGATCGCACTGGACGATGGAAGTGTAGCTTCGGCATCCGCCTCGTTCGCTTCGTCATGTTGTGACGTCAGATGCATGCCTTCTAAATCTTGGTCATTGCTGCTGGAGACCACGAGCGGCTCGGGTTCGCAAAAAATGTGGAAGCGTCTGAAAGGGACTTCGACGCAACGCTCAACGTCTTTCCGTACTGCTTTATGCTTCTGCTTGAAATCACGCACCTTCGACTCGACGGGGTCGGCGAATGTCTTGACAAACATTGTGTAGCTGGGGTGAAATACCGTCTCCTAGGAAGTACACTGGGTATTCCTTGCCGTCGATCTTCAAAAGTTTGCCCACACGAACACATATTTGTGGACACGCATTATTACCGCGAGCGATGGCACACTGCTAATGCCGGCAATATACTTGGCCATCATTGTGGATCGAGCAACGAGTTGATGTCATTGCAAGACCCTGGCACGCCAACGAATGCATGCCAGATCCACAGGTGTAGCTATGGCCTTCATGACGGTGGAACGATTGCCGTCGCCGTCTTGGTATTGCCCCTGCCACGCACGTTTACAAAAGCTTTGTGTTTTACGCAATACCGGTATGTTGAAGGGCTTCGTGATGGATCGGATTGGTAAAAAAGGCCTTGTTTGGGGCAGTTTTAAAGGGCGCGGTTTTTTCTAAAGCATGAGTATAGACTGTTTTGAGCAATGCAATGATGGTGTGTGTTGCGGCAACCAATAGTTTTAATAGTGTTCGATCGAGAGAAATGGTGTTTTGCATCGAAATAATGTTTTTCGCCTTTGATTGGCAGTTCATTTCCGCACATGACGACAGACGGGCAGGGCGCCGCCGCAACTCATGCTGGGCCGCCGGACGTTATCGACATTCACGACGTCATAGCCCACGCTGTGCGTGTGGACTGCGTTACCACAGCGAGGAAGTGGAAGGAGCACCGCGCGAAGATCGGCCATGTCTTGGGGATCAATGACGACGAAAAACTCAAGGTACGCTGCGTGGACTCTGTGACTCTTATCCGGCGATGTTTAGGGCTTGGTCGCATCCGAAATGCGTCGAGTCCGCCTTGAAGCCAATGCCTCCGCTGGCCCAGCGCCAATCCCGCCGACGTTTGAACTTCGCACCAAGAAGCAAGCGCGCAGTCGCCATTGCCCAACTAATTGTGTAATTCTGTGTAGGTTCTACAAGGCAACCTACAAAAAGGGTGGGTTCAACCTGTTCATGAGGGAGAAACGTAGCGATTTTCAAAGTACGATTCTCTTCCACCTCTCGAACGCTAAATTCATGACAATCCAACTAGAGCTTCGAGCGGTCGATCCAACAGCGACCTATATCGGGCAGCGCTACGCCTCGGAGTGGAAGGCGATGTCAGACGAGGCAAAGCTAGCGTATTCACGGAAGGCATCGCAACTGGCGCCGGCGCCTCCTCGAAAGCTTTCAAAAACCGAGATCCAAAAGCAAAAGGACGAGGCCTACAAGAAGGTCCGGCTTGGGATGAAGGAGCTTTACAGCCTTGGTATCCAGACGATAACGTATCACTACGACCTGACAACCGACAGTGGCCGCTGGGTTCATCAAGGTACACAAGTGCAGGCAGGGTGCTGTTTACAACGTTGTCGGTTGTAGGAGACGAAGCACTACGAGTTATTGAGACGATTGACAGGTTTAGGGGCGCCCGCCCTCTCAATTTGTTCCCCACCTTTGCCGGCGAATCTGAAATGGAGGCCAGACGTGGATAGTAGCGGAAGAAATAATCAGATTATTAGACGCTCGAGGATCCACACAATACAAATTGGGCCGTATTTAGTGGGAAATGAGCGCACACTGCAGCTCATCGTCTTGTTACCATCTTGTGTTAGGGTGCCGTGAGTGCTATCAGAGGTTCTCCAGTACCGGTAGCAGCGCAATAATATCAAGACCGATATACCGAATGAATTGATTGAATATATCATGAATTGCGCATCGTTAAATGTTGTCCTCCTGGCTGAGGACTCCAGTCTTCACAGCATCGTCAACTTTGGCCAAGTGGGTACCGAGGTCGAAGCTGTTGCAGATGCGCCCAGCGTGAGCTCGCAACAATTCTTCGGCTGCTCGTTCAATACATACTTCCTTCGAGGCTAGAAGAGCTGTTTGCCGGGACGGCCCGTCGTCTTGCCAGCAACTGAAGTGACGACATGCAATACGTTCGGGACGCTTCTGCCACCGGGTTTCCATCAAAGGCACGTGTATAGACTGCGTGAAGCACTGCAATATAGGTGTGTGTTGCAGTGCAGGATGGGTATATATCCTTGCGCAACCTACCTTCAGACCGAGACGAGGTCTATGCACGCCTATTTGACCCAATATGATTAGACCCTTCCGGATCAAAGCCGGTGCTTTTTCAGGAAACGCTCAAAACGATATGTACAGTTGACAGCGCAGAAGGTACACAATCGGGACAACTACTCGTGGGCGAGCTCCTACCTTGTCCCGCTCAAGAGCGATGGAAGTGTCCGTGTGGCACAAACACCGTTGCGGGTGAAAACAAAGCAAGATCTGCACGACGTCAACATAGTGTTCAGCTGCAGACATGCGATGGCTGACGCCATCGTCGGTTATTTGTCTTGATGCATCGCGTATCTTGCCAACTGCTTTGATATTGATGTCCCGTTCGGCGAAAGGCTCGGGTGCGCTGACACGCTAGTGGAAGCTAGCGTAAAGCGCGATGTCGAACGCTCTCTATGGCTCGGATACGACCTAATTTGCAAGAACGCTAATGTATCTTGAATCTGATAGATGTGGTTATCAAATGCAGCGCTGATTGGGTAGATTGGCCGCCGCCATGTTCATGTTCCTGGCATCCGTCGAGCAGTTGAGGCCGCATTGGTGCAGCGAGCGTACGAGCGGCAAGAAACCATTGTCTGCAATGTCTCGAAGAATATTTAGGGGTAGCCAAGCTGCAGGAAGATCGAGTGCAAGCGTTGCGCACTGCATTGCCACGCGGATGAGCCTTACGTGTACGTCGTCGCCTTGCACGAAACACCGGTGACTGAGCCAAGGGATCCGCAAGAGAGGTCTACAGTCTGGGCAATTTCAAAAAATAATATATTTGGTTGTCCCGCTCGATTTGCTATGAAAGAGCGACATCGTATGCTCAACGCTTGCGTTTGCTGGAGAGGAGGCGATCGAGCTGCGCCTTGAGCTCGGGATCCTGGACCAAAGCTGCCTTTGTCTGGAGTTGTTTGGTGGTAGTTGTTGCATCAGTTGTGCCCAATGACAAGGGCCAACGACCAGTCGACAAACTCTCCCGCTTCGAGTAGAGTTGACGCGCGGGCTGTCAAACTGGGCGAAAGTTGGATCTTTTGGCTGGCCTTCCGTCCTTGGTTCAGCAGCTCGGACGTGATCAAGTGGAGTGTCGCCTTGTGATGGCGATCGGGCAGTGCGACGAGATCGAGAAGAAAGGTGACGTTGTCGAGATACTTGGCTGCGTCCATGCAGTGCGGCAGCAAGAGCTTGCTCGCAGTCACGTGCTGTCGACGGCCTGCGATCTTGACGAGGCACTCGCGCGGCTTGCCAATGCCGGCACCGAGGAGGTAGCGCGTCGCCTCGGTGTAGTGGTAGGTCGACGACCACTCCAGAGGACTGTCGTCCTTGCGAAACTTGCGTTGACGGCCCAGAATTTGCGTCGCGATATCAAATTGACCACAGCTCAGCAGCTGCTTGAGCGCTTCGATTGGGACGTTCGCCGTCGAGTGCGCCATGAGGTAGTGTACCACGTCCCACGCCTCGTGCGCAATGGCGTCTCCGAGCGCCGAGCGGTGGCAGCGGTCGCCTGCGAGCTCGTGAAGAAAGCGAGTGAGGGGTACGTTGTTGGTGGCGCAGGCTTCTTTCATCCACTTGGCGTCGCGGGGGCCGTCAACGTCCAAGAAGAGTTGGAGGACCTTGATAATCTTGGGCTTGCGGAAAGCGCTCAGGTCCCAATGCATCTTTGCGGTGACGCATTCATGCCCGCGCGAGAGGAGGTACTTGACCGTTGCGAGATGCCCGTATTTGAACGCGTTTCGAAACATGTAGTAGGACGCCCCGTCTTCGGTTTCGTTGGTCATGAGAAACTTGACGAGATTCAAATGGCCGCGCGCGCACGCCATCTCGACGGCAGAGCCGGACCAACGAAACGAGCCGAGACTGTGGAGGTACTGGAGGACCTCGAGGTGGCCGCGGCCAGCAGCATGATCGAGCGAGCGATCCGACGCGCCTTCGGTGCGGTGTTCGATGAGAAATCGTACGACATTGAGGTGCCCATGTTCGATTGCCTAGTTGAGCGCCTGCTGCGTGCAGCCTTCGGTCTGGTTCTCGTGGAGGAATTGAACGACCTCGAGGTGACTATTGGTGGCAGCATCGTCCATAGCCAGAGTCGTGCAGCCCTCGCGTCGATGTTCATGCAGAAAGCGGACGACCTCCAAGTGGCCATTGGCCGCCGCCTTGTCCATGGCGTTCGTCGAGCACTTGAAGCCACGTTCATGGAGCGAGCGTACGAGCGGCAAGAATCCTCGGCCCGCCATATCGTCCAAGAGACTGGGGTAGTGGAGCCACGGAAAGAGGTCGAGTGCGAGTGTCGCATTCTCAAGCGTCGCCGCCTCGATGGCCACTTGGCGGACTTTTTCGGGCGTGTAGTCGATGTAGAGGTCTTGAGGCCCCGGAAAGTCGTCGGGACTCGGGCCAAAGCGCTGCAGCAACGTCACGCCTTTGGAGTCCTTGCGTGCCAAGAGCGTATCCAGAAACGGACCCGGGAAGCGCCGAATCGAGTGCCCTACATCACGTGTCATGCGTTGTATTCGTGGTCCATGGAGGCAGCGTACCCACAAAACAGCCCGAGTAATTTTCGAAATTGACGCGTTCAAAGAGCTCGGGCGTGTTCTCACGCTCGTCGAGCAGAAACTCGACTATCTCGAGATGGCTTTGCAAAAAGGCCAGGATGATGGCGTCTTCGGACGCGAGGTCCGGTCGGCAACGTACGCGTGGTGAGAGGCAACGAACCGAGGTAAATGGCCACGTGCAGCGGGAGGCGGTCATTTCGGGGCCACTTGTTTAGAGCGAACGCTGAAGAGGGAACGGGGTCTGTGAGATCGGAATACCACTTGGTGGTGGGCGCAAACGCTTGGCCAAACGACGCGTCGCACTCATAGTTGCGCCGGCTGGCCTCAAACTCAATGAGCTCGTTGCAGGCGCGGAAAGCCGGACGCACGTCTTCATAGACGCCAAACTGAAACTCAAACACCAGCGACGCGATCGCGGGCTGCTCAAGGATGGTGCTGGCGAAGGTCGCTGCCATGGACGCGGAGGCTGGGCGCGCCAAGTCGGCCAGTGGTATCCGGATGTGGTGCAAAGTAGTTTATCCGGATTTTATCAAAATTGCCAGGTGCACGTTAAACTGTGTTCAACCCAGAGTCTCTACCATCTCGACGCCGGATAGACGCCATCACGTTTTGTTCTAGCTTGAGTAAGCAATGGCAAGGGTACATCAATTCAATTGAATTTATGTACCCTTGGCAATGGGCTGTCTCTTTGCCAGTGTTGTAAGGTCTAGACGAGCCTTCGTGGGATCGCGGCAGAACATGTCACCTCAAATCATATCCATGCCAGTGTACTACGAGTACACTGCGCTACGCAAACCAAAACCATCGAGGCACACGGGACAACGTATTTCGACTTATTGATACGCCCAAAGAACTCGATTTGTTGTAAAGTGCTGCTTACGTTTTGCGTGCCGCGCGCTTGCGCTTGCTGGCGAGAAGGCGATGAAGCTGCGTCTGAAGCTCGGCGTCCTGGACCATCGCAGTCTTCTTCTCGAGTTGCCCGAGTGTGGTAGTCCTGTCGGCTGCCCAAAGATGACAAATGACAAGCGCCAGCGCCCAGTCGACAACGCCACCAGCCTTCCGCACCGTCGACGCACGCACCGTCACATTGGGGGCTAGCTGAATGCTTCGACTGGCCATTCTGCCTTGCTCCACAATCTCGGGCGTGATGACATGGAGTGTCGTCGCTCGGCGGCGATCGGGCAACGCGACAAGGTCCAGAAGAAAGCAAATGTTGTCGAGACGGTTGGTCGGGTCCATGCAGTACGGCAGCAAGAATTTGCTCTCCGTCACGAACTGGCGACGACCTGCAATTTCGAAGAGGCACTTGCGCGGCTTGCCAATATTCGCAGCGACGAGGAAGCACATCGCCTTGGTGTTGTGGCTACTCGACGCTACGAAAAGAAGCTCGTCGCATCGGAGCTGTGGCTGGCGCTGCAGAATTTGCGTCACGTCCTCGAGGCGACCACCGCGTAGCACCTGCTCGAGCGCATCGACCGACACGTCGGCCGTGCAGTGGGCCGAAAGAAAGTGCACAACGTCCCACGCCCGGTTCTTGACCGCCGATTCAAATGCGGCGGCACAGCACGTGCTGGGGTCGTCGTGGAGGAACGCAACCAGCGGCACGTTGTTGAGCGCAGAGGCTCTCGCCATCCACGAGCCTTTCCAGGACCCACCATTGTCGAGAAAAACCGAAGGACGTCAACCATTTGTGGCTTCTGAAAGGTTGGCTGATTCCACAGTCCCTCCGAGGTTGTCGGGCTTGGGTAGCCGCGCGAGACGAGGTACTCGGCAATCTGCACATGTCCGAGGTCGAGGGCGCTCTCAACAGCATGGCGGGAGCCACCTTCGGCTCGGTTTGCCAATAGGTACTTGACAGCGTGGAGATGGCCATACAAGGCGGCGTTGTCGACGGCGGCGACAGTACAAGCCGCCGAGCCAAGAGAATCGAGGTACTCCACGATCTCGAGGCGTCCGTAGGTGGCAGCACGGTCGAGCATGTTGAACGAGGCGCCTTCGGCACGGTGCTCGATGAGGAAGCGGACTACATCGAGGTGGCCACGACTAATCGCCTCATCGAGCGCCTGGTGCGTGCAGCCTTCCGTCCGGTTGAAATGGAGAAACTGGACGACGGCCAAATGACCGTTGGCGGCAGCCTCGTCCAAGGCTCTTGTGGTGCATCCCTCGCGTCGGTTCAAGTGAAGAAACTCGATGACGTCAAGGTGGCCATTGGCCGCCGCTCCGTCCAAGGCAAAGGCAGTGCCGCCTTCCGTCCGGTTCCAGTGCAGAAAAGTGACGACCTCCAAATGGCCGTTCGTAGCTGCGTCGTCCATGGCCGACGTCGAGCACTCAACACCGAAGTCGTGCAGCGAGCGCACGAGCGGCAAAAGCCTTGCGCCGCGAGGTCAATCATGATGCAGGGGTAGCCAAACCATGGAAAGAGGTCGAGTACGAGCGTTGCGTTTGCAAGCGTCGCGCAGCGCATGGCGCGGCGACGGTCGTACGCGTCAAAGTCTTCAGGGCGCAGGCCAAAACGCTGCAGCAAAACCAGCACCGTTGCGTCGGGTCGTGCCAGCACACGGCGCAGATAGCAGCTAAAGAGCTCGCGCCACACGGAACCTACGTCATCCACCTCGTCCTTCATTCCATCGCTCACACCACAAGCGCACCTGGAGAACGCTGACGAATGCCGCGTCGATAGAGCCCTCGGACGTGCACACGCAGCTCTAGCAAGGATGCGGCAATCTCGAGACGGTCCTTGACAAAGGCCAAGACAATGGCGTCCTCCGAAGCGAGGTCGGGGCGGCAGTGTAGCATGCGCATGGTCAGCTGCACCAAGCCTTGGTCAATGGCCAGATGCAGCGGGAGGCGCGCGTCGCGTTGGCGCCCGCGGAGAGCGTAGGTATCAAAGAGGAAGCCGTGACGATCTGGGGGCCACACGACGTTCGGCGCAAAGGCCTTGCAAAACGACACGTCGCACTCGTACCAGCGTCGCGCAACGTCAAACTCGATAAGCTCGTTGCAAGCAGACAAGGCTTGACGCACGTCCTCGTAGACGCCGCCCTGCAAGCCAAACACTGTCGATGCAATCTCGGGCTGGCCGAGCACGGCGCTGTGGAAGGTTGCTGTCATGGGTGATCCGAAAGTTTCTGCAACTGACAAATCTTTGTTGCCCCACGTCTTGAATCGAGGTCATTTCACATCATGAGCGAGGATCGGCCGTGTACGGTTGGCATGGACTGTCCGTGATGAGACACGCCCTGTCCCATTTGATGCAGTCCGATCGCGTCCGATTGATATTATTCTCTATTCTGCCAGGACCACGCACGGCCTTGGTTTGAATCAAACTTGAGTTTGTTGTCGTCGGTATTGTTATCGCTATATCCACTGCGTCGCGCGATAAGCCTGCTGACCACTCTCTTTTGAACACGAGAAGGTACAAGGCTGCGGCAAATGAGCGATTGCGGCGCTGATGCTGCAGCGTCAGCCCGACCTGTGCGACGACAATCTTCTCGATATGGCTCGAGCTACGACGCTGCGGAAGGCTGGCGAGGTTGTCGCCTGGTCTCGCGTCGTCTCTAATTGGAACGCAAACGTTCTGCGAGACGAACCAGGAGACGAACTATCCATATTTTATGTCAACAGAAAGTGTACACATTCAATTTTGGGTGACGACCCTCGCGCTGAAGAAGAGCATCAGGTCTCTCGGTTTCAAACGTGGAATAGGGTTCCCTGGAACTCTGTGTTGATGCGATGGATCACAGCACCTGCTTCAATCCAATCCAGGATCGTCGTCATTATCTGGGTGCAATGGGAAGACACTCTGCAAGTCCAACCAGGCATACATGGGCTCCGTTATTAGTTATATCAAAGTCTCACAGTGATCGCGTACATGACACTTACTCCTCTTCCTCGTCTTCTTCCTCGCCGTCCTCGTCGGCGTCCTCGTTGGCGGCCTCGTTGGCGTTCTTGAGCTGCAGCAGAAGCGAGACCGCGAAGTGGAGCTTGGCTGCCATGGCCGTCATCGTCTCGGACTGGGCGTCGACCTTGGCTTTGAGCGTCTCAATCTCGTCGTGGAGCTGCTTCTTCTCGTCGTCTTGGTCGTCCTCGGTCGTCGGCGCAATGGCTTCGGCCACATTGTCCAAAATGGCCTCCGTAACCTTTTGCAGCTGCGCGTCGATCGTCGAGCGCTGCGCCATCTGGAAGAGGAGCATGCATTCGGCACGCGCGCTCATGTCCTTGGCGTCAAACTTGGGCGCCCAGAGTCGCAGTAGCTTGTCCTTGAGCTGCCCGAGCTTCTTCTTGAGGTGCGACTGGAGCGCCGACAGCACCTTGTCTCGGTACGCGCCCCGGGTCTTGCGCGCATCGTCAACAATCGCCGTGAGCTGGCTTCGGGCCGACTCCAGGTGCTTGAGGTCGTCGGCAAAGACCGTCCGCACCGGCAGCGACGTAAAGTGTGCCACATGCAACAGCGCGTCGCGAAGGTAGTTGAGCTCCTTGTCGATCGTCGCATCCAACTCATCGACCAGCGTCGCCCACGCCGCGCGGTTGGCCGCCTCGGTCTGGAGCTCGGCGGCTTGATCTTCGCCAAGATCAAGGAGCGCCTTGGGCACACACTCGGTAAAGATCGGATTGAGCCACTCGCCTTGCTTGATCAACTTTGTCGACGTCGATGCCTTGGTCTTGAGGTAGATGAGGGCATGCGTGTCGTCGGCCGTGAGGTTCATCGACGTCTCGAGACGCAAAATGCACTGCGCATAACTGATCAGCGCCTGCGTCTTGGCCTTCTCGAGACCGCCGTCGACCGTCTTGTTCATCATCGCGAGCAAGACGTTGAGGAGGATGATGACCATGATGGCCACATGCAGCATCATCAAAAGTGCGGTGGCCACATACATGGCCGACGCATGCTCCGCGTCCGATCCGCCAAACGCATCGAGCGAGTCGAGCGCAAGCTCGCCAAACGAGACGTAGTAGGTCGTCATGAACGACTGCCCGAGGCTGCCAAACTTGTGGACGCTGTCGTCCATACCGCGGAAGAGCTGGTAGAACGTGAGCGTAAAGCCGACTTGGAAGACGCTAAAGAGGATGAAGAAGTTCCAAATGTCCTTGAAAAGGTCCGCCATCATCGGCATCAAGAAGCTCGCCGACGGCACGACCTCCAAAAACTGAAGCGAGAGGACCCAGAGCGCGAGCGTGAGGAAGCCCGAGATACCAAACTCGACCTCGTCAGCCGCGTTGATCCAATTGAGCTTGAGGGGCACGAAGACAAAGAGGATGAGGACGTAGACAAGCAGCTGCGCCTTGTTCGTGTGCGACGAAATGTATGCGCGAAAGTCGTCCCGCATCTCGCCGCGTTCGGTCACGACAAAGTAGAGCGCGGTGAGCCAGAGCACAACCGTGTTGACGGTCGGGAACCACGTGGAGATGTGCATGAGGTGGGCGAAAACGGCCAGAAGAATGACACACAAGAGAGTGATGGCGACCGAGGTACCGTAGAGCAGAAACGTTGCCGCTGCCTTCTTGGTGCGGAGGTCCGGAATGACCACGTCCGGGTCCAGCGCGCGGTGCTTGTCGTACTGGTAGCGTGCCCAGCCCCAAAAGACACTCGGCTCGAGGTTCTCAACCACGAGAAACGCAGAGAGGACGAAGAGCCACGCCGAGATACCAAAGACGCACGCGGCCGTCGACGGCGCATCGTCGCTTGCAATGAACGACGACGTCGTCATCGTGAAGAGAAGGAGCACGTTCATGAGCAACTGCTGGAGGTACATGCGCTTCCCGAAGAGCTCCCACTTGATGGCGAGAAGCCGGCGAAACACAATATGTTCCAACATGGCCTTTTTCGTCGCAAACGTCTCTTCCTTGGCGTCCACGTTTAGGACCGCGTAGAGCGCACTCGTCTTGGCCGTCGCGCCGTACACCGCCTCCATCTAGCAAGGGTCATGTCAATGGTATCAAGTTGATACGATAGGACACATACGTGCGAGAAGGCGGCTTCGTGCCGATGCAGCGTGACGCAGTCGTTGAGAAACTTGAGTCCGAGCTTGGCGCTGACGGTAATTGCCTTGGCAAAGCCGCCGTGGTGGAAGACGTCGTCGATCGACATGGTGACCATGCTCAACGCTTGCTTTTCTTGGTACTCGGGCGAGTTCTCGCGGATCTGGAGCTCCTTCTTGATGAGCGAGAGCAGCTGCCCTTGCGGCCGCGTTTCGTCGTCGGCTTCTACGCCAGCGCGCCACAGCTCTTGCTCGAGCTGCATGAGCACCGTGTCGTCGTTCTACAAAATAGAGGGTAAGGGCTTGGAACCGTCGTACTTTTCTACCTTGTCGGTGAGATACACTTCGGCCGAAGCTTCCAGAAGAAGATTCACGACCGTGATGTGGCAGCCCTTGGCCGCCAGCATGAGCGCGGTCTTGCCTTCCTACACAGCCAAAGCGTTGGGACCGACCTATCTTGATGGCGGGTGCGTGGTAGTACCTTGTTTTGAAGGTCGACGTTGACAGATTTCGACAAGAGAAACTTGACATAGTCGTTGCGGCCGAGACTGGCCGCGACCATCAGCGCGGTCTCTCCGTCCTAGAGACGTCCCACTCAGCACGCGACAGCGATGACGGCAGCAACCTCGTCTTGCTTGTCAAGGTCAATGTCGGTCGCGCAAATGTCGTCCAGCGTCGCCTCGGAGAACGACCCGCGCATCGCCGCATGCATCGCCGTCTGCTTGCGCTGAACCACCCATTTTGTGAGCTCTAAAGTACGAAAAAGCAAATGCTACATACCGCGTCCAGCTGGCGCGCCGCGGCCACATTCGGGAGGTTCAAGAGGAAGAAGCCAATGTCAAAGAGGGCCAGCTCCCAGCGGTCGTAGACAAGGAGTTCGCTCGGTGTCGCTGTCGCCCGCAGCTCGGCAAGCGACGCCTACGTCGTCCCAATGAATACACTGTTTCCACAACCAAGACGTCGTGTCTGTACAGCGGTCGTGTCGTCGTCAACCACCGGGTCGGCCCCGGCCGCGAGCAACAGGCGCACGATCTTGACATGGTCGTTGTCGACGGCATAGTCCAACGCGCTTTGGTCCGTCTACCGAAAGACAATATTGTCTACATCCATGATGCAGCATGTGCATGCGCTCTACCTCCTCGGAGCGCAGGTTGAGGTCGAGGTGGGGTTGCGTCAAGAGTAGCTTCAGAAGCGCGACGTTGCCGTGTTCGCACACGTGGTGCAGCACCGACATACCCTACATCCCAATTGCCGTGAGGACGGCGATGTACGGTAGAAAAGGCCTACCCCTTCGATCTTGTTGACGACGTCGGCCGACAGAGGTTCTTGGAGCACCTGGCGCAGCTCGGTCCAGTTCCGAGCCGCCGCAAGCCCCGAGAGGCCGTTGTTGGAGGTACTGCTCATCTTGCACTGGCCGGCACACTCGTGCGGCGCGGTGCCCGTCAAGTACTCGGCCCACGACAGGTACGCATCGGGCTACAGCATCGATATTGTGAGCGACTGTCTTGATGACAATAGAGATACCAGATGGTCAAAGGCAAGCGCCAGTTTGCCCTTGCAGCTCACAGCGTGGATCGCCCGCATCAGGCGCGACGGCACCGTGCCGGTCGGGTTCTCGGCGCAAAAGAGACTGTGGCGCGCCAGCATGTCCAGCGCTGTCCGACCTTCCTACAGCCTCCTTCTTTGGACCTTGCGAAGGACGGGATAAGACGTACGTTGTCCTTGGCGCTCACGGCATCGGCCGGCAGGTGCGGCAAAAGGCGGTACAGCACTTGGTCCGTGTCGCGCAGGGCGTCAAACCGGAGGGCCGCGTGCATGAGCGGTGTGCGCCCCGCCTACATATCACCATCGTATGTAGGGAGGACGTGCGAGTGCCACGAATTGGGTACCTCGTCAGCAGCCGTCAGCGCGGTTGCAATCGCTTCGTCGGCGTCGTCGCCGTGCTTGTCGCGCATCTCGGTGAGCCACGCCTCGAAGCGGTCCACCTTGTTGGTGCGAACAAGGGCGTGGACAGGGAACGCTTGGCGAAATTCGGCTTCGGCCTCCAAAAGGGCAAGAATGCGGGCGTTTTCCGTGAGGTCGGCAGGGCACTCGCCGGCCTACAGAGCGCGCTGCGTGCGGGTCGAAATGGAGATGGATCGTGTACCTCGTTGCGTGCGTCGATGCTGTGGCCCTCGGCGAGGACGCCGTCGAGGGTCTCGATAACGTCGTCCTCGTCCTCGTCCTCGTCCGACGCATGACGGATCGCATAATGCAACGCCGTGTCCCCATCCTATCCGATAGGATGCTGGGATAAGGCGACCTGCCGTGGGCGATCAAGAGGGTACCGCGGCGCGCGCAAAGATATCGGCGCCGGCGGCCACGAGCACGGCTGCACACTCGTCGTCGGCGTTGGAAATGGCGACCAAGTACGGTGTCTCGCCGTCCTACCACGTCCTCAAGTGAGGACAGGATGACGGCGATATTGTCATTCGTACATTGTTGGTGACGTCGACAGACGGGTAGCGCGGTAGGAGCCAGCGAAGTACGCTCATGGCACTGTGGTCTGCCGCGTGGTGCAAGAGCGTGGCGCCGTTCTACAGACAAGGACGGCGATGACAGACGACGACGATGGCGACGACAAGTACCGTTGGCGACACAAGGTCCAGAGGGTTGGGGAGGATGTCCCAGAGGTACTTGACGATATGCAGCTGGTTGTAGGCGACCGCACGCTGCATGGTCATCCAGGCAAACTACACACAAGATGATGCGATGAACAATCTTGGTCGTGAGAAAGGCGAAGCGGACGTTGGGAATGGTCTCGTACGGCGTCGATTCGATCAGCGCTTGGACGACCGGCAACGAGCCCGAGAGCGCGGCCATCGAGAGCACCGAGTCGCCGTCCTAGGATTCTCACGTCAGCATGTCTAAAGAGGAGCGTGCAAAAGACCTCGTCGAGGCTCGTGAGGTCGTCGTTGGTGACGGCGCCGGGCGTGCGCAGGCGCCAAAGCACTTCGCTTTCTTTGCTCTTGGTCATGAGCTCGACGAGCGTCAGGTTGTCGAGATGCGTGTCGTCGTCGCTGGCAGAACCAGTCGCGTCATCGCGCTGCATGTTGTAGCTTGGACTCGGCGCGTTCAAGAATGACGGCTCGATGCACGAAAGCTAAAGACCTGTCTCTGATTGGCCAGAGTCGGATTGTTGCGACAAGCCGCTTCGACTTCGAAAACGAAGTTAGGCAATGCAATGCCCCGTGCCGTCGTGCCCCGCTAGCACACCCTCGTCGCACCCCTTTTCCAAACGTGTAACCACGTCGCGGCTCTTTATAATTCCTCTACCCTTCTACATTAACCCTAAAGGTGCTAAAGCAAGCGGCACCCATCCTTTTTCAAACCCAACCACCGCTTTGCCATTTGGACTTTTTTCATCGGAATATTATTACTTCGAACATATGTGTAGTGACGGGGCGTCGTGGTCCACAGGAGTGCAGCTGACTGTGCGGGTTGTAGTCGTAGCGTGGTACACCTGATAGGGCTTGATGACCGATGGTCAATGATGGTCCAGAAGCATTGCCTTGAATTCGTTTACTTTCTTGGAGAGCATCGGACAGACGATACTGTGTCTGATGCACCCGGCTTGTCCTATTGTGGAATCGATGGCATCGGCCAGACAGGCGTCGAGCGCGGGCGATGAGGATATCATGTGCTTGCTGACACAAGCAGCACGAAACGTGGACATACGCCAATTACTGATTTGACAACAATAACAATCTGTAGCCCCCGTCACGCAGCCCGTGGCCACCACGGCCGCGCAGAGCACGTCGTCACATCGCCACAACACCCGCATTCGCTGCACGTTGCACATACATTGTCCGTCGTAAATCTCAGTAACACGTAGTTCTCAGATGGGTTGTGATGTACATGTGTAGTCATCGCACCCACGATTGTGGCGGGTTGTGGGGCGAAAGATTCGACTCGTAGCGAACTCTCTTTCGATATTTATCACCTTTTCAGTGCGAGGCTATCCTAGACTACATAACTTGAGCTCACGAATGAATTCTCTTGGTCGTGAACACGTTTGGTGCGAGGAATCTATCCAGTGGTGTCGACCATGCCAGCTCGTTTGAAACCCATATGGTATGTGACTCACCTGTGATGAGTTGCTGTCCAACGTTTCCTTCAGCAAACTGAAACTGTAATACAACACAAGTGTATGGTCCGGAGCGCTTCGTTCGTGCTGCCGAGAAGGATACGGATATGGCTCCGGCACCGAGTGTGTTCCATCGACGCAAAGCGTGGCGACGTACGTCGATTGACTACAAATGAAACTCGTAAAAGAGAAATTCATCATGTAACCTTTTGCAACTTGCCCTTCAAAAGTTAATAGCCCTGGTAGGCTCTGCATCCACAAAACAAACGAGATATAGCTCAGCTGCCAGCGCGGTGGCACCCCTTTCCCGTTAGGGTCGATTCAGAGTAACTCTCGGCAGCGGCTTTTTGAAAAAAATGAAAATCTCGGCCAATCAGAAGCCGTTCCAGCGCATCTCAATTTTTCGTTTTGAAAACACCTCGGCGAGGTGTTTTGGGGCGTTTTGGCGCATTTCAGCGCGTTTCGGGGTCCTCGGAGTCGCTGCAGCTCAAACGTTGCAAGTCAGAGTAAAATTAATGCATGGATTTGATTGGCTAGCTTGTCGACGAGCATTCATTGGTGAGCATCACTTGCTCCACGACGCCTCATCATGCCGCGGTCAGACTGAGCCGCCGTCGTGCTCGCTGTCGCTGCCGTCATACCAGGTAGGTGCACTGCACTCTGCAAGCGTAGCGCCACGAGCTGGGCAAGCGCATCTCTGACGTGCATCTGTGGGCCCGGATCTAGCATCAGGGCTTGTACGGCTACGTACTAGTATGGCCGTCGTCTCGTTGACGGTGTGCTGAGCATGACGCGCGCCAAGAGAATAGCGATATCCGTAGTTGCTATCGTAGTTGGAGGGCGGACCTATCTATGCGGATGCGTCCACCACCCTGCCTGAGGTAAAGCGCTCTTGGGAAGGCGTGTCGTCGCCACCTCGTCGCCGTTGCCGCACGCATGCTCATCGTCCTTCAAGCGCGCCCTACCACCAAGTATAAAACACTACGTTTTTATGACTGATTTAAACATCATCTGGCGATATAGAGGACATATTATGTGTTTCATTCAAGTGCCTGCTTCACTGTAAAAACTGTATTAAACTCCACTATTGGCCCCTGGTGGCGGCTAGATTTTCAGCCAATCAAAACAATAATTTTAAACTGCCAATCAATGCGACCTAAAAATGAGTTTCTACCAATGACATGCATCAGAGCTAGCGTGATCCCGGAGTCGCTGACCTGGAGGGAAGTTCAAACTGGCCAATCAGCAATGGTTTAGACCATCTGTTGGCCAGCAGCCGAGAGCCGCACCTCAATGTCCGAGAGTCGCTGTAAGTTACTCTGCACAGCATCTGGTGATTTCAAAAGCCGCTGGCCCAGAGTTACTCTGAATCGACCCTTATGGTTAGCTTTGGGGTGAGCGGCGCCATCAAGAACCCCGGAGCAATCTTATCCTTTTGTTGCAATCCAACACGAGAGCCATGGATACCATCGTGATTCCTTTTGCGTTAGCCAAAGTGCGTCATTTGGTTCAAATCAAAATCGTCGTCGTCGTCGTCATCATCGACGTGCACCGTGTCGGGCGACGAGACGGTGAGCAGTTGAATGCCCGCGCCGCCTTCGAGAAACACCAACGGCGCGTCATCAAACTCGCTGGGCGACGACGCGCTGTTGTCGCAGCCGCACGAGCACTGGAGGTCGAGTGCCGACCGGAGGTACTCCCACATGTCGTCTTGGCTCCACACGGCCACGTCCTGCGGCTCGATCGCGTCGCCGCGGAGCGCCATGAGGTCCAGCGACATCTCCAGAAGCGCCTCGACGTCGACGCCGTCGTTATCGTCGTCCGAGGACGGTGCAGTGCTGCCATCGTTCGACGCCACGGCCCACGACGACATGTTGGCAATGGCTGCAATATCGCCCGACATGACCAGCTGCGAGAGGTTGGTCAGCGACGGGCCATTGATTAGTGGTGGCACATCCATCGGCAGCGCCGCCATGGTCTGCGAGAGCGACACGATGTCAATATCCAGCCGCGCTTTCTTCCTCTCCGAGGGCCGGCCGATCTGGCCAGCGTTGTTAAAGTCAGGGTGGAGCTCCTTGAAGCGGCGCTTGACCTGCTCTTGCGTCCGGCCCTACATCCACGATATTTCTCGTCCATGCACACAACATCGATCGTACGGGCAAGAGCTTGGCGATCTTGGACCACTGGTTGCCGCAGCTCGCGAACGACGCCTCGAGCGCTTCGTCTTCCGAGCCCGTAAACTCGCTGCGAGATAGTGAGCGGTGGAAGCAAGGGTAGAGGATGTACCTGCGCTTGATGGACGGATCGAGGTGGTTGATCCAGCGCTCGCGACACTGCTTGGGCCTAGATATGCATTGAATTTGCGTGCTTTGAAAGCGTACGTACGTGCGTCCCGCGATACGCGGTGCCACGTCCTTCCAGCGGATCGAGTTCTTATTGGGAAGGTCCAGAACGATGTCGCGAAGGGCCTTGTCTTCCTGGTACGACCAATGACCCTTGACGAGGCCGGGCTTGAGCACTTTTTGCCACCGCTGAAGGCACTGCGCGTCGTCGCGCCCAGGCACGAGGTCCGCGACTGCCTACCCACGGGCGTCTTGACCAGGTAGGTCGATGGAATGACGTACCCGCCAGTTGCGGTCCTTGTAGACCTCCATGGCCTTGGTGAGGGCTTCGTCCTACGAAGCACGATGGCTTGGAGCCTCAGCGCATCGGGCGCTACCTGTGCGGGCGTCCATGGCCCGGTCGTTGGGAACGCGCACGCGTCGTCGTCTGCCATTGCAACTCTGGCACCTGTCCGGATAGACGCCAGACGATGGTCATCCGCGCCACCTGGTATTTTATTGCATAATCAAATTGAGTTTACCGAGTACTTTATTATATCCGTCCGGATAAAGTCGAAAAAGATACGCCCATCGAGTTCGAAAGCTTGGCCAAGAGGCGGTCGCTGCACAGCTACCGCGCCGTCGTACCCGGTGGAATGGGCGGGTCGCAGCGGTGGCAGCCACCCACTCCCAAGCACAAGTACATCGTTCCATGCTGATCCTCTGCAGCGTGATCAAAGGCAGTGGTCTCAGTCGGCCGAGGGCAAGACCGTGAGAACGACGCCTGCTCCGAAGCGGAAGGGACAGGTAGCGATCCTAGGTGTACGTTGCTCTTGTGTACCAGTAGGCGTCCCTAGGTCAAGTTGGGCGATTCGAAAGTACAAAGTCTACTGATCTACGCAAGCTGAGGGCATGTTTCTACTCTTACGTTGCAGTGCAAGATTTTCACTGCCAGGCCCTTGGAGTGCACATAGCGCATATTTAACACACTGCGTTCTACCCGACCTTGGTGGGGTATGGGTGTACGCTTTGAGACTCTTCCCCCGCGTTTCCGAAATCGGCATCGGCCATGGCGTCAGCAGGGATGTCCAGTGTCATCGCAGCGCCTGCAGTGCGTTGCACAGTGCTCATGTGCACGATTCGATAGCTATCGCCCGGAGTACATTGTACATCCCTACCTCAAGCGCCCTCTGCTACTTATGGGCGTTGCAGTGTCTGTCAACTCTAGCTTTCTATTCTAGAAAAGGCGTAGCATGCTTGGGTCGACTATACGTTGCTAGAGTTTTGGGCTCCACTTATAAGGTACAGATATGGCGAGCGTCTGCCGGGTGCTGCCTTGGTCACGGTAGCGCTGCCGACGACGACGTCCGCCTAGAGCGACACAATGTCAACGCATGACCTCAACAATCCAAAACCTCTTGTGTACCTCGGAGACAGTCTTTTGTTTTCTCTTTTTGCTAGTGCAAGTCTAGTACTAGTTTAGTAATATCCGTACTGCGTGCTCATTGGTCTCACAGTAAAGATCGCCGCTGGCCATCGCATGTTCCATTCCAAGTCGCACAGAACGCCACGTCATCCTCCGGATAATGTCCTTTAATCCGGATGTAGCCAAACGAAGCCATTCTGCGGATCCTTCGCGAAGCCGCCCACGTGCCTGTCCTATGCCGCCCTGAAAGAAGGCAGAGAGCGCGCAGCAATCGATGTGCGGAATCTCTCTATCGTATACAACCATTCACCGGATACGATGCCATGTCTTTTACGCTCTATCCACGAACCCAGCAAGCCCGCTTGAAGGGCGTTTAGTAGACGTCGGAAATCGACACGTAGATTCCATGGAGCCAGTCCATGGAATATAAAGGTAAGGTCCGGGGATCCCGGGGTTAAAGTCGACAAACCATGAGGCAAAGGGTTTAACCGGTGTCCAATTATTCTGTGTGGCGCCATGCGGGACAATGCCCAGTCGGTCGGCCGCTCGGACGACGAAGACGACGCCGCCCACGACCGTCATGACGTCACCATCGAAGCCGCACCCAAGACGACGTGGTGGGCGCTCAAGGACGACCTCATCTTGCTCGCACAGGCCAACACCGATCAGCCCTTCTTGGCCGAGAGGGGCCTCATGGCCGCCTGGGATGCCACCGCGGCCAGCATCAACCAGGTTCCTGGATTTGGGCGGCCCGACGTCAACGGCAAGAAGGCGTCCAGCCGCTTCTCCAAGCTGCTCGAAGCCCATCGTCTCTACATGAAGCAGGCGAAATACAAGTCTGGCAGCGCCGAGAACGACACGCCCAAGATCCGGCTTCTGGACGAGATTGTCGCGCGCATCGATGACCACAACAAGGCCAAGGCCAAGGAAAGTATAAGCAAAAAGACAGCAAGAAGCGAGCCAGACGAACCCGTGCGTCCCGTTCGAGAGCCAGCCCGCGGCGCCAAGCGACCTCGGACAAGCATCGCAGCATCTGACGATGACGACCCAGCACCGAGCCACAATACGACGGATGCTCAGTTCCAATTGCGCGTCATGGAGATCGAGCTCGAGCGCGAGCGCATCGAGTTGGAGAAGGCGAAGCTCAAGATGCAAGCCGACCAACAAGACAAGGATCGTGTGGAACGAACGGCCATTCGGCAGATGGATGCGGCGCGCAATTCGGAAATGATGGCCATGATGAAAACGCTTCTTGAGCGAATGCAAGCAAGCCAGTGAGATCTATTTCCTCAATATAAAATCGACTAGGTAACATGCATTGTCTGTGTCCCCTTATGATGTGCGTCGCGAAACAGCACTTGCTTTCTTCTTGACTTCAGAGGCATTCGGACGCGACAGAGGAATCCGTCAACGACATTTCTGGTATCATACCTAAGTGGGCGGACCTGGCTACGGCCCACTCATTCAATTGATGCACAAGGTAAATATGTATGTACAAGTTGGCGCACCAATTGTTCGTATTTTGTACATACGAGCAAACAGAGTGCGGACAGAGTATGGAAGAAACACTGGTTATTGGTGCTTTTCCGGTAACGCTCAAACCGCGGATGTTCTTTCGAGCCGTCTGCCGCCTTGGCACACACGCTCGACACCTTTATTGTTCGGACGGCAGGAGAGCAGGATCGCTCGCGTTTGGCACCACCGCTTCGACCTTCGGACTTGGCGACATGTTTTAATCCTACCTTGGCAGCGGCCTTTCCAAGTGGCCAACTTGATTGTCAAACGGAGCTTCCGACATTGAGCTGCCGCCACGTAACCTCTCGTCCATATATTACATCATAAAAAGGGTGCGGGGATTCACACGAGTTCAAAGTCAAGGTCCGCGTCAACTGCCTCTGGTGGCAGCGTAATGAGGTCGTAGCGAGCATCGAGGAGCGCCGTGAGCATCGTCTGGAACGGCGTCGGCGCGTCTTCGCCCGCCAGAACGGCCTTGAGAACACTGGGCGAGAAGCCCGAGATGAGCGACACGTTGGCTTGGGTCGAGAGGACTGGAAAGTCGGTGGTTTTCCCATTCAAGTTCCAAAAGACAAGGTGCGGGACGTCATAGTTGGCAGCCGCAAACTCCTTGGCGAGCACCGCGTAGTTGGTCTCAAAGTTGCAGTCGGCTTGGTCAAACTGCATGTCCGAGACCACAATGAGCTTCGTTGGCATGCGCTCGCGCGGGATCTGCTTGCTAAGTCCGAGGTTGATGACAGCGCGGAAGGCGGCGGCGAAGTCCGTGCTACCGCCCCACGGTGCTTTCTTGAGGCTCTTGACCTTGGCAAACAAGCTGTCGCCTTCAATGTGATGGAATTGCGGCGACGACTCAAACGTGAGCACGAGGTCGCGAAACTCGTCCGAGACGATCGACGACACCATGATTCCGAGCGCGATCGACACTTGCATGTTCGTACCAGCCATTGACGCCGACACATCGGACAGGACGAGCGTCTGCGTGAGCGTACCTAAGGCCCGCGTCGCCGTCTCCAGGACGGCCCACTGCGCCTCCAATAGCTCGTCCTTGGACCGACCCTCGTAGTAGGGTTTAACGATCTCATGCGGAAAGAGAACAGCCGCATTGACCTTGGTCTCACCCGTCTTGAGACCGGCCTTCCACGTGGCAAAGGCGTCGGGGAGGCGGCGCTCAAACGCATGCTTGGGCTTGCCGTGGTTCTTCATTGCGACGCTGGGCACTTTGTTAAAGTCAATCTTCTCCCACTCCTTGGCGCACATGAGCGACTCGAGCAGCGTGAGCGACTTGCGCAGTGGTGACAAGTACGTCTTGCGCAGCTCGGCCGGCCGCACGTCAAGCAGCTTGGCCAGCTTGCCGTTGACATGGTCCTTCTTGTCGGCCTTTCTGTTCTCGGACGGCACCCACTTGGCGCAGAGACTGATGGGCTTGCCATCGTGTAGCGCGGCAAGGTCTTTCTTGAGCTGCCGCGCAAAGATCGAGAGCGCGAAGGTCTCGGCGGGCGTGCCCATAAGCGCGAGGAGGTCGTCGTAGCGCCCGTAGACGCTGACGTAGTGTTCGAGGTTGTGCAGGAGCGCGCGCGTGTCGTGCATCGCGAGCCACGCAAGGGCCTGCCGACCGAGGAGCCGCTCGCCTTTGCCGCCGCGGATGTCGCGAATGTACGCAATGATCTTGAGCGTGTGCAGCGGGTCCTCGGCGTACGAGGCTTCCAGCTTGGCTTCGAGATTTGTGAGAGACGTGCCCCGATTAGCCCCAGAAAAGAGGTCGACGCGGCCGCTGGTCGTCGTTGCGTGCGTCAAGGCGCCGTTGTCGGTCATCGTCATCTTCTGCGCCGCGAGCGCCTTGGCCGCTTCCGCAAACGCAGCCATAGTGGCAGACGAGCGCAAAAATTGAAATAAGCTCGGAGCCACCAAGAATATTCGCTTATAGGTATGCAAGTCCTCTTCGTTTTGTTTGGGTTGTGAAGTGAGCAAAGTTCACTTTTTGAGAGTGATGGTGCCAGACTGGTTCACTGCACCCGGTACAGTGTACAGCCGAGCACCAGTACAATGTACAGTACGTACAGCGAGCTCCGGGAAGAAAATATCGAGATATCGGTCAACACTTCGTTTTGTTTGGGTTGTGAATTGAGCAATGTTCACGTGTTGCGAGTGATGGTGCGAAGAAAAGCGAAGGGATCCATTCCGAGATCTATGGCCCCGATTGCTGCCTGTGATACACTGGGAGGGGTTTGCTCCCAACGCTGTTCGCACCTTCCCTTCAAGGAACAACCTGTCTACGTCTACCCAGACGTGTACCCTAACTTGGCTCCATTGCCGCCTCAAACAAGCATGAGACCCTTGGATTGAGCTTTAGAAATCCACCAATCATGACGCATCTTTACGTACTTTTCAACCAATCCACGCACAGCTTTCGCACCTTGACGCGTTGGGAGCTGCTCACTCGCGAGTCTGTCCGCACGACGCCCCGTCGAAGCACATATAACTATACCAGGGCATAGATAGATAGATACCTCTGCACATATTGGCCCTTCTCTCACGAATAGAGCGGCTTGACCACGCTTCCAGTGCTCCTCCAGTGCGGTTCAACGATGGCATCCGGATGGTATCCGGGTGGTGGCCTTTCTGGCTGTTACGGGACTTTAAAAAGCGAAGAGACGGCCATGACCCGGCTCCTCCGCGTGCTGCTCATGCTCACGTTCCTCGTGCTGGCGCTGGCGCCGTCGACGGCCGCGCCGAGCAACAAGAAGCTCGAGACGAAGCGCTCGTTCGCGGACGACCACGTCCGCATCGAGTTTTGCTCGTCCTGAGGCTACGCCAACAACTACCGCGAGGTCCAAAAGTACCTCGAAGCCAACTACCCCCACCTCATCGGCCGCATCTCGGGCGGCAACGCGCTGCCGCCGCCGTGGAAGCAGCAGCTCGCGTCCGTCATTGGCTACCTCCAGATGGCCGGCTTCGCCTTCCTCCTCGCGGGCGAGCACATTCTGGGCGCGCTCTCGCTTCCCGCGGACCTGCCGCTGTTTGTGCAAATGCGCGAAAACAAGTTTGCGGCCTTTGCCGGGCTCATGATCCTCGGCAGCATGTCGCAGTCGATGCTCGCTACCGGCGCGTTCGAAGTCTACTTTAACGGTGCGATGACGCCTCGAATGCTTGTCGCACTCACTTTTGATCGTAGACGAGCTCGTCTTTTCCAAGATTCGCATGCACCGATGGCCCTCGATGCAGGTACTTGTGCAATGTGTGTAGCGCACGAACGAACGCGTTCTGTAGGAACTGATTGAGCTCCTCCAAGCCGCGGGTCTCCAGCGCCCGTACTAGGCGCACACGCATGTTGCGCTAGCGATGTGCTGCGTCGCCGATGGCCTCGGCCCCACGCCCTCTGAATGATGGGTCGCCTAGAAACCAGATTCTGGATGGGCGACCTTGAAAATGAACCGGCGCGGGGCGCATGTGACCGACAACCGACGGTAGCGCGATCTACGGGGGTAGAGACGCGCTGCTGCTGGCCACCCGTCGTGGAGCATGCTGTCCGGGGCATCGTAGCTCGTACTACGTAGCTAGCAAACGCGAATCCAGTCGACGAATGCAACAAACTATTAGTGGACTTTGCCGTTTGAGTTTGCCGTTTTTTGAGTTTGCCGTTTTTTACTTGATCGTTGCGAGGCCAAGCCAGCGTGCGTACCGGTTCCTTGGAGAGGTCGATAGGAAGGCGTCATCGTCGTCTTGTGGCACCAAGCCCATCGTCCCTCTCGATCGCTTGTCTTGCAATATGCCGAGGATGTTCCGACGTCCAGGGACCTTCCGTCCAAGATGGATGACCGTGTGAGTTACGCCATGCGTACCAGATTCCGGCGTTTGTTCAATCGCAATGGGCTCGCGAATCTCTCCACTGGTTTCACGCGATCTTGGCGACGCTTGGTGTTGTTCTGCGCTGCATCCTAAAGAGACGCTTGCTCGCTGATGTCTCTGGGCATCCGCTGCTCGCAGCCGTCGCCGCATGCACAAAAAATACCTGTCCACTGTACCTTGCATCACGTACCAGCGTCCTGGACACGACACGCACCGTTGCCGACAATCGAAAGGCCGAGACGACGACGAATGTTCGCGAAGGTCGCAAGATCAAGGAAGGCATCAAGATTTAACGGTCGATGGGAATTCGTTTGGACGGAAATGGAACCGAGTTGGAATCTCGGCCATTGCAAGTGAACAAGCCAGCGTATCTCGCTCCGTGCACGCACGTTACTCACCGATTGAATACCTGGGGTTTTGTAAGCGACCTTGGCGCCACTTGGTGGTGTCCTGTTACACGAAACGACTGGTGGATCGCATCGCGGGTCCAGTTCTTATAGCAGTCGTCAATTTTCTCTTCCACTTTGCACCACAGCGAGGGTGCATGGCGCCGCCCAGCGCCTGGTCGCAGTACAAGGAGGCGGTGCTGCAAGTCGCGACCACGTCGACCGCCACGTGCCAAGCGTGCAGCGCCAAGATAGGCGCGGGCCAATTGCGCCTCGGTGTCATGTACCTCCACGTCGACGGCTTCATGCTCATGGAATGGGTCCACGTCTCGTGCGAGCCGTCGCTGCCCGCGGCTTTCGATACGATCTCGTTCATCGAGACAGGCGTCGACCCCGACCACGCCAAGCGCATTCTGAGCTGGGTCTCGATCTGCAAGACCAAGCCGTCGACGGCCAAGGAAATCTTGGAGCTCGAGACGCACCAGATGAGCCGCAGCCGAAAGATGACCGCCTAAGTTATACCAAGACAGAGTTATGCCTCCTCGCGTTTGCTTCCCGTCGTATAGAACAATGCAGGGGACGCGGGCTGCCGCACGAGCGCGGGCTACCAGAGGCGGCGATGACCACGCACGAGATCTTTGAGTTAAACTGCACTACTCCTCGGCTTCGTTGTGCTTGGCCTTGAGAGACCACTTGTCCCGCTTGATGTCAAACTGCAGCGGCGCCCAGTGGAGATGTTCGGGACACACTTGCGGTCCTTTCTTCGTCTACTCGACCATATTTTCCGCACGGAACTTGCAACGCCATCACATACCACTTTGTGGAGCTGCTCCTCGACCGTCTCGGCGCGCAGGACAAAGACGTACTGGCCGTTAAAGTACCTACACCATCATCGTGTACCATGAGCCTCCTGCATGTTGGTGTTGTTCGTACTTGATAATGTTGAGGTACTGGAGCGTCGCGATCACGTCTTCGTTCTTGATCGACGTGAGCTTGGTGAGGTCCATGACCGAGAGCTCGTGCGGGTAGTCCTTGAGGATGCCGAGAAGCACCTTGGTCCAGTAGCTGCGGTAGCTCACGAGGCCGAGATCCGAGAGCGGCTTCTCGGGCGACCCGACTTTCTCTTCCTTCTTCGAGAGCTCGTACGAAAACTGGATGATAAAGTTGCCATAGCCCTTGCGCTGGTGGCACGGAAACGTGAGGATACACGCCAGGTTGTATCCGAGCTCCGAGTACTTTTCCTTGGAGAAGTACCCGACCGGGTGAAAGCCCCTAATGCATACATACTCTTGTGAGACGAGAGGGCGTCCTGTTGAAAGACATACCGGTCGTCAATCTCGCACAAGATGTAAAACAGAAACGGATCGACGTCGTAGTACAGAGTCTTGTGGTCGAGGAAGAGCTTGGCGAAATAGCAGAGGTTCTGGCAGTAGGGCTTGGCGATCGCACCATCGACCTAGCAAGCAGCCGCCATGTGTCACTAGAAAGAAGAGGGAGGATTGGCACTACCTCGAAGACGGCGATGCCTTCGTGGCGGTAGATCTCGTTGCCGGGCGGGTGCTACATGCTGTAAAAGACGCTGTATCGATAGAGCGCGTCACGGTACCCGCGCGCAAGCGACGCGTTCGCGGTGGTGGCGCAGCTCCGACTTGAAGCGGAAGAACGCAAAGCAGAATTCGCAAAAGTAGAGCTACAGCGCGAGACACGATATCATTTCAGAGTCGGAGGACAGGAGACGTACGCAGTCAATGTTGCCGTCGGGAATAAACTCCTTTGGGAACGGCGAAAAGTACCACGCGGCCATGCGGTGCTTGCCAATCTCAACGAACCGCACGTTCTAGAACGACTCCTCGGGAAGCGACGACAGGCAGAGCCGCCGCGCGTACCTTGACCTTGGTCACCTCTTCGTGCTCGCGGATACTGGCAGCGTCCATGCCTTCGTGCTCGTCATGCTCGTCAGGCTCCGCATAGTCGTCCTAATACACACTTAAGAGGTTGTCCGGCTTGGAGTGCCACCTCGGCGTCGGTCTTGCGCTTCTGGCCGCGCGTCCGCGTCTTCTCGCCAGGCGGCCCATCGACGAGAGCTTCGGCCGACGTCTTCTTGTTGGCTTCTGTCGTTGCTAGGATGAGCTTGTTGCTGCATTTGATCGGTTGCGCTGACGTACCGTCGTGGGCCTCCTTCTCCTTGGCATGCTTCTCCTGGAGCTGCTTCGTCTCTTCCTCGGTACCTTCGCGCACGACTTCATCGGCGTTGATCCACTCGTCCATGCGTCGATTGAACTACGTCCTTGTATGAGCGCGCGCCATCAAAGTGAAAGCGATCGGCGTACGTCGTGCCAATGGACGTAGTACCGGATCTTGCCTTGCGCGACGACCTCTACACGTAGCCTTCCTTAGCCGCCGGTAGCCGCGTCGAGGACGTACTCCGGTCGATTACGACGCACGTGCGCTCCGTCTGACCCATCCACATGGCCACCAGCGTCGTCCCGACGGCGAAGCCTTCGGTCGCGGCCGGCGCAGCAGCCGGAGCCATCCTCGCCCTGTGCTTTCCGAATTTATCCGGATACAGCGACCCGTTGGTTGCGGCATATGCCACAAATACCAAGATCGCCGACATGACCGCAGCCGCGCTGGTGTCGTTCGCCGCCACCGAGCGCGTGCATGCCCATCTGCCGGTCGTCGCGGCCTTGGACGACAAGCACGCGCAGCTCATGACGCTGCTCGCAGCGCACCTGCCGGTGCCCGACTGCCCGGCGGCGCTGCATCCGCTGACGCTCGGCGACTTGGTCTTGTCCATCGAAGCTGCGCAGCTCCACACACCATTAAGCATCGTCCTCGCTCTCTTGCACATTGACGACAGCTACCACTTGTGCCACGCCATGCATACGTGGCACGATGCGGGTGCGACCCTGCATGACGCTGCCGCTCGGCTACAGACGCTCTACGTGCTTGTGGATGCAACCATGCGATCGCTGCGGACAGTAGACCACGAGCCGGCCGCCATTGCCGCGCTGCAAACCGCCATCGCGTCATCCTCTTGCGCGTGCCTGCGCGCTCATGTGGAGCCATCATGCGCCGTCGAGACGTCGCGTGGCCAACTTCCGCACGCGACGCCGCTCCAGGACGTGCTCGATCTCGTCGTTCGGCTCGCCACGTCGTACACAAGTCTTTGCCAAGCAGCGACGCCCAAGCAATGCCCTTCGATCGTGCCCGAGTTGCCGCCTCTCGAGACGATTGCATCTGTCCACGACGCGATCGCAACCTCGGACACGGACGAGCTGCAAGGAAACGAGATACTCGACGAGTGGTGGCCGCGCGCAACATCGACGACAGCAGCGCAAGACGCGATGCAAACATTTGCACGGCTCCTCGCACTCGGCAGTGCGCAGTGGAGCACGAGCAATGTCACTTGGCTGCAGGCGTATCTCGACGGGCTCACCGACCTCGATCGCCTCTCGATTGCGGTCGAGTGCATTCGCCGCCAGCCGCCGTATGCCACACCCGATGTGTCGGCCTCGGTCGCCAAGGCCTTCAACACACTCACGACCGACCACATGGAAAAGAGCCTCGTCATGCTCCTACGCTGCCTCGTGTGGGCCCCGGAGACGGTCTTGCACCAGCTGCTCCATACCGGCGTCACGTGTCCCGAGCACGTGCCTGTATTTCTCCGCCTCTTTGAGCTCGCACCGTCCTTGGCACAGTCGCCGCAGCTGCTGCCGTCTCTTGGCGATCTTGTTCTGGCGCTAACGACCGAGACGGTAGCGTCCACCGCGCACTTGTTTGCGGAGCTCACATCTGTCGGCATCGCGCCCATGCTCGATGTCGTCGGCACCTGCATTTTGCCGCATCTGCGTGGCGTCAACGACCTTGGCTGGGACCTTCTCAGCGCACTCTCGCCCTGGCCGTGTCTGTCGGAAGCGGCGATGGGCGTGGACCTCCTCGACCGCACGTGTGCGATATTGTCAACGGCGTGGACGTCAACAAGAGATGCCGATGCGGCCGCGCGCCTTCTTCCGATCGCCCGCGCCCTCGCCGCCGTCGTCGCGCATCCGACGATGCGCCGGCTCGAGGCGTACGTGACGGCCAAGGACATTCGTTTCGTACTGTTGTTGCTACCGCTGTTTCCCTCGACGCCACTCCCACTGCCGACGGCGCCGTGCGAGTCGGTTGATGGTGTGTATACGCTGTCGAAAGACGACGTGTGCAACGTTATCCGGGGTGCATTGTTGGACTGTGCATCGGCGGTCGCATTTCTGCCGTCACTGGCCGCTGCGCTACATCAAGGTCGCTTGGCCGTGGCCGGCGTCCCGGCCTGTCGACCCGTGTCGATGCTAGCGCTTCTCTCGACGTGGATTTTGGCGTCCCTTGCGGCAGGCGACGACAGCACTCGCTTTGTCTTTGAGTTCCTGCCGCAGCTCCTGCCGCCCGACAGTAACACGCCGCTCGATGCGACACTGTGCGTGGCCCGGGGCATGCTTCTTCGAGCGCTGGCCACCAAGAGCAGCTGGGACCGAACGTCGTTGAGCCATGTGCTGCACTGCATCGAGTACTGCATTCTCCAGGATCCGTCGTCGGTGTCCACGCACGAGGGACTGCTACCGCTCGTGTTGTGGCTTCTTCGCGAACAAAACGACGACGACGACGATGTGCTGCTCATGGTGCTGCGCAAGATGACGCGCGCGTGGCACGAGTATCTATCACCCGACGCGCTCGGCGAGCTACACACGCTCGCCCTCGAGCTGTTGAGCAAGAATATAGCGCCGACAAAGACCGTCTTTCGCCATGTGCACGGTCTGCTCACGACCTCTCGTCGGTCGACTGCCCTACCCCCATAAAGGAATAGTATCAATCTATCGAAACGAAGAGAGAGTTTCAGATCTTGTTTCGCCAAGGGACGCCAGCATGGACAGCGTCGACTGGAAGGCGCTCGGACTCACGATGGAGCAGGCGGGTGCGCTCGTAGCGGCCTTCAACAAGTACGACAAGATGAAGACGGGCGCGATCGCGGTCGACGCCCTCGATGCGCTCAGCGTCGACCTCGGCGAGACGTTCGACGAAGAAGAGATGCGCGTCGCCAAGCAGAGCCTCCAGGATGGCGACGTCATTCGCCTCGAGGCTTTTCTAAAGTGGTGGGCCCACGACCCGAAGCTCACATAGTCCTTTTGGGAAGAATCGAGTACTCGTGCAAAACCTTTGTTACTGAGCAAGTCGAGAGCAAGACCTGTACGGCAGGGATGACTGCCATCGTCCATGCCTCTAATCGAGGTGTATTACGTACTTGGGTTGAAGAAGAATCAAACTATGATGGACACGGAGGGCGACCACTAGACGCAGTCGAGAGCTAGATCTTCGCGACCTCGCGTGCTTGCTTTTTGAGCGCGGCAGCAACTGCCGTCTTGACCTTGAGCGCACGTGCAATGAGTTCCCGCCGCTTCTCTCTACGCACGGATCAACTCCTTGCCACGAATTGTCGCGTCCAAATTTTTACTTGGAATGCAGGACGAGGTTTTTCTCGTGCAGTCGGCGGAGCAGCTCGGGCACGGTGGTGAGTCCAGCGTTGCCCGAGAGGTCAACAACCTTGAGGCTCTGGAGCGAGTTGAGCGACTTTGGAAGGTGCACAAGGTCGTTCTGCGCGAGACTTAGCACTGAGAGGCTTGTCAAGTGTGCAAATTCGTCTGGTAGATCGCGGATTGCGTTGTGCTGGACGTACATCTCCTGGAGCTTGCTGCAGTTCATTAGGCTCAGTGGTAGTGACCGAAGGCGATTCGCTTGTGCAAAGAGCTGGCGGAGGCGCGGAAGGCCGCCAATGTCGGGTGGGAGGTTGGTGAGTGCGTTCTCGGCCACGTTGAGGACTTCGAGGAGTGGGACCGACTCCACGAGGTCAATGCTATGGATGTATGAGGTAACAAACGAGCTAAATGACGCATGGTACGGTAAGCTTGAGAGGTGGTTGTGCCGGAGGTTGAGCTTGATCAGCGTCGAGAAGCCAAGAACGCTCGGTGGTACATGGTGCAACTCGAGGTCGGCGAGGTTGAGTTCGCGGCCTTGCGTAAGCTTGTCGCACTTCGCGATGCGATCGCCGACCTCGGCTGCCACTTCCGACTCGGTCGCGCCAGGCATGAAGTTCAGCCTCGGGCTCAGTAACCGACGCGGTTGTATAATAATGTACTTGTCGACGACGATTTGCGTTCGTTTCCCACTGCCTCGCTCACGACTCTTGTGGTCACAGTCATCAGGACCACGTTGCGCCACCTATTTAGGCTCTGCGTCGCCCTCGAGTTTATAAGTCATACTCCAGAATTTCCTTACTGGTACCGTGCCACCTTCTGCACCCACGCTGGAGAACGCCGTGGCCAAGGCGACGCGCAACACATGGATATGCATAGTCTGCGTTACTGAAGAAAGTTTAAGCGGCGTGAGAATGTGAGAGCTCTTGGAGCTTCGAGTATTGTGCTCGCAGCTTCTCGTGATACGCGGTCTTGAGCGCTGTCGAGTTGGAGTGCTCTACAGCGACATCAACGTCGCGCATTAGTCCCATGAGATGGGAGAGCGCCATGTACCGAGGGCAGCAAGCGACAATGTCATAAACTTCTCGGCGTGCTTGAGCTCTTGGTTTCGGTAGCAAGAGACACCCTACCTCGGCTTAGCACGTGATGGAATCGCATGAAAAGACGTACAAAGTTCCATGCTTTGGTGAGGAGCCACTCAACATCGTCATCGGACAACGTGATCTCGAGGCTTGTTGAGATTTGACGTGCTTGGTGCAGCCACTCGTAGCCCTCTTCCTTGGTTTGCGCGAGAGCAATAATTTTCTTGAGTGGGTACGTGACTGCGGCAGTGTCGACCTTTTCTTTCTGAAGCTCGAGCTGCAAACTGCGAGAGAATTCAATGTCGATGATGTGGGAGAACTTGTTGACCTGAGCTTGTAGAGCTGAGAAGCAACGGGTCGCAGGAGACCGGGTGCTCCCTTGGTGCTTATGAGATGTGCGATAGGAGACTCTGCAGACCTCGTTCGAAGACTGTTTGGACGTGAAGAGGACGAAATCTAAGACATGACATGAGTCAGCAGAGATGGTATTTTAACTGACCGCCCAGCTCGCGCAGCTTTTCTGGTGTTCGTAGCACGTGCTTGATTTGCTGGTCGACGAAGTCGGTGCTTCGAACTGCATGCAGTTTGACCTTGATCTTGAATGCGCTGGTTGCCTATACCATTCGTCAGCTCCCGATTGGCAGGAAGAGTCAATTCTACCAAGTAGTCGAGAATGCGCGATGCGTCGCCATGGACATCCATCTTGGACAAGCTCAGCTCAATCATGGTCAATACCTACATCAATACACTAGCGTGGAGCACATAGTGTCATCATCAAGATTACTTCGCGAAGCTCAACGTCGGAGAGAGCGTCGAACGACTTCATGCGAATGCACGACGCAGCGAGCCAGCACTTTTCTTCGCGACCTTGCAGCTTCGTGTTGCTGGGAAAGTATGCCTCGGCCTTCACGGCAACGTCGGCCGCCAGCATGAAGCACTCCCAGTTCTCCTTGTTGCAGCCGAGATTGTGGCTATCCAAGATTCCGTAATGCGAGCGCAAAAAGTCAACACCGTACCAAACGCCGTAGAACCACTCAAAGACGGATGGCGGGCCAAATGCAGTGTTTGCTTGAGCAGGGTCAATCTTGTCGAGAATGCTCAAGAGATCACGCAGGTAACGCATGAAATTTGAAATCGACGTGTCTTCGTCGAGGGCCTCATCGCTACATAGTGAGTTGCGCGTCAATGGCAAACCCATGATCAAGAAAAATATCAAAGACCTGTTGTTGAGCTGCGCCATGTTTTGGAACAAAACGCCCATCGGCAGCTGCGGTACGTCGCCCGTTTGCAAAATGTGGGCGACAAGCCTGCGGCTAAAGCTGTCGAGCACTTGGAGCACGACAGCGGGGCTGCCTGCTTCGTGGGCTTCTTTGGCAAACATGACCAAGTCGTACACGTCAAAGTCGTCCAAGTTGATGAGCTTGGTGACGAGCTCCGTGATATCGGAAAGTGCGGGGGACGTCCCCGCGAGGCAAGCCCGAAAGCACGCAAAGAGCGACTTCTTGGACAATTCTTTCTCGAGTGCATCGTGCGCATAGCGAACGGCGTCGTCGACGTCTCCAAGCTTGACCTTGGCGCGGGACATAAGCCTAGTCCATTGTGTTTAGATATCCGTGCAACGAGAATTCGTCGTACCGGAAGGAACACGCTTGATCTTCCGGCGTCGATGACAGGATCATGCCGATGCGTGCCCACTGAAAGTACTCCTATGCATGGACAGAGGTTGAGAAATGACGCACCAATTGATGGAGCGTACGTCGTGAAGGTTGTAGTTGTGGGCGTTGCAGGACCCGTCATGGATCACCTTCTTGAGCCGTGATTGCTGCTCCGGTGTACACGGTTCTTTGACCATGCGCTCCACGATCGTAATCGTTTGGCAGCGCAGATTCTTGTCGTTGGAGAAAGCGAGTTCGTTTGCAATGTCGGCATCAATGTCCCAGGCCGCGTCGGGAAAGTTGTGCTGCAGATTGTGCCACAGGTCCAGCGCCGGTGCCGCGTACTCGGTCGCATGGGCAAAAAGGCGCGTTGCAGTGTGCGCAGCATCAAAGTCGTCACCGTTCTGCGTTTAATGCCATGGCCTCATGGGATTTGATTGAGGCCGATAAATGGTACTACCTGTAGCTTCTCCACCAACGTTGCCGCGACGGCCCAATCCTGGCGCTTGAGGTGCAGCTTGACGCCGTGGAGAAGCCCGTCTGTGGTCCCGAGCAAGCGCAGACACGCTTCTGCCTTGTCGAGATGCCCCAAGTCCAGGTACACGTCGGTGAGGCGCCCAATGATCATGGCGCGCAGCTTTTTGTTGCGACGACGGTCACTCTGTTCGACGATTTCTAAGGCCACGGCTAAAAGTGTACTTTCCGCATCGCGCGCGTCGGCGGTCAAGCAAGAATCAGCAAATGCCAAAATAGCTTTCGCGACTGCCGGCGCTTCCTTGGGCACAAACGGGAGGAGCATGCGGATCTCTTGGATGTCGCAGAGGATCGTGTCGAGGTCCAGCGACTGCAGCGGGAGGCTCTCGAGGTGTCCCATGAAGGCCTGGAAGACTTCGTCAATCACGGCTTCGAGCTCGACGACCGCGAGGACTTTTCCGAGCTTGTGCACGCCAATGGCTCGGTAGATCTCGATCGCCTCTTCAAAGCATGCTTGCGGCGTCGCGATCGGGAATGGCCCATCGCCGCTCGTGAGCAGGAGACGCCCGAGCCGGCAGAAGCATCGAAGGAGATCCACGCTTGTGCTCATAGAGCCCCGCTGGACGCGCTTCATGACGATGCATGCGATCGCGCGGGTCTGGAGCGCATCGAGCTTGCGCGTCTCGAGGAGCCGGCAGGTCCGCGACTTGTTGTAGAGCGCGATCGCGTCCTTGTCGTCGACACCATGAAGGGGTCCATCTAGCCACGCTCGTGCTTCCGGAAGGATCCCATCTTCGTCGGCGCCGTCGAGGAAGCGCGCGAGCCGCGGCAGGTCCATTACGTGCTCTTCCGTCTCGCCCCTCGGCCGCAAATTGCTGAATGCGCGCGAAATACGCCCGCGCGATCCAAAATCCGTTACTTTTCGGATACCTGTATTCTTTAACCGGACAATACGACCGGTTGCGTAACACAGTAACCGGACTGTTTGCACTGGACGCACGCAACCTTTTCGCTGCCGCTTTGACCACCGAGCCTGTTTGCACGGGCCTGGCCTTGGAACTACGAGATACCTACGCAATTGTATCTTGTCGTTGCCCTTTGCAACGAAGAATGCGATCGTTGTTGCGTTTCTCGATCGAGGAACTGTCTTGACCGCCTAAAGTAGCGTGTTTTTAGCTGCACCACGACCGGTATCCGGATGACCTGGCATGAAAGGGGTTGGTTCCGACAACTTCAAGCACGGTCGCCATGCTTCGTCGCTCGCTGCAGCACCCAGCGTCGCAGGTCCGCGCGCTCAGCTCGTGGAGCAGCAAGGCGCTGTCGCACAAGAAGACGTCGGCGCAATGTCTCTTGGTCGACGGCAACAATCTCCTCTACGAGATGTACGATGCACGGTGTCAATTGAGCTGGTACGAATCTTTGTCGTCGCTCGACATGGAGGTAGCCTTCTGCTAGGAACGGCGGGCCCACGGGCACGGCCATGCGCTTCGTGAAATGCGTCTACGACCTCGTGCGGGCCAAGCAGCCGCAGCGCGTTGGCATCTTCTTTGATACAGCGACCAAGACGCATCGCCACTTGAGCAACCCCAAGTACAAGCAGTCGCCCACACGAAAGCCGATGCCGGACGCCCTCCGCGCCCAGTTTGACGTCACGGTATTATATTCCTCCCCGTTTTTCTCTTTTTGGGATCCCATCACTGCGCTGTAGCTGCACCTGCTGCGAGCCCTCGGCCTCAAAGTCATTCAGAAACCTGGTGTCGAGGCCGACGACTTTATTGCCTCGTACACCAAGATCTGCACAACCGACGGGTACGACGTCATCGTCGTGAGCAACGATGGCGACATGCACCAGCTCGTGCAGTCGCCGACGCTCTCGCCACTTGCCAAGCAACACGTTGTCATCTACAAGCCGACGCGCGGCGTGTATGTAGCCGAGAAGCAAGTGCGCATGTTCCTGCACGGCGGCGCACCATCGCTCCACCCCGGCATCCGCGCGCTCTGCGGCGACCACTGGGGCAAAGCGTCGGGTGTCCCCGGTGGCCTTCCCGTTCCGATTGCGGTAGCGCTCCTCAACGAATTTGGGAGTTTGCCGCGCCTCCTCCGCAGCCTCAACAAGGTCGACGATTTGAACCTGCGGCGCCGGCTCCAAGACGCGATTTCGGCGCTTGAAGTCTCGTATAGAATGTCCAAGCTCCAGGACAACGTCGCGCTGCCCGTGGCGCCCGCGGCCTTGGATGTCCTCTTGCCGCTCAAATTGGATCGGTCGGTGCTGCACGATTACCTCGGCCCCGATGGTATGGCCACTGTGCTCGCCGACCCGAAAAACAAGCGCGGCAAGTTTAACAAACGAGCGCATGTGTTTCTTGTGCCGGAGCCGGAAGAAGAGCTCGATGCGCCGACAGAGGCTGAGCTCGACAAGTGGTTTGACGCTGTCGCCAACGGCCGCGACTACAAATAATCATACAATGGACTTTTGAATGACTAGAGTATCCAACAGTGGTCGTATCTTGCAATCCGTCTCGAGAACAAGCATTCCAGTAGCCCTACCCCTGTTTTCGGGTGAGGTCGTTGGACAGACTTGTTTGTCGCAACGTACTCGGGCATGCTTAGAATTGACCTACAGATGAAGGTACATTAGCACATCGTACACTGGAATGCGCCTGAACCCCCTGTCACAGCAGGAATTGGATCGTTCGATCCTGGCTGCCAACCGAGGTTAGGGTTAGCTGGAGCCCGCCCAGCCTAGCTCCTGCTTTCCAAGGCAGCACGTGTGTTCAGTCCCGCGCCGTGTTGTCCACTGACCGAGTGCACTTTTCAAATACTGTCACTATCCAATATTCATTTTTCAACTTCATATTCACGAGTCGCTACTACACACGGGTCGCGGTTAGCGGCCTAAACGAGTTCAAAGCCAAGGTCCGCGTCGGCTGCCTCCATTGGCAGCATAATCAGGTCGTAGCGAGCATCGAGGAGCGCCGTGAGCATCGTCTGGAACGGCGTCGGCGCGTCTTCGCCTGCAAGCACGGCCTTGAGAACGTTGGGCGAGAAGCCCGAGATGAGCGACACGTTGGCTTGGGTCGAGAGCGCTGCAAAGTCCATTGCGTTGCCGTTCACGTTCCAGTAGACGAGGTGCGGGACGTCATAGTTGGCAGCCGCAAACTCCTTGGCGAGCACCGCGTAGTTGGTCTCAAAGTTGCGGTCGGCTTGGTCAAACTGCATGTCCGAGACCACAATGATCTTCTTGGGCATGCGCTCGCGCGGGATCTGCTTGCTAAGTCCGAGGTTGATGACGGCGCGGAAGGCGGCGGCAAAGTCCGTGCTACCGCCCCACGGTGCGTTCTTGAGGCTAGTGACCTTGGCAAACAAGCTGTCGCCATCAATGTGATGGAATTGCGGCGACGACTCAAACGTGAGCACGAGGTTGTGAAACTCGTCCGAGACGATCGACGATACCATGATACCAAGCGCGATCGACACTTGCATCGGCGTACCAGCCATCGAGCCGGACACGTCCGACATGACGAGCGTCTGTGTGAGCGTACCTAAAGCCCGCGTCGCCGTCTCCAGGACGGCCCACTGCGCCTCCAATAGCTCGTCCTTGGGCTGGCCCTTGTAGTAGGCGTCGACGATCTCATGCGGAAAGAGAACAGCCGCATTGACCTTGGTCTCACCCGTCTTGAGACCGGCCTTCCACGTGGCAAAGGCGTCGGGGAGGCGGCGCTCAAACGCATGCTTGGGCTTGCCGTGGTTCTTCATCGCGACGCTGGGCACCTTGTTCAAGTTGATCTTCTCCCACTCCTTGGCGCACATGAGCGACTCGAGCAGCGTGAGCGACTTGCGCAGCGGTGACAAGTACGTCTTGCGCAGCTCGGCCGACCGCACGTTTAGCAGCTTGGCCAGCTTGCCGTTGACATGGTCCTTCTTGTCGGCCTTCTTGTTCTCGGACGGCACCCACTTGGCGCAGAGACTGATGGGCTTGCCATCGTGTAGCGCGGCAAGGTCCTTCTTGAGCTGCCGCGCAAAGATCGAGAGCGCAAAAGTCTCGGCGGGCGTGCCCACAAGCGCGAGGAGGTCGTCGTAGCGCCCGTAGACGCTGACGTAGTGCTCGAGGTTGTGCAGGAGCGCGCGCGTGTCGTGGGTCGCGAGCCACGCAAGGGCCTGTCGACCGAGGAGCCGCTCGCCTTTGCCGCCGCGAATGTCGCGAATGTACGCAATGATCTTGAGCGTGTGCAGCGGGTCCTCGGCGTACGAAGCCGCCAGTTTGGTTTCGAGGTCCGTGAGAGACGTGCCCCGGAGCACGCCGGCAAAGAGGTCGACGCGGCCGCTGGTCGTCGTTGCGTGCGTCAAGGCGCCGTTGTCGGTCATCGTCATCTTCTGCGCCGCGAGCGCCTTGGCCGCTTCCGCAAACGAGGCCATGGTGGCAGAAGACAGAAGAGCTCAAAAATAGAAATAAGCTTGTACCCACCGCAGCAAAGATATTCGCTTATCCAAGTACGCTGGCAACCGGATGTCAAGCATCAGGCGCTGTACCAGCCGCCTTGAAAAGAGCAGCAGAGATGAACTGCGTAATAGAGCGTACGCGAAAGCGTGTCCTACCAACGTCAATATTGCATTCGCCGTATCTTCCAACCGACATGTGTAGTACGTCGAGTCACACACCGCGCATCGGGAAAAGACCACGACCGGAGACCATGACCGGATGCTCCGCAGGTACTTTTTAAGAGAATATCCAACAATCCGCGCACCGGTATCCGGCAACGGCATGGAAGGTGCCACGAGGGGTCGTGAGTGATGGTCGCTAGCACCTCACGCTACCATCGACAGGGCAGATGAGCTGGGCAGATGATGGCAGAAGAGGAGCAGCATGTCGTTGCTGCACCACGTGTCCTCGTACTTGAAAGCGCGGGCTGACGCCTAGCCTACTGCGTTCGTGGTGTCCTGACCGCCGTGCGCCATTGATTCGGCAAATTGATGGATCCGGATAAAAATGCCACTTGACCGTTGCTTTGGCGATGACCTTTTGCAGCAGCGTGCTCGGGCAGCCCGAGATCGCCGCCATCGTCTTTGGCTACCAGGATGGCCTCTACGAAGACGTGCGCCGAGCCTTTTATGCGAACAGGGAGCTCGTCGAGTTTAACCTCCATTATCGCATCTACGAGGCCGACGCATCGTTCGCGACAACCCTCGCGCCGCATGCCGACTGGGACCATTATCCCAAGGCCATCTTCCCGTCCCACTACCTTGTGCGCAGCGACGTGCATGACGAGCGTTTCTCGTTGCACGCGGCCGTCGACGCCGGCTGTACACGCCTGACCCAGCGCATTTTGCACTGCCGCCCCCGTCTTGCCTCGGAAGACGCGATTGTTTTGGCCCTTCAGCGCGGTCGCTTGGAGGTCGCGGCGCTGCTACTGGACATGCGAGTGACCATGCCCGGCCTCTATCGACGCGTCCATTTCGTGCGTCTAGTGCGTACGTTGTATCTCCCTATCAAGTGCTACGACATGGACGATACTGACGCAATTATGGACGTAGGCGATGCCACGCGGCGCTTTCCGGGCACCTTCTTGGCCAGCGTCTTGGCGCGAGAAGACACGACGGCCCTTGCGTTGCTGCATCGCTTTGGCGTGCACCTGGACGACTTTGCGGCGCACCACGGGTACTTCTCCGTCAGCACGGCGCGCGAACGCATCTTGCAGCACGCGATCTCCAAAGCGACGCTCGAGAACATGACGCTTGCACTCGAACTCTTTCCGTGGTTCATCTACACTGGTGTCTTGGACGACGTCGCGAGCCGAGACTTCTTGCCGCTCGTACGCTCGCTGCACGAACGCGGCCTCGAGTGCTCGACAGCCGCCATGGACTTGGCGGCGGCCAACGGCCATTTGGACGTTGTCATGTTTCTGCATGTGCAGCGGACCGAAGGCTGCACGGTCGAGGCGCTGGATGGCGCCATTCGTAGCGGCCACCTTGACGTCGTTCGCTTCCTCCTCGAGCACCGCACCGAAGGCGCGTCGCCCAACATCCTCGACGAGGCCGCTGCCAACGGCCACGTGGACGTCGTCCAGTACCTCCATACTCGTGGTTCGTTCCGCTGCACCGTCACCGCTGTTGACAAGGCCGCTGCCGGTGGTCACTTGGACGTCGTTCGGTTTCTTATGGCAACCGGCCGAAGCCGAAGCTGTCGACGCGGCGATGCGGTTCATAATGCACTCCAAGGCGGTCACCTGGCTACGGCCGAGTACCTCCTCTCTCTCGGGTGCCCGTTTCCCAAGTCAGTGATCTCGTTGGCAGTAAAGAGCCTCTGTGAGCCCAAGATCGTGGATGTCTGCCGGCTCCTTGAGGCGCATGGTCAGCCTCGGAACGTCCAGTGGATGAAGTTGGCCTGCGCGGCCAACAACGTGGCGCTTGTCGAGTTCCTCCACGAGCCCTCGGGCGATTCCTACGGCCTCGAGACGGCGATCCAGAAATGCGCGTGGGACGTCGTGCGCTTTCTCTTGGCCAACGGCGCCGCCGGCGTGTCGGTCGAAGCGTCCAAGTAGGTGATACGCGATGGTGAATTTGATCTCGCAACGCAACTTTTGCAGCGTCAGCCAGAGCTCCGAAACGACGACCTTCTTCAAGGCGCTTGTACGCGCCGCGACATAAAGGCTATCGCTTACCTCCTCGATGCTGGCATTGGCAAGCCGCGCGAGTGCCTCTTGGAGTGTGCAGGCCACCCCAAGCACGTGACCGCAAGCAAGCTCTTGCTGCCGTACTGCTTGGACGCGACCAAGCACCTCGACAACATCGTCTTACTTCTCGATCTGCTCACACTGCCCAACCAAATGTACCCCTGGCCCAACCGCCGCCGCATGACGATACTCGCACTAATTACGCCCGAGCTCCTGGACCAAGGTCGAAAGACCAGCCAAACCATTCGGTTGCCTCCAAACGTGGCGGCGCGAGCGTCCACGCTGCTGCAGTCGGGCGAGGTAGTCGATTGGGCGCAGGCCCTCGTCATTGGTCATCTCTGGGCAACCGACTCTACGGTCACCGCCAAGCAACTCCTCATCAAGACGGCTTTGGTCCAGGACGACGAGCTCAAGGCGCAGCTCACGCGGCTCCTCGCCAGCAAGCGCACGCGCAAGCGCAAAGCTAACTAAATCACGAGTAATATGTGACTGTGCATGGTCATCCGAGTCATTCAAGGGCCTGTCCTTTGCACCCGCATTGGTACGCAACGATCTTCAGCGTGCTCGCCCAACACGAGTGGCCGCGACGTCACCTCGTCCCGCGGATCGCGCTCCTGCCTCCGCCTGCCTAAATCAAGTCCCTCAACCGAGTACACACAACGAAGAAAGTCCGACAATTTTATTTCGCATAGTTTTATCTATTGTAATAGACGACCCACTTCAACAACAACGATCTTCAGCGTCAACGCTAGGTTTCGAGATTTGTGAGGGACGTGCCCCGGAGCACGCCGGCAAAGAGGTCGACGCGGGCGCTGGTTGTTGGCGTAAGGGCCAAGGCGCTGTTGTCGGTCATTGTCATCTTCTGGGCCGCGAGCACCTTGGCCGCTTCCGCAAACGAAGCCATGGGGATCGAAGAGCGCAATATAGTGGGACCGGCACCAAAGATATTCGCTTATCCAAGTACACTTGAAGTGCGGTCGTTATCCGGATAAGCATGCCATTTTGCAGATGCCTTTCACCGGCGTCATCCTCGGCCAGCCCGAGATCACCACCATCGTATTTGGCTACCAGGCTGGCCTGTATGAAGACATGCGCGACACCTTTGCTGTTTGTGAGGAGCTTGTCGCGTTCAACGGCTGCGAATACGAGACCGACGCGTCGTTGTACAGGACATTTGGCGCCAAGCGGCCGTCGTTCGTGGAACGGTCCCAAGCAGTTCGACCCTCTCGACTATAACCTTCTGCGCAAAGCTTCGCGAGACAAGCAGCTGCCGCTGCACTTGGCCGTTGCCGGCGGCTGCATGTACCTTGCCAAGCGCATGCTGCATTGCCGCCCAGACCTCGCCTCGGAAGACGCGATTCTCGTGGCCTTTGGGAAGAGCCAATTCGAGATGGTTATCGTCCTCTTGGATCTGCGAGGAGGGACCGTGCCCGAGCTGTGGAAGATCGTCCAGTACACCCTTCCCGAGTGTACGACGTTGCATGCTGGTGTGCATCGTACTGAGCACATTGTATTGTGCCGTAGTTGCCCACATGTGGCGCTTCCCGGTGGGCCTTTTGGCCACCTTCTTTGCGAGACAGGATGCCAAGGGCCTCATGTTGCTTGAGCGCTTTGGACTGTCGACTTGGCAGTGCCAAGTCGACACTCTCTGCACAGCGCGCGCTCATTGGCCGATGCTACCTAATCAACACCCCTTGTTCAACCTTATCTCTTCTTTCCAGCCAATGACACGCCGTCCAAGCGCCTAGGAGAAGGAGCAACATAATAATCGGCGCATGTGAGCACCTCGTTGCACGATCGTACTTTGTTTCTGTTGTTTACAGCCCTCTGAACCGCCCTTCGTGTGCCACGCGAGTCGGTTGAGCATGCTACAAATCGCCTCCAACGGCTCAGTTTTGTAGCGGCGTCTCGTCGTCGAGCAAGCCCACGAGGTCGACGAGCTGCTGCTTGGGAAGACATCGGACCTTGCACTCGCAGTCCGTATCGGACGCGGGCTCAGGGTATCGTCCTGGCCCGAGGAGCCACGACGAGGTGTTGGGCGCGAATCACAGCGAGTGGGAGTGTACGCAGGGCGTCGCTCTGGCGCCGGTGGTCCACAGCCTAAACCTTCGGAACGTTTGCAAAAGCATTCGACGCTCGAAACATTTTCCCTCGAATCTTCCAGGAAATATAGAGCACCAACATAGGTATCGAAGTATCACGCTTGCAAAGCCATGCGACTAGTTTTGCGACTCACAACTCAAAACGATGGCAGCGACCTCCTTCCCCAGCGTCGTGCTCGGCTACCCCGAGATCGCGTCGATGGTGTTTGAGTTTCAGTTTGGCGTCTACGAAGACGTGCGCCCGGCCTTCCGCGCCTGCAACGAGCTCGTCGAGTTTGATGCCAGAAAATGTGCTTACGCGTGCGATCCTTCCTTTCGCCAAGCGTTCGCGCCCAACGCCGTGTGGTCGGACGACCTCCAGTCCATCTCCCCACATGAGTACGCTCTACGTCGCGATCACGACGACCCGCGCCTGCCGCTGCACTTGGCCGTTGCCCAAGGGTTCGTGCAGCTGACGAAGCGCATTCTTGGCTGTCGACCCGACCTCGCTTCGGACGACGCAATCATCTTGGGGTTTCAGAAGAACCAGCTTGAGATCGTCGAGCTGCTGCTGGACCAGAGTGAGAGCGCACGTGATCAAAGTGGCATCGTCCGCGCAAGTACGTGCATGTTCTGTCATCCATGCTTTTTTGGCTAAGACAAGTTGGTGTAGAAACCCCAGCGCAGCTTGGCACGTGCATGGACTACTGGGGCAACATGCTGGCTCGAGAGGACTCGAAGGGGATTCTTTTGCTCCAGCGCTTTGGCCTATACCCCAACGACGTGAAAGAACCGCGTCGCCGGTATCTGATCTCTCGCGCGACGCTTGCGAACGCAATGCTCGCACTCGACCTTTTTTCCGTGGCTCCACTACCCACGTCTCCTGAACGAAATCACCGGTCGAGGGTTCTTGCCGCTCGTTCGCTTGCTCCACGAACGTGGCTTCAAGTGCTCAACAGCCGCCATGGACAAGGCGGCGGCCAGCGGCGATTTGGAGGACGTTTGCTTTCTGCATGAGCATCGAAAGGAGGGATGTACCGTCAAGGCCATGGACGACGCCGCTGCCAACGGTCATTTGGAGGTCGTCCAGTTTCTCCATTTCAACCGAACCGAGGGCTGCACGATCAAGGCGCTTGATGGTGCAATTAGCCATGGTCATCTTGAAGTCGTTCGCTTCCTCCTCGAACACCGCACTGAGGGGCGTCGCCAAACGTTCTTGACAAAGCTGCTGCCAACGGCCGCCTTGAGATCGCCCAGTACCTCCATTCTCTTGGCACGTTTGATTGTACCGTCGGCGCTGTCGACAAAGCTGCTGCCAATGGCCATTTGGAGATCGTCGAATTTCTCTTGACCAACCGAAGCGAGGGTTGCACTCACGACAAGATCGTTGAATACGCTCTCGGGCGTTGTCAGCTGCGCACGGCCGAGTACCTCCTCTCGCGTGGGTACCCATTCCCGACGTCGAGGATCGAGCTCGATCACACTTGCTTTTGCAGCCCCGCGACACTTGATCTTTTCGAGCTCTTGGTTGCTCGCGGCCAACCCATTGAAAAAGAGTGGCTCCTCAATGCCTGCTTTGCTGGCAACTTGCCGCTCTTCCGCTTTCTGCACGCGCACGCAAACCCGGCCTGGCGTGGCGACGCGCTCGATAAAGGTGCCTGGATCAACTTGTGGGACACTGAGAGCTTTCCTTTAACCAACGACGACGCGATGGACGTGTCGGTCAACGCCTCAAGAAGGCACTACGCTGTGGCGAATGTGAGATCGCAGCCCAAATTCTGCAGCGTCAACCAGAGCTCCGACACGAGAAGCTACTCGAGGGCGCTACAGCCTACGGCTTCACGAAGGCAATTCGATTTCTCCTCGATGCCGGCATTGGCAACCCGCGCGAGTGCCTCGTCGAGATTGTGGGTCGTCCCATGCACGTGACTGCGAGCAAGCTTTTGCTGCCGCATTGCATGGACGCGACCAAGTATCTCGACAATATCCTCTATCTTCTCGACCTGCTCGCGCTGCCCAGCCGCCGCCGCAAGACGACGCTCCGATTGATCACATGCCATCTTCTGGACCAAGGACGCAAGGCCAGCCAGACCATCCAGCTTGCACCGAGCGTGGCGGCGCGAGCATCAACGCTGTTGGAGGCTGGCGAGGTCGTCGACTGGGCGTTGGCCCTCGTCATTGGTCATCGCCATGCGACCGACTCTGCGGCGACCATCGAGCAACTCGAGAAGTAGACAGCGTTGGTCCAGGACGCCGAGCTCAAGATGCAGCTCCAACGTTTGCTCGAAGAGAAAGCGTAGACCAAAAAGAAAAATGTTGGATAGCAATTCACAAATTCAGGAATCATTTTGTAACCTCAATACATTGGCTCTATTGCTGCATGCGTGACCTTGTTGACGATGACGGGTGCATCGACGTCGTTGCAGCCCTCCGCCGTACCAGCTCGTTTCACTCAACCGTCGACAAAGGTGTTTTTGGTGGTCACTCAGACGTCACCCAACTGTACTTTAGACCACCAACCGAATCCGAGACCACAAGGCCGTTGAAGACGCGGTCAAAGTGGCATCTGCCGACGGTATAATGACACACTTCTTGCATAAAACACCCGTACATCTATACCCACTGGTATACTATATGTACTGAGTGTCAAGGAAGGCATTGGATCGAGTACGAGGCGGACTGTCTACTCAACTAAGCGAACGTCGGACTATCCGCGCCTCCTTATCCGATGGCAGACTGTTGCCCACGACGGTCCGATCATCTGCCCGTCTGCCCATCATGCAGTAGTGTATGGCTCCAACGGTCAATCTGCGGCCTGGTCCATGTCAGAAAAGCATGTCATGGGGCTACAGCTATAGCTCTATCGACCCGAAGGTCCGCATCAGGAGTGAACCCAACCCTAGTATCGACCAAAGGAATAGTTTAACATGCCATTTGGTTCAACTTTTTCTCCTCAACATCACTTATCCGGATGACTTTTCATTTTCACTTTTGCGATGACCTTTTGCAGCAGCGTCATCCTCGGCCAGCCCGAGATCGCGGCCATCGTCTTTGGCTACCAGGATGGACTCTACGAAGACGTCCAGCTTTTCGCGCCTGCGAGGAGCTCGTTGAGCTTGACGCCAGACTTCATATTTGAGCACGCGATAAGTCCTTTCGCCAAACGTTCGCGCCGAACGATGTGTGGTCGGACGACTTCGGGCACATTCGCCCTCGATTGTATGCGCTGCACGAAAACGAGCTCGACGCGCGTCTGCCGCTGCATGTGGCCATCTATGAAAGTTTGTGCAGCTGACGAAGCGCATTCTAGGCTGACGACCCGACCTCGCTTCGGACGACACGATCATCTTGACCTTTGTCAAGGACCGCCTCGAGATCGCCGAGCCGCTACTCGACACGATCTACCTCCTCGACAACATCAGCTTTCTTCTGGACACGCTTGCGCTGCCCGGTCGCCGCCACAAGACGACGCTCCACATTTGATCGCATCGGAGCTTCACGACCAAGGACAAAAGGCCAGTCAAACGATCCAGCTTCCACCAAGCGTGACGGCGCAAGCGTCAATGCTGCTGGAGGCTGACCACGCTGTCGACGCTGGCGCTCGTCATTTGTCATCTGCATGCGACCGACGACACCGCCGAGCAACTCGAGAAGAAGACAGCGTTGGTCGAGGACGCTGAGCTCACGACACAGCTCCAATGCTTGAAGAGAAAGCGTAGATCAAGAAAAGTTTAGGCGCGGGGAGGTTTTAGTCTGTACAAAGATGACAATACCAATCAACCCCCAACTAACATGTAATCCATGAGTCAATATAGAGTTTGGTAGCCAATATGACTCGCAGCTGAAGCAACACGATAGTTACGGAGATTCTAACGGCAGCCACAAGATTGCCAAAGGCACCGACCGCCTCGACGTACTCAATCAACAGGACTTCCGACTAGGGTCCATGTTTATGGATGGTGGCTCACCACATCGAGGCGAATGATGGTCACGTGGATCTCTCGATTCGCCGAATCTACCCAATCAACGCCCTTTGTACAGCTGTATCGTTTCTTTTTAGCCAATGATACGCCGTCCAAGCGTCAACCTAGGAGGAGCAACGCCGTGATTCGTTTAGATGCGCCCATCGCATTTTAGCGGCCACACGATCGCGCACATCACCCTGATTAAATATACTGTAGACGCCCGCACTTCAACGAGTCGCACTTTATCGAGACGTAATACCTTGCAGGCCGTCACGATGTCATTCAGGGAAGGGCTTGTCGTGCAGCGCATTGCGCCAGAGCACCACTCTTACCGTAGTGAAAGCGTTGCCGTGCTGCTTCCTACAAGTTGGATGGGTGGTCTGCGTGGTTCTTGACTCACGTCCCGTGTCATTCTCGCTTGGCGCTTCCGGCGGGGGGACACGGCTGATTTGGTGACATTGCCTTTCACAACCCAAAACGATGGCAGCGACCTCCTTTCGCAGTGTCGTGCTCGGCCAGCCCGAGATCGCGTCGATGGTGTTTGAGTTTCAGTTTGGTCTCTACGAAGACGTGCGCCCAGCCTTCGACGCCTGCAACGAGCTTCTCGAGCTTGACACCAAACTCAATATTGCTGCAGACCCGTCCTTTGAGCAAGCGTTCGCGCCGGACGCCGAATGGTCGGACAAAACCTGGTCCATTCATCCGCTTTTGCATCCGTCGCGTGTACTCAACGGCCAGGTGCCACTGCATGTGGCCATCGTTCAAGGTTTCGTGCACCTGGCCAAGCGCATTCTTGGCTGCCGACCCGACCTCGCGTCCGACGACGCGATCCACGTGGCTTTTCAGAAGAACCAGCTTGAGATTGCCGAGCTGCTACTGGACCAGCGTGAAAGTGTACACAATCAATGCGGCATCACCCACTCACGTATGTGCATGCTCTGTGATCCATGGCGTTGATAAGGCACCATGGCGTAGACCTCCCAGCGCGGCGCGCCACGAGTAAGAATTACTGGGGCAACATGCTCGCTCGAGAGGACTCGAGAGGTCTTCTTTTGCTCCAGCGGTTTGATCCGCGCTGCGAAAGCTTGACGGAATCGAGGCGCCGGCATGCGTTCCGACGCGCGTTCCAAAAAGCGATGCTTGCGAACGCAATGCTCGCACTCGACCTCTTTCCGTGGCTCCACTACCCCAGTCTCTTGGACGATATGGCGGGCCGAGGTTTCTTGCCGCTCGTACGCTCGCTCCACGATCGCGGCTTCGAGTGCTCGACGGACGCCATGGACAAGGCGGCGGCCACCGGTCATTTGGAGGTCGTCACGTTTCTGCATGCACATCGAAACGAGGGCTGCACCACCAAGGCCATGGACGACGCTGCTACCAATGGCCACCTCGACGTCGTCCAGTTTCTCGATTGCAACCGGACCGAAGGCTGCACGGTCGATGCGCTGGATGGTGCAATTAGCCATGGTCATCTTGACGTTGTTCGCTTCCTCGTCGAGCACCGCACCGAAGGCGCGTCGCCAAACATTCTCGACCGTGCTGCAGCCAACGGTCACCTTCACGTCGTGGAGTACCTCCATACTCTTGGCACGTTTGATTGTACCACCGACGCCGTCGACAAAGCTGCTGCCGGTGGTCACTTGGACGTCGTCCAGTTCCTTTTAACCTATCGAAGTGAAGGCTGCACCCACGACAAGGTCGTTGGATACGCTCTCGAGCGTTGTCATCTGCGCACGACAGAGTACCTCCTCTCGCGTGGGTACCCATTCCCGACGTCGCGGATCGAGCTCGATCACACTTGCTACTGCAGCCCCGTGACACTGAGTTTTTTCGAGCTCTTGGTTGCACGCGGCCAATACATTGAAAAAAATGGCTCCTCAATGCCTGCTTTCCCGACAACTTGCCGCTCTTCCGCTTTCTGCGCGCGCATGCAAACCCGGCTTGGCGCGCCGACGCGCTCGAAGATGCCATCAGGGTCGGCGCGTGGAAGATTGCGCGCTTTCTTTTGGCCAACGAAGCAATGGACGTGTCGGTCAACGCCCTCAAGAAGGCGCTACGCTGTGGCGAATGTGAGATCGCAGCCCAAATTCTGCAGCGTCAACCAGAGCTCCGACACGAGAAGCTTCTCGAGGCCGCTACAGCCTACGGCTACACGAAAGCAATTCGATTTCTCCTCGATGCTGGCATTGGCAACCCGCGCGAGTGCCTCGTCGAGATTGCGGGTCGTCCCATGCACGTGACTGCGAGCAAGCTTTTGCTGCCGCATTGCATGGACGCGACCAAGCATCTCGACAATATCCTCTATCTTCTCGACCTGCTCGCGCTGCCTAACCGCCGCCGCAAGACGACGCTCCAGTTGATCACACAAGAGCTCCTGGACCAAGGGAGAAAGGCCAGCGAAACCATCCAGCTTGCACCCAGCGTGGCGGTGCGAGCATCAACGCTGTTGGAGGCTGGCGAGGTCGTCGACTGGGCGTTGGCCCTCGTCATTGGTCATCTCCATGCGACCGACTCTGCGGCCACCATCGAGCAACTCGAGAAGAAGACAGCGTTGGTCCAGGACGCCGAGCTCAAGATGCAGCTCCAACGTTTGCTCCAGCAGAAGCCGTAGACCTAGAAGGATTGACCGCAAAGAGACTGTAGTTTGTACATAGATTTCAATACCAATCAATGCACAAAGCCATGAGTCACGATAAAGAGTTTGCTAGATGCGACAGCGACGGAGATTCTAACGGCCGCGACAAGCTCGCCAAAGTCACCGATCGGTCAGAGCTAGGGCATAAATATACATGTATTTGTGTCCTTGGCTGTAAGAGGAGCTCAATCTTTAGGACGACAAGCCGCCTCCTCTCGGGCGTCGCCATTTCATTACAGTACATTTTTGGGTTTGCTCGATTGGCCAAATCTACCCAATCAACGCCCCTCGTTTAAATACGTCTTTTCTTTTTAGCCAATGACACGCCGTCCAAGCGTCTCCAGAGGAGGAGCAACGCCATCATTCGTGTAAATGCGCCCATCGCACTTTATCGGTCGCACGATTGTGCACATCAACATAGTACACTATAGACGCCCGCACTTTAATCATACGCACTTTATCGAGGCAAACCACTCGCTGCGACGTCGCCGCCACGTCATTCAGGGCAGGGCTTCGCCATGCAGTGCTTTGCGCAAAAGCACCCATCGTAGCTCTAGCGTTGCCGTGCTGCTTCACCAATATTAATGTATTGCGCTGCGTGGGCCTTCTTCTGACGCCGATCCTTGCCATCCTCGTATCGCATCCGGCGGGGGACATGGCAAACTTGATATCCTTGCCTGGCACACAACCCAAACCGATGTCAGCGACCTTCCGCAGCGTCATCCTCGGGCAGCCCGAGATCGCCGCCATCGTCTTTGGCTACCAGGCTGGCTTGTATGAAGACGTGCGCCCAGCTTTCCGCGCCTGCGAGGAGCTTGTCGAGTTTGACACATGCCAAAAACTCTACCTGTGCGACGCATCGTTGTACAAGACGCTTGCACCAAGCGGCCGTGCAGGTCCCACGCGATTCGGTTCGTCCCGCTACCTTCTGCGCAACGATTCGCGCGACGACCGACTGCCGCTGCACCTAGCCATTGCCAGCGGCTGTGTCCACCTGGCCACGCGCATCATCCAGTGTCGCCCAGACCTTGCCTCGGAAGACGCGATTCTTTTGGCTTTTATCAAAGACCAGTTGGAGACGGTCGAGGTCCTTCTGGATCTGCGAGCGACGTTGCCTGCGCTGGAGAGCCTGTCTACCACGCACGTCGCGAGCGTACGTTGCAAGCTGCATATCATCAACGCATTTATTGCCTTGTGATGCATGTATAGAGGAGGAGTCTATGTGTCGCTTCCCGGTGGGGTTTTTGGTTGACCTCCTCGCCAGAGGCGACACCAAAGGCCTGAAGCTGCTTCAGCGCTTTGGCACTGGCCCCGACGACTTTGAAGGTCGCCATGATGCCCAGTCCAATCTTACCATGTCCGAACGGGTCGTGCGGTGGGCCATGCCATGCGCGACGCTGGCTAACGTGGCGCTCGCACTGGAACTGTTCCCATGGTTCCACTCCCCAGGTCTCTTGGACGACGTGGCCAGCAAAGGTTTCTTGTCGCTCGTACGCTTGCTGCATGGCCGCAGGCTAAAGTGCTCGACGAACGCCATGGACAAGGCGGCGGCCAACGGTCACCTCGAGGTCGTCGGCTTTTTACACTCGGCGCGAGGCGAAGGCTGCACTGTCCGTGCCATGACCGACGCCGCTGCCAATGGTCATGTGGAGGTCGTTCGTTTCTGCATGCGCATCGCAGCGAGGGCTGCACGGTAACAGCTATGGACACCGCTGCTACCGCAGGCCATTTGGAGGTCGTTCGCTTTCTCCATTTCAACCGCACCGAAGGCTGCACGACGAGGGCGCTCGACGGTGCCATCTGCAATGGCCACCTCGCCATCGCCCGCTTCTTGATTGAGCATCGAAGCGAGGGCGCGTCGCTCAACATCCTCGACGAGGCTGCCGGCAACGGTCACCTTGAGATCGTTCAGTACCTCCACAACCTCGGTTCGTTTGGCTGCACCGTCGGCGCTGTCGACAAGGCTGCTGCCGGCGGCCATTTCGACGTCGTCCAGTTTCTTTTGAATAACCGAAGTGAAGGCTGCAGTCGCGCCGACGTCGTCACTCGTGCGCTCACAAACGGTCATCTCCAAACGGCCAAGTCCCTCCTCTATCTTGGGTATCCGTTCCCGACCTCGGAAATTCGATGGTACGTCAACACCCTTCGCAAGCCCGAGATGATGGACGTCGTCCAACTGCTCCTCGAGAAAGGCGGGAGCTTGGACGCGAGCTGCATACTGTACGCCTGCAGTGCCAACCATCTACCGCTCGTCCGCTTTCTTCACGAGCGCCCGTGCGATTTCAGTGGTCTCTACTTGATCGCGACAGCGATGAAGAGAAAGGCATGGGATGTCACAGCCTTTCTCTTGGCCCACGGCAAGACCGACGTTTTGCTGCTCGCGCTCGGGTGTGCGCTACCCATTACCCTCCTGGATCTCGTCATGCGCCGGCTTGAGCGTCAACCCGAGCTCCGTGACGACAAGCTCCTCCAAGTGGCTCTTCGAAGCGACAACGTCGAGGCGATGCGAGGCCTCCTCACTCTCGGCATTGGGAAGCCACGCGAGTGCCTCGTCGAGATTGCGGGTCGTCCCATGCACGTGACTGCGAGCAAGCTTTTGCTGCCGTACTGCATGGACGCGACCAAACATCTCGACAATATCCTCTATCTTCTCGACCTGCTCGCGCTGCCTAACCGCCGCCGCAAGACGACGCTCCAGTTGATCACATCCGATCTTCTGGACCAAGGACGCAAGGCCAGCCAGACCATCCAGCTTGCACCGAGCGTGGCGGTGCGAGCATCAACGCTGTTGGAGGCTGGCAAGGTCGTCGACTGGGCGTTGGCGCTCGTCATTTGCCAGCGCTGGACGTCAGATGCACCAGCCGCCATCGAGCAACTCGAGAAGCCGGCGTCTTTGGTTCAGGACGCCGAGCTCCAGACGCAGCTCTACCACCTTCTCGCACATAGGTCATGACCGGTGGCATGACAATATTGTCCAACAACCCCAATGGTCTAATTCGCAATCTACAATGTTTTCTTCTACATCATCCCCTCGACGCCTGGTGCGAACGCGGTGGTTTGAGTTCCTGCGACATGCGACATGCGGAGCCTCTCTCAGCCGATATTTTGCATATCAAGTTTCCGAGGCAACTGTCGGTTCGATCGAAAAGGGCTCAACGGGCAACCGCGATGGCACTCTCGATCGCAGCACAGATCGAGCAGCGGATAGCAGCGCTCTTGCCAGCGCCAACAGTAGCCCCAGCGCTGCGACTCGACAAGCCCGAGAAGCCATTGCCACTCGTTTTGCAAGAGCGCTGCTACGCCCTCCGCCAACGCCAACGCTATCAGATGCACCGCGTCCTCCAGCACAAGCAGCTGCGCCGGCGCCGGCCAAATGCGCCGACCGAGTGCGCAATCTGCCTCGAGATGATGCAGCCCGAGCTCGAGATGCTGCGCACGCTGCCGTGTGGCCATACGTACCACCGAGTGTGCATTGACACGTGGGCGAAGCGGCAGAAGACGTGCCCGTGCGACCGCCTGCCCTTTGGCCGCCTCTTTTAGCCCCGTTGCATGACCAACACGACTGCATATTTGCATTTCCATTGCGGACGAAATAGCTCCCGGCTAACCTAGAGGGTGGGCGTCGTCGTCCACAGGCAGCAATCGCGGTGTGTGGTGGCACAGCCGCCGCCACGCCTCAAGCATCGGGTCGTCGTCTTCGTCGTCGCGCCATGTGAGCTTGACGTCCTTGATCCACGCATCGGTGGCGACGAGGACGATCTCGTCGTCGTCTTGGTCGGGCAGCACACGCGCGTCGTCGTACTCGGGTGTCAAGACAAAGCCGGCATGGATCTCTTGCGGCGGCGCCTTCTCGAGCCGGCCGCCATAGGCCGCGAGACGCGCAGACAGTTGGTCCCGCGAGCACTCGCGGACGTTGGGGCTGCGGCAGACCCAGCACTTGCGCACGTGGAGGACGCTCGCAACGCGCTTCCTGTGCTCTCGCAAGACAGCAAATGCTTTGCAGCTGTGGCAGACGGTGCCTAAGACCGCCTTGCGACAGAGCAGTTGCTGCAGCGGTCCGACGATCGATGCGACGTCACCGGCGCTCACCTATTGCAGTCCACGCTGTATGGCAAATAGAGAGAGAGAGAAGGATATGTACCTCGTACGCGACCGACGGCAGGCCCCGGAACCCAAGCTTCACAAGCGGTGCAGACGCGCCGGTGACGGCGACGCACCGCAGACTCGCCAGCGGTCGCGCAAGCACATGTCCCGAGTCGATCTCTTCGAGCACTTTGGATGTCTACATGTAGCGAGATGCGACCGCAGCTCATTCTTTGATGCTACCGACGTGCAGGTGGATCGTAGCCGGCAGGCCTTCCTGACTCGCTGGCACGTCCAACGACTCGGCTTCGTCGAGCGAGAGGTAGAGCCGGACGTCGATACCCGCTTTGGAGACAACCTATAAGAGCAATACAGCGTCTCACGATGTAGAAGGACGATTGGTGGACCGGTCGCAGCATCTCCATTTCGTCGTCGCTCGCAGTTTCATCGTCGTCGTCGTCGTCGTCGTCGTCGTCATCGCCGTCTTCCTCGGCCGCCAAGTCCCGCAAGAACTCATCGACGTAGTAGCTTCCCGCACGGGCGCGGTGCGTTGGCGTCACCAAGACAAAGTCGTCGACGCTCGAGAGGACGCTGTTGTCGCTCCAGCCACTCTCGACGCGGGGCCGCGCGGCCACTTTGGCCACCGGTTTCGGCAGAAATGGCGCCAATACAAACGTGTCTTCGATCGCGGCAACCCGCGGGCGCAGGCGCGGCCCATTCCTCGCAGGCAGCAGCGGGTACCCGAGCGCATCGGTGCGCGTCACGGGTGCGTGTTGGCGCGAGTAGCGCATGCTCTCCACCTCAGTTGTTGTCCACGGCGCCCCGTCCAACTCGACACGCGGCCCGACATGAAAGAGCACCTAGTCACGCATGTATCTTATATAGACAGTAGTAGTAGATGCACTGTCGTAATACCTGTCGGCGGTAATCAGGGTACGCCGCGAGCGGGTTCCCGCGCAGGCAGAGCTCGTCGAGGCGCAGGCGCGCGAGACACGCGACCGCGTCAACGTTCGCCAACGCGTTAAACGACAGGTCGAGGATCTACGGCACTATAAAACCGAGGTAAAGAGAGGTTTCTCGACCTGCAACGCGGGCAACTGGTCAATTGGAAGCGCCTCGAGCGACGCGAGGTGGTTGTGGTCGAGGTACAGCGCTGTGAGCGCCGTGTACCGGCTGCGCAGCGAAAAACTTCGGAGCGCGTTGTGCGAGAAACGCGCAGAGAGCAGCGACGTCGAGGCCATGAGGTCCTCGATCGTATGCAGCGCGTTTCCGCTGCAGTCAATGTGCGCGAGGGCGGGCAAGAATGTGTCGAGGTCCTACGCTGATATGGAGTCGACCGATGCCATGCAATGGCGTCTACTGCGTGCCACGCGTGCAAGTGAGCATCGCAGACTTTGAGGGACTGCAAGCACGGCCACGACTTGTGCAAGAGCAGCTCCATGAGGCCCGGGAGCTGGCCGCCGTGGTACTCCAGCACCTACCACCACCATCGCACGGTCTTGCAAACCACGTCGCATAATATGGTACCTCGAGCTGGCGAGGAAAACATGCGAGCGACTGAAGCGTCTCGGCCGGCGCCTCTCGGAGCTCGACGCTTGTCATGGCCGAGAAAATCTCGAGGTGCAGGTCGGGGCACGGGCGGCGCTGGCTCGCGGCGTCGTGGCTCACTTTCAAGACCTTGGCTTCGTGCAGTAGCGTCGAGAGCTTGAGCACGTCCAAGTGGCCGATCGGCGCTTGGTCGAGGTCGGAGGCGCCGTCGCCTGCCATTGGCGACAAGACCGGGCACTCGAAGAGCGCTATGGTGTCATTGCACGTCGTCCGGCGAATCGTCCAGCCATCGATACGACCACTGCCATCCTAGGACCAGATTTGGGCGTACGGGTCGTGGGCCGACGCCGCACCTGGGCGTGCTTGGGACAGAGCGTCGTTTGTAGCCGCTCAAAGAGGTACGCAATGCCATGTGGGTTGAGCGCAAGCTTGACCGCCCCTTTCTTGAGCTTGCCTACATGCGTTTGCAGCGTCTCGTGGAGAAGCTTTAGGAACGAGCCGTCGCAGTAGAACCGGTCAAAGTCCATCTCGTCGGTCGAGGTGCGCGAGCGTGGCGGCGATGTCGTTGGCGTCGACGGGCTCGGGCGTCGATGGCCCCATCGGTCGTCGTCGTCGCCCCACTCCATCCTCGCAAAAGATTGAAAGTCTTTTCGCTGCTTTTGATTGGTGCATTTAGTAGTATTATAGCCAATCGCATCGCCTTCTTGCAGCCTTCAACAAATACAGCGCCGTCGCCTCCCGGTCGCTTCCCATCGACGAAGGACGCGACGCACTGCGATCATGGAGTATACATGTAGCAGTGGCGTCTACACGCCCGCTCACGGCGTCTTCACCGGCCTCCATCCACGGTCCTACCGAGCTCTGTATCGCATTGGAAAAAGATCGTGTTGCGTGCGTTTAGCCACGTTGCACCTTGGTTGACGTGCGATGTGACTTGTAAGGTTCGCGCGTCGTCCTCTGCAATGACATGCGCGTACGATCATTCTTTACTACCCTCTTGGACACATTGACTAGTAGACACTATTGTACCCGTGCTGGATGCGAACGGACGATCGACGCCAAGCCTCGTCGCAGGTGTACATCGCGCGGCCACCTGCGACGACGTCCCTTCCCACACCATCATTCACGCACCGTGACGTTCCAACGCTTGGCTCATGGACTGTCGACGCCTATGGCATGAGCGTGCAGAGGCGGCTGCGACTGCAACGAGTACAATCTCTCTAGGGGACTGGAGAATGCGCGGGAATCCACGTCGGTGCGACACGTTAGCCGCACGCAACAGAACCATCATTCTGGTGTTTTCTTGGTGTGTGTTTAAAACACCTGCAAATGGTATCCAAAGAGTATCTTTGGACCTGGTCGGGCGTATACAAAGTGCAAGGTATTTGTTTGAAACACACGATGGTTTTCAACGCCTCGGATCCAAGGGGGCGTAGCTTGGGGCACAAGCATTAAAATACGCAGGAACGTATAGAAAACGCAAGCTCACATAAAATATGCGAAATTAAATGCGGATTGTGTGGGCTTATGCCATTTGTGGATTTTTGCACGCCAGCTTGCGGTATCTGAGAGATTGCCCGTCGGCCTCCGCGGTACCCGGCGCCATGCGACCGCGGAAGCGCTCATGAAGATGCTGTCTAGGAATCCAGGTAGACACCAAGATCATAGCATCCTCGACGCACGCTGCCATCACGACTACACATCGTGATACTGCTTCCATCGTGACGACGTCGACCCCCAGCCCGAACAACCACCACAAGCGCATGGAGCCCGATTCCGACCAAATGAGCGCGCCGGACGCGCACGAGGCCAAGGACCACGAAAAGCGCCGGCGCATCCAGGCCGACGCCGACCCGTCGGCGCTCCAGGCCCACCACATGGAGCTCTACCGTGTCGTGTACGAAGACTTGCGCACCAAATCGACAGTCGGGTGGCAGAACGCGGTCACGGCCTTTGAGACCGCGACTGCCCACCCCGAGACACCGGCAACCATCGAGTTTCTCCAGCTCTGCTTTCGCCAGATTGTGAGCATCATGCTCGACCAGCAGTACGTGCTGCAACCGCACACGAGGACGCCCTCTTAACTTGCCTATGACGTCTAGTGCGAGCAAGATTGGCCCGACCGAGAAGAGTTGCGTGATCCAGACGCTCACCAAGGGCATCGTACTCTGCGTTGGCCAGTTGAAGGCGCACCGACCGACCTTTCTCTCGCACGCGGCTGTCCTCCTCAACAAGAAGAAGCTCTTTTACAAGGAGGTTCGCAACTCGCACATGATGGGACAGTACTGGAACAAGGCGACCGGGTGCCCCGAGGTCCGCCAGCAGTGCATTAGCCTCTTCCACGAGCACGGCGGCTTCCTCGTCCTCGCGCAAACGATCGAGGCCATGGTCGAGAACGACGAAAGCGTCGCGTGCCTCGGCCTCGTGCCCATGGACGATCTCCGCATCTTTGTCCTCGCCGTGCTCGAAGCCCGCAGCAGCGTCGACGTCGGGCTCGTCTATCGTCTCTCGCTTGCGATCCTTCGCCTCCTCCTCGCGCTGCCCGCGGCCGAGTTGAAGAAGGAGGCGACCGACGTCATGGGCCACGTGCTTGGCACGATCCAGCGGCTATGGGACGTCCACCACGCGTCGCCGCTCCAGGACACGATGCTGCAGGTCATTGCGCGCTTCATCGAGTCGACGTCGCTGCCGCAGCGCCTCTTTGGTTTCGAGCAGCTTGGCCACTTGATTGGCGCGGCGCGGCACGTGCAGCCGTACCCGATCTCGTACACAGTGAGCGGCGCGGGCTCGGCGCATGTCAACGGCACGTACCTTCTCGTGCGCAACGGAGGTGACTGAGTCGTCGACGGCCACGTACGTCCAGCCGAGCGTGGTCCCGACCACGAGTCCGCTCACGCTCTTTTGCTGCACGATGAAGAGCGGCGCAAAATGGTGGTTCCTCTCGGAAGCCGACAAACTCCAGCCCGGTACGGACCAGGACGTGGACTATTACCAGCATCAGTCGTCGTCGCTCGACGAGTGCCTCCCGCCTGTGCTCCACTGGCAGCCGACGGGCAGCGGCATGGCCCCGGCGCCATTGCTCGTGCCGACGCGCGCACCCGAGGCGTCGATCGACCCCGCCCGGTTTGACCAGCAGATTCTGGCCTTTGTGACGCGGACGAAGCTACTGGAGGAGATTTTTTGGCGACCGCATGCACCGCGAAGTCGTCGCGCGCAGCACGACGTTGTTGACGTTCCTCGCCGAGTCGCACGCGATCTCGGAGGCGCACTTGCTGCAGATTGTGGCCTCGACGTCGGGCAAGGAAGCGTCGCTCATGGCCGAGATCCAAACCGTTCTCGTGACGTGCGTCTTGCCGTACGTCTCGGACGCGATGCTCGAGCCGTTTCTCGAGCACGTGCTCGCGTCCAACCTCACGGATGCGACCTTGTTGATGGAGAAGATTGCGACGCAGTACCGGTGCATTCTGCTGCGTCCAAGCCCGACGGTGCGTAGCGCGGTCGCGCGTGTGCTCTGGGCCATCCAGCTCCAGTCGGCCAAAGCGACGTCGTCGGAGCTGCTCGAGTTTTCCAAGACGCTTTGATGCACACGCCGAGCGACGCGTCTACGTTTGTAAACGCGTGCGTGGCGCAGCTGCAGCTCTCGGCCGGCCAGTCGACGCCGCTTGCGTTGGACGACGAGACGCGCATCGCGCGCAGCCTCGAGCTGCTCCAAGTGCTTTTGACAGCGTCGACGCCGGTGGCGCCACTGGTTGCGCTCTTGTTTGACGAGATTGCGGCCTTTGTCGCGCGCAACCCGATCGCATCGCCGATGGCCGAGGCCGCGCTGCGCCACCGCCTCGAGCTCCTTCAGTTTCTGCACCACAGCAGCGCGCTTACGTTTGAGGAAGTGCTGCGCATCTGGAGTGCCCTGCGCGTGCATTACGCCGACGTCTGCTACGAGTTTCTCCGCGACGCGTCGATCTTTGTGGTCGCGGATGCGGCGCCGCTCCAATTGGACGTGTGTCGTCGCGTGTTTGAGCAGCTGCTGTGCGTCGCGGCCGAGACCAACTACGCGTCGCTGAGTGTCCACGGGTTCAACTGTTTTCACACGTTTTTCATTGGGCTCAACGCGCACATGTCGCACCTCGTGCGGTCCCCGACCTCGATTCGACGCGTGATGCGCCTCCATGCGCTCCTCGGCCTCGACGCGCTCTGGACGATCGCGATGGAAGGCGCGCCGGACGTCGCCAAGCTCGCCACGAACGAGCTCCTTCAAGTGTACGCCCATGTCGACGAAGGCGACCGGATGGAGTCGCGGGTGCACTTTTTGTCGCACGTGTTTGCGTCGCTCGAGCACGCGCGGCTCGTGACGCAAGGCGTGCAGCTGCTCGCGGGCTTTGTCGCGTCCCAGCCAGCGCGCCTCGTGCACGGAAAGCGATCGCGCGGCACGCAGCTCACGCTCAAGTGCGTCGTGCAGCGGATTCCCAACCAGCTCCACAACGAGCGCACGTACGTGACCCTCACGGTGTTTGCCAACGACCCGGTCGCGCGCCTCCGGTCGCTGGTCGAGCGCACGGTGCAGCACCCGAAGAACCAGACCAAGCTCCTCGCGCACAGCGCGACGCTCATTGGCGAGGCCAAGACGCTCGCCGAGGTCGGCCTCACCGAGTCGACCGAAGTCCGGGTCGTTTTGTTTCAAAATGTCGTGACCAAGGCCGCCGACGAAGCGACGATCTTTGCGCCGAGTGAGCTCGAAGCCTCGTCGCCCGGCGCGCTCCTTGCCGCCAACGAGGCGTATCTGGACGTGCTTTTCGGTCTCCTCGCGTCGTCGACGACGCCGAAAATGACGCAGGTGCTGCTCCGCGACCTTTTGCAGCAGATCCCGACCAACCCTGACTGGCTCGCGCGCTGTGCGACGCCGCTCACGTCGCCCAAGACGGTCGCGTCGTGGCTGGCAGCCATGCCGTACCCCAAAGCCGTCTACGTGCTCGAGGTCCTCGACGGTCTCCTCATGCCGTCGTCCATGGCGCAGCGCGCCTACGACGAGCCGTTTGTCATGGCGTTTGTGCGCTTTGGGATTCCGGACGTGCTCGACTTTCTCTTTCACGTGGCGAGGGAAGAACACGGCATTGAAGTCGCCTTGCGGATCGTCAAGTTTGGCTGCGTCGAGCACCACAGCGTCTCGGCCATGGCACTCGACGTCCAAGAGGCGCTCGTGAAACACTTGACGACGCTTGTGCTCTCGCAGCACGCGCCCCGCGTGCTTCTCGATGCGCTCGAGCTCATTCAGGCGACGACGACTGCCTCCCAATGGTTCATCCAAGTGTTTTCGATCTCGCTCGAGATGACGCTGCTGCATCCGTGCGAACCCGTGCGCGCGCAATGGCTCTTGACGCTGCAACGCCAAGCGAAAGACGCGAGTGTGCTTGTGGACCCGCTCACGGCTGCGATCGGCCAGCTGCGCGTCGACTCGCCCGTGTGCCACGAGCTCTTTCAGCTGCTCGAACACGTGGTCGAGCACGCGCCGTTGCATGCGCTGGACGCACTTGTCATCAACTTGCTGCAGCTACTGACGCCGTCGACGTCCAACCAAGTACTGCTCGGGTCGCTCCAGTCGCTCGCCCACATTTTGTCGCTTGCGCCGCAGCACGCGGCACGGGTCTGGGAGGTGGTCTACGACCAAGGCCTCTTTGCGATGCAGTCGTCGGAAGGCCACCGCGCGCGGAGCCTCTGCACAACCACCGAGACGCGTCGCGCGGCCTATAGCGTCCTTGCGCAAACGGTCAAGCACGCGCCGGCCAACCAAGCGGCGCTGCGCGCGAAGCTCGGGCGACTGCTGCAGGAGGCGGCCAACCCCAAGAAATGGGGCCAAGAATGTAACGTGGTCGCTCGTGCCAGGTACACCTCCTTGTTTCTCTTGATCGATTTGCGTTGTGGATGATGCTATTATTTGTGTGCTAGTGACGACCATGTGGGCCTCAAGAACCAAGGCTGCTCGTGCTACATGAATTCGTTCTTGCAGCAGCTCTTCATGTACCTTCCGATCCGGCAAGGCCTTCTCGCCGCCGCGATTCCCGACTCGTTCAAGACGATTGAAGAGGACGGGGATCTGGCGACGATTGCGCCGTCGTCCCTCGTCGGTCGGCGCATCATGCACGAGTGCGGGAACGGCCGGTCGTTTGAGGCGCTCATCACCGGCTTTGACCCGAGTACGAACCAACACACGATCAAGTACGACGACGGTGGCGCCGACGTACGCTCTCTCGTTCGAGTTGCATGGCACTTATCTTCGACATGCTGCTGTAGTTTTCCATCCAAGTGCTCGGAAACGTGCACATGACGCTGCTGCCGCCCGTCTTGGAAGGCGACGACGCGACGGTCGAGGTGCTGCGTCAAGTGCAGCGCACGTTTTGGTATCTCAAGGACAGCGAGATGCGCTACTACAACCCGAAAGCCCTGGTACGCAATTGCATGTCCGTCATTTTGGGCGGCTATGAAACCATTGTGTTGTGATGGTTAGGTCGAAGCCTGCAAGTGCTTGAACCTCGAGTTTTCGGTGTACCAGCAAAACGACGCGAGCGAGTTTTGCGACAAGCTCCTCGATCGTCTCGAGATTGGGCTCAAGAAGACACCGCAAGGCGCGGGGTGTCTCCAAGCGAACCTCGGCGGCAAGCTCATTTCGCAAAAGCTGCCCCAAGGCTGCGGCCACCGCTACGAGCGCGAAGAAGCGTTCATCCGCCTCGAGCTCCAGATCCGCGGCAAGGACTCGATCGAGGAGTCGCTCGCGAGCTTTGTCGAAGGCGAGGTCATGGATGGCGACAACAAGGTCGAGTGCGAGCAGTGCGGTACGAAAAAGGCGGCGACGCGACGCACGTGCTTTGGCGCGCTCCCGAATCTCCTCGTGCTCCACCTCAAGCGCTTCGACTTGGACTATGCGACGTTTGAGACGGTCAAGCTCAACAACCGGTGCTCGTTCCCGCTCGAGCTCGATATGCGGCCGTACACGAAAGAAGGCCTCGAAGACGAGAAGGAGTCGGATGGCGACGACGCGTCGATGATGATGGAGAATACAGCCGAGACCAGCAGTGCGTATGCCTACGCGCTCCGCGGCGTGCTCGTGCACTCTGGTGTCGCGCAAGGCGGCCACTACTACTCGTTCATTTTGGACAAGACCAAGAACGAGTGGTTCAAGTACGACGACGAGGACGTGAGTCCGTTCGACCCGGCGCACATTGAGGCCGAGTGCTTTGGCGGCACGCAGAAGCGCACGTCGTCGTGGAACGGCGTGACCAACACGATGGAGATGGAAGTCTTCTCCAACGCGCTCATGCTCTTTTACGAAAAGGTCGAGCCGACGCCGGCGCCGACGCCAATTGTGACGCCGTCGCCGCTCGCCCACGAGGTCTGGCTCGCCAACGACGTCTTTCTCAAGCACTCGTATGTCTTTGACGCGGACTTTCACGAGTTTGCAAAAGACGTCATCCTGCATGCGGATGCGGTCGAGTGGTATGCGCTCGGCCTCTCGTTTGTCCTCGACGTGGTCTTGCACTCGCGCGAAAAGAAGGGCATTGCGCGCTGGCTCCAAGCGCTGCAGCATGCGTTTAGCGCCCACCCGGGCCTCGTGGCGCGGTTTCTAGATGACGTCATTGGTGACAAGAAGGCGACGTGGCTCACGACGTACCTCTTTGAGTGCCCCGACGGCATGGCGCGGCAGACGTTTGTGCACTTGGTCACGCGCGCGCTGCTTTTGGCGCCAACGGAGATGACGCAGCGTGTCGTTACCGAGCTCGTCGGCCTCTGGAACGTGGTGTTTCCGTTGTACGTGGACGATTTCTTCAACCTTGTCCGGCACCTCTGCGAGCAGTCGGCCGAGATGCGCGCGCAGTTCGTCGCGGCCAACATGTGCAGCCGTCTCGTGCACTTTTTCCTGGGCGCGCGCAGCCTTCCGCCGCTCCAAGCCGCGTACCCCACGGCCGCGCTCTCGAACGCGCAGATGGACTTTCAACCGCTGTTTGAGGCGCTCGCGGGCTTGCTGGGGCTGCCCCGGCGCGTGCCCGAGCCGCTGCTGGCGGACGGGTCGGTGCACTCGATCACGCTCAGCACACGTGCGATCGCGGCCTTTTCCGAGCTCTTTGACGAGTTTGCCATCAATGGTGTCATGGGCGTGAACGAGCTCAAGGCGTACTTTAAAGCGTGTGGCACGACCATGTCGACGGCCAAGACGGCCGGGAAGAAGATCAAGGCGATGCTGTCGGCCGGCCCCGAGCTCACGAAAGCGGCGTTTCTCGCGCAGTATACGGAGATTGCGTCGACGTCGTCCAAGATGGTGCTCTCGGATCTGAAGGCGCATGGCTTTGGCGAGAACCTCCAGCGCCTCCCAACGCTGGATATGACGAAGGACAATGCACGTGCGTTCTTGCAACGCCTCTCGCCCTTGTGCCAGCATGCTCTGACGCACCCCGACTTTCTCGAGTCGGCGCTCGAAGAGGACCCGGAAGCGATTTGCGATGTCGTGGTCCGTGTCTCGTTTGGTGTGCCGACCACGTCGCAGGTCGTCGTCGCGAGCCTTTTGCAGCAGTTGGCGACCGCCGAAATGGGCTGGAAAGGCCAAGCGATTGTCGACGTGGCCTCGACGATCTTGTCGCAGCTGCTGCGTACCGGTGACGAAGCGCTGTTGGACGCGACGTTTCTGCAGTCGCCGACGTCGCTCTTGATGGCGCCGCGCGAGCGCGCGATGCGTCTCCCGCCGCATCCCCACACGTCGCTCTTTGTGTTTCGGTACCTCGCGCTCGTCCTCGACTTGCTGAAAGTTCCTGCGGTCGCCAATTACTTGGCGCCACGCCGCGCCGAGTGGTCATGGACGTACCAATGGCTGCGGCTCGAGTCGCTCAAGCAGCCGCTCGGTGGCCGCGCGAGCATTTTGTACCGGGACCCGGCCAAGCTCGACGCGCTCGTCGCGCTCGGCGATGCGCTCGGGATCCCGTACACGCCGGAAGAGAAGAGCTACGTGGTCCAGAACGCAGGCTTTGCGCCGCTCAACGGCGTGTATACGGTGCAGGCGCAGACGCACGACAACTGCCTCGTGTTTTGCTACACGTCGCCCATTAACGGGATCGAGTACACGCTGTTTCGGTGCGAGATGCCGAGCAAGGCGCACCGGTGGTACCTCTCGCACGCGCCCAACAAGCAGACGCTCGGCACGTCGAGCGACGAAGACTACTACTTTTGCGTCTGCTCGGTGCACGACGACACGCCGCCCGAGGACGGCTGGAAGCCGTGGACCAAGAACGTGGCGGCGACGCTGCCGGTTCCGACCGTCGCTTTGCACGCGTCGTCGATTGCGACCGCCGAGCCGATCGAGGACTCGATGATGCTGGACGACGAAGACGACACGGTCGAGTACGAGGACAGCGAAGACGAGATCCGCGTGAGCAACGAGCGCTTCCAGGCCGTCCACCTCGCGTCGCCCGACACGACGGGCCCCATGTAAACGCGCTGCGTTGAGTCTAGTTTTTTCATATCCCCCATGTCTCGTGCGATTCCCAACCGATGGGATGGAATAGCTGCTCGGGTCATCCTCGATCCACAGGCGATCGGTTCGAAGCGCTTACCTACAGCTTGATGGTGGACACTGCATCACGTCTGGCTGGCGACGACGCGGCGATCACTGAAGCGTTGAGCCGCATCACTCCGTGCGGCACGGACCTGTGGCGACACGACCCATGACGACCGAGCCCTCGTCGCCAAAGCAACGTGAGCGTTCGAGTCGAGTCGTTTCGGGTCTGGTGGCCAACCTCCAGTTGGCGGCGGCGTGATCGCTGCACGCACTTGACGATGGTCCTACGTGACTCCTATCCAAGTGGTACGACTGTTTTCTTATTGGGGTATCCATCGACGCACGTCGTCGTGCCACGTCATCGAGTGCGGTCGCCAGTGACATCGACTGGCGCTCGCGCCAAATTCGAATCGTCGGTCGTCGCGCCAATTTCGTGCTGGACCAACACTTGGCGGGCCACGCCTCTCGCATCCCATTGGTCGAAATCCAAGCATATCGGCGTTTGATTGGCCATTCCTTGGATCCGCAGCGACCGACAGTGGGCGTTCCATGCACACTCTACGCCAATCATCGTCGCGCACGAGTGGAAACAGCCACAATGTTGGTCGTCATTGGTGCAGATTGGTGGATTCGAAATTCGCATTTCCAAAAACAACATGGCCTCCGTCCTGCGCTGCACGCTCTGCAAGGGCGCGGATGCCCTTCTGGAGCTCACGCCATGCGGCCATACCTTCCATCCGCGCTGCATTCACACGTGGCCGATTGTAGCCTGCCAGGTCTGCCATGCGCCGTCGCCGGCCGTGCGCGTAGTGCGGATGAAAGGAGGCCCGTCGGGCACGGCGCTGCCACCGCGCCGCACGTGGTTCGACTCGGAAAAAGAGTACTGCGACGTGCTCCTGGCGCTCTTCCATGAAGGTAGCTTGCCACTTGTGAAGGGCGTGCATCTGCGGCCGACGCTGGCAACCCTCTTGCATTGCAATCCGATGCGGATCACCAAAAAGTTCAAGCAGCACGCGCAGCTGGGCAAGCAGCTCTATGCCTACAACAATGCGTCGCCCACGTCGTTGACGCACGCGTACAAGCGCCACGTGCAGACACAAAAGAATGTGACGATGCTCCGCGACGCGTTCTACTGGCAGATCCAGGCCCACGGCGGTGGCCGCGCCGTCGTGGAGGCTATGCGCCATGCCGAGGCCCAGTTCTGGCGCGACCAACTCGTGCCCTTTTGCAAGCTCATGGGCCAGCCCATACTGTCGATTGACGACGACGACGACGCCGTCGAGACGGCACCGCACGAGATGACCGTCACCGACGACGAGACCAACGAGCAAGACAACGACGACCGCGTCAAGACGGAGCTCCGCGCCGAGAGCCCGGCCCACGTCGAGCACGCGGCCGACGCGCCGCTCCAGAATCTCTCGCAGCTGCAGTGGACCGACATTGAGATCGTCCACTCGGAAGTCGCGTACGGGCCGTGGGCGTCGGGGGACCCGGAGCAGTGCAGCCTCGGCTTTATCATTGACGAGGACGGTCTCGTCCAGTTCGAGTCCATGTACGTCGACGACTCGGTCTGGTCCGCCAAGCCGTAGGAGGAGAAAACGCTTTTATTTAATCATGTTGCACACTAATTTCACAGTACGACTATGTGTCCTTGGGTGTCCGTTCGACACTCCAAGGGTCGAGCCCATGGCCAATGGCCATGGCCTCCGTCGCAACCGGCGAGCTCGTCGACGATGCAAGTCGTCTCGGTTCCCGAGCCACTTCCTTGATCGCAATGCAAGGTAGTTGCTAAGGTGGCAGCTCGGCTCTCAAATAGTACTTCAAATAGTTAGCTAGTCGACGAGACTAGCTGGCTAATGAGAGGCAGATGCCATCGCAGTTGGTGTCAATGTACGGGTAGTACTTCTTCTCGGGCACGTCTTGAATGCAGATGCCCATGTCCAGGCCATTTTTGGCAAAGGTCATCGCACGCTCGGCGCGGTGGTAGCTGATGGTGAGGATGTCGCCACTCTGGAACGTCTGGCCCTTGATCTTGTCCATGCGCGCGTCGAGGTTCTTGACCTCGCCCGAGCACACGTTGTACGAGATCGCAGCATCCACGTCGCCGTCGGGCTGGAAGGCCTCGAGGCCAATGTGCGTCTGGGGGGTCACTTGAAACGTGTTGCCGGTCGAGACAATCTGGATCGAGACGCGGTCCACGGGGTGCGTGGCCTGGATGAATCCGGTTTCGTCCGCGATCGAGAGCGAGAAGCTCACGGTGCGCTTGTCTTCCGAGAGCAAGATCGTGCCATCGGTAATGTCAACGGACGCGCCCGCGTCCCACTGCAACACCTCGAGGTTCAGGTAGTCGAGCGTCTTCATCAAGCGCTGCTTCTTCAACGGCGGTAGCCCCTCGCAGCTCAGGTCGCCTTCGCGCAGATACGTCATGACGTACTCGAAGAGCGTCGGGTCGGCGTCGATAAAGTAGGCATCTACATGAAGCGCACGACATCAATTCAGCAGGATCGTGTGCAAGGCCATGGCGTCGATGATCCTACCATTATCCAAGTCGGGCTTCCAGCGCTCGTTCGAGAGCATCGCGTGAAAGTAGCTGCCTTCAAAGCGCAGAAGCGTCTCCTTTGGCACGGCAAAGATACGCCCGCCCACGTTGAGCTTGATGACCGAGCTCGAGAGCTTCTCGAGCGATTCTTCGACACGCTGCTCGACCACGCCCCACTGCCGCTTGCGTTCACGCAGCTGGCTGGTCTCGGCCTCGAGCCGATTCGCCGCATCATGCAGCGACGTGAAGAGCTCGTCCAGCTCGGCCGCATGGGCCGCCCGCAGCTCGGCGAGCTCGTCGGCCAGCCGCGCCTGGAAATCGGCCAGCTTGCGCGCTTGGGCCTCGCGTAGGTAGGCCTCCTCGTTGGCGTGGCGCTCGCGCAGCTGGCGCAAGGCCATGGTCGGACCTGCCGGCGTCGGCTCGGGCTGCATCATCAGGTGGCTCCTCCCCGTCCCGCAGAAACCCAACTACGTTATCCGATTGGCCAGGTGATCCGGATACATTGTCCGGATACACTACTGGCTGCTCCCTTCTCGAAATTCGAAAAAATTATAAATGTTTTTAAAAGCGAATACGAGCCATATACTTGACATTTGTATTGCATATTTCAATGATGTATTAAAATACGTAGGATGCGTCCAGGCCAGCGTTAATGTATATCGAAGGCCGACGCTCGCGCTGCCACGTATGAAACCTCGTCAAGGCGGCGGTGCCAACGCCAACAGCCGAGGCTTGGCCGTCGGTGCGAGCTTGTGTCGCTACTAGAAGTAGAGATGTAATTATGCTCCTCTCAAGTTGGCTAAGACATGGATCTCAACGACTGTGTCGACGCATGTGCGTGACGCTGGCATGTCTGGGCGTGGGCATCCGCGCGTGGTTCTTGGGAGGGAGCTGCGACGTACGGAGCCATGGCCAACCCCACGCGCCGTACTTGCGGCTCGACGCATCGCTCTTTTGCGGTGGCGTTCGTTGGTCGGATCCGGATGTCCATACCAGCGCCTTTATAGATCGACACTGCACGCAGTGTTCATTTACCGAGCGAGGTAGCGTTGCCGTCGCTATCATTCCCATCTGTACCGCGTGTGGTCTAGTTCAAAACAGCGAATAGTACCAGCGATAGTCAATAGTAAAATGGTGGAATTCAGAACTTAGTACTCAAAGGTGCCGTACGGCGATTGGATCGTCACCTTCTTCCCGACGTGCGCCTCGACGCGGCCGACGATCTGCGCCTCGACGTTGAACGACTTGGAGATAGCAATGATCTCCGCTGCCGTCTCGGGCGACACATACAGCTCCATGCGGTGGCCCATGTTGAACACTTGGTACATTTCCTTCCACGCCGTCTTGGACTCGGTCTGGATGAGCTCAAAGAGCGGCGGGATCGGAAACAAGTTGTCCTTGATCACGTGGACATTCTGCACAAAGTGGAGCACCTTGGTCTGCGCGCCGCCCGAGCAGTGCACCATGCCGTGGATCGACGACCGGGCGACGCTGTCCAAAATCTTCTTGATGATTGGCGCATACGTGCGCGTCGGCGAGAGCACGAGCTTGCCAGCGCTCAGCGGCGCGTTAGCGACCGTGTCCAGCAGCGCCTTCGAGCCCGAGTAGACAAGGTCCTTCGGCACGTTCGGGTCGAACGATTCGGGAAACTGCGTCGCCAGCGCGTGGTGGAACACGTCGTGGCGCGCCGACGTGAGCCCGTTGCTGCCCATGCCGCCGTTGTACTCGGTCTCGTACGTGGCTTGGCCAAACGAGGCAAGGCCGACAATGACGTCGCCGGCGCGGATCGTGTGGTTGGAGATGACGTCGGCGCGCTTCATGCGGCAGACGACGGTCGAGTCGACGATGATCGTGCGCACCAGGTCGCCGACGTCGGCGGTCTCGCCGCCCGTCGAGTGGATGCCAATGCCTTGCGAGCGCAAGGTCGAGAGCAGCTCTTCGGTGCCGTTGATGATGGCCGAGATGACGTCGCCGGGCACGAGCGTCTTGTTGCGGCCGATGGTCGAGCTCAACAAGATCTTGTCGACGGCGCCAACGCAGAGGAGATCGTCAATGTTCATGATGAGTGCGTCTTGGGCGATGCCCTTCCAGACCGAGAGGTCGCCGGTCGTCTTCCAGTACATGTAGGCGAGCGCGGATTTGGTGCCCGCGCCGTCGGCGTGCATGACGATGCAGTGCTCGTCGTCGCCCGAGAGGTAGTCGGGCACGATCTTGCAAAAGGCCTGCGGGAAGAGGCCCTTGTCGACGTTCTTGATCGCGTTGTGGACGTCTTCCTTGCCGGCCGAGACCCCGCGGGCGTTGTAGCGTGAGTCGGCCATGCTCCAAAGATACAAAATCTGAAAATGTGCACAGTGAGCGTTGAGAAAGGACTGGCGGCCGCTGAAAATCGGCCTTTTCGCCTTTAAATAGGACCTTTTCGGTTGAAATTCGGTTTTGTTCCATCATCACAGCCTCAACTTGATGTGCGATGATGCATCATCCAAACGATGCGCGGGTTGGGTGCTACATTGGCGAGATGGTAGCAGCGTACGAGGCGATTTGATGGCTCTCATGACGTAGGTCGAGGACTGCAGGCCGTGCGGAAGGACGAGCCTTTTGTCTTTTCCAGCAAAGTTTGGAGGATTTGAACTCGGGCTCCAATGGCCAAGAAGCAAGGTTGGCACAAGTGCTCGAGCGCACCTTGTGCCGGCAACCACCGCTGTCATCTCCCTATCCTCCGCTACATTAGCATTACATCTGGCACGATCAGCAAGCGAATGCAAGGCTTGCTGCTGCGGTGACTGCTCGATGCGCGCTGCAGTTCCTGTGCGACGGTTTGCTCGATTGCAGGTTGCAACCGTCCCAGTCATGCTTAACGCAGGGAAAAGGGCGCAATAATTAATACCTGCAGCTCCCTGCATGGCGGCGCCAGCATTACAAGGATCGACGCATTCCGCAAGCACGCGGCCGCTTTACTATTAATGGCAAGCGCCACAAACATGGTCGAGATTGGTTCTCGCGGCTGGTATGCGGTGGACAAGCACAAGGCATCAAGTACGATTCATTGCATCAGTCTGTTCGTTGGAGCATGGGCTTTGCCGTGTTGTCGAGTCGTCAAAAAAGTTACAAGTTGAGTGTGGGAGAAAGCTCGTGACACTGGTACATCAATATCATGATGCAGGTCTCGACGAGCCTACCAGTAGCTCAGAGAGCTCGCGAATGGCGTCTAGAGCGTGCTTTTATCATGTAATCGTGCGATGCATGCATAAGAAAGTCGTCCATCAGTGTGGTCCATGAATGTTTCCGCGAGCTGCGACCAGTGCTCTGCAGAGCGCAGCATTACGCCAGCAAGTCAGTTTGCCTTTCCGTGTGGCAAGCGTCGCTTTAAAGGCGTGAACAAAGGCGACTACTCCGAAGCAGTGCACCCAAGACCACTCAAGACGAGGGAAAGGAAACGTATCGACGTGAGTTTTGCTCCGGCACCGTGACAAAGCCCTGGTTTTCAATGCGTGACCCGTGTGTTCTTAAGTAGTCCGCGCCGTACCGGTATGTCGATGTCTTTTGCTCCACAAGCGACGTGGCCTGCCATCACTACCATCATCGCCGCGCGCACTGGATAAGTCCCAGCCAAGGGAATCAATAAGTTATCCCCTTGGTCGCGAACTCTTTGTAACAACAAAGATAACGCGAAACACGTTCATATATATTCCCTTGGTCACAGCACTCCACGCACGGCAGTTGCTATTAGAAGGCGCGTGTCAGTGCTATGTATGCCAAAAACACGTGTTATCGGGATGAACGACCGACCTCATTTGCATAGGGTCACAGACGCTAACACGAGGAGAAGCCCGTTCGAACGAGACTCCATGCACAAGCTCAAGAGACGTTCAAGGCGGCCATTCCCGCCGTACTAGGCGATATGTCGAAGGTATGCGTTCTGCACTGGTGTACTACTCTGCCAAGCAAACGAGGCTTGGCGCGTGGCCTCGAACACGGCAAAATGCGAGCGCGTTTTGTAGCGTTCCCTAACCCTATGCTACTCGATAGACAGATGTTGGCAGGTGACGACGGCATGGTGCATCCAGCCTTCGAATCCCCGGCTCTAACTGCACGCCACTTGCACTGCAGAGTGGCATTGTCGCCGCGCCCTTTCCATTACAGCACGTTCGGACCGTGCCAATGCGGACAGACGATACTACCGAACGCTAGAATGACGTGTTGGAACAGTATGGAGCATAACGTCATGGCCTCCGTCCGTTTTGCAGCTGCATTATTTCTCAACATGTGTTTGCAAGGGCAAAGTGTTTGTAATAGCCGCTGGGTTCGCGTCCTACAGTCCACAGTCCACCCCTGCACTTGAATCACCGAACATGACTCTAAATTGGGAAATCGGACAAAATAATTCCATCGTCAAGTCGCCATGCCTCTAGGCTTTCGAGCACGAGGACAAGCCATGCCGACAAGCTATGGTTATTCAGCCAGCCAAGTGCCCACAAAATATTAGAGCCGGTACCACCAAACTGCAAACTCAAAGAGCAAAGTACCGGTACTGTACAACGCAACATCGCTCGCCACGGCACACCGCTTGACATCCTCTGCCGTTCGCGGAATCCCCATGTGCGATAAAAAAGCGACCGGTGGCGGTCCCGCCTCACAAAACGACCCAAAACTCAGATACGCAACTCAGTCGACTCAGAAAGAGCCATTCCGCTGCAGTGCCTCCGCCTCGATTGGGATCGGAACTCCAGCGTCGCATACAAGAGGTGTGGAGCAGTTCGCACCGGGATCCCAGAGTCATTTTTCAATTTCCCATCACCACTCCAATCCATTCCAATGAAGTCCTTTGCTTGCCTCGTCCTCGCCGCGTCGGCCGTGCACGGCCTACGGCTCTCGGCCCAGGAAAAGGTCGACCTCGAAGCCAAGCTTGCGGCGTGGAAGGCGAGCCAAGCCGGAAAGCTAGCCGAAGCCAACGGCTTCCTCCCGCCCAAGACGGAGCATGGCAACCTCGAAGATGGTGAGATCGACGACGAGCTTGTTCGGTTTGCGACCACGCAAAAGATCGTCGATGACCTCAACAAGCAACACAGCGGCGCCGTCTTCTCGACCGACAACCAGTTTGCGCTCATGACCGAAGATGAATTCGCCGCCTTTGTCAAGGGATCGTTCAAGCACGAGACGCCCAAGCGCCAATTGCGCGCCGACAACATTCAGATGTCGCTCACGCAAGCCCAGCAAGAGGCGACGGGCATTGACTGGGCGACCAACAAGTGCATGTCGCCCGTGCGCAACCAAGGCAGCTGCGGCTCGTGCTGGTCGTTTGCGGCCGTTGGCGCTGTCGAGGCGGCACACTGCATCGTGACCGGCTCGCTTGTCGACTTTTCCGAGCAGCAGCTCGTGAGCTGCGCGTCGAGCGCGGGCTATGGCTGCCAGGGCGGCTGGCCCAACAAGGCGCTCGACTACATTGCCCAGACGGGTCTGTGTACCGAGTCGGGCTTCCCGTACGCGTCGGGCAGCTCCAACCAGAACGGCCAGTGCAAAGATTGCCAAAAGACCAAGGTCAGCGTCGGCAAGTCGGTCGACATTCAAGGCGAGAGTGCGCTGCAGAGCGCGCTCGACAAGCAGCCAGTGACCGTTGTCGTCGAAGCTGGCAACAACGTGTGGCGCAACTACAAGAGCGGCGTCGTCCAGAGCTGCCCCGGTGCGCAGTCGGACCACGCGGTCATCGCTGTGGGCTATGGCACGAAAGACGGCCAGCAGCACTTCAAGATCAAGAACTCGTGGGGCACCGGCTGGGGCGAGGGCGGCTACATGTACCTCAAGCGCGGCGGGAGCGGAAAGGGCATGTGCAACGTGGCCGAAGCGCCGTCGTACCCGATGCTCAGCGGCAAGCCGCAGCCGACGTCCAACCAGCCGCAGCCCACGAGCAAGCCCACGGCCAAGCCGCTGCCCAAGCCCACGAAGAAGCCCCAGGGTGACTGCAACGGCTGCAACGGCTGCTACTACCCGGCGGCGTCGCAATGCTTGGCGGCCGACTACGACAAGGAGTACTGCGAGTACCTCGGCCCTCAGTACGGCACCAAGTGGTGCACGTCGTAAACGTGCACCGCGTCTCGTACCCGTCTCGTGCAACTCGTAGTTTTTCGTTGATCTTCTTGGCTGATAATGAACATTGTCTTGCGTTAAAGTATGTTATTGAGCTCTACGACCCTAGTACCTACACGTTGAGTGAGGGTGTAAGGGAATTACTACCAGTTCTTATGTCTGTTCTAATGGCGAACACGACAAATCAGATAGGATTTCACACCACTGAGCGAAAGCACGCACAATCAAGATCTGAGTTGGTGTGCTTCCGCGCCAAGATGCATTGTTCGATGCACCAGTCTTGTATTATTGTCGCCATGGCGGATGCAGCTAACAGTCGTCCGACTCGCGCCAGTGGTCGACGAGATTCGTAAAGAGTCCGTGGGGGTTCTTGAGAAGCTCGCTTGGCGCATCGAACTCTGCGGCGGCGCCCTGGTCCATGACGAGGACGCGGTCGCAGTCGAGGATCGTATTGATGCGATGGGCGATCGTGAGCGTCGTGCAGTCGACAAACTCGGTGCGGATGCTCTCCTGGATGCGCCGGTCCGTGCTCGGGTCGATCGACGCCGTCGCTTCGTCCATCAAGATGAGTTTGGCCTTCTTGAGCAGCGCGCGGGCAATGCACAGTAGTTGGCGCTCGCCGACGCTAAAGTTCAGACCGCGCTCGTCGACAACATCGTCCAACGATGCGATCTCGAGGTGCGCGCGCTTGATCGCGACGTAGAGCGCGTCATCGTCAAACACGCCAAACGGATCCAGATTGGATCGAATCGAGCCAGAAACAAAACCGGGTCTTGCGGAATGATGGCGATCTTCCCGCGCAGCTCGTGGAGACCAATTTGTGCAATGTCGACGCCGTCGAGCAGAATGCGACCGCCCGAGAGCTCGACGAGCCGCATGAGGGCGACGACGAGACTCGACTTGCCAGCGCCCGTGCGTCCGACAACACCCACCTTTTCGTTCGGACGCAGCGCAAAGCTGAGGGTTCGAAGGACCCGCGGGAGGCCGTCCCGATAGCGCAGATCCACATTCTCAAACACGACCCGTCCGAGGCGTGGCCAGCTCTGCGGCGGCGGCGTTGATGTTGTCCACGCGGCTTCGGTCGCCAGATTTTGGTACGCATCCAACCGCTCGACCGACACCATTTGAGTCTGCACAATTGCAAGAAACCGAACGGTCCAGTTGAGCACTTGGGCCACGTTGAACGAGTACGAGAGCGAGACACCGGCAACGCTGGCAAACGCTGCGCTGTGCGGCGAGAGGACGGCGAGGAGGACCGCCGTGGCGGCCGCGAGTGCCCCAATGCATTCGACGCGCAGGCCTAGCCAGCACTCGGCGCTGAACGAGAGGTAGTAGGCGCGTTGGTTTCTATCCAAGAGGTAGGCTTGGCGCGCAAGGAACGAGGCTTGAACGTTCGATGCCCGAATCGTGGCGAGGCCGTCGAGCGTCTCGGTCAAGAGCGCGTAGACTGGCGACCGCGACGTGGCGTCCATGCGCTGGAGCTCGCAGCTCGCGGCGACATAGTAGCGCTGCGCCATGTAGTAAAAACAGTGAGCGGAAGCAGCGCAAGACCAAAGAGCGGCGTCACAAGGAGCGTCATCGTCAGCGCCGAGAGGAGTGTCATGAGCGAGCTGAGGAGAAAGCTCGCATTGTACGGGATCGACTCGTCGACCGTGTAGACGTCTTTGGAGAGGCGGTTCATGACGCGACCGAGCGGCGTCGTATCAAAAAACTGCATCGGCGCGCGTAGGACCGTGGCCACCACTGACTCAAAGAGCGCTTTGGAGCCGCGGAGACCGGCCATGTAAAAGCCAATCGACCGGAGCAAGACGAAGGCGGATGCGAGGAGGTTGAGCCCGACAAAGACAAGGAGGTAAGACGCTTGGTTGGTCGGGTCGGCGTGCATCGACCAGTATGAAAGCCAGAGCGTACTGCTCACTTGGGTCGCTTGGGCGAAAGCAAAGAGCAAACAGATGCCGAGCGCGACGCTGTAGCCGCCGCACGACGTCAACCACGCTTTATACGTGGCCCATGGCACGTTGCCAACCGCGCGGTCTTCGTCGGCGATGAGGTTCCCCCGCGTCGTCGTGTCGGACGAAATCGCAGCCGACCGCTTGGCTTGCTCGGCTGTAATCGATGGCACCATGGACGCATCGGTCGCATCGTCCGGCGCTGACTGGATCGACGCTAGCATTGCCGAAAGCACCGGGTGCGCGTCCGGAGCAGCGACAAATGCAGCGTACGGTCCCGTCTCGACGATCGCGCCGTTGGCCATCACCACGATCGAGTCGACATCTCTCAGAAACTGCAGCGCGTTCGTAACAAGCACGACGAGCTTCCCTTTCAGCGCCGTGCCAATGCACTGGTTAAAGATGTCGGCGCCAACATGCGCGTCGACGGCAGCGAGCGGATCGTCGAGGAGGTAGACGTCGGCGTCCATGTACACGGCGCGCGCCAAGGCCACGCGCGTGCGCTGACCGCCGCTGAGGTTGATGCCCTTCTCGCCAATTTCCGTCAAGTCGCCGCCGGGCAAGACCGCGAGGTCGGCTTGAAGCGAGCTCACGGCGACCGCGTGCTTGTACTTGCGCGCGTCGAACGGCAAGCCAAAGGTGATGTTGTCTCGAAGCGTCGCGTTCTGAATAAAAGGTTGTTGCCCGACGTACGCGATCGAGCCGCGCAGATGCACATGGCCTTGCGTGCACGGAACGTTGCCGAGAAGTCCGTGGAGAAGCGACGACTTGCCCGACCCGACGGCGCCCACCACCGCCACGACGTGGTTCATGCCCCAGCGCGCCGAGAGGTGGGCGAGGGCCGGCGCCTCGCTGCCGGCATACGTAAAGGCGGCGTCGGCGAGCTCAATGCCGGGCGATGCCAAGGCACCGTGCGTCACCGGCACGCGTTCGGGGCGGCCATAAAAGTCTTCGAGGCGGCCAAAGCTCACGAAGCCTTCGACGACCCCGTTCATGGCCTCGGGTACGTTGTTGAGCGGCGACCGCAGAATCTCAAAGAGCGCGACGCTGGTGAGGGCCGTGCCAACGTCGAGCGTGTTGCCCAAGTAGACAAATGCGGCGAATGACACAACCGTGACGATCGACGGCACAGCGTTGAAGACAACGCCGGCGTAGCTCTTGGCAAAAACATACGACCGGAGTTGTCGGAGCTCATCCGATCGGATCGACAAGATACGCTCGAGGTACGAAGGCTCCCATGCCTGGAGCTTGAGCACTTTGATGCCGGAGAGGACTTCAAAAATGACCTTGAGGCGCACGTCTTTCACGTGCATGAGCGGTGTCTGCAGCGACCGCATCGCCCGCGAGATGGCACTGGAAATCGGCAGTAGCAAGAGCGTGATAGCAATGCCGGCAGCGAATGCGACGCCGAGCTGCACATACATGAGGTAGAACGCAACGCTGACTTGAACGATGGTGAACCACGCCGCGTGCGCGTAGTTGGGCAGCGTCTGGAGGCGCTGCGCGTCGAGGCTCATGAGGTTGGTCACTTGGCCGGTCGACGGCACAGCGCCAAGCCGCAACGCTTTTGGTACACGGACATGACGACCGCGGTGCGCAGTCGCAAGCCGACTTCGTAGCACTTGAAGTAGTACTGTCGCAAGGCAAACGACTGGAGCACGCCGGCGACAAAGATAGCGCCAGCGTACACGAAGCCTTCCAGCAGCGTCGCGTCCGGGTCGCTCAAGTAGGCGACGATCGACTTGATCAGAAGTGGCCCCACGAATTGGCTCCCAATGTGCAGCACCTTGAGCAGACCCGCGATAAGAAAGGGCCCGCCGAACGCGCGCAACACAGCGCGCCACATGCGTGGACTAGGCGATGCGGCCTCAATCGCCCAGAAGCGCTGGAAGGTCGCGTCGACGTTGGTCGCGCGGTCGGTTGGGTTGAGCTGGTAGAGGTCGTTAAACTGCAGCGGGCGTTGGTTGCCGAGGTCCAGAAGCGGCGTGAGCCACGAGAAGAGGAGCGAGCTCCCATAGGCGCCAACGTCGTGTGGGCACGTATCGCTGAGCACAGGCGCGGCCACGAGCGGCGACTGCTCCGTCGCTTTAGATGGCATCAGAAATGCCACAAAGCGAAAATGACACAGCGAGGATTCATCGTGGATTGGCCGCGACGTCGAAGTTTTGGATACCAAAACCGAAGTTGCAGTTTCGACTTCGATTACGCCGTGCCGGTTGGCATTGACAGGCGTGATCCAACGTGATGTACTAGTAACTACTTGTTCATGGGCTCGCCATAGATGTCCTTGGAAAACGGACAGGAAATGACGAGACGTTTAGTCAAACCTGATGAGCACATACATGTATTTAAAACATAAAAGCGCTGGATGCGAGAGAGCAAGCTGGGCGCCAAGATTCAAAGAACGAGTTGTCCACACAAGGCAAAGCTTACGCTGGTAAGGGCCAGGGTTAAGTCTTATCGATTGCATCATGGCAAGTCGACGAGTACGACGGTAGTCTTGTCTTTGTCGCGTCGCTTTGATGGCGACAGTCCAGAGTGTTGATCGATCCAGCAGTGCTTGACTGACACGACCATGGGAATTTACGAGCCCTTGGGCGTGGCACACGTGGCAGCCAGTCGCTCGTTCGATCTTTTGCAAGAGTCGCAGATGCATGATGTGCGCCGTCTAGGTGCTACCGTATCTCAGGGTTGTATCTCAGACGAGAGATTTAGTGTAGGACGTGCACTGCTAGCGTTCGCAAGATAGTATAATAACACAGAGACAACAAACGGAGGCTCTCATGGAATCTCAACGTCGGATTCCATTGGCATTTCCAAGAGGGCTAGCTGCCGTGAGCTACTGCCATGAGTTACTGCCGTGTACTAGGATGTAAGCTAGCGTCCTATCCACCTACAGCTGGACAATTGTCACTTCACCTTCAAGCGTGGGACTATGATGTGAAACTGACTGGTGGTGTGGTGACGCCCGCGGGTCGCAATCGTCCAGACACAACACCACACAAGCAAGTTATACCGGCAGCCCCTATCGAGTCTGCCTTTCCGCGTGGCTTTAGCTGCTGCTCGTCGACGCGATCGGTAGAACGGCCTGTCGCCCCAGTCTTTTTGCAGCCGACCAAGCGCATTCTTCGCTGCTGGCACGACACAGGTCCGCATCGCGATACGCGTACTAGTGCTCTTGCAGCTTGCGCTAACTCGACAATATTGTCAAGGGCACATATGAAAGAGCTCCGAGTAGCCAAAAAACTTGGAGCCTGACACAGGAAAGCCTCGTGTCGTCTGTTTTTGATCTTGGCGGTTGTGGCCTTGCAATAATTGGTGTGGTGCACTTGCTCCGCCTTGATTTGCAACCAAGAAGCTAGCCCATTCTGGGGCATGTCACTCGGAGGCAGTCCAGTTGGAAGGACCACGAATGGCAGCGACCTTTCGCAGCGTCGTCCTTGACCAACCCGAGCTTGCGGCCATTGTCTTTGCGTTTCAGTTTGGCCTATACGACGACGTCCGCCCCGCCTTTGCCGCGTGCAAGGAGCTCGTCGAGTTTGATATGCGTCACGCATACGACGTTTGCACCCAATAGTGCCGAGTGGCTCCGAGGGTTCGAGCAATCGACTGGACCAAGACCATGGCAGCACCTTTCCCAGCGTCGTGCTCGGCCAGCCCGAGATCGCATCGATTGTGTTTGAGTTTCAGTTTGGCGTGTATGAAGACATGCGTCCAGCCTTCCGCGCCTGCAACGAGCTTCTCGAGTTTGACACCACCAAGTGCATCTACAACCGACGCATCGTTTTTCAACTCGTTTGCGCCAAATGCCGTGTCGCCTCGAGGTGCCAAGCACTTTAAACCGTTCAAATATGGTCTGCTCCAATGTCAAAGGGATGCACGGCTGCCACTGCATCTGGCCATTGGCCAAGGTTTCGTGCACCTGACCAAGCGCATGCTACGCTGCCGACCGGACCTCGCTTCGGAAGACGCCATTCTCTTGGCCTTTTGGAAAGACCGCCTCAAGATTGCCGATCTCCTCTTGCGTGAGCGTGAGGACGTACCCGAGCTCTATCGATATTCGAGTATTATGCTTGCATGGAATGTGTGACGAATTGCCACACTTTGAGGTAGACTGCAATGATCGGCGCCGCTTATACAGCCGCTGCTTGCCGGCCATCTTGTCTCGGCCCGACTCGAAGGCGCTTGCCTTGTTCCATCGCTTTGATCCGAGCCCAGAAGAGATTACCCGCTACGTTCGCCTCAATGCAGTCCAGCATGCGACGCTAGACAACGTGACGCTCGCTCTAGACCTCTTACCATGGCTGCATGATGAAGCAACACTGGATATCGTCGCGGGCCAAGGCCTGTTGCCTGTAGTGCGAACGCTCTACATGAACGTGGCCTCGCGTGCTCGGTGGGTGCCATGGACTGGGCAGCGGCTACCTCGACGTCGCGTTTTTTTGCATGACCATCGAGGCGAGGGATGTACCTTGGAAGCGATGGACCAAGCCGCTGCGAACGGGCATTTGGAGGTCGTCCGCTTTCTTCATTACAACCGAACCGAAGGCTGCACGGTCGACGCGCTTGATGGCGCGATTTTGAATGGTCATCTGGACATTGTCCACTTTCTCATTGAACAACGGACCGAGGGTGCATCGCCCAACATTCTCGACCGCGCTGCTGCGAACGGTCACCTTGGGGTCGTAAAGTACCTCCATTTTCTCGGCTCGCTTGGCTGCACTGTCGCCGCTGTCAACAAGGCGGCTGCCGGCGGTCCCTTGGAGGTCGTTCAATGTCTTTTCACCCATCGAACGGAAGGCTGCAGTCGTGACGACGTCGTTAAAAAAGCCCTCAGGGGCGGTCATCTGCGCACGGCCGAGTACCTCCTCTCGCTCGGGTATCCACTCCCGGCCACCGAGATTTACTGGTCGCTAGATGGCTTCGAGTTGATCACACCCGAGCTGGCAAACCAAGCAAAACTCGCCGGGGATTCGATCCAGTTGGCACCCAGCGTCGTGGGCCGAGCTGCGACGGTCCTCGCGGATGGCGATGTGCTCGAGTGGGCGCTGGCCGTCGTCATTGGTCATTGCTGGGCGACCGACGCAACGGCCGCGACGGTGGTCCTCCAGAGCAAGATCACGTTGGTGCACGATCAGGAGCTCCGGGCGCAGCTCAACCACCTTCTCTCGGGCTCCCGTCCGTTTACGACCGATGTGCTCCAGAAGGAGACGACGGCGATGGCCCAAAACGCCGAGCCCAACGTGCAGCTCACGCGCCTCGTTGTTAGCAAGCGCTAAATAGCAAACTTCACATGTAATATTGTCGCTTTTTCAACGACACAACAAAGACGCTTAGGGGCCCTTGAGTATACCAACGCAATATTCGTTGACATGGAATGACGCGACGAGACAACTTGATGTGTGCATGTTGAGTTACTCACCTTGTGGTTTTGGAGTTTTTCGTAGCATAGTGGTGTTGGCGTTCTTCCTTGATTGCACCTTAGAGGTGACCAAGCGGCCAACGCAGCGACTTCGTGGCATTGAGCGTCGAGAGCAACTGGATGCGGTCCCAGCGCCGAAGCGCCACGATGGTAGCCTCGTCGACACCAAACAGCCGGAGCAAGGTGCCGGCCTCCTTCCTCGAGAGCTTGCGAATGTTTGTGAGCCAAACGGTCTTGTGGGCCGTCGTGACAGCGAGCACGGTCATATCTAGTCTCTTCTTTGCATGCGCCGACGGCATCGTACTGGAGCTCCCTTGCTCTCTTCGAAGCCACTTGGGAAATACGAGATGTACCGAATGTACTCCGTTTTGTTTTGGGTGCCCGACCAAAACGGACTGTCAAGATCCATAGTACCACGATGGCCTGTCCTTGCATTTTTGAACAATTCGACGCAGGCTCGTATCACTCTCTAGTCCATCTTGTCGTTAAAGAACCCAATTGTGCTACCGGCTCAGTCTCTAGCGTGATGCAATCATCCTCGGCAAACAAGCATGTCCTTTACTCAAGGCTCAATAATGGTTTCACGATGGAGTAGCAGAGTTTTCACAGCGTCGACGTCGTTAGCGCTCGAAGCAATCCCGTTAGCTCGGCGTCGTGGACGACAGCGAGCCAGTCACCGGTCCAGGCGGCAACGACAGAGGCATCCAGCGACCACACGTGGGCGACACCCAGAGCAAACGCCCATTCCACAATAGCACCTTGTTGCAAGAGCACAGCAGCACGAGCATCAATACATGGCACGCGGCGCAAGTCGCAAAGAGAGAGCCGAACATGCCGCACGAGCTCGGCCGCGAGAACGTCCAGCACGGGCTTAATGGGCCGCAATGGCGCTGCGTAGAGCTCCACCAAGATGGCTACGAGGTGGTCGATCGACGTAGTCGTGTGTACGACGTGTTGCAGCAGCAGCTTGCTCTCCGTCACGCAAAACGGGAGACTCGAGATGCGCAAGAGGCTGTGCTTGATGTCGCCGAGGCCCGCGGCGAGCACAAACGCTGTGGCCGCCGGCGACGCCTCGATCGCCGTCTCGAGGAGGCTGTTGTCGCGGAGCCACGGCCTGCGCGCCCAGAGCTGGTCGACAACGTCGAACGCACCGTGCTGCAGTGCATAGCGCACCGCCTCGAGTCCGCCGCCTTCTGTGCGGTGCGCCAAAAGAAAGGCCACGACCGTCCACGCGCGGTGCTGGATCGCGTTCTCCAGTGCCAGCGTCGTGCAGCCAGCGACCGAGTGGGTGTGGAGATAGTCGACGAGGTCCAGACGATCGGTGGTGCACGCTGCGTCCATCCAGCTAGCTTGCCATGGCAGCCCATGCGTTGTGGTAAGCGCCAGAAGATCGATCGCGTCCGGTGTCTGGATCGCAGCAGTGAGATCGCACGTCGTTGGGAAGGGATATCCGAGCGAGAGCAACAGCTCCGCCGTGCGAACATGTCCGTTCTCGACCGCGATGCGCACCACGTGCTCGCGCGTGCTCGGAAGAAACGCATCTCGGCCAAGCAAGAAGGCGACAATGTCGGTATGGCCTTTTTCCACCGCGACATCCAACGCGTTTGGTGACGCGCCTTCGGTTCGGTGCTCGACGAGGAAGCGGACGACGGTATCATGGCCGTTGGCGATCGCAGCATCCAGCGCTTTCACCGTGCAGCCTTCGCGTCGATGGTGGTGGAGGAAGCCAACGACCTCCAAATGGCCGTTGCCCGCCGCGAGGTCCATCGCCTCCGTCGTGCAGCCTTCGGTCCGGTACCAATGGAGAAACGATACGACGTGGGCATGACCGTGGGCAGCAGCGTAATCCATCGCGAGCACATCGCAGCCTTCCCACCGGTGCGTGTGCAGAAAGGCCACAATATCGAGGTGGCCTCTCGCGGCCGCGAGGATCATGGCTTTTCGGGAGCAGCTTGCGCCGCCTTGGTGCAGCTGCTGGACATGCGCCAAATTGCCAGTCGCCGCGGCGTCGTCCAGAATGCACGGGTGAGTAAACCAGGGCGCGTGAATGTAGAGGAATGCAAGGCTTTCCCAGGCCGCCGCCGCAATGGGCGCCTTGAAGGCAGGCGACGCAGTAGGCCACTGGGTTTCATCTGGGCGAAAGCGCAGGAGCAGCGCGAGCAGGTGCCGGTCGTCGCGCGCCATCGCTTTCGCAAAGACCATCAAGACTTCGTGTTCGGCGAGTGCCGCGAGCTCGAGCGCGTTGACTTGACGGTGCAGCGTCGGCAGCACGTCGCGCTGGTCCAAGAGCGCAGCGGCAATCTCGAGGCGGTCGGTCTTGAGCGCCAAGAGAATCGCGTCTTCGGATGCGAGGTCGGGACGGTAGCGGAGAAGGCGCAGAGCGAGCTCCAGTTGGCCTTCGACGATGGCGACGTGCAGCGGAAGGCGATCGTCGCGCGCGAACCTGCTGAGCTCGTGCGACTCGCCCGATATGGGCCTCGTCGTCCACTCGGTGGTGCCCGTAAAGGTCGGGTAGAAGGACGCGTCGAGCTGGTGCTTGCCGCCACAGCGCGACGTCTCGTCAAAGGCGGCGAGGTATTTGCACGCAAACAAGGCCGGGCGCACGTCTTCCCAGACGCCAAACTGATAGCCAAAGACGATAGCCGCGAGGTCGGGCTGCTGCAGGACGACGTGCCGGAAGGTTGCCATTGCAAAAATGATAACGGAAGAGGCATGCGGCAACTATGCCAGCAAACCAGCCGGTAATGAACCGGCTGGGAAAGCCTAACGGTTATAATTAGTCGGATTCGCCACATACGACGGTCGACGACTGGACCTGTGCTCGCTGCTTAAGTCATCAGAGTGCTTTTGCTACCAAGATTTCTTCTTAACGTTAATGTTTTACGTCCCGAGTGAGAGCCGGCTCGTGAAAAGTGAGTCGCGTGTCCAGAGTTTTTGCAAACGTGATAAAAAATCGATTTTTTGGACCAGCGATTGGACCATGGACAACGGACTGCTTGCGCTTCCTCTTGTCTTGCTTCTTGCCCAGCTCGCCAGTAGTGTGAGCTCTCGGGCCATCTCCATTCCAAGTACACGGCTCAACTTTGCCACACAAAGCGAGGCCAATTGTCTGTACAAGTTCCGCTTACAAAGCCACAGATCATCGAGTTGAGTCAAGAAGGGAGCTTCTTGGTAGGTTTCGCCGCCTATCATGGCCCATCACTGCACCATCTTTAGTCACTCGGTGTGTGGGGTTTTGTACGCATCACCTCAGGGGAGTAGCCCCTGGTGATGACGTTTTCCTCACACCCACAGCTAGCCGGTTAGATAAACCGGTTTGTAGGTTTAGCTAACCCAGCCGGTTAGACGAGCCTGTCCTGCTTAGACATGCCACAGGCCTGTCGCCCTCCGACAGCCTTGCGCCATCCCAGTGACGCCATCCAGCCGAGCCCCAAAACAATGTGAGCCACCAATCTCGGCTCCTCAGCTCCGCTAATATACACCGAGCCTGGTCCGCTCCTTTCTTTTGGTTTCTCGACCGCGAGTGCTTTCTCGATGTTCTTTCCATCTCAACTCTTCGCTTGCCGGACGTCATCATCACAGCACACCGCTACCGAGCGGAGCTGGTAGAGGCTGTATGCATCATGCTCAACCGACTCGCTTGACCCCATCGTCTTGGCTCCATGGTCAAAACTTTCGGGCGTAGCCGCGAGGCTTTGTCTGCCCTCAGAGCTCTCTCAGCAATCACCTCATGAAGTCCGTGTACGAGTCCTTCAAGCATCTGCTCGTGTGGGACCGGAGCCCACCTCAACGCCGACTGGATGCGGCGATGTGCAGCTGCTATCCATGCCCAAGAAGCACCATTGGAGGCCTCCTGCATCGGCTTCATCGACGGTACCGTACGCGGTATGTGTCGACCAGGCAAGGCAATCCAGCATGGCGCGCTCGCTAACTTCCTCTTCGGTGCCTGGCGCTCGCATCGCCTTGACGGCGTCCTTCTTGAAGGCCGCCATAAGGTCGTCGAAGCGCTTGCGGCACCCGGTAAACGTGACGTGCTCACCGTGAATCTTGCGCATGTGCTCAGTGACCTCTTCCCAGCGTGCTAGCGTCTATCCGAAGGGAGCGTCGTACGGGGCCACGTTGATCACCTCCTTCAAGAGATCGACATCCGTGGCCACGGAGAAGCGAAACGTCGCCTCCTTCGTCTTGGTACGCGGTTCGTCGCTCAAAACTTTTGCAAGTCAAACAATGGATGTGGCTCGTGTTATTGATTTTGGGGATAGAGCGGCTGGAACCAGATTTTTTGTCCGGATTTGAGCCCTCGGACATGTCACATAGAAATCTGAATCAAGATATCTTGGTAGCAAAAGCATACGTACCTCGGCCAGCGCTTGACCAACGGTTTGCATGGATCGCCTCAAGAGACTAGCTTTGGAGATGACGTTTTTCCCCACACACTCGACCAACAAGAGCCGACTCGCATGCCCCCTTCTAACCGGCTAAGCTAGCATGATTGGTGGCACGGAGATTACTCGATGGACGCTAGGGCCCTCGATCCACAGACAAGGGGTCTTGGCTCCTCCTTTGTATGATGCACGTGGCCAATAACTTATATATTTACAAAAACCTCTACGCCATCTTGAGAAGGCCTACCGTGTCCATGATCGACTTTGGCTTGGCGCCACCGAGGGCATCGACAATATCAACCATCGTGGGGCGGCGTGCGATATCTTCCGAAACACGCAAGGAGCAAGGCTTGAATCGAAAGTGGCATCGTGGCGGCAGACGGGCCGAGCTCGACGGCCACCACAATCTCGTGCCAGGTCGAGCCCATTTCGGCCGCTGGCACATCCGTAAACGCTTCCCAGAGCACGTAGCCAAACGCGAGGACGTCGACCGCCATCTCGGCAAGCGTCGCTGCGACCGCCACGGCGCTGAACCCACTCAACGTCACGCGGCCGTCGAGGTCCACGATGCAGTGGCGCGTGCTCACGCTGTTGTGGGCGAGACCGCACTCGTGCATGTGGGCGAGGCCGGCCGCGATATCGCGCATGAGATCCGTCTTCTCGTCGTTGGTCAAGCGCTGGCCGAGGTACGTATGCAGCGTGAACGCCTGCTTGTGCTGCGAGACCCAGTGCCAATGGTCATGGAGCTTGGCCGCGCCGAGAATGCAAGCGATGCGCGGGTGGTGGCTCATCTGCTGCATGCGAGCGCTAAGAGCGTCGACGATGGACTCGTCATGCAATGCGTCCACGTTGACGGCCGAGCCATGGTAGCTGCCTGAGGTCGCACCGATCGCGACATCAAAACCGTCCGACGGTAATACGCATGCGTGCTCGGTGATGCGCTTCGCTTGGCTCGGGTACGCCTGCGTCAAGGCACCGGCCGCGTCCGAGAGTGTCGCCAACTGAAACGCAAGGCGGAGGACGTGCGGGCCGGCGACAATGTCAGCAAAAAACGGCTGCCCGAGCACCGTGGCGTCGAGAACGACCACGTCAAAATGGACGTGCGTCGCGTGGTGGTCCCAGATGAACGATTTGGTCTCGCCGTCTGCGACGCTGTAGCCAGTCTCGGGCACATGCAGCGTCACATGCACCATTTGCCCGCGCTCGATCTGGAGCCAGACGGGCAGAGGGGCGGGTGCTGCTGCGTCGTAGGTCGCGAGGAAGGCCCAAATCGACACGCCGAAATGCGACGCCGCGGCAAAGTTCGGAGGGCCGTACGCAGCAAAGTGCACGGCGTCCGCGTGAAGCGGCAGCAGCGTCTTGTGGCGCACGGTCTCGAGCATCGGCACGTAGCTCTTGCGCTGCGTCGAGCGCACGCCGTAGAGCGGAAAGAACATGGCGGTCGACGAGCTCTGGAGTGTCTTGGCCAGCGTCGTCATGGGGCTCGTCACATGCGGCTGGAACGGCGGGGACACGGGCGCTTTGATTTCGTCCGACGCGACGCTTGCAGGCGAGCCCATGACGTGATCGTTGTCGTCGTCGTCGTCGTTTTGCGTCGACGTCGTTGGCGACGCTGGCGCCGAGCTGCCCTCGGACGACGGCAGCGGTGTCACGGCAACGAGCTTGACATCCAACGAGTCGGTGACCGTCGACGCATCGGACGACGACCGGGGCGCGGCCATCGGAGCAAACACCGGCATATCGGTGACGGAACGTTCCTTCTTGGAGGGCAAGGGCTTCGACACCGGTGCGTGGCGGCGCTGGGGCTCGAGAACCGACGCCGATGAGTCCTTGGACATGCAGGTCCCCATAGTACTGGTACTGGCGGTGCAAATTGAATTGTTGTTGGGTGCCCGCACTACGGTATCAACGGCCGAGTGGTCCGTTGATGCGCCAAAGACAAGATCTTGGGCGGGATGTCACATAGCACTTTGCACTCTTGGTTTTAGTAGACCACGTTGGCTGGTCGTTTGCATAAAAGTGCAATCTCGCCTTTCTCGTAGGGTGCTGCCGCACTTTCACATACAAATGCCAAGCTATCTATCTGGTCGTCACATGTAGCATGTCCTGCACATGGTCGCGATCGTCGTGTCGCTGCCCGTGAACATACACTGCCCCATGCGCCGATCGCATAAAAGCTACCGCACCAGAGACAACGCGACCACACTTGAGCGATAGATCCCACGTTGAAGGAGCGTATGCGGCCCCTTCGGCACACGCAATGGGTGGTGCAATTGCCGTTCCTGGTCCTGCAGCCAGTGTGGCGCCAGGAGGCAAGCAGGGGCAAGGCGGCGCGAGGCACGCCAGGCGACGGTATTATGCAACCTGGCATTGAAGGCCGCATAGACCCGTCACCCACATGGAAGGATTGTCGGCTAGTAGTGCTCTTGGAATCTACTGGTTATGACGGAAGCAAGTTGAAGCAGGGTGCACGGCGTCGGACCGTCGGCGCGACAAAGCGTCTGCGAAAGCGCCACCTGCAGTGGTGTGGAGCTGTGCATGGCCTTTCGTACCCATGACCGGTACGTCTCGACTTGTAGAATCCATCATACCACCTCTGATACCACCTCGTGTCCAAGCACGTTGATACTACGTCGAGCCAATGGTGTGGGAATGGGTGGCTGCGCGCTCGATCGCTGAGCTCGACAAAAACAGCATTGGCCATTCGTGCCAGAGCAGAACCATTCCATGCATTCATTACGTATAGCATATCGCGAAGCACGTTGATATATTGGCTTTAACGTAGTATTGCATACGAAGTGTAAAAGCTGAGTTACATTATCGAGGCATGACGCCACACAGAGCATTTGAATGCGCGTCGGCAAACGAACAAATTGTATCAATGTGGTGGCCTGATGCGCCTCTGGATTTGGAAATGTGGTGCGTATTTATACTCGTGACCAGACTGCCGGCGGCTGACTAGACCTGGCAAGGTTGCCATACCACGACAAACAGAAAACACGCAGTCGCGTTACTGAACAACGTAGCGGACGCGGCTGTCATCTTGTCGGCTCCTGGCGTGTCGAACGTTCAAGGGGACAAACCTCCAGGTGCTCACTCGGCCGGCCGCGACATGATGTCGGATCGAATCGCGTACTTGATGCCCGCTTTCACTGGCTCGCCCGAGTGGTACACCCGGTGCTGGAAGATGAGGACGCGGCCAGGCTTGGGCATGACAAGCATCTCGCCTTCTCCGATCCACATGCCTGTTTCGCCGCCCTTCTCGACCGAGTTCAAGTAGAATTGCACCGTGAGCACCGAGTACTCGCCGTCGCCGCGGTTATAATTGCCATCGTAGTGGGGTGTGAAGTGGTGGCCGACGCCGTAGCGCAGAAACCGGAGACTCTCATTGATGCCACTGAGCGCGCGGTCTCGAAATGTCGGGGGAAGATGATCCTTGATGCGGTGCCACAAGGTCGCCGCCGTTGCCGTGTCGTACAGAATGCAGCGGTCGCTGTGCCGAATCTCGGGACGGAGCTGCTGGATGCCATAGCCAACGTTGGTCAGCGCAGGTTCGTAGCCCTTGTCGCTTCCTTCGGAAAATGCGATGAGCTTCTCGCACTCGTCCAGTGTCAAGACGTTGTCAAGGACAACGACGAGGTTTCCTTCCGTATCAATCGAGAGAGGTTGGGCCTCGATCATAGCAGGTGTCCACTCGGCGTTGAGGCAGTGAGCAAGAAGCGGGGCAGACATGATGTAATTTGAAGAATGAACCCTCGACGGTGACTCCGCGTTTGCCGTGTGTATCGAGGAATCTATCAAGTCCGCCCATAAAAGAAAGGCAGAAAAATACCGCATGGCGCGTGTCACAACCGGATTTGTTGATACATCGATACACTATCGACTTGATACTTTACTGACTTGAGCTGAATGGATGTATGCAGGAGCAAAATGTATTGGAGCCCTTGCGGGTGGGCATCGCTTTACTGTGGTTCGTCACCGCGTGACTACATTGACATTTACATAGTTGCGACGTGCGAACGAGGTCGGGACATGATGTCGGATCGAATGGCGTACTTTCGGCCGTGCAGGACGGGCTCGCCCGAGTGGCACACGGGTTCGTGCGCAAAGATGAGGACGCGACCGGGCCGAGGCTCCACAAGCACGGGTTCGTCGCTGCTGTCGTCGAGCCAGAGACCCGTGCCGCCGCCAGAAGCAACGTCGTTGAGGTACACTTGAATTGTGAGCACCGAGTACTCGCCATTGCCGCGGTCGTACGTGCCGTCGTAGTGGGGCTTGAACTCGTGGCCGACGTCGTAGCGCAGAAACCGGAGACGCTCGTTGATCCCGACCAGAGTACGGCCGTCAAAGGTCGACGGCAGGTACTCATTTAGGCGGCGCCAGAGAATTTCGGCCGTCTCGACGTCGTCGAGAATGCAGCGATCGTTATTGCGGACGTCGGGTCGATACTCCTGGCGACCACCCCCAACGTTGAGGAACGCGCGTTCGTACCCGCTTGCTTCAGAGAAGGCGATGAGTTGAAGACACTCGCGCGGCGTCAAGACGTTGTCCAGGATGAGAACGAGTGGGCCGTTGAGTGGTGTGACAGCAGGTTGCACTTGAATGGCTGGAGATAGCGTGCTGTCGAGGCACGTTGACAAACAAACGGGGGCTGGAGAATGATGTACCGCGCTGTCCATCCTACTGCTTGCTGATGAATGAATGAATACCAGCTATAAGAGGGAGCTCTAAGAACCAGGAGTGATGGTCAGTATCTTTCGAGGCGAATGATGGTACTACGTTGAGTACGCGGTGGCTTGACGTGCATGGGTGAGCTCCTCTCAGTGCGTTCTGACTTTCGGCCTAAAAGTGTTTCGTGTGCTAATCGCTAGGCGTACTAGATTGTCGAGTGTGATGTGCTTCGTGGTGCTAGCAAGGGTAGGGTATGGACCCTTGGCGCTACAATAGCATCAAAAATGGCAAAAAGAACGGTCCCACCGGGCTTCGATCCCGGATTGCCGGGCTTTAGGGCCGGAGTGCTGTCCCTTTACACCATAGAACCGCTTTTGTTGTCGTATGGTACCATAGCAAGTGCTTTTGCATACACAAATCGCCTGTCTCGGATGGGAATGGACTGTATGGTACCATAGCAAGTGTTTTTGCATACACAAATCGCCTGTCTCGGATGGGAATGGACTAAACCCTCCCTCGCGTCCACCAACGAGAATGTTCAGACGAAGCAGGGAGCGAGCACCTCTTTAAGTCCCGATAAACAACATGCGTCGAGCACTAGTCTAGCAACAAGCGTTGTGATGGTTCGAGTGGCGAGATTGGGCTCGATTGGAGTGGCCGTTGGTACAGCGTAGTCCATTTCCATCTGGGAAAGGGCACGACGGGAGGAAAACAAACCTGGTGACGGTGCTGCGACGCTAGAACAAGAGCGGTCCTATGGTGTAAATGGACAGCACTCCGGCCCAGAAGCCCGGCAATCCGGGATCGAAGCCCGGTGGGACCTCCTTTTTCATAGTCGAAACGTTCTACTAGTACGCTACACCAAGCCGGCTTGATTTCAGTATCGCAACAGAAAATAGACGAGAAAAATGTGAGCGCCGGGGCGACGATCCCGACCGCTTGCTATCAACGCAAGTGCGTTACCGTGGACACTGCAGGGATGTCGACCCAACTCTCCACCTCAAATGCATTCAACACCACAAAACGAGAATTGAACCCTACCCCTAGGGTTAGGCCATGGTCACAAGGAGACCGTCTTGCGCGTAATGCATGTGCATCGGGAATGCGTTCACGTTGGCCGTGAGCGTTCCGTTGACGCGCATGAGGAGCCCTGTTGTCATCGTCTTGAAGAGCACCGAGATGAGCGCCGGGTTGAGCAGCGACGCCACCTCCGCGTGCAAGCACGTGCCTTCGACAGCACCCGGGCACTACATATTCTCCGTCATAATCTGTATATACACGAGACGTACGAGTGGAATCTTGGACGTTGCTCCGCACTTGGTCCCTTGGCAGCACGAGAGGCAGCCCGCCGTGTTTTTTGGCGGGATCACCATCGCCGCCATGTCCTCGGTGAAAGCGCGCGAGGAGCTGCTCATAATACTCATCACAGACAAGGACGCCCGCTACAACCACCTCGTATCTCGGCACTAAGATCTAGAAAAAGACATACCAGAATCCTTGCGCTGGGTCTTGCACGGGTACAGCTCGAGGTCGACCGCCGCCACGTCGATCGTGTGGCCAAACGGGTTGCGCAGGACAAGGGCCGTCGCGACTGTGAGCAAGTGAAAGATCGACGGCGGGTACATGAACGAGCTTGCGACCAACGTCGGTGTCTCGGGAAACAACATCGGCAGCGGCGGCACGGCCGTGTCCAGCGACAGCTGCGAGAGCGCAGGCTGGAGCAGCGTCTTGTTGGAGCTCGCCGGCGTCCCATGAATGTGAATCTACGCCTCCATTTGTATCAACTTGATACAAACCACCGCCATCATTCGAACCGTTTGCGGACGTCCGTGGGTATAGTAGCCCGACACAAAGTTGGACAAGAAGGCATCGGCGAGCGCGGCCGAACTCGGCGCCAGGACAAACGACCCTGCCACAAGGCTCGACGCATTGCAGCACGCAAGCGACACGTTGTGCAAGCGCGCCGACCCAAGACGCCCTTGTCCGTCGACGGAGACGTCCACGAGCATGTCGCCGAGTGTCGCTGCCATCTGCGACGGGTTGCGCATGGCAATGGTCATCGACAAGTAGAGCTCCGACACCGTGCCTACCGCTTCATTGTCATTTTCCAAAAAAAATCAAACAAAAATTCTACCGCGCGTGATATCGACGCTTTGGATCTCGACGGGACTGCCTGCAAGGCCGCCCATGCCTTGCAGTGCCATCGCGCCATTCAGCGGGATCCCCGAGAGCTCGAGCGTTCCCATGGGCGTCTCGGCCCGCGGCGACGCGCCATCGCCGTCCATCGACCCACTCGCAATCGAGAGCAAGACCACGTCGGTCGCAAAGACCGTCGCCGAAATGAACGCCGCCATGCGGGCGCTACCATCGCCATGCCAACGTCATATGCATATGTAGAGTTCTCAACGTACCGAGACGTGTCGGGAATGCGCAACGCCACCGCATGCGGCATATCAATCTCGAGATGCCCCGCGCCCGGCACAAGCTCCGTGTACGAGACACCTTGACGGGGCAGGTGCATGTGCCCGACGCTCGCATTCTCAAAGACAAGGTCGGCGATGAGCGAGAGGTGGGTAATGTTGACGGGAAGACGCAGTGCGTCGGGCATCGCGATCAGCGCCAGCAGCGTCGCCTGCAGATGCATCTCGCCGTCGTCGGTAAACACCACGTGCATGCGCGGACTCGCAAGACTCTTGACGAGAGCAAACGACGTGTCGACGCCGGGAAAGGTCGTCGGCAGCGTAAACGACGTGAGAGCTTGCTGCAACCTACGGTCCCATGGATGCAATCGGACCATGGGCGATGCGACTGTACGTACCAGGGCACGTTCTGGGCCACGTGCGTGAGCTCGATAGCGAGCACCGACGGTTTGTACGCCAAGTAGTTGGAAAAGAAGGCGTTCATGGCCCGACTCACGCCGCCATGCGCATCCAACGACGGTTTGAGATGGCCCGTGAGCGCGATCGCATTGCTCCCGGGCGCGATCGCGATGACGCCCGAGACGACACCAAATGCTTCGTCGGCCGTGCGCAACGTCATCTCGACGTTGCCCACTGGCATGTCGACGACGGATGGATTCCAAATCTAGACCCATCCGCTCAAGTAGGCGAAATACCTTGCATCGTACCACACTCGTGGCCGAGAACGCTTCGCCTTCGGGGGCTAGAACCCCCGGCATGGAAAAGTTCAAGACCGACACATTCGAGAGGCCATCCATGCCTTGCAGTGGCGTATTGAGCAGCAGCGGGATATCGGCCAAGTGGAGCGTGCCTATCCATACACAAATCGTCCGTTCCGTCCATGTAGAAGCGCGATCGCACCGAGGGCACCCGTGGCGTGGACCGCGAACCGTCCAGCAAGTGCCAGCGTGGCCTAGAATCCGTCTTTAGCTATTCTCCGAGAATACAGAAAGCATATACGTTTGGCGCACGAAGCATGCGCTGTACAAACACGCCAAACGGCTCGCCATCGCGGGTCAACGCGAGGTCGGCCGCGAGGTCGAGATGCAGCTTTGTCTGTGCCACCAACGCGTCGTGAACGACCACCGACGTACTGGTCAAAGCACCGAGCATGGCACCCTATCCCATACATCAACTTTATGGCTCGACGGCGAAGACACAAGCACATACCGGCGTGGCGAGCCGCAGCTGCATCGTCATGTTGGTTAGCACCAAGGGCGAGCGCGGGCCGAGCGGGCTGTTGGCGGTCACCACCACGCGGGTTTGAAGCCGCACCGTGCGTGCTAGAAGGGGCCGTGAGATTGCCCTTTGTACCATCGTGGCGTACGTCCCGCGGGCACAACTTGCATATACTCGAACGCGAGATCCGAGATGAGCGGCACAGGGTTAGGTGGCAGCTACGACAAAACGACAGTAGCATCGGGTCGCGTCCCAGAGGGTGCACCGTCGAGTGGAGCGAGAGGTTGGTCAGCGCTGCATTGTAGAGCGGGATGGACGTGGCGTGTGGCGTGCAGGCCGTGACGCTCACGGACGCGGCGCGGCCACTGAGGTACCTACATGGATTCTTCTGTCAGCCATGGCAACGTGACAGGACAGACGAACGTTGAGATCATCGCGCTCGTCACCAGCGGGTCCGACGAGACAATCGACCCTGTGAGCGCGAGGTGGTTGTAGCCCGTGGGCCCAAAATGTCGGCACGCGCTGTCTGATGCGTCGGTCATCGTCACCTACGCAAGCAGCATCGACGTCATGCGCGTCACCAAGAGATGATGCGAGAGACGTTGAGGCTGGCGTCGCCCGAGATGCGCCCAACGTGTGCTGTGACGTTGCCAGGCGCAGTGTACGCGACGTCCAAGCACAGCGTGCCCACGGGTGTGAGCGCGGTGGCGGATGGGTTCCAGAGACACGTCTCGACGTGCGCGACCACGCTCGTCGCCGTGGACGCCGTCAAGTCCATCTACTTGACGTGTAGCCAACGACGCGATATAGCGATGTAGTACCTGCGTGATCGCGAGCGTTGAAAGGCCATGCATGCCAACCAACACCATGTCCTTCTCGAGCGACAGGCCCGAGATGGGCACGGAGAAGAGCCCGAGGTGCACCGAGAGGTCCACCGAGCCCGAGAGCATCCATGCGGTCGTGTTGGACTGGACCATCGCGGCAGCAAAGCGGCCCCAGACCGCCATGTCGGTCACCTACATGACGTGCATGGGACCAGACAAGAAGGAGTGTCGTACGTTGAGCGTTGCATTGGCGATCGTGTGGAGCGACGAGCCATGCGAAATGGCCATCGACGGTGTCATGAACGAGCCAAAGATGCTCCCGTTGAAGTGCAGATAGAGCGTTGTCGCGGCCATCGTCGCCCCAAAGAGACTGCCCGACGCCACCTAGCACCGTCGTCAACATCCATAGCAAGCGTCGCAGCCACACGTACCTCGAGCTGCGTCGTGAGTTGCGCGCTGTGCGCTGTGGGCGACGCGAGCTGCATGCGGCGGATGGTCATGCCCGTCGTCGCCAGCGCGTGCTGCGCGATCGGGCGGAGGCAGACGGCTACGCCAACGAGAAGCGCCGCCAGCAGCCCGAGGCCCACGACCAGCTTGCGCCGAAGCGTCCATCGCGTCGATCGCGCAGGCTCGTCGTGCTCGACAAAGCCCGTTGCGTCCTCCAGCAGACGCGTATCTTCCTCGTCGTCGGCCTGCTTCATCTTCTTGCCAACTGCGCTTGGTCAAGAACACGCCAATAGTGTAAATAGTGTAGGATATTAATGGCAACACTATATCACGTTTCACAGTATATGGAGATAGGGGTAGGGCGGTGTACCGAATTCGGTTTTTGAAAGCACGTGTCTACATGTCATGCAAACAAGCAACAAAACGCGTGTTAAAATGGCTGAAAACTGTTTTCCTGTGGGAAATATCCTGTTTTCGTATCGCAGAAATCCAAATTCGGCCTGGTTGTGACGACGGGATCGAGACCCGGCGTGATTTCCTAGGAGCCATTCGCCAAGACGCTGAGCCATCTCGATGCGAGTAGAGCGCCAGCGCGATGGCTGCATCCGTCTCACCTGGCGCGCTAGGTGCGGCACATCAACGAGTCGACGAAGCGAGTACGCTCACGAGCGTCCGTAGCACCGTCGATGGCGCATATGAAGCCATGCATCATAACGCGACCCAGGCCCAGGGCCAAGGTCTTGCCAAGCGCTGAGGTCCGCCACGAAATGGGACCTCGTTCGGAAGACGAAGAGCCCCTTGCGTGTACGCTTATCTACCTCTCTCTTCCACCTCGTAACACAATACATGGTGCTAGTCCCGCTTACCGAGAACGCGGTGGACACGAATACCTCTGGGTAGACTGGTTGAATGCGGTAGACCATTCTATTTCTTTCTTGCACACTCTTCATGCAATCGACCATGAAGTGCTATTTTGTCGCACCAAAGGTATAGTTCAACACGGATGCCCATGCGTTGAGCCGCCATACGCGACGTCCCACCGTCGCCTAGTCCCGCGGATCGCGCTTCTCTTTTTGTCAGCCTCGATCACGTTTCTCAACCACGTGTCCACAACACAACAATTTAATTTCGCGTCGATTTTTTCATTTGTATACTCTCGCTACCCCTTACCCTGGTCACAACCTTGCCTTTGACGTTTCCAAACTCGGTCTGTACACTCGTACAAATCTAGAGCAAATTACGAATGTACCCGATTTTCAACGGTTTGTAGCCATGGTCAAACTCGAAAAGCTCGCTGTTGATAGACAACGCACTGTAACAACAACAACGACCTACGCGCCATTGCAGCTTCTTGACAGTATCAAACACAGCTCGATATATTCTATGGTTTCTATCAATATGTCCCGCCTCGTCTACTACGAATTGTCGGTGGCCCACACGAGCCGGTCGAGGATGACCTTTTCGAGCACGATGCCATGCGCATCGGCTTCTTCCACGCACGTCCACGCCAAGTCAATGTTGTTGCAGTCCAAACACGCATGGATCGCCGCCTACAATGCCAACACCTCGACCGCTGGTCCACAACTATAAAAAGACCTACGTGGTAGACGATCGCATTGTCTTCCACAAGGCCGAGGGCAACCCACTGGAGGAACGCGGTCACAAAACCCGTCGGGTCCTGGAGCTCCTTGCGGTGGGTCACAAAGCACACCTACCCGTTTGTGAGTTCCCCTAACCCGCTCATGGCTAGAAACACGCACCGTAAACACATCGGCGGGCAAGGCCACTTCGTGCAACACGCCGTACTCGAGTAGACGGTTCAAGCTCACCATATCATGCGCGCGCGTCACGTCGAGCGCAAAGTGCCGAAGCAGCGACGCCGGCACGACCAAATCGGACGCTTCAAAGATCTCAAACACCGCCATCGCCTTGCTCGTGTCGTGGGCCAGAAAGTACGCATGGATCGCGTCCCGCTGCGACGACGACGACGCTCGCAGCAGCGCTTCCAACGCATGCGCGTGGCGCGGGTTGTCCATGTGCTTGGACTCGGCGTGCTCAAACAGGTCGGTCGCGAGCTCAAAGTCGCCGGCGGCCAGCGACGCTACCAAGAGCTGCGGCGGGACGTCCTTGAAGAGCCGTTTGTGTGTCGCCGCGAGCGTGAGCGCCCCCGTCGTCGAGGTGCCTGCGCGCTGACACGCCTCCAAGTAGATGTCGAGCATGTCACCAAACGTACTCGCCTCGGTGGCGGCCGCCAAGTGGAGCAGTGCCAGCGCCGAAGCTTCGTCGGCGCCAACAAGGACCATGAGCTTGGGGCCAAAGAGCTCTGCAAACTGCGCCCGCAACGACGGCGTGGGCAGCGCGAGCGCCCACTCGGCGATGCCGTCGGCCGAGATTGCATGCGGCGGGCGGAGGCAGAAGGCGGCGACGGCCGGCGTCACAAGTGACTCGCCCGCCGACAAGAGAAAGACCACCTTGGCGCTTGTCGGTGTCAGTAGATGCTGGAAGCGTGCAACGAGCGCCCAGTCGCAGAGAAGAAGGCTACTGCGCACGCCCGTGATGATGACGTTGGGCGGCGTGTGCGTGAGCTTGTCGTGTGCGAGTGCATCGAGGAGGAGCGGAAGGAGCCGTGCGTGGTGGCGGCGGTGGCCTTCGTTGTAGAGCCACGTCGTAAAGACGTCGGGCGAGAGGCGCCAGTCGGCACGGCGCAGCACGCACCGAACAAGATCGTGGACGAGCTTGAACTGGTCCTTCTCGCTGCTCTCAATAAGATCGAGCGCCACCATCGAGAGCACGCTCGGTGTCGGCGACCCGCAGAATGGAAACTGCTTGATCAAGACATGCGCAATCGACGGCGCGAGCGCCTTCTTTCGGTACACAAAGTACGACACAAAGAGCTTCCATGTCTTGGGCAGTGAGAGCGTCGCGGGCAGCGCCGGCGCAAACTCGGTCAGCGCGTGCATGTGAAAGAGCACCGTGGCCATACCGGGCGGAATCTCGCTGTCGTAGCAACCGTGCGTGTACAAGCGCAGCGCTTCGTCGTACGCCTTCATGTGCATGCACTGGGCCAAGAGCCCAGGCGCGGTGCATTGCTGCTGCGTCGCAAGCGACACGAGCACGCGCAGAAGCCGCCGGCGATCGTCGAGCGTCGTCGCCGTCGTGGGCACAGCGTCCAGCACCGCCTTGGTGAGCGCATTGGGCATGTCCACGTGACTCGTCAAAGCCGTTGTGAGCGCAGCGTGCAGCGGCTCGGCGCCGCGTAGCGAGGCCGAAATGGTCGCAAGCACGTCCGTCTTGGGCAGCGCCGGCATTGTTGGCAGCGCTGGCAGCGACGTCGGCGAAGGCTGCGTAGCCTCTTCCTTGGACCAGCGCCGCTGCAGCGCGTCATAGAGCGACGATTGCGGAGCGAGCGTCGCGAGGCCACGGCGCGCGGGCGTGGCGTCCACCGCCAGGCGTCGAAGCATTTTTATGCAGTGGCGCATCCGGATACGCACGGTGTCTATTCGTGGCATGTGCCATATTTAATGCACACAGCACGCCATCACCCACACTATCGTCCTCAAAGGTACGACCACAATCGGGAATACAGCAACAGTTTTTGAATATAAAACTACCTGCTCGTCTAGAAGTACAAGGTATTTTCGACTAGAAGCATCGTAGTCTTTATCAAGGTCTGTAAATAATCGAGACTTGACATTTTGAAAACGGATAGAGCAAAGCTAATGCATGCTCTGGAGTCTATGCTCTGGCTGTCCTTCGACTTGATGCGATCTAACTAAGACGCGTGGGGACCCGTGAACAGGCGGTGTACATGCGTATATACTTTAACGGAGCTTGTATCGTGTCGCTAAGAGCATCGTCACCGTGGGCCAGCTAAGATCTAAAGGTAAAGCTAAAAAGTTGGCTCATTTTCCGGAAATTTGAACTCCCGTGGCCCGATTTCAAGCTAAAACGACCCAAATTAAGCAGGATGGATGTCGCATTTGGCTAGCTTTAGCTGGGCCGCGGCGAAGATGCTCTAATTATACATCTCGACCGCGGGAAAAAGCAGCGCGGCATGGGCGGCTGCCTGAGTCGCGTCGTCCTCGTGGACCCACACTATTCGACGACCGACGGCATGCAAGCACTCTTTCACTCGCTCGGCTTCACCGTGCACGACACCAATCGCCTCCACGTTGCCTTTCTGCAGGCGGACGCAGGTGCGGTGCGGCCCTCGGCTTTTCAATTGACAAAACTATCGATGCAGACAGCACGGGCGGGCTCTCGTTTCTGGAGTTTCTGACCTGCTTTGGTACGACGACAATGTGCTCCATTCAATATGACGAAGCATGTCCTGTGCTTAGATCTCGACAATACCGAGTTTACAAAAAGACCTTTACGGTGCGTGCTCGTCTCGCGCCATGGCGTTCATCGTGTCGACTGTAGATGATGGATGTCGACGGCAACGGCGACGTGGTACGTCTACCTCTCGACGATGGAACAACTGTCTAGGTGTCGTCTACTAGGATTTTGAAGAATTTGTACTGGCCATGTGGAAATTTTGTACATTAGAGTTCACCGTGTCTGGCGACTCAATCGGCGTAGGTCTCTTCTCCAAGGAAGCGCTCATTGGCTTCTCATTTGGCCTTTATGACGAAGACTGCAGTGGCGAGATTGGTACGAGCATCAGTACACAGTCAAGGTGAAGCTCTGTGATGCTACGCTAGACACGTTCGAAGCCCAGCGCTGCCTTCGTGAAGTGTGGGGCGACAAGTGGCAGCACAACCCGCACGCGAGCACGATTAGTGAAAAGCTCAACCTCCTCGCTGATCTCCACGGCGGTGACTCGGATTAATATTCTCCATTACATGCTGCAACGCCGTCGTGACTAGGGTCGATTACAAAAGGCCAGTTTGTCAAATTCATGCATTCACACCCGATCTTGCTCTTTCCCGCCTTTCAAGTACGATCGAGACAACGATGGGTCGACCTAGTATCGTGCGATTTTACATACAGGTCCAGCACGAAATGATTGTGCGCATGCATGGAGAGTCGTTCTGGCGGCGCATTGAAGACCAGCGCCAGGCGCACAAGACTAAACCCGAGCCGTGGCCGACCGATGACGAGATTTTGGACCGCTTCAACGAATACCACAACCAGACCATCTGTACCTCTTTGGCTGCTCTGTGGGGTGGCACGATCATCGTCCTTGCGATCTAGTCAACGGTATCGAGCACGCGCCCATATCCGAGAACGCGCCTGGTACGCCTTTGGCATCGCACTCGGTGAGGTTATTACAATGGAAGCTATAGTCCACGACTATAAATTCAAAGAGTCGTTTCGAACCAAACAAGCCAGCAAGGGTCCTGCCAAGAAATATAAGAGCCCGACCACGATTGCCGTCGCAGCTCGCAAACCGTCGATCCGAGAGACGCTGCGTCAACACTCGATCAAGTTTACGGCAAGGTTACCCAAAGGAGGTGCGAAAAAACCCACTTGATAGAGTTGTCAATCGGCGTGTAAATACTTTAACGCGTGCACGAGTCCACATAATGTCGTGTCGCCAACGTGCGTTGGCTGCAAAGGGCGCACGAGCAAAAGGTGGTATTCGCCATGGCTGTGCAAGTGCATCGCGCCGCCAAGAAGAAGACTCAAACTTGGCTGCGATGGAGTCAGACTACGAAGAACCATGGGTCGTGTGCCATTTGAGGCACCTCGTACAGGGCGAGTCCGTCGAGTAGACGTACAAAGGCGAGTTGCAGCGTGTCAGACACAAGCGCATCGCCACCATACCATCGCATCTTCCAGCACCGACGAGCTACGCTCGAGTGAACACAAAGTGTGTCGCAGCAACCAAGCCTACGCAGTGTCGATCCGTGCTGCACCTTGGTCGATGTAGTTCGCTGGAGCCAAGCGTGCACGCGCCGCCGCCACCGCGACCGTGCAGCGACAGAGACCGTCGAGGGTAGGACCTAGCAAACAGAGGAAGTGGAGCCAAGAAAAAGGAGCTCGACCTCCAAAGCTGTTTTCTTGCTATCAAACGCCACAAGGGCGAGCTCGGCAGTCTAACGAGATACTACTACGCAATGGCGTTGACAACGCAGGTTAGAACGTACGTGGCGTTCACAGATCGTTTCGAGTGCACTTGACACGGCAGCTTCGAGGGCCTGCAGCGTGCACGCATAAAAGTACGCGGCTTGGCGCTACGACGCGGGCGATGAGACATCAACTTGATTTTTCCAATACGCAAGCACCTTGCGGTCCATGGGCACAGCCTCGCCAGCGCCAATGACAGTCGCCATGTGTCTACGAACGGCGCGTCATGCACGTAGGCAGCCAGCGGTACCGTGCGATCGCTGCATGCGTCGAGCGCCACGTCACAATGACGAGGAGCCACTGCTTGGCGGGCACGGGCTCCATGACGTAGCGTTCGTTGGATGTCTCAAAGTATTGAAGGTCGTGCTGCGATGAAGTCTCGACGACCGATCCTAGCGCCAGGTACGCCTTAGGATGGTGCCTAGCGTGCGTACTTGTGCACCTGCAAAGCTGTGGAGGGCAAAGAAGAGGGCCGCTTGGTTCATGTGGGATTTCGTGGGATACTGTGTGTGGAAGGCTGCCGAGAGGGCTCGCGCGTGGACGAGGGTGCCGCCGACAAGATCGACGACGAAGAGCCCGAGCACCATGTCTGCAATTTCCCAAAACCGTGAAACAGACAAACACTATTTGATTGTGAATCGTGGTCGCCGATGCCAATCTACAAAGAGTTTATCGTTGCCACCCCTGATACGACGTTGCGAAGGAACGTCACTGTTTCGAGCTATGGCTTCGAGCTATCGTGGTGACATCATGGTAAGACGACCGTGCGATGATGGCATGGCCAAAAGGTGGTTGTTCTCGAAGAAATTGGAAGAAAGCGTGGAGCGCTGGAGCGATGCGTCACGATCTTTCTTGCATTGCACGCATACAGGGTCAGCCAGGAGCTAGAATACCGCCCACCGCTGTAGAAGAAGCATGTCCAGGAATGTCCTGAACGCGACACCTAGAGTGCCTCGAGAGCCTGAAGGTTGTTTAAAAAGCATTTGATTCGCTATTTAAAATGGATTTTAGACCAATCACACACGACTGTAAACCAGTCACCGCCACCACGAGCGACTCCGTACGCCAAATAGCATTGGAAAACAAAATCGCTCCAACTTGGCTAAGGGATACAAGGCACGTTGGTGATCACGGCGTGCTACTCCACGTCGGTGTGCGAGGTCTACAACGAGAGAAATGGCCCGACCAATGTTTTACGCGGCATATGCCATAAACAACAGTAGCAGATGCCACATTTAACGACACCCGTAGCTCCGTCGCATCGCACGTTGACCCAAACGCCGTCAAGCCACCAAGGGGCTGAGAAATCAAACTCAGAGAATCCAAATCAAGCTGTACAATCATTCGGTCCGTGTCGTCAAAATCGTGGCCATCGTACGCTAAAACGCTTGCAAATCAAAGCGTCGGGGAAGCCCGTTCAGAACGTACGCCGACGCGTTTGAACCGGGTGGCGCACCAATGTGCTCGGCCGCGCGCTGACGCAGCGCTGCGACATGCAAGCCCGCGCGCCGCACCTCCAGGGAGAAGCCACGCTCAAACACATCCGACGTCGTATCGAACACGAGGCGCTGCGCTTTCAGTCGATCGAGGTCCCACACAGCTGGGTTGAGCGAAAAGCCAGGCCAGTGCGCCATCTTGTGCGTCGGGTCCGCGACGCCAAACTCGAGCACCTTGTAGCTCACGCTGCCCGAAGGCGTGCTTTGGAGCCACCCGCTTTCTTGGTCGTTGAGTAGCACCTACGCCTCGACTGTACTCGTCGGTGTGAATGTCGGAGACGCTACCTGCGCCAGACGTGTGTGGGGGTCGTTCCAATGACTTTGAAAGATCTCGAGCGCATCGGCCACGAGGCTTGTTGCATTGGCGACAAAGACCCAATCGTCTTCAACGTACAAGACAAAGCGCGTGCTCACCAGCGACAGGAGCGTGTTCATCGAGACCGCGTGGCCCTTGACGCGCGTGTAGACAAAGCGAACGGTCGGAAACGTGCTCTCCATGACACGGCGGTCGTCCTCGCTCGAGTGGTCGTCAATGACGAGCGTTGCGCACACCAGTGGCGACGCCATGAGCTCGCGTAGCGACGCCATCGTGTGCAGAAACAGCGAGAGCCGCTTGCACGTCGTGAGCACGAGCGTCACGCAGCGCGCAACGACCGGCGTCGGGACGTAGTTGGTCTCTGGAAACCGATCCCGGACCGCCCGCCACGCCACTGTCGTGTCGATCTGCCCAGCGATCGCCCGCCATGCGTCGACGATCCGGTATGCCGTGTCCAGCATGGTCGGCACCCGGTGCTGCCACATGGCGTAAAAGATCGCAACCCAGATGTCGTCGCCGACGCGAACGTCGACGGCGAGCACATCGGGCTCGAGACCCTACGAAAGACCCCGAGATGAATCCATCAAATGACGGCGGAGAGAGGGATTCGAACCGGCGATGGCACGCGCACGGTTGCAACAATGGGCTGCTCCAGCCGTGCGACGCCCTTGTGCAGCACATTCTCGATAAACGCGACGTAGAGCGGCTCGAGGGCGTGCGCGTGGCCAAAAGCCGCTGCCACTTCCGTCGTGCGATGTCGCTCCGACGCGCGCACTCGAAACCCAAAGGCTTCGTGGAGCACTTGCAGGTATAGGTCAACGCCGTAAACAACCGGGTCGGCGTCGGCCGGGAGCACATTGCATGTGCCCGGCAGCGGCGGCGGCGTGGCGAGGATGCTCTGCAGCATGGTGGACCAGGCGTCCACAACGCTCGACTGGTTGTACAAGACGTCGTGCCGGTCTAAAATGCGCTGTGAAAGTGCAGCGCGAAACGTCGCGTTGCGCCCGACGGCCAATGCCTTGGCGACTAGACATTCCGCCATCTCGTTGATATAAAGAACAAAAAAATGAGAGGCACCTACCATAGTCGTCGTCCGAGTACGCGATCAGCTCGGGCATGTCCATCAGCGTGTACATGGCCGCGCTGAGCTGGAGAATCGTCGTCCGCGGTTCGTGGACAATGATCGGTGTCCCGACCGCCAGAATCTCCAACGTCGTGCGGCCGCCACCGACCGGAAAGGTGTCGAGCACAACTAGCACAACAATGTTGTCATGTGAAGTGTAGAGAGAATAGGTACCGTCGGCAGCGGCGCAAATGTGCAGAAATTGCTGTCGGGACATGAGCGGCAGAAAGAATAGGCGTGCCATGACGGCCGGCGGCATCGTCTTGACCCAGCGCTCGTACACCTACCCCTTCGTTGAGTGTGTCCATGCAAACGATGGGTCCACGTACAATGTCGGCCAGCGCAGTTCGGTCGCCCTTGAGGAAAACGACCGCCGCGTCGTCGTGGGCTTCGAGGATGCGGCGCACGAGTGCATCCAAGGCCGGGTGTAGCTTGTACAATACTTGTGGCACGAGGTAGATGGTGCTTTGAAGCTTCTGGAGCTCGCCCACAAGCGCGTCGGCGGCAACGTCGTCTCGCGATAGAATCGGCTTGTAAAAGGCGGTGGTGAGGCCCGGCATTGCATACAAGCACTCGGTGTAGTGCGCCTACACGCCGTATAGGTAGCATTATCTTCACACGTTTCATGAATTTTCAGTGATTTTTCATGATTTTCAGTAATTTTTCAAGGGGTTGCAAATGTACCTGGTGCGTCCCGAAGAGAGGCGACGTGATCGCATAGTCGACGGTCGAAATCCCCGATGTGATGGCGTGACCCCAAAAGACCACGCTGCGCAGGCCGAGCTGCGCGAACGCGAGAAAGTACGTGGAGGGGTCCATACCAATCTATCAACGTATCAAGTCGCCGACCGATTAAAACGGCGACACACCTCGGAGAAGAGGACAATGTCTAGTGCCAAGGCCGCGATGACGTGCTGCGCGGCCACGACATCACGGGGCAGCACGATATCGTGGTCGGCGCACGCCTGCAAGTGCTGCGTGACGTGGTCGTGCTTGGGCGTTGTGCGGAGGAGGTAGATCTCAAACGTCGCCCTGTCCAGTCTACAAGCCATGAGACAATATTTTACATCCAAGAATCTCGTACTGGGTCAAGACCCCTTGGAGCAACAAGGCGACCGTGTGTTCAAAAAAGAAGCCAGATACAACCCCGAGGCGAATGCGTCGACCTTCGGCCACATGCACATTGAGCGATTGGCGATGGGCTTGAACATGGGGAGCGACAAACGAGAGCGACGGCATGGACGCGCGGTAGATGGCTGCATGCTGCTCTCGCAAACGCCGGTCGATGCCGCCTTGATAGATGAGAAAGTACCCCATCGAGCCGCACCTCGTCGCATATAAAATCTCATGCAATGACGCATGCGCTACCCGATCGTCTGGAATGGATTGTCGCCCAGCTGCAATGGCACGTCCTCTGCCAAGGCGGCCAGTCGCATGGCGAACCGGGCGCGCGAATCGGTGACGTCGTGGATCGAGCGGGTGACGCGAGGTAGCTCGGCCATTGCCTGCATGAGTCGGATCGTGTCGCGGCTGCCATGGCTGCTTGGCAGTGCGAGCGCTGTGTCAAAGGCTTTTGTGCTCGTGACACCGTCGCAGACGTCGCAGGCCACGAGCGCAAGGCCGAGAAACGAGTGGTGGTTGGCAGGGTCGAGCTCGGTCGCACGCTAGCGCACTGTATGAGCAGGACGACGTGTGTTTGTTGACGGTACGTACTTGGAGGCAGGGCTGGGCCGACACAACGTCTTGCAGATTGTGGTAGATGCTGCCGAGGTTGTGGTATGCAGCGGCACTATTGGGCGCCAATGCCTACCCGATAGAACGAGATCGAGAAGGCACGCGACGAAGATGGCACCCTACCAAGGCTTCCAGTGTGATGGCGCGGGCGTCATCGAGCGACCATTGCGCAAGCCGCACGGCGCCAAGGTTCACCAGGAGTGGCACCAGCCGTGCGTCCGACCGATTGGTCGTCGTCAGGAGCGGAATCGTATAGACAGCCGCGGCGCGGTCCAGGTCGCCGTGGTCACTGTAGAGCATGCCGAGCGCCTGGAAGGCATCGAGGTGGGCCTGCTCGTACGGCGGCGACGCGAGCACGGTCGCCGCTTCCAGCGCAGCCGTTGCGTCGGCGCCTTGCGCCAGAAGCAGCCGCGCGTAGGCGTGCTGCACGTCAAAGGCAGCGCGGTGGTCAGCCAGCAACGCTTGGTAGCAGGCGCGCGCCAAATCGAAAGCCCGCGCGGCCGCGTACTCGTCGCATCGCATCAGTGGCGCCTGCCACGGTGGCGTGTCCTAGCGCATCGCATGCGTGCACGTCAGCGACTCGACGAGCCAATGGTCTGTACCGTCGTCGCATGGCTGTGGGCGAAGGTCATGGCTGCCCCATCGGAAGCGCCCCAAGGAGGATGCATGTGCGTGGCCTCCATCATCTGCAATGAAGCACCGCCAGCGACAGTATCGATGAGCCAAGCGGCTATGATGAAGCAGAGCGGCGCGACCATCCGCGTCATCCCGCAAGATACCGCACGATGCAACTTGCGATCTTCGGGGCCGTACTTTTTCGGAGTCACAAAGTGCGTCTAGATACACCCAACCTGTTGTATGATTTCAGCCAATCACGTTCAAGAATGATTTCAGCCAATCACGTTCGGGCCATGTGCTCTACACACTTGATCAGCTTCATCAAGCAACCTGATCTCAGCTGATCACAATCCGTCATGATACGCTGCGTTATACCCAAATGATTTTGGTAAAGTCATCACGTCGTGTCGATACCGGTGCGATATACCTCAGGGAAATCCCTTGATATACCGTACTCGTACGAGATGAAAACAGAGAGAGAAGGGTGGCGCAAGTCTGGGCGCAGATACCGTTCGTTGAAAGGTTCAAGAGAGAAGAAGGGGCGTGGCGAATTCATCCCGACGACCACTTTGTCTAGATCAGGGCTGCTCGTGTACAAGGCTGATATCGTTACTTAGTTCGTCTAAAAGTTCCTCATGCCACAAATCGCCACTGGAGCGTAAAGGGTTTCCTTTTGCGCGTGACGTGAGCCGTCGCATATGATGTTCCTTCCTTGACCTTCCTCGGGATGCGCTGCTTTTCAGTCCAAGGTTGCTGTCTCGTCCGTTGTGACGTTGATTGGTTTCAGTTGTATGCGACGACGACAACGGCACTGCGCAAGTATGAATTCTCTTGGATCTGATCCCCAGTTTATGAGTTCATCGCGCTTCTCGGTCCAAATTCCAACATCGTCATCCATGCTTTCATTTTGAAATTGAAGACAATCTGTCATGACGGGTACAACTAGGCACACGGGCATTGTTTATGCGATCACGTCGTTTCTCATTTGGGGCCTCTACCCGCTCTACTGGAAGCAGCTTCAGGACATTCCCGCGCTCCAGCTCGCGCTCCACCGGATCGTGTGGTCGTTCGTGCTTCTCGGCCTCCTCCTCTCGGTCCTCCGGCAATGGACCGCCCTCTACGCAAGCCTGCAGTGGCGTGTCCTTGGCATCTACACGCTTTCGTCTTGCTGCATCTTTGCAAACTGGTACATCCTCGTGTGGGCCATCAACGCCGGCTACATCCTCGAAACGAGCCTCGGCAACTTTATCAACCCGCTCATCAACGTGGTCTTTGGCGTCGTCCTCTTCAAGGAGTCGCTTCGCTGGCTGCAGTGGACGGCGGTCGGGCTAGCCTTCAGCGGCGTCCTCGTTGTCGCGATTGCGTACGGCAAGTTTCCGTGGATTGCCCTCACGGGCGCGTTCACCTTTGCCCTCTACGGCTTGATCAAGAAGCAAGCGCCATTGAGTCCGCTCCAAGGCTTGTTCTTGGAGACAGCCATTCTGCTACCGCCGTCGATTGTGTATCTCGTGGTCGTCGAGGTCCAAGGCACCGGCGCATTTCTCCACGTCAATGCGCTTCAGAACATCCTCATTGTCGGCGGTGGCGTCGTCACGATCGCACCGCTGCTCTTGTTTTCGTCGGCGGCCAAAAGTGTACCGCTGAGTCTTCTCGGTATTCTCGCGTACCTCTCGCCGTCGGTGCGGTTTGCGATTGGCGCACTCGTCTACCACGAATCGCTCACGCTCTTTCAGCTCATTGGTTTTGTCCTTGTATGGGCCGCGCTACTGCTGTACACACTCGACAGCTGCGTTGTGTCGGCCAACACCAAGACCGCCGAGGTCTCGTCCACCAATATCGAAGCTTCCGACTATGAAGTCGTGCTCACGCCCTCTGCTATCAACGACCGAGCCGATGGCGATGGCATCGACACCCGATTGTAGCGCCACAATAGAGAGATGGAAAATATATTTGTCATGCATGATAACCATTCCGCGCGTCAGTTTTGCCCCGCAGAAAGGTCCGTGGTCGTTGTTTTCGCAACGCAGCGGCGATTGGCATGTCGTCTCGGCACAAACGAGCCATCTTCTGCTTCGTTGCGAATTTGTCACTGCCGTGTGGGCGGTCTTTCAGCCGCTCGTCGACGCCCTCGAGCTCGAACTTCCCACGACGCTTTCCGCGCTCCTCTTCGAACCGCTGGTTACAGCCCAACGATACCGTCGGCGTGCAGTGGCCATGATGTGGCCGATCCTCCGCGCGTGCGTGCTCCACACCGTCTGGCTTGCCCGCAACGACCGAGTCTTTCGCCCCGAGGCGCCCCTTGTGACGCCTGAGGCAGCCGCCCAACGAGCCGCGTTCTTGACCAAGCTGCACCTCCAACACCTGCTGCTGAACACTCAAGCATTGTGCCTCTTCCAAATGATGGCAGCCCTGCGGCACGACGCATGGCTACGCGACAACTTTGATCCGGCATGTGCCGTTTACACGCCACGGCTCCCGCTCGGCTAAGCCTCTCGGCGGCCGGCTCGTCGTAGCACCTTGGAATCGATAGTCCACCACCATATCCAGTTCAGTGTAAATTATATCTAAATAGACTCACTTCAACGACAACAAACGAGCCAAAACGGTCAAAGCACTTTGAAACGGGTACAAGAGACAATGTGTCGTAATGTGGGCATATTGTCTGCGCGGCACACCATGCCGTATTCCCTTGTGGAAGAAGTGTCGTTTATAGAAAGGAACACACGTTATGCGACCGCTTCACGCAATCATGTGTTTGCGTGACCCTTTTCCGTCACGCAACGTAAAATTACGTGTAGAGTGCCACCCTAGCGTATGCAACCATGCACGCCGCGTCGTCTCGCACTACAGAGTCCAAGTTATTTATTCGCCGAACGTAGATCACCTTCGTCTGCGCCAAGCAGCACGGCCACCCACGTTTTGGTTGACGTTAGTGGCCGCGATAACGTGCTTCAAATCCTTCGTACAACTCGCCCATTCCATGTCATTTTCCGATTTCCATCCGCGCCATCGTCACAGTATGGAGCCCGGCATCGTGTACGCCTTTGCAGCGACCATCGTCTGGGGTCTCTACCCGCTCTACTGGAAGCAGCTCAGCGACGTGCCCAACATGCAGCTCGCCATGCACCGCATCGTGTGGTCGTTTGTCATTATCGCGGCGATTGTTTCGTGCAAGTGCGAGTGGCGCGCCTTCAAGGCCAGCATTGCGTCCTGGCAAATCCTTGGCATTTACGCTACGTCGAGCGTTCTCATCTTTTGCACGTGGTACCTCCTCGTGTGGGCCATCAACGAAGGGTACATCGTGCAGTCGAGCCTCGGCATGTTCATCACGCCGCTCCTCAACGTCCTCTTTGGTGTCGTTATCTTCAAGGAGACGCTCAACAAATGGCAGTGGACCTCTGTCGGCCTCGCTGTCTCTGGAGTTGTCGTGTGCGCCATTGCGTACGGCAAGTTTCCGTGGGTTGCGTTTGTGATGGCGCTCGTGTTTGCCTTGTACTCGCTCGTCAAGAAGAAGGCGCCGCTCAATGCGCTTTACGGCATGATGCTTGAGACGTCGATCCTCTTTCCGATTGCACTCGTCTATTTGGTCGTCATCGAGTGCGATGGTAGCGGCGCGTTTGGACACATGGGCACGAGCAAGGACTTGCTCATGGTCGGCGGCGGCTTTGTGACGATGCTGCCATTGCTCCTCTTCTCGGCCGCCGCGCAGCTCCTTCCGATGAGTCTTCTCGGTATCATTCAGTACATCCAGCCGACATTGCAGTTTCTGCTTGGCGTGTTGGTTTACGACGAGTCGCTCTCGACGCTCAAGCTTATCGGGTTCATTCTGGTCTGGATTGCCCTTGCCGTTTACACTTTCGACGCCATGGTGCGCACTCGACAAGCCTCCAGCAAGTTAGACGACAACGATGTGCTCGAGCCGTCGGAAGAGAGCAGCAGCAGAGCCTCGTTCAAACAAACGGTATAATGCAACGCCGTAAATGGTTGTGGCGTTACAGTGTCTTGGTTTTTGCTTTCAACCAGTTGATTGTCGCCGGCTTAAGGCGCCTGGGGTAGAAAGCTTGCCTCTCTTGTACAAGTGTTCGTTTCTTACAGTATGGAAACGAAGCCCGTGTTCTTGGGTAGCAGTGACGCTGCAGCCAGCGCACTAACGAGGAACCTTCACATTGGAAGACCGACCGAGAGGACTTGGCAACAGTCGATTGAAAGTGCTCAGCATTGCTATGCTTTCTATTCCAGCCAAAGAGCTCTAGTATATGAAGGGTAGTGGTCTGGGCCACGCTATCAAAGGAAGACTGAGGCGTTCGCCCGCAGGTGCACAGCGATAGTGACTGCATAGATGCTCGCATGAGCTCAGATTCTACTTGGCTCTTGTCGAGGGTCCCGTGCGACTGTCTACGCGCGACACTTCTAAGAAATCAAGCGGGGCCACGAGAATTTGAAGGAGCACGAATCATATCCAAGAGAGGGCCGTTGGAACGAACGGCCAAAAGAGAAGCGCATCTCTCCTTCCTCAGAGACAGCATTGTGACCCAGCGACAGTGCAAAGAACCATCGACGCTGCGAAATAGATGGGTTTCGGCAACTGGAACTCTATACAAGACACTTCGTAGCAAACGTGGCGTCCCATGGGACAGACCACGTCGGACCGTGACGCAGGGCTAGTTATCGATGTGGTATTACACATCGGAACAAGCCTGGCCACGAAGAATGTATTGGATCTAGATTTTACAAGTTTGAGTTCCAGTGGACTACATGTATACTGGTACCGATCATGCATCCTTGGAAATGCAAGTGTCCAGGACACTTCAGTGCAAAGTTGCAAAGACATGTTATCGTTGCACACCACCACCAAAATGGCTGCCTCGAGATGCAGCCAACTCGAAATCTGAAAGGAAGTGGGCACTTCTGGTGCGTCCTGGCTGGCTAAAGAGTTGATCGAGGACGCTGTCACGCGAGTGAGGGTTTGAAGGACTGCCAGCTCAGGCCATCAAGCGAACTTGCTGGAAAGCATCGATCGGGCGGTCGTCGCTGCGTAACAAAGGTGCAGGACATCCTTGCATTCCGTCGGCGTCGATTTTTACGTATGTGTGTCTCATCTATACAATTCGCGAGTAATATGCAGAAATTTATTATCAATCTAAACAGCACACGCTACGACGACGACGAGCGCAGCATCCGGTCACGCTAACATGGGCGCAGGTGCTGTCGAACCGGGTCTCCACCTTGTTGCAAGTTCGGACCAACAAAGATTTCGCGATCTTCCCAGCAATCAAGGGTGGGACACGCGCGGGCACCGTTCTCCCAAGGAATCGGACAGAGGTCCACAACTTACAATCGGGCCCCAACAATGATGCTACCAATTCGTTCATTTTCCGTTTTACCACGCACAACATGAGCATCGATCCTGGTGTTGTTTACGCGCTCGCTGCCTTTGTCACGTGGGGTCTCTACCCGCTCTACTGGAAGCAACTTTACGGTATTCCCGACCTCCAGCTCGCCATGCACCGGATCGTGTGGGCCTTTGTCGTCCTCGCCGGTATCCTTACGTACAAGCGGCAATGGACCGAGCTCAAGCGGGGTGTCTCGAGCTGGAAGGTGCTCGGCACGTACGCACTCTCGAGCGTCTTTATCTTTACCAATTGGTACCTCCTCGTGTGGGCCATCAACGCCGGCTACATTGTCGAGACGAGCCTCGGCGTCTTCATCAACCCGCTCATCAACGTCATTTTTGGCGTCCTTATCTTCAAGGAGACGCTGTATCTGTGGCAGTGGGTCTCGATCGGTTTCGCGTGCTCGGGTGTTGTCGTCGTCGCGGTGGCGTACGGCAAGCTCCCGTGGATTGCGCTCACGATGGCATTGACCTTTGCCCTCTACGGCTTGATCAAGAAGCAAGCGCCATTGAATGCACTCCACGGCATGGTGCTCGAGACCTCGATTCTCTTTCCGATCGCGCTCACGTACCTCATCGTCGTCGAGTGCCAGGGCTCGGGCGCGTTTGGCCATGTCGACGTCGTCACGGACGTCCTCCTCATTGGCGGCGGTGTCGTAACGGTGGTGCCACTCCTCTGGTTTTCGCTCGCGGCGCAGTTGATCCCGCTCAGTCTTCTTGGTGTGATGCAGTACATCCAGCCAACGCTGCAATTCCTCCTCGGCACGCTCGTGTACAACGAGCCGCTCTCGATGTTCAAGCTTGCGGGGTTTATCCTCGTGTGGGCGGCGCTGATCACGTATACGGTCGAGGGCTTTGTGCGCCGGTACAGTGACGTCAAGGTCGAACAAATAACCATGGTGCGAACCCCCGTGTCCGAAGCCAGCGACGTGCCCTTTGAGAACGCCGAGGACGCCGTGTGATCGCCGTCGCCGCCAAAATAAAAATATATAAATAATTGTTTGAATGTGACGTTCGTTTGCGTGGCGCGGTGCGATAACGCAGACATAGCGTCTGCGACGAGGCGCCACAAGGAATCAACCAAATATGTGCACTCCAGGCCCATGCGAAGGCAGCGACGACGACTCGAACAAGACCACGTCGTGATACGACTTCGTTGGACCTCGTCGATGCAGGGATGGCTACAGGATCCAGGAACGACGAGGCGAGGCAGGATATGCGACCTTGGCTCCGTGCGCGTGCCAGCCGCATGCTATGCGTGATCATTTGGGATCTTTCAATAGTAACAAATTGCCATCATTCGACCAGTCGTACTTATAGAATACACTCTGGAATGCACTTGCAGCGTGTGCCGAATAGTACTGTGTACTAGTATGTCATTCGATCGCGGGCCGGCGTGCGCCACCACGCGTTCTCCGAATTGGCTACTACTCGTACGAGACGCGTGCATACTGCGTGAATCATACAGCCCCCTTTGCTTGTCGATATATGGATCGCCGAGATGCAACCATGCGTTGGCGTCCATCGATTGCATGAACCATGACCTCGTTGGCCTTCATTTTGGAATCCTCCTTTCGCTTTCCGCACGTTCGCTAATGCATCACAGATTGGTGTCGTGTTTCGTATACCTCTGGCAGCTACCTCCTGCAAGATTCAAACGCATGGTGCTGCTGTGGAGCAATGGATGCTGCTTGCATCTCTCTCGCACGTTCTCGTGGCCAAGGAACAGGCTTTAAAGATGACCAAGACGACGGTTGGAAACCTTGGAAACAATCAACGATGGCATCGTACGCCATCCTTCCATGTCCATGCTAGTGTCCGATCGCGCTCCTTGAAGCTGCGCTGCGTCGCATCAGGCTCGGACCAAAATACTGATCAAACTACTGATCAAAACGCGCGAAATTGGCCAGGACGACGACACCATGCATCACATCCTTATTGACGACCGCGTGTATCATCCATCTGTCTACAGGTTATAATGCTGGTTGAATAGCAGGATGTCATGCAAACTGTTTTATTGGTCGTGAGATACTCGCGCTCGCTCCAACCTCCTTGATGGCCATCCCGCAGTAGCCAATCGCGGCAAAGGTTTCAGTCTCTGTCTCGCGGCTTCGCTCGGAACGCGTGCGATTACCAATCGCCCGCTGCGACACGCCAAAGGGTCCCTTTGCCACTCATCGTGTGCCGCAGAATGTGATGCCAGACTTGAATTCGCCGCCAGAACGACAGCAGCATGCAACCCGGCGTCGTCTACGCGCTCTCGGCCTTTATCACGTGGGGTCTCTACCCGCTCTACTGGAAGCAGCTCACGTCCGTGCCCGACATCCAGCTGGCCATGCACCGCATCGCGTGGTCGTTTGTCTTGCTTGCGATCATCTTGAGCGTCAAGCAGCAATGGATCGCGTTCAAGCGCGGCATCTCGAGCTGGAAGGTCCTCGGCACATACGCACTCTCGAGTGTCTTTATCTTTACCAATTGGTATATTCTCGTGTGGGCCATCAACGCCGGCTACATCGTCGAGACGAGCCTCGGCCTCTTCATCAACCCGCTCATCAACGTGCTGTTTGGCGTCGTCATCTTCAAGGAGACGCTCAGCAAGTGGCAGTGGGCCGCGATCGGGCTCGCCTTTAGCGGCGTTGTTGTTGTCGCAGTTGCGTACGGCAAGTTTCCGTGGGTCGCATTTACGACCGCGATTACCTTTGCACTCTACGGTTTGATCAAGAAGCAAGCGCCGCTCAACCCGCTCCATGGCATGATGCTCGAGACGTCCATTTTGTTTCCTATCGCCGTCATGTACTTGGTGTACGCCGAGAGCCAAGGCATTGGCGCCTTCTTGCACGTCAGCGTCGGCCGCAACGCGCTCCTCATTGGCGGCGGTGTTGTCACCGTCGTGCCATTGCTCCTCTTCTCGGCTGCGGCGCAGCTCATTCCATTGAGTCTACTCGGGATCTTGCAGTACATTGCACCGAGTTTGCAATTCCTTCTCGGTACGCTGGTGTATGATGAACCGCTCTCGATGTTCAAGCTCGTGGGCTTCATCCTTGTCTGGACCGCGCTCGCACTGTACACGGCCGAGGGTTTTTTGTGCCACCAAACGCCCAAGGAAGTGATCGTTGCCGTGCCAACGCCCACGGGCTCGGACGAGAGCTCGGTCGTATTTGAGCAAGTATAGCATAGACACATAACTTTAAATAACTAGGAAAAATATGATATTGAAGAAACAAAAATGGTTGATCAATGCGTCGTCCCACTCTGCGTGGACGATGCAGTTGCAGCACGGCGCGATAATATAACACCTCCACCAAACAATTGTGCGCTGTGCTCCAATATTCAGATACGATATTTATCGATATTTTTCATTAAAAATTTCACGGGAATGTGAGGGGGCACAACCGGGACCAGAGATATACCATCGCGTGCAGTGCGTCAAATATCCCCCTGTCATTGTATTACTCGACAAAAAGTATCACAGAGATGGCTGGTGATCATGCAGGAACCTCTCGCATCTTCCGACGTTGGATGCCACATCACACCCCGGGACGAAGGCGTTGGTTGCTGGTCCCAGGCCACCATCACTGACCGTCATTTTTCGCGTTCCCAACAGTACGTAGTTCCCACAACTCAATTATCTGATTGACATGCAAGTCGGTATTCTCTATGCGATCGTGGCGTTCATTGCGTGGGGACTCTACCCGCCGTACTGGAAGCAGCTCCACATGGTACCCGACCTCCAGCTCGCCTTTCACCGCATTGTGTGGGCCTGCGCCATCCTCGGCACGCATGTCCTCATCAAGGGCGAGGCCCGCGCGTTTCTCACTGGCATCACGAGCTGGCGACTCGTGCTAACGTTTGTCTTGTCGAGCGCACTCATCTTTGCCAACTGGTACCTCCTTGTCTTGGCCGTCAACGCGGGCTTCATCGTCGAGGCCGCCCTCGGACTCTTCATCAACCCAATGTTCAGCGTCGTCTTTGGCGTGCTTGTGTTCCATGAGCGCCTGCGCCGATGGCAGTGGGTCGCCGTCGGCTTGGCGCTCGCCGGCGTCGTAGTCTGCGCTGTCGGCTACGGCAAGGTCCCGTACATTGCGCTGAGCATGGCCATTTCGTTTGCGATCTATGGCGTCATCAAGAAGAAGACGACGATGCTGGCGCGGCACGGCATGCTGCTCGAAACGCTGCTCGTGTGTCCGTTTGCGCTTACGTACTTGGTGTACGCGGAGTACACAGGGATTGGCGCCTTCTTGCATGGATCGCCGACAACCAGTGTGCTCTTGGTGGGCGGCGGCGTCGTAACGATCGTGCCGTTGCTCTTGTTTTCGATGGCGGCGCAGCTGATTCCGCTGAGTCTCCTTGGAATTCTGCAGTACATTGCGCCGACAATGCAGTTTCTCTTTGGCGTCTTGGTGTACGACGAGCCACTCACGACGCTCAAGCTGACTGGATTTGTGCTTGTGTGGGCTGCGCTCGCCGTGTACTCGGCCGAAGGTCTCTGGCAGCGCACGCCTAAGATGCCGGTGGTAGTCGATACGACGCTGGTCGAAGAGAACGATGAAGACGGTACGGCCGAGTACAAGGACGCGGCGCCGCTCTCGCCGGTCTAATAGTTGATATAACGATTATGTAGCGAGTGTCCGTAATAGCATTTCGAATCTGGCGCTGCTACGTGTGGCTGGATTCGATGGACAGCAGGCCACGGCAACGAACGGACGGCTGTCGTGGATCGGACAAACATCAAGTAGCTTTTGACAATTGTGCCAATCATGCATCGCAGCTAAAAATAGCTGACCAATGCAATGCGAGATTATAGTATCTTGCAAGAACAGAGCTGAAGACGACTGGAACAACGAACGCTGCACGGTCTCGGCAAGTCGACAGTGGTCCTCAAGCACGTCTCTACGAAAAGAGAAAACGCTGCGATGCGTCCACCAAGTCAACGTGCACTCGTCTCACGTTGTCGTCGTCGGAAGCTGGTCGTGCTCAACGTAAGTGGGTTCAGCAACAAGTTGCCTCGTCACCTCGAAAGGCATGCAGTGTTCATGTCGGAGAAGTGTTCTACCCTAGTCGATTCAATGCGACATTGGAGCTAGTCTAGGAGCTCTTTTCAACATCCTTGGTGAGCTTGGTGAGCGGATCGTCCTGCCACAAGCCAAGCTCGAGATAAAGGGCAAAGGGCAAATGTCGTTTTTGCGAGGTGTGGAAACTAACTCACTTTGTGCGCGCAAGGTTGAACGATCCAGCAACGTTTTTGTTTGCGACATTCGTTTTGTTGCGTTGGGCTGTCGAAGAAAGGAACATTGAAATTCCACGATCAGCTTGGCACTCCTCGTGTTCGAAGCGGGATCGGTACGATCCGCGCGTGGACCAATCGCAGCCCATGTTGGACGGACTACGATGATATCATGGGCGCAGCCTTCCATCGACTGCTCTTTGATCTCAGTGGTTTTCAATAAATGCCCGTCGACGGTCACATCAAAGGAACATCAAACCGATACGGCGGCGAGACGCGATCCTCAGCTACAGTAGTAGGTATGTTCAACGGGTCCTCGGGCCAGCTCTCATCAGCGTCCAAGGCCAACGTAACAGATGTTGTTGCCTTCATCCACGATTCTGTGAACACCGGTTGAAGTACGTTCGTGTCGCCAGCGCCAATTTGATTGTCTCCTTCCTGCGATGCAAGCCATTTCGGTGGTTTCGAGAGCATCGCTGCAAGATCCATTTTTCGTTCATTACCATCCATGAACACTGGAATCCTCTACTGCGTCACAGCCTACGTCGTCTGGGGCGTCTTGCCCATCTACTGGAAGCAGCTCGAGGCCGTGCCCGCCGACCAGCTCGCGCTCCACCGCATTGTCTGGTCGTTTGTGTTTCTCTTGATCGTGCTCGCGATCAAGGGCGAGTTCACCGCCTTGCGACAAGAGGCCCGCGGCTGGCGCGTCTTTGCCGTCTACACCATCTCGAGTGTTGTCATCCTCGCCAACTGGATGACGTATATCTGGGCCGTCAACGCCGGCTACATTGTGCAGACGAGCCTCGGCACTTTATCACGCCGCTCATCAACGTCATCATCGGCGTCGTCGTCTTCAAGGAAAAGCTCCGGCTCTGGCAGTGGCTCGCGATCGGCGCGGCCTTTGCCGGTGTCTTGGTCGTTGCGATTGCGTACGGCAAGTTTCCGTGGGTCGCTCTCACCCTCGCGATTTCCTTCTCGATCTACGGCGTCGTCAAGAAACAAGCGCCACTCAACGCCCTCCACGGCATGACGGTCGAGACGGGCATCCTCTTTGTGCCCGCCGTCATCTACCTCTCCGTCGTCCAAGCCAAAGGTGACGGCGCCTTCTTGCACGTCAGCACGACCGACAACATCTTGATCGTTGGCGCGGGGATCGTGACCGTGGTGCCGCTCTTGATGTACGCGTCGGCGGCGCAGAAGATCCCGTTCAGCCTCCTCGGTATGCTGCAGTACATTGCGCCGAGCCTCATGTTCATCATGGGCGTCGCCGTCTACAACGAGGCGTTCTCGCTCGTGAAGCTCATTGGGTTCATTCTCGTGTGGGTCGCGCTCGCCGTCTACTCGGTCGAGGGCTTTGTGTTTCAAAAACAACAGCAGCAACAAGTGGTCAAGCCGGCGGCTGTCGCGTCGCCGCGGGGCGATGAGGCCGCTTATGAGCGCGTCTAACTTACATGAATACAGTTTGATACGAGCAATAGTTGTGTTGCACTAGAATGTGTCACCAACGGCCATTTCAGCGGTGCCCCTCTAGCCCCTCTCAGTATATTTTCGGAGAGATGGCTTAGAGTACGATGGACCTTGAACTCCTCTTAGTATATTCTCTGAGAAGGCATAGAGTACCGTGGACTGCTTATCTTGAAACAACGCGCGCCTACCCAGACGCGACTAGACCACACATTCCGTCGAGAGAGCTATGTGCCGGCTCATCACGCGTTTATAGACACTCCAATTTGGTACACCAACAATGGAAATTGTACAATTCTCTCTATATTTCAACACACTTTACACCAAAGCGACGTGCTCCGTCTACACACTCTTGTACGGGGTCTCGGTCGCCTCGGCGCGCGGCGTCTCGACGGCGACCACCACCGCAACCGGCACATCGGCGGCGTCGTCCTTGTCGCTCGATGGTTTTTCTGGTTCCAAATGCCCTCGGCCGTATACAAGGCGAGCGCGACCCAGACAAGGATGAAGCCGATGAGCTTGGTCGTCGAGAACGGTTCGTGGTAGACGAGGACGCCAAGGAGGAAGACAAGACTCGGCGAGATGTATTGGAGCATGCCGAGCACGTTGAACTGGATTCGTTGCGCCGCCGAGGCAAACAGGAGGAGCGGGATCACGGTCACGATACCACCGCCAATGAGCATCAAGGTCGACTTGGTATCGACATGGCCGAACGCGCCGGTGCCGTTGCACTCGACGACAATCAAATAGATGAGCGACGGAATGAGCATGATCGCAGTCTCGAGCATGAGGCCGTTGAGCGAGTTGAGCGGCGCCATCTTCTTGATGCAGCCGTAGATCGAGAAGGACCCCGCGAGCGTCATCGCAACCCACGGAAACTTGGCGTACGCGATCGCGACGACGAGGAGACCACTGGCAGCAATGACGATCGAGACCCACTGCCACGTGCGCAGCTTTTCCTTGAAGACGAGAACGCTCAGAATGACCGTGAGGATCGGCGTCAGAAAATACCCAAGACTTGTTTCGACCACGTAGCCGGCGTTGATGGCCCAGACGTACGTCATCCAGTTGGTCAAGATGAAGATGCTCGAGAGCGTGTAGGTGATGAGGATCTTGCGGTTCGCGACTTCGGTGCGGAACGTCGTCCACTGGCCCGTGAAGCACATGATGAGCGCGAGGAAGACAAAGGACCACACGATGCGGTGAAGCGCGAGCTGGACGGCCGAGATCGCCTCGAGCTCCTTCCAGTAGAGCGGGAAGAGGCCCCAGATGACAAAGCATGTTGTGGCATACAAAATGCCCACGTTGATGGCCATGTTGCTGTCCCGAGGCAAATGAAAAAGTGAGCAGTTCACGTCAGCATGCTTGCAGGTGCACGACAGCTGGCGTCTTTACGGACACGCCGGTGGGACTTGACTGGACGGCGCGCGGGGGTGTGATCGTTGGAGTGGCTCAATCCATTACGGAAGGTTTATCCGCCAATCCGAGGCTTGGCTGTACCACACATCTGGAGCGTATCGCAGCACCCGTCTGCAAACGTGTGGTAGAGGATTACTATCTGGACGCCGAAGTCGGATGGAAGCTTGCGACACATCGAGCGATGAGGCTAACCGGGAGGATCGCGGTGAGGCGAGCCAATGGCGCCACGTCTCCTGACCACGTGAAACAGCCATCTGCTTGGGGGATGCCACGTCATGGAAAAATAGGATCGTGATGCGTGTACCTTTTTTCTGGATTGTGCCAACGAATTCAAGGCCGCTACTGGTAATATACTCGTGTTGCGAAAACATCCATTGAAATGCTATCATAAATTGGAACCGATTGTCGTCGGGTTCGGTTGCTTGAATTAGCCGCATCGGGACTGCTCGTAGATCCGATCATGGATGGTCATGTGAATTTGGTGTTGATGTCTTTGATCAACATAACATGACCGCCAGCTACAGCTGAAACCTGCGTAGACGCAGTTGCCCCGCGAGGGCTGGGCAGCGTGTCGACTGTCAACAGCGGGGGCATAAAAGGGTATGCATTGTTTTTACACGATCATGGACACAGCATAGACACAAATGTCCACTCGAGTACATTATATTGAACCAGATGTGTGGACCCAACCTTCAACCGGTCCGCTGGAAGTCCACTCTTGCATGCAAGGTACACTATTTCGCTGCAAAAATACGAATTGCACCAGTGATGGTTTGTACGCACCGCATCTCGAGCCACGCGTGCATCCAGCCACACGATCCTTACCAGCTCCCTTTGCCAAAATCAAAACGAATTGAAACAAGCAACTCCCTTGCAACGAGTACTACATGTAATACGCAAATCGTGCTGTCTAATAGTGTATACCATTGTTTTCGACCCGTTTATGGCTTTGCTCGCTTCTATTTCACAACATTCTACCACATCTCCATGCCGCCACGGAGTCGCGTCGATTTCAAAGTTGACTTGTATATAATGCAACCATAAATTGTGTTCATATCTCGATACCTATACGCGCTCAAACGGCGTGACGTCTTCGCGCGGCGTCTGGACAATCGCGGCTTCCTTGGGGTGGTTTTTATAGTAGACAAACTCCTCGACCGAGTACATGGCGACAGCGATCCAGACCAGGATAAAGCCAATGAGCTTGGTCATCGAGAACGGCTCGTTGTACAAGACGACGCCAATCACAAACATGACGCTGGGAAAAATGTACTGCAGCATACCGAGGAGGCTGATCGAGATGCGCTGGGCGGCCGATGCAAACAGGAGGAGCGGGATGATGGTGCAGACGCCGCAGCCGACGAGGAGAAAATTGTCGACGACCGAGACGCGACCCAACGCACCCGTGCCTTGGATCTCGAGCACGACAAGGTACACGATCGCGGGCGGGAACAAGATGGCTGTTTCAAGCGTGAGGCCGTAGAGCGCATTGAGCGGCGCTTGTTTCTTGGCGACGCTGTAGATGGAAAACGTGATCGCGAGCGAGAGGGCAACCCACGGAAATGTGCCATTGTCAATCGCACAAATGAGGACACCGCTCGTCGCCAGGGCGATGGAGATCCACTGCCAGACACGCGGTCGTTCCTTGAAGAGAGCGACGCCGAAGAGAACGTTGAAGAGCGGCGTGATGAAGTACCCGAGGCTCGTTTCGACAATGAAGCCGGCGTTGACGGCCCAAATGTCGAGGGCCCAGTTGGCAAACACAAAGATACTCGCGATCGTGTAGATGAAGAAGATGCGCGACCCACGGGCGTGCGCCCGAAAGTCGGCCCATCGACCAGTGCCGAGCAAAATGAGGACGAGGATCAAAAGCGACCAGACGATGCGGTGCAGTGCGAGCTGGACGGCCGGAATCGACTCGACTTGCTTCCAATAGATGGGCATAAAGCCCCAGAAGAGAAACGCGAGCACGCCGTGGAGGATCCCTGTGCGCATGGTGGATACAATTGAAAAGTGAGTGCGTGGGTGCGGTCGTTTATGTAGGGGTAGGGTGCAAAACCACTGGTGATTGCGTACCAGGGCCAAAAAAGGCCATGCCCATTCGCATAAACAGGCACACGAGACTATAAATGCGCACTGCGTGTCGCTGTGTACCTGCAGGCAAAGCAACGATGGCGGCCCGCAAGCGCGGCCATCCAAGACGCAAGGCAAGGCGGTCGCGGCCATGGCCAAGGCGTGGCCACCTGGTGTGCAACCGAGACACGACGAGGTCTCGTCCCACAGTCTCAAGCGGGTGCAAACACATGCCCGCAAGTCCAACTTCAAGGGCACGATTGGTATCGTGGGTAGCATTTATTAGTTGACGTCGGCCAGCCGTTCATTCGATTGCTGCGAAATCGAGCACTTGGTCGACGCTGCACATGCTGCATCAAGGTATGTACTAGCACTGTACATTGTAATGTTGACCATCGCTCTGCAACGCACCGAGGAACACCACGGGAATTCATCTCTGGTGCAGCATGAGCTGGACGAAAATGAACTGCATATTGATGCTGAACGCTTGCACAATCATGTGCTGGCGTCAGAGCTCGATCGGGACGCATCTTGAATAGCCTGAGCAATGAATTCGCTGGGAAGAACCGAATTAACGATATAGTGCTTGCGTTTTCCTCTGTCGGAAAAGGAGTGTACACAGTCGCTCATATATATCCCACACACAGGGATAGTGGTCCCATGCAACATGTATGATGCGTGCAAGAGTTGCAAAGCGGAGACGGTAAAGGTTTCGTGTTGGGTACTCTCGTCGTGTACATTCTTTGAAACGGCAAGCATTAGGACCGAGTCGAGTTGTAGTAAGTGCTGAGATGGTACCGGGTCCCTGTGCGCTGGGAGTCTCTCTTAGCAAGGGAGCGTGTGCGCCGCATCGATTGTCGAACGAGCGAGCAAATACAAGGGCTAGGGTCTGAAAGGCAAGGTAGACTTGAATTGTTTGATAACATCGCAATTCTAGTGCCAGGCAATATGCCGCCCCGGTGTGTGAGGTGTCAGACATTCCATCGACCTGGATAGCACGTTGACTACCGCGCTGCCGTTCGCCCATCGCGACATTGCAAAGTACCTTGGTCGGAGGCCCGCCGATTCTCCGCAACTAACCAATGCCAAAGAAAACGAAATTTAGATCAATTGTACAATATTTATATTCATTTCCAATGCAAGCAAGTTAAACACGCTCATAGGCGGCCTCATCGCCCCGTGGCGACGCGACAGCCGCCGGCTTGGCCACTTGTTGCTGCTGTTGTTTTTGAAACACAAAGCCCTCGACCGAGTAGACGGCGAGCGCGACCCACACGAGGATGAACCCAATGAGCTTCACGAGCGAGAACGCCTCGTTGTAGACGGCGACGCCCATGATGAACATGAGGCTCGGCGCAATGTACTGCAGCATACCGAGGAGGCTGAACGGGATCTTCTGCGCCGCCGACGCGTACATCAAGAGCGGCACCACGGTCACGATCCCCGCGCCAACGATCAAGATGTTGTCGGTCGTGCTGACGTGCAAGAAGGCGCCGTCACCTTTGGCTTGGACGACGGAGAGGTAGATGACGGCGGGCACAAAGAGGATGCCCGTCTCGACCGTCATGCCGTGGAGGGCGTTGAGTGGCGCTTGTTTCTTGACGACGCCGTAGATCGAGAAGGAAATCGCGAGGGTGAGAGCGACCCACGGAAACTTGCCGTACGCAATCGCAACGACCAAGACACCGGCAAAGGCCGCGCCGATCGCGAGCCACTGCCAGAGCCGGAGCTTTTCCTTGAAGACGACGACGCCGATGATGACGTTGATGAGCGGCGTGATAAAGTAGCCGAGGCTCGTCTGCACAATGTAGCCGGCGTTGACGGCCCAGATATACGTCATCCAGTTGGCGAGGATGACAACACTCGAGATGGTGTAGACGGCAAAGACGCGCCAGCCGCGGGCCTCTTGTCGCAAGGCGGTGAACTCGCCCTTGATCGCGAGCACGATCAAGAGAAACACAAACGACCAGACAATGCGGTGGAGCGCGAGCTGGTCGGCGGGCACGGCCTCGAGCTGCTTCCAGTAGATGGGCAAGACGCCCCAGACAACGTAGGCTGTGACGCAGTAGAGGATTCCGGTGTTCATGACAGCACGCCAAATGAATAATGAAGACACGATTGGAGTATCTCTTGATTTCGCGTAGAAATTCTGGAAACCACCATGGGTGATTGTGCATTCAAGACTACTGTACCAACCACGGCTGGCGACACGAACCTACTGCAACCCTCTGTCTGTAGGGGTGGATTTCGTACCGTACGTGGGCGACACATGTTTTTGTTGTCGATTTGGAGTTGAGAACGAGGTTGTGCCAAGCATTCTTGTGGAGAGGTGCTTGAGCTGACAGACATCAAGAGTTCACGACGAATCCGACGAGTGACACGAGGTGGCGCACCCCCTGCCATGACGACCCTCTACTCGCACTAGATTTGACTGTGTGTTTGCTAAGGTTCTTTCAACATGAAACATGCATTATGTATAGCGTTATCTCTTCTCAATCACACCTTTCCCAACGTCTGTTTATGATTCACACCTCATGTACAAGTGCACACTCATATTTTCTCACTGGTTACATCGCGATGTCCATGTCACATGCTATGGTGGCCAACAAGAGACGACAGCACCGTGGCACGGGACACACATTCTGTTTTGCTCTGCGATCTTTCTCCATGTTCGAGATTGCAACTACCTAGCAGTACCCTCCCTAGCCACGCGAAATGCTCGCTCGGTGGTCATGCAAACGTCAGGCGATATGCCTCGGTGCCATGCCCGATGTGCCAGTTTTCCTACGGGTAGGGGCCCATTCGTGATACTAGAGAAATGTAAGCGTCCATAGCAAAAAATGTGAGGACCTTCACTGACTGCAAACGTGGAACGAGTGGTTGGTGCATGAAGGGAGTCGAAGCCAACGGATCTCCACGAGACGACGGACTTGATCCGATGAGGAACCTCAGAGATGCCGCGTGAACGATTATTGGATGAGACAGCATGCATCCACGCACCGCAACCGTGCGCAACGGTCTTCGTTTCACCCCTAGCCCCACCATATGTGTCTTCACGGCAATCGCAATGATACCTAACCCTAGAAGTCCCATTTGACCGGGATTGGGACTTCCGGCAGCGTTATTATGCAGAAAGAGCGCGTCAAGTTCCTCTTCCGATACGCTAATGCACTCATTGTCAAGGCTGTTATCAGGTTCGGACCAGAAAAACGAATCCATATTCAGTTTGATTGTGCTTGGCATACGACACGAGTAAGGCTAAAGCCATCCTCCAAGAGACCAGAGGGGGCCTCATTTACCTCTGAAATCCAATCTGCAACGAGATATCAAATAATACAGTACAGATGCAGTATCCACCATCATTCTCGATGTGTGATGTTGGTCAAAGTGAGGCAATCATTGATTGCCTCACTTTACGCATTACAATGATGCTAGTAGTAGGTTTAAACAAAGTAAAAACGATCTAGCATATAATTTTATTTCAGTAATAGTCCAAGCTCTCTTTCTTTAGGAGCACCATCGTGACGGCCACATGATGAATGAAAGCACTTCTATCGTCCCGACGTTGTCCATTGACACGCATCAACGCGTGTAATATTCCGCCAACATTGCAGAATGTACGCAGCCCACACAAATCACAATCGCACACCGTCCATATAGAAATACGATTCTTTTATGATGTAGTTTTGGCGGACGTATTTTATATTGCATGGCTGTGCACCACAGGCCTGTAAAATATGTATTTGTCGCAGTCAGCGATCTTTGCCGTCGCTCGAGCATCCGGCTGTCGGGGAAAACAACAACCGGATAGGTATTCACAACGACATTAGCTTGTCACTTTTCAACTACATCTCCAAGATGCAAACCGGAATTCTGTACGGCGCAACGGCATACGTCATTTGGGGCGTCTCCCCATGTACTGGAAGCAGCTCGACGCCGTGCCAGCGATCCAGCTCGCGCTCCATCGCATTGCGTGGTCGTTTCTCATCCTCCTCTTCATCCTCGCGGTCAAGGGCGATTTCAAGGCCTTTCGCGCCGCGGCCCGCGGCTGGCGTGTCTTTGCCATCTACACGATCGCAAGCGTTGCGATCCTATGCAACTGGGTCATGTACATTTGGGCTGTCAACGCCGGCTACGTCCTCGAGACGAGCCTCGGGTACTTTATCACGCCGCTCGTCAACGTCCTTGTCGGCGTCCTCGTCTTCAAAGAGAAGCTCCGTCTCTGGCAGTGGCTCGCGATGGGCTTTGCTTTTTCTGGTGTCCTCGTCATAGCGATCGCGTATGCTACGTTTCCGTGGATCGCGCTAACGCTCGGTTGCACGTTCTCCATTTACAGCGTCGCCAAGAAGCAAGCGCCGCTGAGTGCGCTCCACGGCTTGACGGTCGAGACAGGCATCCTCTTTGTGCCTGCCGTCATCTACCTCTCGGTGGCCGAGGCCATGGGCAACGGCGGCTTTCTGCATGTGAGCACAACCGCCAACCTCATGCTTGTCGGCGCGGGCGTTGTGACGGTGATCCCAATGGTGTTGTTTGCGTCCGCGGCACAGCGAATCCCACTGAGTCTTCTCGGCGTACTGCACTACATCGGCCCGAGCCTCATGTTTGTTTTGGGCATCGCTGTCTACCACGAAGCCTTCTCGACGGCCAAGCTCATCGGCTTCATCCTGGTTTGGACGGGTCTTGCGGTGTACACGGTCGAAGGTCTCGTGCACCAGAGAGGAACCAAGCGAGCCCACGTTCTGTCACCCGTCGTCCAAACGACCGAAGAGATTTCTTCTACCAAAGACGAACCGACGATCGATGCGACGCCGTTCACGCGCGTCTAGACGAGTCCTCGCGATTGCGCACAGGCGCTTCCAAAAAAGAAAAAGGGCGGCGTGTACTTGGTAGAAATGAAAACCTTTTACTTTAGAATCCATCGCGCGTGTTAACAATATCCGGACAACTCGTTGTTTGCAAAATGGGTTTTCGTAATTTGTGCGCAACACTCGCGGGCCTACACGGGGAAACGGAGTTGATTCAGGGTACTTGACCAGTGGAGTCCGCTGCGCTACGAAAAACTCTCTCTCTCTACGGTTCCTACGCCGATGTCGATGGCGTGAGTCTGCTGCTGGTTTGGCGCTTACCACGCAGGTGGTACATGACTGTCGGTGACGTTGAAGTGAGTCTATTTAGATATAATTTACACTGAACTGGTGGTGGACTATCGATTCCAAGGTGCTACGACGAGCCGGCCGCCGAGAGGCTTAGCCGAGCGGGAGACGTGGCGTGTATACGGCACATGCCGGAACAAAGTTGTCGCGTAGCCATGCGTTGTGCCGCAGGGCGGCCATCATTTGGAAGAGGCACAATGCTTGAGTGTTCAGCATACTGTCGGTGACGTTGTCGCACCGAGAAGCTGTCCGAAGCGTGGGCACCGCACGCGGTAAAATGCAACCTTAGAACGCAAGATCCGTATTCAAGTCGCCAACGAATCCCAGCACCGTGTATTCCTATGCGACTGTCGCTTATTCCTGCCATGCAATATGCCCAAGAGTGCCAACAAAACGTAGCACAACCATCACTCCTCGTGCGCAATGCAGGTCAAAGTGAGGCAATCAAAGAGATTTTGGCCGTGGACCGGCAACCTTCCCAAGTGCAACCACAACCATGTGGACAGTCTCTCTCGAACAGAAGGAAACAACATTCGATACACTATTAAGTAAACGAAAAAAACAAGTAAAAGGTAGCAAGCTCTGTTTCCAAGCTGCAACGACGAAGGTCGACCTACGACAACATTGCATTCTCTTCCTTGCCAACACTTCGTAGCGACACAATGCATTGTAGTACAAAACAACACCTAAAGAATGCGCGATTCCGTGTTATGTAAGTTTTAAAATCGGTTGACGTACGGTAGGAAGCGCAACAGGTGTGTCACCCCTTGGTCTTGTTGGCCCAAAATTCGACTGGATGCGTAGTCTCTTACCGTGGGTGTCCGCCGTCTGTCGTTTCTTACCGACGTCCGCTCGTTCCATACTTTGCACAATTCATTTTCGTTTATCATGCAAACCGGCATCATTTACGCGTCGACAGCGTACGTCATTTGGGGCGTCCTTCCCATGTACTGGAAGCAGCTCGAGACCGTGCCCGCGGAGCAGCTCGCGCTCCACCGCATCGTCTGGTCCTTCCTCGTCCTTCTCCTCGTCCTCGCGGTCAAGGGTGATTTCAAGGCCTTCCGCGCCGCGGCCCGCGGCTGGCGCGTCTTTGCTGTCTACACGATCGCGAGCATCATCATCCTCAGCAACTGGGTCGTGTACATCTGGGCTGTCAACGCCGGCTACGTCGTCGAGACGAGCCTCGGCTACTTTATCACGCCGCTCGTCAACGTCGTCGTCGCGGTCGTCGTCTTTAAAGAGAAGCTTCGTCTGTGGCAGTGGCTCGCGATCACGCTCGCGTTCGGAGGTGTTCTCGTCATAGCGATCGCGTACGCTACGTTTCCGTGGATCGCGCTCACGCTCGGTACCACATTTTCGCTCTATGGCGTCGTCAAGAAGCAAGCGCCGCTCAGTGCGCTCCACGGCATGACGGTCGAGACCGGCATTCTTTTTGTACCGGCCGTCATCTACCTCTCGGTTGTCCAAGGTATGGGGTCGGGGGCGTTTCTTCACGTGGATACGCTGAGCCATTTCTTGCTTGTCGGCGCCGGCGTTGTGACCGTGATTCCTATGGTACTCTTTGCGTCCGCGGCGCAGAGCATCCCATTTAGCCTCCTCGGCGTGCTGCACTACATTGGCCCGAGCCTCATGTTTGTGATTGGCGTTCTCGTGTACAACGAAGCCTTCTCGACGTTCAAGCTCATCGGCTTCATCCTTGTCTGGGTGGCCCTCGCCATCTACTCGACCGAAGGGATTGTCGCGCACCAGCAGTCGATGAAGCAGAAATCGCCCGTCGGTGCCGCCGACGAAGCGGGCGACGGCAGCACGCCATACGCCCGCGTGTGAGCGCGGTCTGTTTACATGCATGCATGTTGTCTGCACGTTGAGCGTTACTATAAACAGACACACAACTTGTCGTTTGTTTGGTTTTTGATGCTACAATTGAATGCAACTCTATGTGTACCGACGACGCAAACTACCGTTTAGGTCGTGGAGCAAAATCGAGTGATAGCTAGTGTGCTTGCTGTCGCCATGGCAACTGACACGACCGTGACTCTTGCATGATCTGTTGTCACGAACACATTCGGTTGAAGGTACTCGAATCCGTGGTTGTCTACCACACCATCGTCGCGAGTGGCGTGAGGGGAAAATGTGTTGTTCTTGCTTTGTGGTGTCGTACACAACGACGCGTGCGCTGCTGGCATATCTGTAAACAAAAGCATTTTTGACTTGACATCCCACCATTCATGGACCCGCCGCCCGAAACGAGTGCAATGACCGCCGACGAGCTCGAGAAGCCAAGCAAGACTTGACCGAGGCGATTGAACAACACGGGCGTCCTCGGGAAGCGCAGTGCATGGGCGCTATCGTGACCATCGTCATCAGCAAAGCTAAAGCCGAAAACTTTGACGGCCCTGAGTGGTTTGCGCACTACATACCACACCGAGAACGCCGGCGACGTGAACAAGGACGCCATGCAATCGTTCTACGTGACGGTTACCACCGTAACTCCTTCAATTTGGATAGCCCGGCGCAAGCGTACAGGAGGCTTCAACCCTGCATGTGCGGGTCTACCTGACGTCTACTAGTTACTACGGACGGGCTATCGCCACGTCACGACGCGCGCCAAGATTCGAGTTTGCCATTTGGATCCGGATACGGGTGGGTGTGTTTTTGCTGCCTTTCTCATGTTGGCCAATCCACAGGCAGGATGGTGTCCAACATCCGGATACGGCTCAATTGTTGCATGGGCCTGCGCGATGCCAGTCGTCGACTTGCCATGCTCCTGCGCGCGCTTCTCGTTGCGAGCGTCGCCGCCGCGTCATCATCAGCGGCATCCTCGTGCGATGGCATCGAGGCCATGCACCGCAATGTCCTCGGCGGTGCGCTCGCCGTGCAGGTCCGCGTCAACAACGCCTCCGTGTGCTTTCGCCTCTCCTACCACGGCGATGGCGCCGACTGGATCTCGCTCGGGCTCAGCAGCTCCCAGTACATGGTCAACAACCCGCCCAACAACGCCGTCATCTACGACGCCAAGAAGAACGTCGCGGATGTGTATGTGCTCCAAGGCTACAGCAACAACCACATGGAGCGGCAAACCGCTCCGTCTTCCATGACGATTCGATCCTCCTCAATTGTCAATGGCGAGCTCGCGGTCACATACGAGCACAAGTTTGATGCGGTTTCGCTTAATGACGTGCCCATCGACTTGGTCAACGGCAACAACATCCTGCTCTGGGCCTACGGCAAAGGCTTTCCATCGTACCACGACGACCAAGGCGCGCAGAGCATCCACATTGCCATCCCGTCCGATGACGACAATCTTGCATCCAACGGCTCCAAGGCGGCCCTTCAGATGAGCGCGTCCTTGGCGGCGATCCCAATGGCAACCTACCAAATCGTGCTCGGTGCGATTGGGTTCTTTGTGTTGCTCGGCCTTGGGACCGCGCGCTCGACCGCGTCGCCGCTCTTGAAGCAATCGCTGCTCGCCCCGCCCGCGCATCGCTCGTCGTCGATCGCCAACACGTTGCATCAAGCACTCGCCGACCTCAGCGTGGGCCAAGCCACGCTTGTCGGCTTGTATTCCGTGCTCATCGGCGTCACGCTCAGTGTCGTGCTCCCGACCGTCCGGTCGCTCTCGGCTGGCCGCGCCGCGAGCGTCATGCTTGGTCATCTGAGCACGTTGCACTTGGCGTTTCTCTTGCTGCCGTCGGCGCGCGGCGCGCACTGGGGCTTTCTCTTTGGCGTCACGCACACGCGTCTTTTGACGTTCCACAAGTGGCTCGGGAGTCTCTTTCTTGTCTCGCTTCTCGGACACTTTGTCGTGAACGTCATGACGCTCGACTGGAGTGTCTTGTCGTCCGTGCTGCCGTTTGGCGCGCAAAAGGTGCTGCCCGCGTACGGCCTGTACGCCGGCCTTGTCTTTATGATGATGGGCCTCTTGTCGCTGCCAATCGTGCGCCGAAGGACCTTTGAGCTCTTTTACTTTGCCCACCGATTTGGGGCCATCCTTGGGATCGTGTTTGTGTGTCTGCACGCGACCGCGATCTGGCAAGCGCTCGTCGCACCCCTCGGACTCTATCTCGCGACGCTGGTGGCGATTCGGGGCCGCGCATTTTGGCAGCGGTTTCCTGCCCACGTGACGGCGACGACGTCATCGACCGTGCTCCTCAAGCTGCCGTCGACCAAGCTCTCCAACGCGTGGCACCAAGACCTCGGACCGTGCGCGTACTTTTACCTCTGCGTTCCGAGCGTCTCGGTACTCGAGTGGCATCCGTTCTCGGCCATGACGTCATCGCACACGGGCCACGTCGCGTTCTGCATGAAAAGCCGATCGCCGGGCAGCTTTACAGACCGCGTCCTCGATCTCGCGCGCAAGGAAACGACGCTTAATGTGCTTGTCGGCGGACCGTACGGCCGGCCGAGCGTCGATCTCGCGCACTTCGACCGCGTGCTGCTGTTTGCGGGCGGCATTGGCATCACCCCCATGGTGCACCTCATCAATAGCACGTTGCAGCAACACAGCAGCATCGATGGCCACCTCTGCTGGGTCGTGCGAGAACCAGAGACGCTGCTGAGCGTCGCACCCGTGCTCTTCCCGCTCCGCGTCGCAGCCGACCTCTTCGTGAGCGGCGCGACAGAAGACGGGCACGTCAAGACCGTCACGGGCGAGATGGTCGGGTATGTTGCCGGCCGGCCGGACGTTCGCGACGAGATGAAGCGGTTCCAAGGGCGCGTGTGTGTGCTCGCGTGTGGTCCCGAATCGTTCGTGCATGACGTGCAGGTCGCCGCCCACCTCTACGGGTTTGACTTTCACAAAGAGCTCTTTTGCTAGCCTCGACGATCCATCTTCTCTTGAAAATTGGATACAAACAACAACAACACACAATGAGTACATATTGCTTGGCATTGGAGTAGGAAAAGATTCGCTTCGTCTTCGTACTTAGGGGTGGGGATCCAAGATCGCAACGAATTCGAAAAAAAAGATAACTTAGTGAACAAACAAACAAAAGACTAGGCCGTCGAGTACGCAATCAGCGTCGCATTGTCTTCAAAATCGCACTCGCCGGGCGTGTTGGCTTCGACTTGAATCGTCATTTGCGCGAGCACGAATGGAAAGCACCAGATCGCACAGCACACGTCTTCCCAGTCGGCTTTGGGAATGCTGTCGTGGTCGCGGATGTGAAAGCGGAGGTTGAAGAGCGTGAGCGATGGCACGAGCGCAAGGGCGATGACAAATCCAACGCTGTACGCACCGCCCGGACCGCCTGGCCACGGCGACTCGCTCTGGAGGTTCAAAATGGCCAGCAAAAGCAGGAGGAGCCAAAGACCGCTGGCCACGACCGCGCGCTTGCAGCTCATGACACCGACGATCGCAAGCACTTTTCCGAGCGCGACGCACGGGCAGCAGACGGCCATCGCGAGGTTGGGCGCGTCGGCGCACGCGTTTGTAAAGAGCGGTGTCTTCCACGCCCCCGGTGGCGTCTCAGCTGCGGCGGCAAAGTCGACGGCGGCGTCTTCTTCGTCCGAGAGAATATAGACGGTCTTGACGCGGCCTTCTCGCATGCTGGCGCGGAATCTGACAATCTGAAAATGATGCACTGCGGCGAGAGACCATTGCTTCCACGTGGCTGCGACAGGCCGCGTCGCGTGGATGACAAGGTGTTCCTCCTCGATGTCTCCGTCACAGGTTACATTTGTCAGATCGGTGTGGTGCACGGCAGCGCGACGTGGCGGTGCACGGCCACCAACACAACGCCGCGCGATGACCGAGCACGAAGCCAAGTCGATGTGGAGTGCTAAGCATAAGAACGCAGACGCGAGAAGGGAACTCCTAGCAGCTCTCCCAGTACCGGTAACCTGGTGTCGCTGCGGTGGTCACGACGACCATGTGGTGTCTTTGCCAGTTGTCGGCGGTGAGCCATCAATGGATACCATATCTTTCGTGATGGTTTGTAAAGCTAGCGGTGCGTTCTTGTCGTTGTCACCAACGCTGGGAGGACGCCACAAGAACAATGTGCCCCATCTCATTTCTTATTGTGGACGACCGTTCCCTTGTAGTAGTACATACATGAATACGTCGCGTCGAGAGGTGATCACATCGACCGCTCCAATCGCGCATTCAGGCGCGACGAAAGATGGCGCCAAGCGTCTCATCTCGTCCTCTGCGCAAGTGGAATGCGAAGCGTGGTCGTGCTGGACTGGACACTACCGGTACGTATTTCGCCGTCTTGTGAGACAGTCGCACACTGTTTTGGTGTTGACGTACAGGTCTTCTATATACACCTATAAACTACCGGTAGTGTGCACTAATAGACTACACCGGTACCGGTAATACAATCCTCGCACATCAGCGTGCTAAAGAATCTGACTTGGCTTGAGCGGCTTGAGAGCTCTGCAATCGAGAAAACATCTAGTGTTGTTCATAATCGGCAGCTCCATGGTGGAGTATGCATCGGAACACGTCCGAAATCAATGATCACTGAGCAACGTTTGTGTCATCAACGCGTGTCATTACATAAAATAAAGTATCAAATCGGCATTGTACGCTTGCGCTTGCGCGAAAGCAGACTCGAGAGCGTCTCCTTGAGCGTCGCGTCCTGCACCAAGCTTGCATACGTGGCCAGTCGTGCGGATTCGGCCGTCGCGCGCGTGCTATCGAGATGCCCAAACGTAAAGGCACACGCCGCGTCCACGACATCGCCGCGCGCCAGGAGCGCTGCCTCGTGCGCCACGAGCTTGTCGATGCGTCCAACACGGTGTCTGGCCATTCGCATTTGGTACGTGAGCTCGGACGAGACCAAATCCAGCATCGTCGGCCGCCAGCGGTCGGGGAGCGCGACGAGGTCGAGAAGAAAGAGAATGTTTTCCACATGATCCTTGGTGTCCATGCAGTACGGCAGCACGAGCTTGCAATTCGAGGTAAACGTTGGACGCCCCGCACATTTCATGAGGGCTGCTCTCGGCTGCGCAAAGCCTGCCGCGAGTGCAAACTGCAGTGCGTCGGGTAGCCCGAAATGGATGAGGTCGTCGAGGACCACGGCGTCGTCGCGGAGCTCGGGCTGGCGCTGAAGCAGACGACCCAGCACCTCCAAGTGCTTCATGTGCTGGCTGTTGAGCGCTTCCATAACCCCCAAGTATCGACTATTGAGCACTTGCACAAAGCCTCGGGCCGAGACGCCTTCGCGTCGGTGGGCCAAGAGAAAATCGACCACGTTCCACGCTCTGGAACAAATCGCGTTTTCAAGCGCGGCCGTGGTGCAGCCCGCATTCGAGTGCGCGTGTAAAAACTTGACAAGCATCAAGTCGCCGGTGAGACACGCCCGGTCCATCCACTCGGTACTCCACGGTGCGCCATGGGCCACGAAAAACTCGATCGTGGCTTTGTCATAGTCCCACTGGTCGGGTATCGGCGTCGGGAATGGGTAGCCGAGCAAGACCAAGTGCTTTGCAATCGAAACGTGTCGGTTCTGGAGCGCCAGCCGCACGACGTTGTCTCGGGTGCCGCCTTCGCGTCGGTGGGCCAAAAGGAAACGAAGTATGTCTTCACGGCCAAGCTCGGCAGCGCGGTCGACTGCACCGACGGTACAACGTAAGGTTCCGAGGCCGTGGAGGAACTGGACCATGTCGAGGGAGCGGCTGCCAGCGGCTCTGTCAAAATGCCGGGTGACGCGCCCTCGGTGCGGTGCTCGATAAGGAAGCGGACGACATCCAAATGACCATTGGTAACGGCCCAGTTGAGCGCCTCGGTCGTGCAGCCTTCGGTCCGGTTGACATGGAGGAACTGGACGACCTCCAAGTGACCGAACATGGCCGCATTGTCCATCGCTTCGACTGTACAGCCTTCGTTTCGGTGGCGATGCAAAAACTCGACGGTCGCAATCTCGCCGTACATGGCCGCCTTGTTCATCGCCTCGACGGTGCAGCCTTCATGGCGGTGATCGTGCAGAAATCGAACCACGTCGAGATGCCCGCAGCGGGCAGCATCGTCCATCGCATTGGTCGTGCAGCCGCCACGACTGTGAACGTGGAGGTACTCGACCATCTCGAGAAAACCGTGGCACGCGGCCGTGTCCAGAACCTCGGCCGAGCAAAACAAGCCGCGCTCCAGTAGCGCTCGCACGAGATGCAGCGCCCCGAGCACGGCCACGTCTTCGACGAGATCCGGGTACGAAAACCACTCAAAATGATCGATCGCAAACGCAATGTTGTCCAGGCGACCACGCCGCGTCGCCAGCGAAAGCTCCTGATGCGTCCACATGTCGGGACGCGGGCTGAAGCGCAAGAGAAGACGCATTGCTTCGGGGCTCTCGTTGCCCATGAGCCGCTCCAAGACCGTGGGCTGATACTGACGCAGGTGAGGAGGCGGTGGTGGCACCAAGGTGTTTACACGTCGATGCAGCTCAGGCACCACCGAACGCAGGTCGAGGAGGAACTCGGCCATCTCGAGGCGATTCACCATAAAGGCGAGTAAAATCGCGTCTTCCGAGGCGAGATCCGGGCGGCAGGCAAGCATGCGCTTGGCGAGGTGGTCCAATCCTTCGTAAATCGCCACGTGCAGCGGGAAGCGGGCGTCGCGTGCGAGCTTGTCGAGCATATAGGCATCAGCACGAAACGACCGACTCCACGATGACGCCCACTTGGCGCCCGGGGCGAATACGTGGCGAAACGAGACGTCGCTGCGGTACTCGGGCTCAAAGTGCTCGCTGCGGAGTTCAACGAGGCGGTGAAAGGCGAGAAAAGCCGGGCGCACGTCTTCATACAAGCCAGCCTGAAACTCAAAGACCAGCGATGCAATCTCGGGCTGGCCGAGCACGACGCGGTGGAAGAGCGATGCCATCGACGGGTCGGATGTTGCGTGCTCAATATCTTCTTCCGAATGGCCCGCCACGAGTGGTGGATCGTTGTATCCGGATACGAGACAGACCAATGGTAGCAATCCCAATCTTTCTCCAAGCTTTCAACACTGCCAATGTTGAACACTTGCCCTATCGGAGGTTGTTGGTTCTTTAGGCCAAGATACCGTGTCGAGCAGTCTTTTAGTCGGATCGAGGAGCTCGATTGCATGAAGAGGACGCCCAAGACCCCGTTTGCTCATATTAGCTCTAGTATTGCATTTTGCTTTCGCCTTAATGATGCAAGAGTGTGTGCTTGCTGGCGAGAAGGCGCGTGATCTGGGCCTTGAGAGTCGCGACGTGGACAAGGCTCGACCATTTTTCCGTGAGCTGCTCGGTCGTGGTGGTTGCACCCGTCGCATCGAGATGACATAGCACGCCCCGTCGACGACCTCCCCAGCCTCCAACAGCGTTGTAACTTGAGCTACCACACTCAAAGGCAACTCGAATGTTTGGCTGGTCTTTCGTCCTTGGTCCAGGAGCTCTTGTGTGATCAACTTGAGGGTTGTCTTGCGGCGGCGGTTGGGCAACGCGACAAGGTCCAAAAGAAAGATGACATTGTCGACGTGATCGGTCGCGTCCATGCAGTGCGGCAGCAAAAGCTTGCTTTCAGTCATGTGCTCTCGACGCCCTGCAATCTCGACGAATCACTCGCGTGGGTTGCCTATGTCGGCATCGAGGAGGAATCGGGTGGCTGCCGTGTTGCGGCTGCTCGAGGCCACTTGAAACAACTTGTCATCGCGGAGCTCTGGTTTCAGTAGTTGCATTTGCATCGGGAGATCGAGGTGACCACTGCACAGTACCAGATCGAGCGCACTGGGCGAGATCGCAGCCGTGCAATGGGCCAAGAGGTACGCCACGATACCCCACGCTTCGTACTCGATCACATCTTCGAGCGCTTGGGAGCCTACGTCAGCGGGCGAGTGCTCGTGGAAAAAACGAACGAGCGGCACGTTGTCGTCGATGCACGCTGGCTCTACTTAGTCGGCGCTCCAGGGCGTGTCATGGGCGACGAGAAGCTCGAGGATCGCAATCATCTCGGGCTTGCGCAAGGCGTCTTCGCTGAGCGCAATCGTCGACGTCGGAAACGGGCATCCAAGCGAGAGGAGGTAGTCTGCCTATTGCAGATGACCACCTCCAAGCGCTTTCTGAATGACCTCATTGCCTTCGCTTCGGTTGGTCAAGAAAAACGTGACGACATCAAGACGGCCGGCCGCTACCGCAGTATCGACGATGTGGAAGGTACACCCAAACGATCCGAGATGACGGAGGTATTGGACCACAACAAGGTGGTCATTGATCGCAGCATAGTGAATGCTATGTGGACCCTTGACCTTGGCGCCACACACGTGCACTCATGTTTACGGTGACATCGCTGTGATGCATGAAAGTCCTTTATATATTACTAGTATAGTACCTGGCATTTGACGAGAAGCAAGTGCCCAACCATACGAAGCAGGAAACTGTGAAGTTGCCGAGCAAGTGCTTCCCAACATACATGTATTAAAGTTATTGGCGGATCCAGGCGACGTATTTAGGACGTGCGGGTCAACGATGTGTCTTGATGGCAATAGTTCATGCATGGGTTCTAGGTTTGTTACTAAAGCGTCGACGCTTGCTAGAGAGCAAGCGCATGAGCTGTGTCTGGAGCTTGGCGTCGGAGACCAAACGTGTTTCTTCTCGAGTTGCTTCGTGGTCATCGATGCGTCGGTCGCCCACAGATGGCAAATGACAAGCGCCAACACCCCGTCGAGTGCTTCTCCTGACTGCAGCAGCGTTGAAGCACGCGCAGCCACGTTCGGTGGAAGCGGAGTGCGTTGACTGGCCCTTTTTCCTTTGTATAGGAGCTCGGGCGTGATCAACTGGAGCATCGTCTTACGGCGTCGGCTGGGCAGCGCGAGCAGGTCCAAAAGAAATTTGATGTTGTCCAGGTGGTCGATTGGGTCCATGCAGTACGACAGCAAAAGCTTGCTCTCACTCACGTGGTTGCGATACCCCGCTATTTTGACGAGGCACTCGCGCGGCTTGCCAATGCCGGCCGCGAGAAGAAATCGAGTTGCCTCGGTGAGGTGGCTACTAGATGCCACTGCAAGGAGGTCATCGTCGCGGAGCTCGGGGTGGCGCTGCAGCAGTTGCGTCGCGATGGCGAGGTGACCGCCTCTGAGCGCCGATTCTAGCGCATCGACCGAGACGTCAGCTGCGCAGTGGGCCAAGAGAAAGCGCACGACGTCCATCGCTTCGTTTGCAAAGGCCTCGACAAGTGCGTCGGGGCGACAGCAAGTGGCTGCGTGTGCATGAAGGAAGCGAACGAGGGGCAAATTGTTGGCCGCGCAGGCTTTTTCCATGGCGTAAGTCTCCCACGGCGTCTTGTGAGCATCGAAAGCCCAAGGATGCGCACCATCGCGGGCTTGCGAAAGGCCTGAGCTTCCAAACAAATCTCTGTCGTCGGAAATGGGTACCCGAGCGAGAGGAGGTATTCTGCCGTCCGTAAATGACCGTTGGCAAGTGCCTTTTCAACGACCTTGTCGCGACTGCAGCCTTCATTTCGGTTGGTCAAAAGAAATTGGACGACCTCTAGATGACCAGCGGATGCGGCCTTGTTGACGGCGTCAACAGTACAATCATACGACCCGAGAGAATGGAGGTACTGAACGACAACAAGGTGACCGTTGGCAGCCGCCGCGTCGAGGACGTTGGGCGATGCGCCTTCGGTTCGGTGTTCGAGGAGGAAGCGGATAACGTCAAGGTGGCCATTAAGAATGGCGCCATCGAGTGCATCGACCGTGCAGCCTTCTGTTCGGTTGAAATGGAGAAAGCGAACGACCTCCAAATGACCGTTGGATGCGGCGTCGTCCATGGCATTTGTCGAGCACTCAAGACCGCGTTCGTGCAGCGAGCGTACGAGTGACAAGAAGCCTCGACCTGCAATGCCGTCCAAGAGACTGGGGTAGACAAACCATGGAAAGAGGTCAAGTGCAAGCGTCAAGTTCTCGCACGTCGCGTACTTGATGGCAGCCTCAACGTCGTCGTGATGAACGTCGTTGACGCGTAAGCCAAAACGCTCGAGTACCTCGACGCCTCTCGTGTCGTCTCGAGCTAAAATGTCTGGTAAAAAGCATGCTGGGAGGCTAGAGAGACGCCCGTCTACGTCACAACACCAACAAGATCACTCCCCATTCAAAAATCAACCCTGCAGCTTACCAGCATCCTTCGTCAAGTTGACGCTTTGACGCAGCTCCAGCACAGTCGCACGCAACTCCAGTAGAACGTCTGCCATTTCGAGACGATCTTGCAGAATCGCCAAGAGAATCGCGTCTTCAGAGGCGAGGTCCGGCCGGCAGCGTACCATTCGCTGAGCGAGGTCAAGAAACCCTTCGGCAACAGCAATGTGCAGAGGCAGACGGTCGTCTCGTGCTTGGTCGCGTAGAGCAAGCGCTGACGGGAGAAAATCTCCGAGAGGTTGAGGCCATGCAGCAACGGTGGGTGCAAATGCGTTGGGAAATGATGCGTCGCAGTCGTAGATGCCATCGTTGGCGTCAAACTCAACGAGCTCGTCGCAGGCGCGGAAGGCCGAGCGTACATCTTCATAGACGCCAAACTGAAACTCAAAGACCTTGGATGCAGTCGCAGGTCGCGCGAGGACAACGCTGCGGAACGTTGCCGGCATGCCACTTGATTACACTTCACAAACCGCGTTCCGGTGCCGTTGCGAAACCGTGCGTGGCTGCTCGCCAGGTATCTATGTCACCATCCTTTATTCAGTCTCGCTGGACTGCACGTCTGTGCATGCCACCCGACGTGTCATAGTACGCAGCAGAGTCCGTAAAATGGACGAGTAGAGATGGCGTAAGCTGATCGTGCGAGAACAACACGTCAGCGAGTGCACGCTCGACGATTTTTTTTGCCTCTAGCTTAAGATCGCATGGCGCTAGTCGGCAAGAGTCGAGTGTTTGCGCTTCTTGGAGAGGAGGTGTGTGAGCTGCGTTAGGAGCGCCGTGGCACCAACTTCTTTATGCATGCTCTCTATCGGCTCGGTCGTAAACGTCGTGTTGTTCGCATTCGCATAGCAAAAGACCACCCCGTGGAGAAGCTCACGGGTTGCCAGCACACAACTATCCGAATAGAGTGGGTTGGCTCGACGCCTCGGCACAACAAGTCCAGAGCGTAGAGAGCACTCTTGTATTATGCGGCCCGCCAGTGTCTCGACTCAGCGGCAACGAAGAAAGCCAAGCCCACTTAGCTTTGACCAAGCACCGAGGCAGCATTTGTACGTCAATCGAGACTTGGGCCGAGATGGGCAGAAGCCATTGCTGGTGGATTTACTGCTCGTGGGGTACACTAGAGTCAGCGAAAGTGGCTATTCGAGTTGGCAGCTTGGTGAAATTCGTGGAAACGAAATATCGAAGCCATGACGTGGCGCCATACGGTGGAAACCTCCAATATTTGATATTTCCAAAGATCGCGAGGTTCCGAGAAGCGGTTCAGTTGCGCAAATCCAGGGACCATGACACTTGTCCGCGTCGCCGCCGCCGTCGCCTCTCTTCTCGCCACGACCTGCTATGGCAAGGAGTTCTCGGCAAGCGTCTCCGAGATCGATGTCATCCCGCTCATGCCCTACGAGCCCTACATGCTGCCGCGCATGCGCTGGACCGACCTCAACCGCGCTTTGGGCAGCGAGGCCAGCGACAAGATGCTCAAGAGCAAAGAAGTCGACACGCTCCTCGGCAAGATTGGCGTGCTCAAGGAAGACAAGGCGGCTTTCGACAAGCTCTCGCCCATGGAAGTTCAGTCGCTTTATGGCGACTCGGAGTTTGAGAAGGAAAAGGATGTGCTCGTGGCGCTCGAGTTGTACGGCGAAGGCGACGTTGCCTCGGGCATTGAGATCCTCGAGCAAGTGCAAAGCCACATTGAGCGCACGCGCGGGAAGAGTCATCCGCTGTACGCGAACGGGCTTGCCGACCTCGGCCTCGGGTACATGCTCCAGCGCGACTTTACAACGTCCCACGAGCTCCTCATCGCCGCCATGACGCTGGACGAAGGTATGTACTACGGGTCTCTATTTTTGTTTAACACTGCGACGGCTAGCCAACCAAGACAAGTTTGGCGTCTACAACCTGGCAGCGTCCATCAACCTCATGGTGACGTCGGCGCTGCGCTCGGGCGGCGGCCAGTTCGAACCGCTCAGCGCCGCGTACGAGACGGCATTCAACGCGCTGCACAAGATCGAGCATCCTGGTACCATCTTTTTGATATTGCACTTCTCACATTGCCCTTAGCGCGCTACGAGATCGTCGTCAACATGGCCAGCATGTACCGCACGTATTGGCGTCCGCTGCGAGCGATTCAAATGTTCAAGATCGCCAAGCAGCTCGACGCACCTCCGCGGTACAGCGGCGACGTGGCACATGGCCTTGGGCTCAGCTACCTCATGATGGGCGAAGCCAAGCAAGCCAAGGACCTTTTCAGTCGGCGATCGAGAGGTACGACCATCTCTTCGAAGACCATACATATACGCCACGTAGCTACGAGACGCACGGCAAGGACTCGACGCGCAGCTACGTTGATGCAACTTTTCAGCTGGCCACCGCCGAAATCATGCTTGGCCAGTACGGACGCGCTCTACGGCATCTGCAAACGCTGCGGAAATCGTCTCACGTCGACGCCAACCCACTGGCGCAAGCGCTCGTCATGACGACCCTTGGCCAATGCCTCGTTGAAATGGGCTACGTGGAGCAATCGATCGCAATGCTGGCGGCCGCGCTCGCCCGCCTCGAGTACGCTCGATGCTCTCTTGTCTCACCCGTCTAATATGTCCTTGTGTGTAGGTCGGCCGAGCCCGTCGCGCCAGCCAACGACCTCAGCCCGTACCTGCCCTTTATCCACATCAAGCTCTTGCACTGGACAGCGACGGCGCATGAAAAGCAGGACGCCAATGCGACCGCCACCGCCGCGCACCACACGACCGCGTACGAGCGCAGTGCATACGTCCTGGGCGAGAACCACCGCGTGACGCAATTGCATCAAGCAAAAGTCGTCCGCTAAGAACTTATCCCATTGACTACGTTTACGTTTTTGCTACGCTTCAATGACTCGGCGACGAGGCAACGGGCGGGCGGAGGTACGCCATGGTCGTGTCGTAGGCGTAAAACGTAATGGCGGCGCCCGGGATACCACGCGAGAAGGCGGCCTGCCAGCCGTAGAACACCCGGCCGAGTCCATCGCGCCGCACGAGGTCGAGACCGGTGGCCAGCATACCCTTGGTATTGTGTGGGTTGACTTGAATCACCGTCTTGATCTACGTACGGCATGAGTGCAAAGCAGCGTTGGCAAGGAACGTACGGTATCGAACGGAAGGGCGATCGTCCAAAAGGCAACGCCACCGATGGCGCCTGCGATGAGCACACGGGTGGTGGGATGCCAGTCCGATGGCAGGTGGGTCCTAGTCACATTTCGCCGACACACACTCCTCCAAGACACGCGTACTTGGCGACATCGAATCCCATGAAATACAATCCCACACCAAGCGCGTCACGCGTGATCGTTGCCGAAAGTCCTTTCCAGAGCGCGAAGACGCCTAAATGACACTATTAGGAGTACCCGTGTGGACAGGAGTCTGTCTGTACCTTCGCGCTTCACGACCTTGGCAATCACGTCAAACGTCCCGCTGTACTGCTGGGACGCGGACGTGCCCTGCACTTGAAGCCGGTTGCGCACGAGCTCGACCGGCGCCACGAGCGTCGCGTTGATACCACTAGTACACCGCGTTAGCCAAGTCGTCGAGGGCATGGTACAGTACCCAGCGATACCGCCACTCACAATGGTCGAGAGCAGCGGCGACGGCTCGGCAATCGTCGCAGCCAAGAGCTGTCGGACCTTGCTTTGCGTCGTGAAGATGACCGACTTGTAGACAGCTTGCGAGAAGAATGGCGGGAAGAAGCCGCGGTAGAGGCCGCGAAAGCCTTCGTGCTGGATCGTGCTGGCGACGACCGACGTAAAGGACCGGGACGAGGCGTGTTGTAGCCGCGTGCGAATCGTGTCGAGCGGATGACACACGACGACGCTCGACATGCCCGAGACCGACCCGGCGACTACATGCTCGTAGAACGTGGGCTGGCGGCTTGTGGTCATGGCCGCCGGCTAATTTTACCCAGTCGGGTGTCGCCATTGCGCAGGTTGGCTGAAAACACGCCATTTTGACGACCTTTGGAATCTCCATCGCGCTAGATATGATGAGACGGCGCGAGCATTTCAATGAGCATCACCTCAACAAGGTGTTGAATGGCTTTGGCGTCGCGAGCTGCGGCAAAACGCCACTGACCACGGCGAACATGCTCGCATGATTCATGATGTGCGTGTAATTAGCCACCCGCCAAGTTGCACTTTCGGACGACAAAAAAGGGTGCCATATGAAAAAGGCCAGCATTTTCCAGTTGACGCGTGCGGCAATGGCATCGTCGTCGCGCCGGCTGCTGCTGCTCGCGCTTCTCGTTGGGCTCCTCGGTGTCTTCTGGCCGCAGATCGAAGACGCGTTCTTCCACTCGTGCCCGTTCCTCTTCAAACGCAACGCTGCGGACGACGTCACGCCAATCGTCGCCGCTGCGGACCTGCCCGTCTTCACCGTCGCCACGCTCCGCGCCTTTGACGGCACAGACGACGCCAAGCCCATCTACATGGCAGTGGGCGGCAAGGTGCTGGACGTCACAAGCGGTGCACGGTTCTACAAGAAGGGCAACGGCTACCACCAGTTTGCCGGCAGCGTACGCCGCACGTTCTCTCTAAACCATCGTTCGTGACGTCCTGTGCAGGCTTGTACCCGCGCCTTGACGATCGCGTCGCTCGAGGCCAAGGACATGTCAGACGACATTTCCGACTTTACGTCCGAGCAGCTTGCCGAGTTGGAGAAGACGCTTGCGTTTTACCATGGCAAGTATCCCGTGGTACGTCCTCGCGCCCAACGAGCTGCGGGCACCAATGTGGTGCATCTAGGTTGGCACGATGGACTATGCCTTTGAGATCCCACCCAGAAGCGCCATCGATACTAGCTCGAAAGCATCGCCGGCGCCTTGATGTCTCCCAAACCTTCATGATAACCAGCAGCTGGTTGCATAATTTTGGTTTTCTCTGCAAGCCGCATGACCCGAAGGATGCGTTGTGATGCCGCACCATCGCAGCTACATGGAGTCGACTTCACAGACGCCCAACGAAACTCGGGACGTGATCGTAGCTCCACGGGCAGACCCGGCAAGTGCTTCGATGGGCGGACTCGTGATCTTCCATCCAACAGTCTCTGACTCATCTGGTGTACATCGCTTGCTCGTGCGTAGTTGCAGTAGCAACTCGGCCACGTCCAGGTGGCATGCCCTCATACTTGAACTGCAGCGATCGTTCCGCGAGGTCTCGTGGTTCCAGCGATCTTGCGCAGCAGCGCAACCAAAGCACCCGTCGTCCTTTCTAAAATCGACGCATCGCATCCGTTACGCCGCTAGTTCGCTAGGTAAAAACCCGGGCGTGAGCTCGTGGCCACTCGATGGCATGGGTCCGTGTATCAATCTTGGTGCAGTTCTTATGGCCCGCGGCAAAGGGGCACGGTTGTCGTTGGCAGTTTGCGATAAAGTATCTTTGCCGTGGGAATTCCAACATCTATCTCGGTGTTTGTATTGCGTGAAAATCGTTTTGCACGCGTGAATAACCCATCCCGTAGTATCCGGACAGCAATCCGCATACCGCACTTCAACCGGCGGGGTGTGGCCAATCAGAAGCGTCCCAATGAGAAAGGCAAGCTCATGCGTGCGCAGTTTTCCATTTGCTCGCTCGACGCCAAGTCGCCCGAGCCATGTCGTCGGTGCTGCAGCAATCGCTTGGCGAAGACGAAGTCTTCGAGCTCGTCTGCGACTACCTCCGCACGCGCAAGTTCTACCAGGCCGAGCAAGCTCTGGTTCACGAGCGCGACCAAGCCGCGGCGCTTGAAGCGCCCGCGCCCAAGAACCAGGTCGAGCCCACCGCGCCGTCCAAGCTCGAGAGCCTCCTCGAGCGCTCGTACGTCACCGGCTTTGCATCGGGCGAGCTCCCACCGTCGCCCAAGCCGGCCCACCGCACCAACCTCGACGGCAACGACATTTCGTTGACGCGCCTTTCGGAGAGCGAAGACGACGACGAGGCAAGCTATGGCTTTAGCACCAAGCTCGTGGCGTTCGAAGCATGCAAGGACGATCCGCATGGGTCAGCGACGATGCCGATCTACCAGACGTCCACGTTTGCACAGAAATCAGCCACCGAGTTTGGCGCGTACGACTACACGCGGTCCGGCAACCCGACGCGCGCGGCGCTCGAGCGGCAGATGGCCGAGATCGAACACGGCCACCGCGCGTTCGCCTTTACCTCGGGCATGGCGGCGCTGGCAGCGATTTCCCGCCTCGCCAAGGCCGGCGACCACATTGTGCTCTCGGACGACTCGTACGGTGGCACGTACCGCCTCCTCTCCAAGCTCACGGCGCGCAACGGCGTGCACGTCAAGTACGTCGATCTCTCGGGCCACGACGGCCCGGCCAACCTCCGCGCGGCCATCAACACGGAGACGAAGCTCGTCATGATGGAGTCGCCGACCAACCCGATGCAGCGCATCTGCAACATTCCTGCCTTGGCAGAAGTCGCGCATGAGTTTGGGTACGTTGAAATCGTCATGAGACGACTAAAAGGACTCATTTACCATTGACTAGGGCGCTTTTGAGTGTCGACAACACGATGATGAGCCCGATTCTGCAAAACCCGCTTCTGCTCGGAGCCGACATTTGCATGCACTCGGCCACCAAGTTTGTGTGCGGCCACTCGGACACCATGTCGGGTATTGTGATTGCCAAGGACCCGGAGCTCTGTCGGGAGCTCTACTTTGTTCAGAACGCCGAAGGCACGGGCTTGGCGCCAATGGACTGCTGGCTTCTCCTGCGCGGCATCAAGACCATGGGCCTCCGCGTGCTCACGGCGCAAGAAAATGCGATGCGCGTCGCGGCCTTTTTGAGCAACCACCCGGCAGTCACCAAGGTCTACTACGCCGGCCTCCCGACGTCCAACCACCGCGATATCCATTTTGCGCAGGCGCGGGGCGCGGGCTCCGTCATCACGTTTTGCACGGGCAACCTCGCGTTCAGCCAGCACGTTGTGAGCACGACCAAGCTCTTCAAGATCACCGTGAGCTTTGGCAGTGTCAACTCGCTGATTTCGCTGCCCGGTGTCATGTCGCACGCCAGCATCCCCGAAGAAGTGCGGAAAGCGCGGTCGTTCCCGGAAGACCTCGTGCGGCTCTCCATTGGCATTGAAGACGTCCAAGACCTGATCAACGACCTGCAGCGCGCGTTCCAGTCGTTCTCGGCGCAGTAATTAATCCTCCCGTATAGTAGAAGAGAAGGTCGCACCACCCCGTGGCGCCATTGGCTCGTTCCCTGACTTGACTGTCCGGCAACCGACCCAGTGGTGCAAGCTCACGCTAAGCGCGCCTCAACGGTCTAACATCAAATTTACATGTGTATTATCAACCTTCTGCTTTCCTGGCACCTTAAAAAGCAAGGAAATCAACCGAGCTCGTAATCGGTGCGTTGTGCAGCGTCGTCCCGCCGTCCGAGGTTAGCAGGCTGGAGAAATCAAGACATGGACAATGTGGGTGCCTCTCGGCACGAAGCGCTTACACCGACAGTGTTGAACCTCTTGCACCGCTAGCCGTGCAGCCACGTCATCTACCTTGATCATCGCCACAACCTTGTCACGACCTCGCTTCTGCGACTTGCTCCACATGGCCGTATTGGGAAGGCGAAGACCGTGGAAGTCGATCTAACCTTTCGGTTACAAAATGCCAACTCAAAATGACCGTTCTACAAGCCTTGGGTGCACGTTTCGCCGTCCTCGACGACCATGGAGAGCGCAGTTGAGTACGTGTTGAGGCTACAGGTCCCATACCTCCGACCTGCTTTGGCAGCCAACGGAGCTAGCGCCCTGGTCCTCCTTCTGCATAATATGCGCTAATATGGTTGTTGTTGAATTGGGTCCTCTATTACAATAGATAAAACTATGCTAAATAAAATTGTCGGACTTTCTTCGTTGTGTGTACTCGGTTGAGGGACTTGATTTAGGCAGGCGGAGGCAGAAGCGCAATCCGCGGGACGAGGTGACGTCGCGGCCACTCGTGTTGGGCGAGGAGCCGGAGAAGCCGACGAAGAGCAGGCTGTTCGGGCTCTTGTACGAGGCTGTGGTGCAAGTGCAGTTGAGCGACGCGTGCCGCCTTGACGGCAATCGTCCATGGACTTGGCAGCGGTAGGTCGGCGCGAAAGAC